CCAAGGTCTACAACAACTAATGGCAAATCTCAAAAAGAAAAAATAAAACATATCAATACCAGAATCTCATTTTTTAAAAAACGGCCTCCCCCAAGTAAAATACAGGTAAAAAAAAAAAAAAAAAAACCCAAAAAAAAAAAAAAAAAAAAAAAAAAAAAAAAAAAAAAAAAAAAAAAAAAAAAAAAAAAAAAACTTCACAGCACAGCTAAAACTGGGTCTGTACCACGCTACATGAGATTCACATGCCTTCATATTTTCTATATACACGCGGCACCTAGATGGACCTATTCGGGACTCCTCTCACCCCGCTGTTGCGTTCTCTAATGTCTTAGCGAAAGGGCCTTTGGTTAGATGCAACTCTCTTACGTATGCGTAAACTAGAAGAACCACTCAGCGCGGGAATATAAGAATGGATATGATTCTTCTTCAACTGAAAGGCATATCAAGCAACTCTTCTTTTACCCTCCCTGAACTTCGACTTAAAACCCTCATTATGGCAAAAACACTTGCAATTGCCGTTTCTCTAGCAATCTCGGCCCTGGCAGCGCCAGCCTATCTCGATGATTCTACAGGAAGAATCGTTGGTGGATCACCAGCGAAACTGGGGCAATTTCCTTCCATGCTGGCTATCAACTTTGAAGGGGAACAGACATGCGGAGCCATGCTACTTGGCCCGAAACTTGCCCTTACCGCAGCCCATTGCATAGGTACTAAGCCTTCCGGTGCGTCCGTCCGTGCTGGATCTCTCGTTAGTGGCCTACCAATTCCAAGGAGAAAAGTAAACGGATGCTTACATTCCTATAGAATGGGACTTCCGGCGGTATCGAATCCCCAGTTAAATCTGCTCTACATCACCCTGAAGCCGAAGAACACGACATTGCTTTGATGTATTTGGAGAAGCCAATTGCCGAAACCGCAGAAATCAAGTATGCAAAGCTGCCGCCCCAGGGCCAGGACCCTAAGGCGAACTCCCAAGTAACAGTGTCGGGCTGGTGAGTCCTTTATCTTTACTTTTGGCGTGGCAATTGCTCTTGTATCTAATTATTCAACTAGGGGAAATACAGTATATAATGGGACATCGTCTCCAGTCTTACTATATGTCTCTGTTTTGGTGAATGGTCGAGAGGGCTGTAAAGCTGCATATGCGAAACTTAATGACACTGTTACAGATCAAATGGTCTGCGCAGGTGGGGAAGTAGATGGAAAAGACTCATGCCATGGAGATAGTGGAGGCCCATTGTATGAGGCTGGAACCAACATGCCCGTTGGAATTGTGTCCTGGGGCCATGAATGTGGTAGAAAAGGATATGGAGGGGTATACGTCAGGATTGGGAGCTACTCTGATTGGATTATGAAAAACAAGGAACCTCCAAAGCCCATCAGGAACTAGAGAAGGCAAGGGAAGAACTCAATTTTCTATGTAAAGAGGGAAACTCATGAGAAGACCTGTCCCATTTATCATGTTTGCTTTACAGGCTTTTTGCCTGGTCGTTAACTTAACTAGTTATGTCTTGGTGAGATTACCTAGCCGCTCGCTTAGTTAACATCTATTATTCTCATTCCTCTTCTTTTGTATGAAGTTCTCTGTATTTGCATACATACCATGATCCCGCTCTGGTGAATAACACCTGGGCAGCCACTCTTCTTCACAACCATCTTGTCCAACAGCACTTGAAAATTGAACAGTAAAATGTTCCTTTGGAATTTCCAGACAAACATATCCATAAGAAGATCCACCCTATCCACCTTTTATGCACAATCCTTGTTTAGAGGCGTCTTGTCGGCTTTTTTTTTTTTTTTTTTTCAATCTCTTAAGTAAAGAGAATGTCCGCATTTTCTTTGGCGGGTCGTCAAAGTCAGTGGAAAATTTTCGCGGTTTCTTTCAAAGATATTTCGAAGCTACTTGAAAGACACAACGCGTCAAAACATCACTCGGCAATATGGCGGCAGGCTCCCGTAGGGTATATATGGTAGGGCCCATAGATATATTTTACAGCCCACAGGTGCCTCGATACATTTTCTTTTTCTCCAGCAAGTCATTCAGCGATATCCTCATCCCTTGTCCACAAAGTTGATATGATTAGAAGTTCTCTGTCTGAAAACAACAGATAATATCACAGTAACTATTCGATACTCAATCGAACCAGTCGAGATGTCACTTGAAAGAATTGTGCATCTCAGAAAGTACAGCATTAACCAGCTCTCGAGGCCAGCCTATCCCAGAAAACCAATCCTTAAGCCCCTCAAAGTTACCACATCTGCTCAAGGTAGCATACGAACTGCGAAATATAACACCATAGCGAACACGTCGCTGAATATACTTCTAGCATTCAAGGACTCTACACTCAGAAAAAGAGCTTCTACAGGGTCTCTTCACTCACGTATGAATCGAAGTGTATTGGCCAAGAATCCCATATCAGAAAATTACTCAAAAAATTCCCCGGCTGGCATCATAGCCGCTGTGAGCAATGAGTACAAATCCCCCAGCCTTGGGTGTTGCTGCCTAACATCATGCACTTGTCGAATAATTGAACGGTATTTTCTCAACGAGTTCCACGGCTACCTCGATGGAGCAGCGGACTGGAACAGTGAGCAAGTCGCAAACTCAAAAGCCGTTCGGTTTGACCACGTTGATATATACTCCTTTTCAGATGATGAGGATAGTGACGATACCTTGTCATTATGCGAAGGCCTTAGTTGGATTGATGATCTGGAAGTAGAAGTGGAGGATCATGGGAAAAGGACTCGGGGTTGAAGATCTAAAACGGGCCAATGAGTAACTCCCATTATGTATGTACAGTACAAAGAATGGTAGTAGCGAACTGGATATCACGGCAATGCAAGACATAGAAATGATACAGAACCGAATTCTACATTAAAAGCTCAAACATGCATGAAGGGCGGGAAATGGAAGCTGTTACCTATATACCACATCTTATCCAAAGACGAAGACGAAATTGAAACTTCATGTTTGGCAAATTAAGACAAGCGGATGCCATGGAAAAAAAATAAAAGGAAGAAAAATGGTCGCTTGAGTAATAATTCATGATCGAAAAGATAATATTGAAGCATTAGTTGAAGGGAAAGCGGGTTTTCTAGTATATTACTTCCAGGACGTAGAGGAATCCAAACACTAGGAAGGCGATGGCTCCGCCAAAGGTAACTTTGAAGGTCAATTAGCAAAATGTATTCAATTACTAGAGGATTTCCACAAAACTTACCAGTGCGAATGCTGACTTTGCCTGCAATCGCTCTTCCACCGATGACCGCGGCCGCAGTGCACATTCCATGTCCAATTATGGCACCCAGTGTTACCCACCAGTAGTCCTGGCCAGCGGCCATAGCAATGGTAGCAATCTGGCTCCTGTCACCCCATTCGCCCAAGAAAGTCATGACAAATGTTTGGACCCAGGCAGGACTCAGCAGAAGGGAGAATAAGTTATTAATACCAATCAAAACGCTGCTAATTGCAAAGCCTCGTGGTGGAGAGTTGCTTCGAGAAGAAGCTGGAGAGATACTTTCGGGAGTCGGAAGGCGATGATTTGAAGAACGGGTTTTGTGGGGCATGCCGGCACGGCCAGACTCCAGTGCGTAAGGGTCAATGGATGATCGGCGTCTATTCATGCGTCGCTGCTGATGCTCTTTCTCCTCTAATTCCATCTCAACCTCCTTCATCTCGTTGCTTACATTCTCGTCAGGACGCATATTCTTCGCCTCGTGAAGCATTTTTAGACCAAAAACAAGAAATAAGAACGCCGCAAGGACATTTGTGTATGACTTTGGCAGTATTGTAGGAACAGCATGGCCCAACATGGCTGACAAAACAGTCATCGCAATCAGGGCCCCAAAAGCAGCTGAAAAAACTAGCATTCTTGGATGACGCATAGCCATGAGTGCAGCAACCAAAAATGTCTTGTCCCCAATTTCAGAAAATAGGATCATAGTAAAGGAAAGAACAAATGAGTGAAGAGGTTGAATAATCTCATTGACATGGTCACCATCACTAGGAACCTTTGGTTTGGCACCAGGAGAAGATGCGATGGGTTCCTTTATTAGGTTCTTCTCGTTCTCGCTGTCAAATCGTGTTGGAGGAAGTGAATGAGGGGATTCGGGCAGGTCTCCAGGTTTCTAATCATCCTATTAGTGCAAATTCTTATTCATAGTCTTCATTGGCGCATTATACCTCCAGTAGCTTATCCTTTTGCTCTTCCTTTCCTTTCTTCCCCCGATCGCCATGGAGGTTAGGAATCTTTTGTTGCTCGCTGTGTGGCAGCGGAGGGGCCTCCTTTGGTGGATCTGGGACCTTTTCAATGCCTAAATGTTTATCTTTGTTCTTTGAAGATACTCCTCCTTCTGTGCCCCGAGTTCCTTCTTTTGGACCAGGCCGGTTTTTATCATCCATTACGCCATCATTTGAATGCGGAATCACTTTCCCATCGGGTCCAATATGGCCTTCCGGAGACCCTTCTGGATTGGATGGGTTTGAACGTTGTTGGTCTGCAAGAGCTTTGTCCTTTTTCCGCTGTCGTTCTGCATTCGTCTCAACAAAAGGCCCGGCATGGGGTTTTCCATCCTTCCCATCAATAGGTGCATCGTTGACGCCCCGTATTTGTGGAGGGCTGGTTTGTGTCGAAAGTAAAACAGGGTGCGCGTCTAAGTCAGGGGACTTGCGACCTGTGTTGGACTTGAGAGCGTTATTTGAATTGGCGAGGGTAGCGGATATGGAGGAGCAAACAAGGAGGAGGAGAAGGTTGGAGATTCGTCGAAGCCTCATTGTGAGGATAGAAGTCGAGAGTATTAAAGGAAGTTCTTTTGAAACGGGTAAATGCTGAAATCCAATCTTCCCTAAAACCAGGACAACGATATTATTGCGGGCAAACTTTCGGAGAAATGATGAATGAATAATTGAAATACAGGATCTGGCTCCCTGGTCAATGGGGTCGTTAATTCGTTATTTATCAGACAGTTCTCCGAGGGCGTAAATTTGATATTACATACTGCAGCACACTCCAGGGGCAACAGAAGGACACGAATGTTAAACAACGGCAACGTCTCGAGCGGTTCCGAGAGCAGAAGCAGTTTCACCTCAATCAGGGGTTGTGGCTTGACGGGGCTCCTGCGCCACATACCCAGCCCCGAGGCCCAGACGGGAATGATTAGGGTTAGGGTTATATCGGTGACTAATCTATTGTTGTTTGGACTGTTTTCCTCCTAACCCCAACGACCGCAACCCTAAGATGTACATCTTCGTCGCAGAACAAGATGCCGGTGACAACACGCAGTGCGTCTCTTCCATTGGGCTCTTCTCGCAATGCTGCTAGCAAATACTGGCCTGCTGCATCTAGTTCTGCTGCCGCAGCAGCAGCTAGCCGTGTGCAAACAATTGAAGAGGACTTTCAGGACATTGATGGAACAACCCTAAACTATCCGCCACAAGAGTCATCCGCCCCAGGGAGTGATACGGAGGAGTTTTTCTCCCCCACTACGAATGGTTCTAAGCCTTTGGAGCCTATATCTCCTGTTCAATCTGGTAGGTACTACTCGCTCAGAAATAGCAAGCCGAATCAAAATAATGGTGCCGTAACCCCATTGCCATCCCGCTCTCAAGCCCTTAGCCATTTCAGAATTTCAAGTCTTGAGTCGCTTTGTACTAACCTTGGCCCTAGGGCTCCTGCTTACTCCAATTAGGAGTGGCCAGAGCTACCCGTTCAAAAGCCCAAGCCGCCATGTGAATACTGGTCACAATGCTGCAGCACCTAAACCTCCTGAACATTCTTTACGCCCCTCTGAGGCTACTATATGCACGACTGAAGAACAACCACAGATATATCAACCGTACCCTTTGAAAATGCTGGCGTTGGTGCCGAAATTAAACCAATCATCAGACAAAGTTTTAAATATCTGGAATCAACACGGCTCCTCATATTCCAGCTTTACCAAATACATTACTAATCCTACGAGCAAAATCAGAATTGAAGAGAGTTGGGGAGATACCTTTTTAAGCTATAAAAGGAATTTTGATGATAAACATTTTATCAATGTGGCTAAAACCGTAGACGCCCTCCCTTCTCTGGAACGCTTAGACTGGGACCCCACCGAAATATATCAAAAAGCAAATTTTGCCCAGTTGACTCTCGACATGATTTACTTTTGCAATGGAACTCAATTGACGATCCCATTGGATATCATTGACAGCTTGTTCCCTACCCCTTTTTATGCCAGTCTATCAACCCCGGACGATGTGATAACTTCACTCTTCCAGATTGGGTTAGAGATACGAACGCATCGTTGCATATTGAATCTAAAGGATGCTAGCGAGGATATTCTGCCTAGCACTGTTCTCGATGATGTTTTTGGCAACGCGATTGCCGGCGAACCTGGATTTCGCGGATGGGAAATAGACGGCCTACAAGACGGAGACGGTTGTCTACCTGAGAATTTCAGGGAGGATGTTCAACACAGAGTCACAAAGATAGAAAGTGCCTTTGGAAAGGGTGCATCGAGGTCAATAGATTTTTCTATGTTGACCAACAGTTTTCCGTGGTCTGAATTCGTCATGGTGCTTGGGGCATGGGTACAACGCCGAATCGGTGAAATAAATGATGAATTAAAAAGAAAAGAAGATAATGATTCAACAATCTTCAAATTCCGCTCGACATTGCGCCGCGGGCATAGTTTTTCTTCTCCGGTCCCTGAGGCGATAGCGTTGCCAACCACGGCCAGCGCAAAAACAGCAATCCCGTCTACATCACCATCAAAATTTACAAACACCGTCCAAGATGAGCGTACTGCCACAGAGTCCACACCTTCGGTTCCTTTCCTCCCTGCTGCGCCTAGAAAGTAGGGTTCTTCCTTCCCTTTTTAATTACTTTAACATTAGAGTTGCTAATTGTTGAAGTAGAAACTTCATATCTCGAACTTCCATCCGCCATCTTCAAGCGTTAAAAATAAAACAGAGGTCTATCCCTCCTGCTGCAGTAACTTCCAACCAGCACGAACCTTTGCGCAATCAGTATCTCCAAACATCAGAGGCGAAGGAAACTAATTTTCACTCTAATCAACAGGGTAAACATGTTAGAGACACCCAAGTAGAAACGCTTGCACAGCCAATGACAATTTTTGACCGGCAGGAGAACGCACACAGGGTATCTCCCATTCAATCAAGTCAGGTATCGGTGTGCGAGGAGCAAGCTCTTACCGAAAATACAAGAAAGCGGCGACACACGGCCGAAGTTGAAGGTGACGATATTTTACTCGTGAATCAGACACGCACGCCGACGAGGAAACTCCAACGTGCCAAAAGGCGCCGGGTCGAACCAAGTATCGAAAAGGCCAGGAGTGAAGCCCGATCTCCATCCGTTGTGGTACGGCATCGCCAGGCATCCAGACCCACGGGTGATGAACGGCCAGCCGGCAGTGCCTCTCGCTTTCTACCATCGTCCCTTAATAGCGAGAATATAAATCCGAGCCGCCAAGCAACCGAGGCGCCGAGCAGCCCCAAGCGACGCACACCCTGGACGGTTGAAGAATCCCGCCAGCTAGTCCGTTTAATAAGGGAGCATGGCCCGAAGTGGTCCCTGATAAAATCAATTGACAGCTTAGAAGAAGTGCCGCAGCTAGAAAGACGAAATCAGGTTCAGATAAAAGATAGAGCCCGCCAGATGGCTTTTGACGTTTTCAGGTACCATGCGCCAAGCCATATACCTTTTAGCGCAGTGCTAACTGAAGATTGTTTTCAGGACCGGACAACCTGTCCCCAAGAATTTCAAAAAAATCTTTATGAATACTATGCAGGAGAATAAGCTAAAGGCAATGGGGATAAATTTTGAGGAGCAAGTGGAAGAGGAATAGCGACAAGATCCCTTTTGCAACGACCCTTGACGATTTACGATTTCGGAGTTTTGGCGTGGTGCGGGCGGCCAGACGGCCGAATTATGATTCTTAACATGCCCTAATCTAGTTAATCCGTATATGTCCTGCTTCTTAAATAATCTGCATGCAAAACTGTCTGCTGGGCGTCTAATAATGTCTCGCACCCCAAACACACGACTGCCGGCTTACATAAGGCTGCAAGGGTGGCTGGCGAGGCTGAAGTCGAGTTTCACACATCTCGCGTTGACGGCAGCCTGCCCTCACCTGTTGCTGTTCGCTACGTTGTTCTCGTCCTCTTCGTGCTGCCCGTCCGGCCTTGGGCTGTTGCCTCGAGCCCTATTCCTTTTTCCGCTGTGCTTGAGAAGAGAGCCTCGAACGCGTTCCACGCTCTAATCCCTGTGCGCCATGCTTAAAATCCCAGGCTTTTCTTCACGCGCTCGGTCTCCCTCTCCTGGCGAGGGTCACCGGCACCGTTCGCGCAGTCGCAGATATTCTCCACCCAGAGAGAGAAGTAGAAGTCGAGGCGGAAACCCTAGTTCTCAACTTTACCGCGACTCTGATTCAGCAGAAGACTATCCGCGCCTATCAACCAAGCGGCCCACCGCCAAGGGGCGCTACGATCTCTCTGACGATGAGAGATATAGAAGCGATCATCGAAGAAGCAGAGGGCATCGCCCATCACAAAGCCAGTATGAGCTTTCCGACGAGGACCGGGAGGCACCCAGGTATAACAGGACCCCACTAAAAAGCGACAGAGATGGCCGGCATCAAGTCAGCTTCGAGCCGGGCCGCAACCTTGGAAGCGCGAGCCAAGCAATTCGCCCCCCTGCATCCTCTCGATATCACGAATACTCCGATATCTACACAGACTCGGACGAGGAAGGACTGGCATACGGGGATTCGTATTCTGACTATGTGCTATCCGGCAGTGAGCGCCTGCCCCAGCGTCATGGTGGAGACCGAATACCTGCAGGCAAAGCCTACGACTCTGAGTCAAGTGACGAGTACACACGCCGGTATGCACGTGAGCCTGCAGCCCGTTCCACGGATGCGTCCTTCAATTACCAGAACCAGTCGAACTATGAGCAAACACTTCACGATACCTATGCACCTGGCAGCAGAGATGCGTTTGCCACCAGGTCCCAAGCAGAACAGCCGTATGTCCCTTCACAGACCCGGTATCAAGACAAAGGGATAGATGAAAGTGAATGGCCAGAAATTCCGGAATGTGAACGCCCCGATTTCATTCCTCCCAAGGAGCCGAACTACAACTATGCCTCAGCCGCTTCCCACAAGGATCAGCAGCCTACCCCTCCTCCAGCTCCAATCCAATCTGTTACACCGACAGCAGCGGCTTCACAGTATTTCTTCAAGTCTGCTGCTGCATCAGATCATGAACGGCCTCCACTCCATGGTCCTCAATATCCTATAATCCCTCCTGCGCAATATGTCCCACCAGAGCACTATCCAAACATGAGTAAGCCGGCTCAGACACCGCCAAAGTCAGCCTCTCCACCTAGCCAATATGTTTCACCAGAGCACTATCTAAAAATGGCCGAAGCATCTAGACATCAAGTCCCCGCACAACACTACTCTGGTATAAATAAGTCAACCCCGCTACGAAGCCCTAATACTCTTCCTACAGCGCGCGTCAGTGGCCACCAACGAGCCCTTTCTACAGGCAACGCCCCAAATGGTTCGCTACAATATATTACCACTCCTCTACAGTATCGGTATGCCCAGCCAGACCCAAATATTAAATACACATCAAAACCTGTGGTACAACCAGCAACAACTACTTCTGCGACACCAATTGATACACAGGACTCCAATGAACGCCCTGGGAGAGTTGATTATGTGGAAATGATACCCCAAGCAACCCGACGAACACATGCCCCTCGCCCACATAGTATGTCTACATCCGCTGTACCCGGTGAAATACCCATGACCAGCGAATTTGTCGGCGGTAGGCCTCTAGCTAGCCCCTTACTGGAGCCATACCATGGAACATATCAGAGCATCTCCCCAATGCCTTGGCCAGCTAAGTACCAGGGTATGGAAGAAGACTTTTCAGATCTTGAACTGAATGGAGGTGCATCAGGTCCGGGAAAGGGGAAGGATAGAAAATTGAATACCGAAAAATTGAAATTAAAACATGGTTTTCATAATGCTGAGCCATTTCGTCCACAAAAGGTTTCCTTAGAATCAATGCGAAGCACGTTAATATATAACCCGAAGGGCGATGCTAAGACTTTGAAGGCAGCTTTGACACAACACAAAGTGGATCCCAAACCTTTACAGGCAATACTCCCATATCTCACTGGCAATGAAATTGACGCATTACGTGCAGAGTACAAGACCATAGTCAAAATGACGGGTCATGGTGTCAATCTAGCCAAACATATCGCACTTCGGGTGCCTGGGAACCTGGGGAAAGCCTGCCATGCAACTGCCCTTGGGCCGTGGGAGTCAGAGGCATACTGGGCAAATTTCTGGTATCGCTCAAACTCCTCGCGGCGAGAATTGTTAATCGAAGCACTCACCGGCAGAACGAATTCAGAAATTTCCCGCATTAAAAAGTGCTTCAAAGACAAAAGATATGGAGACAGTTTGGAAAAGTGCCTGAAAGCGGAATTGAAGCCAGATAAGTTTCGCGCTGCTATTCTACTTGCGTTGGAAGGGAAGCGGCAGGATGATATGGCCCCACTCAACCCCGAGCTTGTGCGCAGTGACGTCCAGGAGCTGCATCGCGCAGTAGTAGCGAGTGACGGTGGGGAGTCGGTAATGATTCAGATCATTATGGTCAGAGGCAATACGCATCTTTGTGAAGTGATGCGGGTCTTTGAAAATCTTTTTGGCCAGAGTCTTGGGAAAGCTATAATCAAGAAGTCTAAAAATCTTGTTGTAAGTGTAAATTTACTCCTTGTTCATTTTAAGCCAAGATCTAATTCCTTCCCAACCTTCAGGGTGAGACTCTTCTGCACGTTTTGAACGGCGCACTCAGTCGACCCACACGCGACTCGTTGTTAATTCACCACGCCATTGCTGAATCTGGCCGCGACCGCGCGGAGCTTCTCATCTCCCGACTTGTCCGCATGCACTGGGACGCCAGGCATATGGAGCGGGTTAAAGTGGAATACAAGCGGAAATACGGGAAGTATATAGAAGACCATATTGCCGAGAAAATCGTCGATCCCGGTGCAGGGAAGAGTGACTGGGCTGAGTTTTGCATTGAGTTGGTGAGGAGTTCAAGTGTTCACACTCTGGATGAAGAGTATGCAAGGTGAATAAAGGCTAGCCTGATTAAGCAGGCCATTGAGGCTTTTGATTTGAACTTCTGGCTACGGAGTACATTTACGCCTGTACATATATAAAACAATGTGATATATATACCCTTTGATTCTGGTTGTCTGTGCAATTTATTATATTCAGGCTAACCCTTGTTGAGAATATACTTTCAGCAGTTGTTTCCATTTTGTACTCTGCAAAACGGTCATGTCTGTTTTTGAATGGGATCATCCAAATTGGATCTGAATGAAGAGGATGGGATGTCTGCACCAGAAAATGGCGGACACTCAACAGCAATAAAGGCTGAAAATTATCTATAAAATAGTTTTAGAGAGCATATTCAAATTATCTGTCCCTAAGGGAGTCGGCAAGGAATATTGGCACTATCCAGCAGTACAAGTTGGTTTAATACTCTACACATAGAACATAAAATGGACATGTGTGTGGTGGCAGAATTGAAATGGAGAGAAATGTAAACATAGAAAAGTATCAAAAGGGGTATGAGAAGAGGGGAAGGGGGGAATCAAACAAGCAAAATGGTTAAACAAACATGAAGGGAAATAGGGGAGGCCGGTAAGGCCGAGTTGTAAATAGCTGATCGCTAAAATATTAGGACACAAAACACAGGAATGGTGCTTTGCGGCATCAGCTCAGATGGTAGACAAAAAGTGAACCACCATATTGCAAACGCATAAACAAAGAGAAAAAACAAAGGGGGTACTATCAGAAAGGAAAATGACACATCGGCAAGCTGTTCAGATACTATCACATAAAACACTGCATCAATCATTTGTTAACACAATAAGTAAAGGGTTTCACAATGCAATGAGGAATTTTAAGAGGAGGCATTGTAAGAACGAAAGTAGAGAGAAGAGGAAGGCGAAAAATTCTCAACGAGCAAATCAATTACCCAGATCACTTTTCACACAAGGCAGGCTCCTGAAATGATTGTTTTTAGATCATTCCATTTCCTAGGCCATTATAGTTCAGTCGAACGGTTCTCCATCTCTCATACCAGACCTCGCGGCTGGCTTCGCGAAGTTCAGCACGCCATTCGCCAAAAACGCTTTCTTTCAGCCTTAGGAAATCACAATGCTCTGGATTGTATGGATCTGCAAATCCCCACGGGAATTTACGCCCAACCGGGCCATCGGAATCAAGGGTGTGCGGGTCGGGAGAGAGAATTGAAAGTGGGATAAAAGGCTCATTGTTAGCGGGTATGCTAGATGACGAATTGCGCTTTTGTTGCTTTTCTAAGGGCTTTCCTGAGGGCGGAGGAGATGATACTGCATGCTGGGCACTGTTGGGTATAACATCGGAGTCTGGGGTGCGGCGAGGCTCATTGGCCGGCTCGTCCTCGTCTCTCTCGTCGAAGTTGTCAAAGCTACTGGAGTCATCAAGGTCCTCGAGTGTCAGAACTTCTAACGGATCGATATTCGCTTTTTTTAAGCTGTCCCATACGGTCTTTTTCAGAAAGCCCATATGTGCGGTAGTAATCGTATCGGCCTTGCTAATGACAGGTACGACAGTAGTTTTGCCTTGCATAGTGCGGAGGACTTGCAAATCCAAAAGTTCGTCTAGTCCACCGATCACGCGGCTTTTTGGTTTAGAATTATGCCCCTCAGCAGCCTTTTGCGCGGCAGCGATGTTTTCATCGAGTCGCGCGGGATCAAGAATCAAAAATGCGCAGTGAATATGGGTGTCACGGGCTCCAGGTGACCGAATCACTTTCATTTCCTCAGCAAAGCTGTCTTCAAATTTACTTTCCACAAAGCCAGTGATCTCGCGTAGTTGGAGGTCTACAATACTTTTTTCTAGGCCTTGGGAGTCCCATAGGGTCAGCCCGATTCGCTCGTTATCTATTTCTGTTTCAAGATAATGGTAAGTGAAGCAGCCATTTGGTGGTCCATGGGAGAGGTCGTCCATCTCCTCTGCGCTGCGTGTTGGACGTTTGTTTGGCGGCAGGGCAAGAGCCTTTTTCAAAAAATTAACAAAGGATGTCTTGCCAGAGTTTTTTGCTCCAATCACAAGGATACTAGGGGTAAAGAGATTGTTAGTAGGTGAAAAAGAGTTTTCCTCAAGAGGGTTAAAGAAGCATTCTTACTTGTAAGGCGTGGGGTCCTTTCGTCTGCGGACTCTCCTAGGGCTGTTAATTGTGCTGACAGCACTGCTAGCATAACTGTAACGCCCTCGGTGTGCCATGCTCTCCGGTCTTGGGCCAATATCGGCGTAAGGAATCGGCGGGACGGGTGGGTAATTTGGTGGAGTAATCTGATACGATTTCAAGCGGGTGGGCAATCCGATTTTTTCTCCACGGCCATTCTCACCACCGAAGGTGTTGAGCTGCGGGGGAGGAGGGATGACAGGCAATTGTGGCGCGTTTTTTGGGATGGCGGCTGCTTCGCGCTGACGACGGAGCTGCTCTTCTTTGGCCTGCTCCTTCAACAGCTTCTTGCTGACCTTGCCGGACAGTTTGCGGTCCACGAGGCGTTCTGTTGATTTCGCGCGGCGGAGAAATCCTAGCGAGGTTCGACGCAGTGGGTTCGAAGAGCTGTTGTCATCAGAGGGCCCTGATGTGCGGGGCATCGCAGGGGGCGACGCCATGGCTGGATGCAGGCTTCACGCGTTGTTGGTCAAGTCGGTGTGCCTATAGATGTCCAAAGAGAGGGGGATGGGTGTGTGCGACGCAGCAACGGATGTGAACTGTGTGAGAGAGTTGGGTTCCTGGAGCACAACAGACGGTTAGTGTCACCACCACCACAGGAACAATGTGTCTTGCAGCACACCAAGATCTCCTTACAACTCAGCAGCACAACCAACACACACGCCAGATGGAGCAACGGCAGTCGATGTGGCTGCAACGCGCCCTCGACAGTCTCTGCTGTCTCCTGTCCGCCACTATTGCCTCTTGGCGTTTGAGCCTGAAGGGAAACAGCCGCACCAGCACTGGATTTGCGAGATGTGGGACAGCAATGCTTGTGACTGGCAAGCCGCGATCTGCAGAGGGCGAGACAAAGGGCCGGGCCTCGTCCTGTCAAATGACAACCCTAGGACCGGGGAGGATCAAATCTGAAGTCACAACGGCGAATCGAGCGCAGATTGGCAGTACAGAGTAATAATGTGACCAATCCACTCCACGTCAACGGGGAAGCTGCTGGATTTGCTGCAGCCGAGCAGTCGAGACACAGGGCGAAGAAAAGCAGCCGGCCAGGGGGGAAACGACAACTGAAATGAATAATGTTCTGGCGGCGAAACAAACTTTAGCCCGGCAAGCAAAACCGCGGAAAAGAAAGGATGGGAGAAGAGACAGAGGACAGGGTCGCAAGCAAGGAACCCGAGGTGTCGAGCATTAATTAGTTCGTTCTCAAGCGTGAGCAGCAAAGGGACAAAGTTAACTACCGCCTCCACGCCTGCAACTGGTCTCTGGAGTCCTGCCAGTGCGCAGCAGTGCCTGGCGTTGTCGCGGCTCTCAGGTTCCCGCTCACAAGAGGCTGGGGCTGGCAGTCGTCGTCGTCCCTCAGGAGAGAGGGCGCAGAGGCCTCTGGGCAAAATTATACAGGGTCCCTACTCGCAATACGGCTGAAGCTGCTCATCCTCCCAGAACCTAATTTAGCACCCGTTGTGGTTCGCCAGGAGCAACTATGGATATTATTGGCATAACTAGTGAGCTACGGCGATCTTGGAGCGCTTGTGAGCTCTGGACGCGCAATGAAGATGATAATAATAATAAATAATCAGCACAACGGCGGCAGACACGAGTCGCATGCTCGTCGGCATGGCTGCTCGCCAGGGGCGGCGTCGCGCTCTTCAGGGGTAACCCGATAAGCGTAAGATTGCGCTTATTCTCCGACCGATCGCATCGGTAATACCAGAACGCCCCTTTCGCCGCGCTTTGATTCGCTGCCCCCGCCTTGGCCTGGCGTGTGAGACGGCTGAACGGCGCGTCCATTGGCTGCATTTGGGGGCCGCTAGCCTCTCTGAGCCGCCAAGCCCACGCTCGTCATTTCGAGCGTGTTTCATACCGTCCACTCATTTTACATTACGCTTTCTTACACGGTGGTTGGATATCAAAATTCATACAACATGCGCGCGCGGGCTTGAGAGTTTTGAGGGAAATGCACTGGCACCCCAATCCATTATATCCGACACTTTCTATTACCGCTGAGCTATCTACCGTGCCAACCTATGGGCCCGAGCCCCGACATAGAGCCAACAGATCTATGCCCAAAGAGAGAATAATATGGCCCAACCTACGCTCCCAAAGCGGCTTCATCTGGTATCTGGAAGATACGTCGGAGTTCACGTTCCTCATCTTCCTCCGGGATAAGCTTCTCGCGGAGACGGCAAAGCTTAACGTGCGGCGGGCAGATGTCGTTCCGGTCGAGACCCTTGAATTTCGGTCCATTGGGCCCTGAGGTGTATTTCCGCTGGCCGAAGAGATTTATTTGACCTTCTGTACTATCCGGAAGCTGCTTGTCGCCCCACAGGCCGTCGAAATTCAGCCAATTAACCGGAGTCACTGTGTCAAACGCCTTGAATTTCTGAGTAGCGCGATCGTACATGTACGTGAATGCGCTCAGTGTTGGATCCCAGAGATTACCTTCATCGCATTCGTCGATGAGGATGCCAATTGGTATGTTAGTTCCCGGAATGGTGTGGTCATGGGAGCTACGGTATCAGTTCAGCGGGGACTCTAGAGGCACCAGAAGCCAGAGCTAGGTACACGTACCCTTCCGTCGCATATACGGCGTGAGAACCATTCGCACTAAACCCGATAGGCCGTTCGCTCCGTTTACTAACAGCATTCCAAGTGAATGCCTGACCGCTTGCGTGTTGGCTATACCATATTCCTTGTGGTTTACCATCTTTAAAACGGATCATGTTATGTTCCCTGGCGTTTATTAGATTTAAACAAACTTGAAATGGGCAAGAAACATACCAGTCACCCACATGGTTTCCAAATTCGACGCCAAAGACAGTGTTTCCCCGGTTATAGCTGCCAACAAAAATGTTAGGAAGACAAAATATCATTATGTGTCGGTCACTGACGCATAGAAATAGAAGTAGAAAGCATCCAATATCCCGGCCTCCCGCTCCGTCACGACAATTGCACAAGATATTGCCCCTTCAGTTTTGCCATCCCGATTCGGCCGGACGCCTTTAAACCAAGGAGGAAGAGCACGAATCCCTTCCTTTGAAGTCAGAAAAACGTCGGTGCTCCCTTTCGAATTCAGTGCATCCAAGTCATTGAGTGTCAGTGGCAACGAAATCCCCGGTATCGCCTGGAAGTTCACCTGCGGTATCGTATTCGCGATTTGGGCACCAATATCGGACGGCTTGTAAGAGTCTTCGCTGTGTATCCAAATCAAAGGGGCTAGATCGCGACTTATCAGCTTTTGATCGTCGACCAACTGCATTCTGAGTTCAAAAGGAAGCAGATATATGAATGTCAGGTTTACCATATTTCAACACATATTCAGGCAATGTATCCGCAACAGATGGTAAGGCATGCACGATTTCAACAAGTAGAAATGCGGCGACTAGGAACAAGGCAAATCGGATTTGGACAAGGCCCTGATGCACCTTAGTCGCCATAGGTCCCTTTAAGGCAGCCAGCCGTTTGCCTGGTGCTGCTTGATGATATCACACCAATTATTCAAAGCCTAAGCTTGTAATTAGCCGCTGTGTTTTGATCCTGTACCAAGTAAATCACGATGCCAAATGCCAATACTTGTCGAGATATATGTTCCATTCAAAATTCCAGATACAGTTATGATAAGAAGAACAAGAATTCGTGAACAAATCAGTCGCTCCTTCTCAACAAGAATTGATAATGCAAATCATCCGATGTCAACCTTGAGAAGCTGACCTGGACAACGCCCAGCTGACAGCGTGGAAGAGTCATTCATAGCAGAAAAGTAGCTCACAAGCACCCTAACAATACTCACCTCTAGCGCGTGCAGACATGTGTATGAGTATGCGTTCAAGCTCACCAGGACGGTTGAATACCGCAGCAGAGAGCCTATCTGAAAGCTGGCAGAAAACAAGGCTTTGATGAAGGAAACCTCGATGACAGTGTGTGTACTCCGTACGGAGTACTCCAAACGGAACATTGCAAAACAATGTTAGGGCGGATCTATAATAGTTGACTATTTAAGCCAGAGATCGGCTGAACCCTGGCCACTTTCAAGCCTATTAGATTCAGCGCCTCCGCCACACGTTTCTCAAAGAGATGCCCCCTTCGCAGTGTATCGGCTGTCTTGCAGCCTGGGGGCTTTGAAGCGATGGCTGACCACGGAATACTCTAGGCGTCCCGATATATTCATGACCTCGTGGCGTAATAAACATCAAGCTCTAGGGTCACATGCACGAGCCACCTCTTTCACAGGGTCGATGTCGCATCGCTCAAGGACACCTATGTTCTGTCCCTCTTTGCGGGCAAAGCTGCCGAGATCTACAAGCGTCAACGCACTTGATCTTGACTGTCCCTGAGAATAATAATGGCTGCCAGTCCGGTCCGTGGCCCAACAGATGCTCTCAACTGGAACAATAGCAAACAGCCGTGAGCGTCGGTGTGCCAGGCGATGTCTCAGTCTGCACGGCCAGCACGACTGACCAAGTCAGAGCGAACCCAGACCATTGCGGGGGAACAGCCAACTTTGCGGGCAAGCATGTGATTCGGCCCCTCGGAACAGATAGGCCCGGCGACCTGCGCAGCGTCTATAGTCACCCAGGCCATCCAGATCAGTCGTCCTGGAGTATCTTTGGAGAAGCCATGGGGGGATTTTTGGGTATCAAAAGCAGCGAGTGTTTGTTTCTAACACGCATTGCCACTTTGGAGTTATTGCATCGTATCAGTGCCTCCAAAACACAGCAGGAGACACTTCCTGCTAGTCGACGCAGTCTACGGAGTGTGGAGTAGTAGTAGTAGATTGATAGAGAAGAGAAAAAAGTGACCCCACACTAGGAGTGAAGTTCAGCCTCACTGGTGATGCGCTTTCGTGGAGGCACATATTTAAAACAATAGCTGCCCTCATGTATGACTCACCCGTGAGTTCTCGAAGCGGGCAATAAGAACTTTCTCAAGCAAATACGATCTTCTCATCCCGCCGAGACAGCTTAGTCGCATGGCGCTGTGAATTTTGGTTTGCCTTGGGAGCCCGATCTCCACAATAACTCTCCAAAAGGCAATAATCTTGGGGTTTCAACTTTTCAAGAGCCAACCTCTTCCGGAATCCGGACATGGTGGGATCCGTGATATTCTTTCACCACAACGAGATCATTCACCGGCCAATTATAGCAGAGAAATGTGAACCCACCGCCAATACGGGTCAGAGAGCTTTCAACATTCTCAAACAAGCTGACTCGTAAATGAACCTTCGGCACGGCATTAGAGAAATAAAGGGTGCAGGAAGCCGCTACTCGGCTCTGAACCAGAACGCTGGGTAATTGAGAAACGCACGGAGTAGATGGGTTGGAGAAAATACCAGCATAGCAGAGAGGTTACGAGGATTTGGAATTTCTTTTGTGTATTGGGTACAGAGTCCACCCTCTTGCATCCTCGGTAAGAAAAGGTGAACGCTAGGGACTGCAGTAAAAGGAACAACGCATAATGAGTGCACAGCGATTTGGTTTCCCTTTTCTGGATTCAGGAGCAACGAGCGTCAGGGGAGCGCATTCATGATTCTACCGGTCGAGGCTGTGCATGCGCATGCAGCGCCGATTGAAGCCGTAGCTGTGCTTTCAGAAAAGCGCCTGGATTAGGCTACTGGCATGGGGGAGTTGGGCAGAAGCACAGCCCAACAGCACAACAAGCCGACGCGGCCTGTGGGAGAGTTTCTTTCGGACGGCTCCGCGCATCAAGGTGCCAGTGCTGAGGTGCATCCGGGCAATTCCAGCTGCGGTTTTGCCTATCACACGCCCAATTGCCCAAGATTGCGTCGTGGGGCTGGCTCCGCAGGGAACTGACATGTTCAGTCAGACAAACCACGATGCAACGTCGGCACACGAGAGAGAAGGAGGGCATGCCACTGGATCCCAACACGCTGCAGTCCCATGCAGGCGGAAATTCTGTGCATGAGGTTCCTCCTCTGTGCGTTGGTGTGGGCCGGGCGGAGTGCCCACGATGGGCGATGAGAGCGGAAGCACGGAAAGGCTACAGAAAAGTTGGAATCCCAACACGGCCGTTGCAAGGTAGCTGCCAACTCCGCAGATTCTACTCCGAGGAGTGACAAGAGTGTTGCCCCTAGACAAATTGCGAAAGCAACGGTTTTCCGTCGCACTATTCGCGGCAAAGATGTGCTGTGGCCTCTCTGGGCTGGAGAGTAGCAAAACTCAAAAATCAGAGCGCTTGGAGCGGCTTTGTTTAATCCTAGCCGTGCCAACCCTCCCTGGGCGTTTGCGTGGCAGTCTAGAAACCCTGTCGAAGTCTTAAAGAAGCGGCCTCTAATGAGACCAAACTTACGGAGGGTTCTGTTACAGCTCTGAACATTTCAAATGTGTATGCATGCGGCTTTCAAATTGCAATTTTGCTGCTGTGACCTTGTTCGGGTTAATTAATGAAGGTCTGCCTTCATCGCGAAGACCTTCAGACAGAACAGGCACAGCATTCTGAGGAATAGAAATTGTCACAACCCATCAGCAGCAAAGATATGCCAAAGGTCCGTGTCACCATGATCCTCGTTCAAAGCACTATGAGTCAACAACTACCCCGCTCAATCTCGATCCATTGACACACCGTAACCACCGCCTCACAGCTTTGGCCCCTGCACTGTAGCGCGACAGATATCGGAACAATTCGAGGCTGAGCCCACAGCAGCAAGGGCTGGGGTAAAAGTTGAATCATCTTCTAACTGAAGACAGAAGAGTCGGCATCTATGGATATAAGTGCTAGCATATGTATGTATGCTGATCCTATAATACAGCGCCTTGTCAATCCAACCTGCATGAATACCGGATTAATCCGTGCCACAGGAGCCATGATTGTTGGGACGATAATGGTCAGAATTAAGCGAGTATGAAGCAGGCGTTGAAAGGTGCTAACTACCTTCACGTCACCCAGATTTCAGGTTCTAAACACTTGAAGGTCCAGAGGAATTTTTTCACCCATCCATATCGCCCGCTGCGTATGATTCCTCTCTTCTTGGCCGTCTGTGGTGTTTGGATGTACCAAGACGCTCAGCGGGCCTCGGTTGACCACCAGCCAGGGAACAAATGCACCGAATTGTGCGGGTGTAAAGATGTTCACTTCGAACATTCCTACTGGATGCGGGCCGATAGGCCGGTCAAAAAGATCATAGATACGAAGCTCGGGGACTGGGATCAGTAATTAGTCGACCGGGTGGTTCTACCAGTATCAGCCAGCCGAGTTGGGCATGTAAAAGCAAGGGGTGAGGGATGTAATAGAATGTATGTAGATCTCGGTATCATATTATCACGAAATGCATATTGAGGGGAGCATTACACTCGCGCCTTATCCGCTCCCAAAGGGCTCTCGCAAACCGAGCTTGATCAGGGTTATTCTGTTCCCAAATTAGCCCGTCGAATTTAAAACAGAAGGGCCACATGAGAGAGAACAAAGCACGGGATAGAAAGCGGTAGTGACATGAGCCCCGACAGACCTGGAAGTGATAGATATGAATGTCAAAGCCACCCTCTCTCCCATTGGACAGAGGCTCTTGAAAGGCGTGGTAGGCGGCACTCCGGATGCCGGTGTCCGGATTTTTTAGAGATTTTCCATCCTCTGCTTTCTCACTGCATGGGCCGTTGTAAGAGAAGCGTCATCCAATGCCTGTTTTGGGGGTGTGGTGTGTGCACTACTGACTTGGAGAGCGGAGGCAGATGGCGGTAACCCTCGAGTGGGGAGGGGTAGAGATATGCAGATTGCTCGGGCATAATGAAAAAACACACACATGCAGGTTACACAGCAGCGAGCAGCTAGGGCCTAGCCAGATAACAGCGAGCAAGAGAAGGCGGATGGTCTTCACACGGGCTGAGACAGCATGACGGGTTTGTTGGGCCGCATATGTAAGGCTGGGTGTGGTGTACAGCCTGTACAGGGCAGGTAGTTACCGTACACGGGGACTGTTCAGCCGGGGACTCACGTTACTTTGCCTGATCGGGAAAACGCAGTTCGTCCACTCAAGTCGTTTCAACGTCGACAACGGCCACAGCCAGAATGCACCTCGCCAGAAGTTGGCACCCCCAGCCCTCCTAGCGACGAAGACGACTGGCCGGCGATCCTTCCCGTCCACGACGCCGTGCGTCAGCGCAGTATGCCAGGTTCCGAGACCACCGCCCGCTAGGGAACGGGGATGCGCAACGATGGAATGGCCTCGCCTGCAAGGATCGGCTGGCACGCCGCTCTGGCGCCAATTCGTGCAGTTGTCTGACGGTCAAGCCCGGTTTTCGCACTCAGCCTGCAGGAGGCTCGAAGCCGATAGCACTAACTCACTTGGCTTCGTCTAATAATGGCACCAGACAGAGGCCAGCCACCGTCTAGACTCGTCTCCACCCTCGCCGCCGCGAAAGCCAAAGCGGGCGCCCGCCCGCCAGACCTGGTCTTTGTTCCCGAATTATTAGCTGTCATGGGCGATTTCCCCAAATTATCGCTCGCATAACCCTTTCTCTCCGTCCAAAATACTCGTCTGTGCTGTGCTCCCGTCGGGTTTCAGACGCTGGTGTGCTTGGTTCTCGCTGCTAGGTTATCCAACGTTTGCTAGGTTGTGTCGATCTGATCAGTCACAAATTCCCCCCGTTCGGGGTCTTCCAGCATTGAACCGTCGGCTTGCGCCTCGTCACGCCTTGTGCGACCTTTTTAAACATCGATTATTTTCAAGATCGCGAACTGTATCTGTATCCCATTTGAAATTCAATTACCGCGTTTGCGCCTATTTTTCGTCCTTTCTTTCAATTCCCGCTTTTACTCGGCTGCCTTTCGATGCGTTCCGGCCTTTGAACCACTCTCCGATCAAAACACCACTCTGACTTGACCTTGGACTACCTGTACAGGTGGTTTGATCATGGCTGGCTAGGCCCTGCAAATTCCCGTTCCAGCCTGCAGAGATCTCATTGCGGAAATTTTCAAATCTGTTTTTGGTCACCATCCTTCAGCTTGGCACCTGACCTACTCCGTAAATCATTGTGATGTTTTCTTCTTGCTCAGCCCTTGTTCAATACATAATTTACTACCCTTTTACACTGTGATAATTCGAATCAATACCCGTCGTTGTGGAACAGACGCTGTATTCTGGCAGAGTATCCTCCGGAAAATCGGGTCTGGAACAGGGAAGAGAACCCCAATCCGGCCAGTTGCTTTTCCTCTTCGCTGCACGAGAGACTGCATAACAACCGTACCCAGATTCCCTGGTCTTTGTTACCCTGTGGTACCTTCTTTTGAAATCTTAGATTATCCACCGAAGCCGACTGAACTGGCTACAGAACGCCTTTTTTACCCTTGCTCTCCCCCGTCTTGATTCTCCCGAGACGCGACAGAGTCGGTTGGCGTTGAACTCGAGCAAACATTCTACAGACTTAGCCTTCCCTTGGATTGTGCGTAGCTGAATCATTGCTACGCTCCCATTTTTTAAGAATGACACAAGAGCCGGCCCAGAAAGACAATGGTTCGACACTTACGTTTGGCTTGGAAGTGGAGTTATTTTCTGCGTTGAAAAACAACCGGTTCAACCGGTTCACCCATTTCAGTCTTGCAAGTCTTCTAGGGACTCGCCTTCGACGAACTCCGCTGAATGGACCTGAAGGAGGCGGTGCCGAAATTAGAGTAGAGGACGAAGATTATGATCCAGACTGCGAAGATGGGCTTGACTATTCGTGTTGGAATTTAACCACAGATGACGTCGCTGTGCCAAATCATCCGGAGTGGTTCGAAGGCTGTAAGCAATATTTTGCATCTAAATTTGTTGCTTTTGACAAGATAAACTGATAAATCGATAGATGAATCACAATCCCTCGAGGTGATATCACCTCCTTATCGCATGTCTTCCATTTTCTGGGAACGAGATCTGCAGCGCGTTTTCACTTTACAGACATTCCGATATAATCCTATTCCCTGGAGAGAGCTTCAGATGTACTGTGAACAAAACAGCAGCACCAGTGTTCATATACATATTGGAAATGGAACTGACGCGGATGCTGCTTTTCCGTTCCATACAGTCCGCAGTCTTGCCATGATATTACTGGTATATGAGATAGAAATTGATAAGCTTTTTGAGAGTGCAACCACGATGCAGTCAAGGCCTGAGAAGGTGGTACGTCTTATCTTTTCTCATCATTTCATACATTGAAATCTCGAGCTCATGCATGGCTAGGTTCGCTGCATATCATCTGCCAGCAGCCCCTTCTTCAAACATCTTCCAGCACGCTCAACAAGACCTGACTTAGCCCTGCACTTACTGAATAATTGCACTGATATCGAGGCCATTATTGATGCGATGAATCCCGACGGCTTCACCTTCACTACCCCAAGCGAAGTTGCGTTTTTCAAATACAACTTCACCCCTCTGCTTGACTCCGTGCACCCAACACCCGTTACCAATATCGGCGGTAATTGTAAAAGGATTCCCAAGCGAAAACCCCCAACTGTGGAGTTTCGTTACCTTCCTGGCACTTTAGACCCAGATACGATGACTCATTGGATCAGGTTTTTGGGCTCTTTGGTCGAATTTGCTGGAAAAATTGGGCCACAGGCTTTGGTAGAATTCCTGGGGCTTGACCAATGCGGCAAATCGGCTTCAGATTCTCTATTTTCTCTTTCTGCCTTTTCCATGTTATCTGGCCTCCAGCCCGTTGGTGGGTTTGCTCGCCTTTTAACTGCGATGGAATCGGCACATATTCCTCTCGATCCTGACACCACACGATTTTGGCGCCGGAAAATCGAAAAGAGCCCGTGTTAAGAAGAGTCCATACACAATCTTTTTTACATCTCCTATTGGACACCGCGATCGAAACTGAAACAATTAGTGGCTAGCCGTGATTGTGGAGACAACATCCGCCGTAAATGCCCTTACGCGTCCTGTCTTTCAACTACTATTTCTTTGCCCGAAGAGGTTGGTCCGTTATCCGACCACAGTCACACCTGGCCGCTATAGGCTATGAATCTGAAAGAGCTGGAGCAGACACCGGGACAGCTTGATGACAATTTCCAAATTCTATTTTTTCCTAGATTTTCAATTCGACTCTTATCAAATTTTTCAAGAAATTGGTGCTATTCATTCTGTCTTCAAGATATGATATGATGGGCAATATACAATTGTTTGCCATCCCCAAAAGCAGAATGGCATCTTTGGAAATCATTCCAGCACTATCTCTTCCAACACTTTTATTTAAGTTCTATAATCAAGCTTTTTCATTAGGAAAATTCTCCTTTTGCGATATGTTACTGCACTTTCAAGCGTAACTCACTCACTGCTTCACATGCATTTATACTTCTTTGATAGTAGTACCTATCTCCATTCCCTGTTAGCGCCTTCTTCAGCTGCAAGCCCCCTATAGCCCTTTTTTATGTTTGAAAATGGAATCAGTGGTAAAAAGAAATCTTATTGTTGTATCCAATGTAGCTTAAACATATTGTGTGGTAACAGTAATGACAGCTACTTCACCACATGGGTTTAATACTGATATCTCCACCTTCATCAACAACCTTACCCCGATCCCACTCCCTACCCTCACCCTTCTTTGCCCATTTAACATCAGCCATATCGCCATCACCCCCACAGTTATCCAACCCAGCGAAGGCCTTCGTATTTTCCCACCTTTCAACGACGTTATCTCCAAACCCTGCCTCTCGCAAACGTTCGGCGCCTCTCTGCTTCCACGCCACTCGGTCCCTGAGAGCTTCCAAAGCCATATCCCAATCGTCATCTTCAGTTGCCAAGCCTGCGACGGGACGGCGGGAATTTTTTCCAGAGTTTAGGTTGTCTTCGCCGGGCAAGATATCTGTACTCGGATCATACTCTTCTGCAAAGTGGGAATCTATGTTACTTGTGTTAACCTTGTAGGCGCCACGACCACGCGGGATGGTTGGCGGATCCCGTGCGTCCGCCTTCGAAGGGGGTTGGGGTCCTATCAAACTGCTTAACGGATCAGAATCGATAGATCGAGTTGTATGCACGTCGCTATCATCCGAATCATGAGCTATTTGTCGATCTAGTGAGTTTGCAGACTTGGGTGCGTCTTTCTTGACCGTTTTGTTATCGTGATTTTGACGATCAGAACGTCTTTTACTTGAGGACTTGTGCTCGTACGATCGACGGCTATCTGAAGAGTGCTTGGATTTGCCTCTTTTGTCATACCTCTCGTATTTATCGTCGTACTCATGCCTGCGATGATGACGGTGCCTGTGGGACTCTTGTCGCAGCCTTGGATCTGAGTTATGCTTCCTGTTTCTTTCTGTAGAGTGATTTATACTTGTCGACGCAGACTCCTCACGTTCGGAACTATAGTCCCTAGAACGATTTGAACGCCTTTTCCTGCGGTCTCGTTCCTTATCTTCAGATGACTCAACTCTTCTTCTCTTAGACTCCCTCTCTCGCGTATCATGTTTACTCTCCCTAGAAAACTTCCGCTCTCTTTGAAGTTTTCTGTGCTTTTCTCTGGCTTCATACTCCTCTTTTCGCTTTAGGTTCGCATTATGTGTATCTGTTTCCCTTAGAATATGCTGTAAGAATCGTGTGTTGGGCTTAGGGGCAGAGCCTGTTGGCCTATTAAAAAACCTCAGGTTAGAAAGTAATTCGAATATAAGACAATAAAAATGTCTTGCCTCTTATTTAAGATTCCATAGGTGCCTAATGCAGAGTATCGCAGAGAGTGCTCACGAGCATCTTGGGTCAATAATTGAGCAATGTAATCATCATTGGATCTGTCGGAGATTTCCGCGGCTTTTTGAAGCGGAGGCATTGGAGCTATAAAGACTTTGTCAATCCAATAGACCTAGATTATAAGGTCTCCTCCAAAACGAAAGATAAAGATATACTCTTGAAGTCCAGTCTTCCAGGTTGCGAAACGCGTGATGACTAACATACGTTTTGTTCAACCGCGGTAAACGCGAGATAGCGATAAGATCTGAACCACTTAGCTATTTACTGTTTTGGTCAAGGAGCAAAACACTAGATTTCAGAAACACACGCGCTGAGCGCGTTAAAATACCCATCCAATCTCTCAGGGCTTCCTATTGATCTACTATTGAACTGGAAATGGCACTGTCACCGTCGCTTTCTGAAGTAACATCTGAGCTGCGAGAGCTTGAGGGCGCGTACCCGGAGTTCTCCATCATTAAAATCAGTGAGCCCATTGCTTCAAGCTCGGATACTCTTAATACCAATGCAAATCAATCGCCATCGAAGCAGCGCACCTCAGACGTGTCCACCGACGCGTTCGAGAACCCCACGCCGGTATCCCTAGCCGCTGATCTAACACATTACAAGGTGGGACTCAATTCATCCGCCTGAGTACATTGGTTGCATGTTGACAATTCGCAACCAGGAGCTTTTTTCTAAACTACGGTTCTCATACCTTGAGCAAGTTACCAAAGAGAAGTTTTTGCGGGCAATCGTTGGAGATCCACCGCTAGTTGTCGGCCATAGCGATAATGTGGAACTTGAGGCACAGCTGGCAGTTGTGAAGGCAGACTTAAAGACACGAAAAAAGGAAGTTTTTGACTTACTCGAGGAAATGGAGGAGATGGGAAGAAATTTGGCCGAAAGATATAAAAAAGTTCAACTCCAAACCATTCAGCTTGCTGAGCTGCCATCGTCAATTAGCGAGTTGGAAAACGCCATCGCCGAATTACGTTTATTATCTACAAATTCCCTGCAGTCGTCCGAATCAGGCAATACATCTCAATTTCAAAATCTTCCTCTACAAGATACTCTTGCTCTCGTGGCAGAACGTGAGGCTGAGCTTGAAAGCCTAGAGCGCCAGCTTAACTCAATAGGACCGACCTTGCCGCGAAAAGACCGGGAAGCGGAAGCATTAGAAAGAGATGTCATATCCCTAGAAAGAAAGCGCAACGAAGTTGTTGCCGAAGCTAGAGATGCTCAGAGAAGGAGACAGGAGGGAGAAAGTGATGGCATAGAAAATATGGGGAGATGGTATAAAGGCGTCGAGCAAGGATTAATGACGTTGGTAGACACATAGCATGGAATTTCCGCATGAATTTACGAGAGTAGTGGCTGGCCGTCATCGTCACATTTAATATGGTTCAAGTAAGTCTGTATCTATGTAGGCAATGCCTTGACATAGTCGGAAAGGAGGGAAATGAAACCTCCACCACAGAACAAGTATTGTTATTCAGTTTCATGAACAACTGATTGAACACTGTGATCTTACATTATTTCAGTTTTTGAAGGAGCAAAGAAAGCACCCGTAATCTAGAACGAGACATCTACTCTTCTTCTTCTTCCTCTTCCTCGTCACCCTTCTCAGCAGCCTTCATCTTCTTTCTTCGAACACGGCCTGGACGACCACCACCGAATGGAGATGTAAGGGCAAAATCAATGTGTTTCTGAGAGTCGAGGCGAACAATGAACGATGGAACGTTGACGATTTGCTTTCCAACACTACACCCGACGGAAATTAAGTAATGATCCAACGGTGATAAAACTGGTCTAGATGAACGTACCGGATATGTCTCTGTCTGATGAGAACACGAGCGTGATGGATAGACTTAGCAAGACCAAGTCTGTACACGCAAGTCTGGAGGCGGCGTTCCAAGAAGTCCTCAACCTTGAGAGCCAAGACGTAATCGAGCTTCATGCGGGACTCGTCGAGCACACCAACACGAACGAGACGTCGAATCAAGGCGTTACCTTCGAAAAGGCGCTTGGGGTCTTTTTCGTCGAGAGTGAGAAGCTCACTATATCACAGGTTAAACGATTAGAAACCAAATTGAATCAAAAGCATGGAGCACTGAAGAAAAGCCATCCATACCGAGCAGCACGACGAATTTTAGACAAGGTGAGCTGGACACGCCACACCTCACGCTTGTTACGCAAGCCATACTCGCCGACCATCTTCAATTCGGAGTCACTGTACGATTGAGGGATAGGTTAGGGACATTGTAAAAACGACATAAGCAGAGACAAGCTACTGCTCAGTGGCCGGAGAATACTAACAGACGAGCCGACTCGTATGCTACAGCGCAGTTAGTACCTCGTGTGCCAGTATCTTGAGGACTGAAACTTACGTCGACGAGGGACCTTGTAGGTCTTGGAATAAGAGCGCCTGAACGGGGATTCATTAGCATTGAGCTCTCAGTAGGCGGATCAACAGGATATCAACATACGGAGCCATGGTGCTGGTTGAACGTTGGCTGCGCAATTCGGTCGTCGAGGCGTTGGAAGTCGAGAAGTTCAAAGCAAAATCGCCAAAGTTGACGATAATCGCTTTCACTGCTTAGCGTGCGGCGCCGCCTTTCCTGATCGGGCAATTAGGGCTGAACCCACACAACCCCAACCCAAACTAAGCGAAAATCGAAAGCCGTCGAGACGACCACGACGAACTCTCGCTGCGGTGCGCTCTGTTTAACGTCGACAACCATCTTCCACCAACAACACCGATAAGATGGGTCACTCTCGCGGTCTGAGATCCGGCACTCGGGTACGTCCGCCGTCAAGCTGCCCAACATGACCTTTTCCGCGCAGTGCTAATGCGTCGATTATAGTACGCCTTCTCCCGAGGTTTCAAGAACCATGGTGTCATTGCTTTGTCGACATATCTGAAGACCTACCGGTATAACATGCTCGATCTTTGCTTTCATTTGATTGCGCAACTAACTGTGTGAAAAATTAGGGTCGGCGACATCGTTGATATCAAAGTTAACGGTGCGGTGCAGAAGGGGTCAGTACAGTCCAATTTTTCGTGCCGCGTTCCCTGAAGCGAGTTTTCTCCACTTCGATGATAGCGCAAAATACCAAATCTATGGGAAACATCAGCTAAGGATCCGTCTGTTTATAGTATGCCCTTCAAGGTCTACCACGGCAAGACCGGTGTGGTCTACAATGTCACCAAGTCCGCCGTCGGCGTCATCATCTACAAGCGCGTTGGCAACAGATACATGGAGAAGCGCGTTAATGTTCGCATTGAACACGTCATGCACTCCCGCTCGCGAGAAGAATTCTTGAACCGTGTCAAGGAGAATGCTATTAAGAAGCGCAAGGCCAAGGATGAGGGTATCCACGTTCACTTGAAGAGACAGCCCGTTGGCCCCAGGGACTCGCGGACAGTCAGCACTGAGAACAACCTCCCCGAGACCATCACTCCTGTTCCATATGAGACGACCATTTAAGCGGAAGCAAAAAATTCAATGTTTTATGTGGTATCGGGCGTTTGTTCCTCACCTTAGTAGTACCCTAAATTTCCACTGAGAGTGGTGCTTGCAAGTGTGGAGGATGGCTCTTGGAACTTAAATTAAATGGGCTATATTTTTACCAACCATTTTTCGTGATACACGGGGTTTCCAGACTTTTTCGCCCTTGGAGATGGATACTCACATGCTCTTGTCGTATGGGAAGATCTATGTTTATCATAATGAACGAGTCCTTGACGGTGAAATGCAGAAAAATATTCTCCAAACAATACATTTTCGCTTTTTCATGTTCAAGAAAAAACTAACATTATACCTTGTTACCTCTCATATGAAACATCCATTCACACAACACCAACCCAAAAAGCTATCGCTATTGAAAGCATGGAAATAGTTGTACAAACAATGCAGCAGCACGAGAAAAAAAGATACTGAACAGTCGTAGCCAAAACCATTATAGAACAAATCACCGTGTAGTATACAATACCCTACCATTACTCTTTTGTGTCTAAAAATGTGCAAGAAATAAAAAAAAAGCCGAGGAACTTCTATGACGCCGTCCTGCAATGCGAAAGCTGTATACCAAGGGGGTGGTATCAAAAAGCATTGCTCCCTTCATACCAACAGAGACTTAAGGTAGAACAGTAGGAAGCTAACTGAGTGGAGTGAACGGATATGCTCGAAATTAAGCAGGTCATATGGCTCATTTCTAGGCAGTGGTACCACAAAGCCGGAGTATCATTTCATACCTGAAATAGTCAGTGAGTATTCCGGATGTAGAATGGAGAAAAAACGGAGAGCAGCTTACATTCCAAACATGATAGCCGCACTAGGCACAACTCGGAGAAGATGCGGCGTAAGGCCGCCGTACAGCCCAGCCATGCCTTCTTCCTTCCAGACCAGCCGGAAGCACTGTATGAGCCCGGTATACTTCATTTCTGCCTTCCCACCAGTGACCTGAACTGTGGGCGCTTGACGCAACCTGGTCCGGACAACTTCGTGAGGATATGTAACTGTAGCGGCGAACAACTTAGCGGACCCTGCCGCTGTGAGCTTGCCTCCCCACTCTTCAGCGAAATCCGTCCAATTTGGTACGTGGTTTGGATCAGCCAGCCGTTTGGCTTCACGTCGCGCAAGGACGCGTTTCATTTCCTCATACATCACCCATTGAAGCGCGCTTTCTGTCACGCCTAGATATGATGCCGTCAAACCACGATAGAGCCCACGAATGCCTTCGTGTCGTACTGTTTGCTGAATACAATCCCAACTATTCTTATATTGTCGCCCGCGACCTGGGATATTGGAGGCATTCGACTTGTCTAATTGTAATCTAGTTTTTACAAGCCAGATTGGGTTGGTTGCGGTTCCGGTCGCAATGCCAGCCATTGCTGCTGCTGCGAGATGGATGCTTGCTGGAGTCTCTGCTGGAATGTAGCCAAAATAATCGTTTAATATCCGCTTTCCATTGCCATAGACGTAAAAATTAATCGCCCGTGCTGGTACAACGCCAGTTAGATTCGGTCCTAGACCTTTAAACAGTGCTCGCCATCCCTCATGTACATGTATCGAACGAAGGATCTGAATAGTCTCTGAAAAATGCACCATGGCACTACGGGAGAGAGATAGGATGGAATGCGATTGTGGCAATGGGTGAGATGCGCGGAGAGACCGAAGTTGGGCCTGATAGAAATCGGACTGAAGCCGCGTCTTCAAGACGTCGAGTGGAGAAGTCAAGGTTGCAGCAGTCATGCCACCAACACTATAAAAAAATATAAAATGTCAGCAAAAGTCCTTCCATCCACACCACCGCTTGCCTAAGAAGGTGCGATATACCCTCCAGCAAACAAATGAGCCCATGGTTTTACCGCAGGCTTGGTCTGCGATTCTATTTCCGGGGCGACTTCGACATCGTCAGTTTCTCCAGACTGTATCATAACACTGTGGCGCGACTCTGGTCTGGCGTCTTTTAACTGTGCACCTCGACCGGAGATGTCTGGAGACGAAGCAGGAAATGCCATCACGACGCCGGGAATCAAGAAGGAGCGAATGGGCGGGTATCATAAGGCAATCTTCCAGGCACGTTTCAAACCAACATAAACTCGAGCTCAGAGACTTCTGAGATGGGCGGTGGCAATGATAGCAGCTGTGGCCGTTCCGACGCGTTCGAGAAGCTCAAAACTTTTTTGCGGCAGAATTTCTGGCGAATCACAAGCGGCGGTGCAGAAGCACTCCATACAGCGCCAAGAGGCCTGCTGCCCTTGTCGGGAAAATGAATCTCCGGGTTCCGGGCTACGCCTGGAAATTCTTTAGCTTGAGCTGTAGAGTGGTGACAGGTCCCGGTTGTTGAGAAACGACCATACTCCGTACTGCTGCTACTTTCCAGGCGCGCCATCTTTGCGCTCTGCACTCTGCACTCTGCACTCTGCACTCTGCATTCTGCCCTCTGCCCTCTGCCCTCTACGCCATGCGCAAATCTCTGAAGTTCCGCACACTTTCGCGTCAAGTGGAGAGAGGCTTCTTAGAGCATGGATGGGCGGGCAGGGCTGCCGGACCCGCATCGAAGAAAAACCCTGGTGTCATAGGTGCACACAAGCGCACTCCATTCCAAATAACCGTCTACAGGGTACTCCGTACAGAATACCTCGTACAGATTATTATTACGGAGTATTAAAAGGGCGATGTGGTTAGTGATCGACATATAATCTCGTACAACCACAGCAGATGACGGACATGGGCAATACCAACAGTTGGGAAGGGTTCATGACATTGAATATTGTTTCGATCGGCGGGGCTTATGTATTACAGTACCTCCAGACGTGGCTGGTTACTCACACCGTACGCCCCATCTGGACTATGGACATCACGCGAGAGCCGGCTGGGGCGGCGCTGAAACATGCCGTGCGCTTGATAATAATAATTACGCCGTTCTCTTCGCGGATGCCGGCTTGCTCCTGAATGAGGCTCACTCTCCCGCAGACTCCGTCCGCCCCACGCCAAGAGCGGTTGTCGTATTCCCATCTCGTTGACCCTCACATCCTGGGCGACGCCCTGAAGTCTCCGACCCCTCAAGGGCGGTGTGCGCAATGGGAACACTCGCATGTCTGCTGCTCACCAATCGTAAAGCGCAGCCTGGAAGCTTTGCCTTGTCGACGGGTCTACGGAGTACTCCGTTTTGTTGTATGTATGCACATTACTCCTTTTGCAGTTCATGCAAGGAACACGTCCTCGATGCGGGGCTGATTTCTGGACTTGAGGACGTCCCATGCCCCCCGTCCATAGGCTGAAATAACAGTGCTTTTGGACTTGGACTGTTTTTGATGCTACTCCAAGCCCACCGTCAGAATGTCGATCCGTACGGGAACATAGGGTCGAGCAATGTGCTGCCTGTGTACTCCGTACGGAGTATACAAAGGTCATATCCGGGATACCGGGGCGTGCAACAGAAACTTGGTTCAAGAGTGTTCCTGTAACTATACAACGGGCAGCCCACACATCACTTGGCACCGAGCGATGAGGTCTGGCCACAGGGTCAGTTTTAAAGTGGGATCGACACGTTGAACTAGTTAGTGAAAGCTACCGGCTCTCTACAACGCCTCCCCGCTTGATGGATAATGCCAGTACGGAGTACGCCGCATGAGTCTGCATTTTGTGAATGACCAGATGTGCGTCTCTCAGGGGACACAAAGACGGAGAAAAGAGAGGAGAAGGAGAAATTCATGGCTAAACGGCGGCAAATGTAAAAGGCCATGGCCAAGCCAATTGACTCGCAGTGCCGTGTCTCACAACACAGTGGAGTAATCACAAATGTTTGCTTTTCATTCAAGGTATGGCATGCCTTGTCAACGCACATCGATGTAGGAAAACATGCATACGGAGTACATAATAGTATCGCAGAATATGTGCCACCGAGAAGGACGCGTCGAGCGTACAAAGCAGCGTCCCGCCTAACTGGGCTGTCGGTTTGCCTGGATGCTCTCCGGAACAGGCCAAAAGACGGCAGGCCGCTGCTAGATAATGTCGCGGCCGGTGATACGAGCGAAGCGTTCTGTGCCCCGTTCTGTATTCGAGAGGCCAAGTTTCTTCTTTGCGGCGGCGACGGCGACGGCGACGACGACGACGCGAGTAGCCTCAGGCGAGGGCGTTCTTTTGCTGCTTCCATGGCTGCGACGGCATTGCGTCTTCAAAACCCCTCTCACATCCGGCCTCTTTTCCCTCTTGTCTCCATCTTGTTCTCGCGTCCCCGAAGCCCGACCGCATGCTCACGATGACAAGACATCTGTCCGAGTCTCCCATCATCCCTGAGCACTTCGGCTACTCAGACACCGACCAGTTCCAATACCAGTTCTATTTCAACACCCTGGAAGAGCGCAGCCACGGCCTGGCCTGCATGGGCGCTCAGTTTTCCGCCGCCGAACCAGACGCTACCGACGAGCCTGACCAGGACTGCCTGGCCGAAGTGGTTCCAGAGATGGCGTCGCTCACCATCACGAAGCGTCGCAAGGACAAGAAGCGTCGCCGGTAAGTCCTCACTATGTTCCTTTCTCGATATTGCTCCTAGAATTGGCTTTTGGTACATACATCTGTACGTGTCGTCTGTGTGCAACCAACGGCCCGACACGCGAGTGGAACAATGTCACTGACGGATCTCAATTTCTCCCAGAAAACGTCGGTCCTCTCGAAACAAACGCTCCGTCCAAGGCGACACTGCGGACAAGCAGCCAAAGCCCCAGCCTCCGGGTGGCAGCGTCGCCTCTCGCCAGAGCGTCGCGAGCAAGAATGACAGTCCCAAAGGGACTGCCGCCGGGCGCAGCGACGCGCTACAAATACTTTCTCCGCCGCACACTACGTCAGGGCCCGGTGCGGCAGCGCTCGCGACCGCTCCGGCATCCTGCGATGTGGCTGCATGGGTGGGACTGGGAGAGGCCCAGCGAAGGGCGCCGGACCGACCCGAGCAAGGCTGATCCCGAGCCCGTGGGCTTACGTAATCTGCCCTACGAAGCTTCAGCACGGGCCACAGCCAGGCCAAACTATCATCAACAGGCGGGAGCCAGCTCGACGCAGTGCTGCTGGCTTGCTGCTGGCCTGAAGAATTCCCCATAGTTTGGCCTGCTGGAGTCGAGCTTATATACCCTTTTTTGGATGTTTTTTGTACCAATATCAATGTTGTCGTTGGGTTTTTAATGTTGAGCAGCTGTTGTTCCGTGAACGATGGGCAGACAGAAAGAAAATACACAAGTGTCGAGCTTTATATGCCACATGCGCGTATACATCGAGCTACCCCTTCTAATAATGTCTGGAAATGATCTGAGTGTTGTAATAAATTCGCGTTCTTCTATTCCCCTTTTCTTTTTTTTTTTGTTTCCAGGGGAGCTTCTAGAAACTCTACTTCATGTCCTAGCAAGAAGAGGGGTCTATAAATGTAGGACATTCTAAACCACATGGGGTTTTCTCGAATGTCATGTTACGCTTTGAAGGCAAGACCTTGATTGACCCATGCTTAGAGTAAGTAACAAACATTTTTGGATATATAGCATTTCCGCTTTCATGATAGGTTATGCAATGCATCAAACTCCCATCGATTTAAAATATCAAAATTCACTCCTCTGTGTGCCCTTTCCCGTTGAACGCCATTCGCCTGCGATTATCGAAACTATCAAAACACCCACCCCATGTCCAAAGCTACTTTTCTTCCATTAAAGTTTTATCACCCGTCGGACTCGAAGAGCACCCGCTGGCAATTGTCGATTGAGACCTCGATCCATTTGCAATTGCTTTGCGCGCCCTCCACGCCTGCTTTTCGCTGACATCATTGCCGGCCTTTAGCTCCAGCTCTCGCAGCTCTGCCACCCGCAGCTTTCCCCCATTATCCTTGAAAAACTCCTTATGTTTCGCCGCCAGATACTTCACCGACGACGCCCACCGCCAGCCCCTGTGCACCTCCGCCGAGCACTCATGCGGCCGGGACACGGTCACAACCGCCTGCTTATCCGACTTTCTCAGCGTGACGCGTAATCTGAACGGACAGGTAGCACAGCGGCATTTTATGATATACCGTGTCGAGTCGGCTCGGGAGACGGTGTACGAGAGGTTCTGGGAAATGGTGTAGTGCAGGAGTCCCTCACGGGCCTCTTGCATGTTGGGAAAGACGGTGCCGATGGCGTAGGGGTTGTGCGGCGGGGCTGGGTATGTGTCGGGCGCAGAGGTGGGGATGCGTTTCGGGCGGAGCAGATTTACACGGCGCAATTTATCATGCAGGCGTTTGCCATGTAGGAGCTTTGCCCGTTGGTACTTGGAGCGGAAGAGCTTGGCGCGGAGCGGGTTGGTGTTCAGGGCGGCGTTCTGGAGGTAGGACGGCATTGCGGGCTGGCACCGTCAGTAGGGTTACTATTTAATCTCCTTGGACGGCTTGGTTCGCAATGGCAAGCGGTGAACGGCTTGGAAGGCGAGGGAGAACTAGAATTTCAGGGAGCTGGAAAGGTGGCAAGCAGGGCCCTTCTGCGCCTCGAATTAGCCCCTTTCGACCGCGCGATGCCCTACACGTGACCTCGCTTACTCCCCCGGCTAACCCCGTCCGGCCCGCCTGAGCTCATTGCTGATTAGGGGGAACTACAGAGATCTCAGAGACGACAAGACAGCCAAGCGGATGCAGAGATTAAAGTACACCTAATCTACTCCGTACACGGGATGAATATCTATCTCTGAAGGTATATGCACATATTCATTATGAGAACATCATCACCAAGCCAACCGTTCCAAAGTTACTCACCGGCCAAAAGGCTGGTTATCTCACCCAACGGTCGTGCTTGGGGGTTTGGCTTCCCAGGAATCTGTTTAAATATCGGCAGCGGAGTACCATCAAGGGAGGCTTTGATCTGTAAGCCTAGAAACCGAGAGAAGAACCGTGAATGTCCCAGTGTGCCTCCAGAATACCATAGGCCGGGGTCTAAGAACTTGCATTAGGGAGGTGTCTGGTTAAACAGAAATCCTGGAGACTCACGGCCTGTGGGTTTGTATGCCCCGCGGATTTCTCCTTCTGGATCTAATCCCCAATACTCATCAACTTGGCTCGCGATTTCTTTCCCAAGGTATTTCGCGACGTCGTCGCGAATCGTTCCAACGAAGCCAGTCGTAAAAACAATCACATCAGCCTTGAGTTCGGATCCATCAGAAAAAGCAAGTCCGTCTTCTGTATAGGCAGTGATAAGAGAATCCGATTTCATTTTAATCTGGAAAAGGAGGATTAGCAACTATCCTCAGTGTGCAGCGCAGCATTATGATTCCATACCAGTCCTTTAGATATCTTTCCTGAGCCACCAACATCCATGTAATGTCCCCCATTCCTCTCACATACATGATACGTAATATCACCGAAACGATCAAGCAAGAAACCTGCTCGTTCAAGAGAATCAAAACGCTCTGGGTCGGCACGGATCATTTTATGCAGGTGAAAGGCGACAATTTGACGACCAATGGCAATGGGATTGCTGAATTGTATTCGATCAGCTATCTCAATGGGTATGTGGTCATTAAAGACAGCTGGTAACAGGAATCAATGAGTTAGAGCACTTGCTTGTCGACAATGTTGTTGCTCTAAATGGCTGGACATACCTCCAGTTACTTTCAGATAGTAGTCTGTAGGAACGACATCTAATAAACTTATTAGAGCGTGCAGATTGTGATAGTGGCAATATTCATACATGTAGCTTGACGCTGAACCATTGTAGTGTCCATTCCAGCTGCTTCCATATCTTCAGCGACATCGTGGGCTAAAAATATATCAGTCAAGGCTGAGTATACAGTCTTCTAACGGAGCACAAACCTGTGTTTGCGGCGCCAATTACGACGCCTCGTTTTCCAGCCCACTCAGAAGAATCCGCGTAATCGACGGAATGAAGAACTGCGCCTTTGAATTTCTCCTGCTCTTATTGATTAGGACCGCGACTAAAAAAAAAGGCAAAAGTCCACGCACCCTCCCAGGAAAATTTGGCATCCGAGGTATCTGGCCACCTCCTCCAACAGCAAGGACAAGGTGTTTTGTGGTGAGCAAAACTTCCTTCTCTTCACGAAGGATACGCAAATGCCATTCTTTCTTGCAATCATCCCAGCTTCCGGACTCGAAGCTCGTAGAAAACCAGGCATTCTGTTAAGATATTGAATTAGCGAACCTACAATTGGACGGGTGGAAAGTATGAAGCTCACAATTCCATACTTGTTGAACCACGTTGCGAAGCCTTTTGCTACGTCACACTTGGTCAAAAACTCCCTCCAATCAGGAGTAAACGTGCGCTCAAATGGAAGATGTGCTTTATTACAGCCGCATTAGCTGCAGTAGTCAATGTTTCAGTACGGTTAGGGGAAATATACCATAGTTTCTCACAGTGTGTACTACACAGTTTATGATTAGTATTCAATGAAAAATTAAAATCGAAAAAGTACTAACACTTCGCAGACTCATATCTTAATAGCCAATTGTCGCCAACAGCAGGATTCTTATCGATCAGAAGGTACCGAACACCCAAGGCCTTGAGGCGGCCAGCAACCGCAAGGCCGGCCTGCCCGGCACCTACAATAACACACTCATATTGCTTTGGGACGTCAACTCCGTTCTGATGCCCGTTGGCTACTGATGGATCCACAGGGTCCAGTACATCGACGTTGGGATGTCCATCGAGTCCCTCCAAAATCGTTCTCAAGAGCCATATTTTCCACCCCCCTTTGTCATTGGGGATTAAGGATATAAATCCCGAACCTGTCTGTCTAGGTACCCCATTGGTTTCGAAAGTGAACCTTGCTTCAACCCAGGACGATAAGGTGCTCAATTTAACAACCCGAGCAGACCCTGGAATTAAAGCATAGTTGCTCGGTTTGTGAATCTTGCCAACGGAATTCCAAGCTGATTCGATGTCTAATGGTGAATGGAAAGTTCTCACAGTACCTGTGAAGACAAACGTGTCTTTCCAAAGGGCATCGTCCGTAAAATCAGCCGCTGTGAGAGCCTGCAGGTGCGCAATGGACTCTGATGCCACAGAATCTGAATTAACATGTGATGGAAGCTTTGAGATTGGAACAGCGCCAGGTAGATTGTCGACAACTCTGGCTATCTTGTCCATCTCGCTGGGTATATGTAGATAGATGGAAGCGCAGAATAGAAAAACACTGCGCAGGAGTGTTATTGACCCGCTGCCGACAAGCCCATCTTAACAAATCTTGTCATTCTCGGCAACACTTAGATATCCGTCTCGGCCGACGCTATGGCGAGAAAACGCGCCTGTCAGGCGGTAGGACATGGATCTCGTGTGTCAGTGGAGTTATCACTAGTTATATAAGGGCCGGGTGAGACATCTGATAGGGGAACCGCATTCCTAGAAGGGAACGCAAAATGGTCCAGCCCAAGCCAGCAGCCGAGACCAGAGCGCGGTCTACCACAGCGGCTCCACGTCAGGAAGCATAACCCACGCGGATTGCGGGGGAAGTCTGGAGATGTGGTTCGGAAAGGCGAAGCGGCACAGCTAATCCGAGGCTGATTACATAACACTCGCGGCTCCAATAAACGCCAGGTAATTATCAGCATTCCGGTTGGCTTGTGCGGAACAGGGGCTTAGGTACGAAGTACATCAGACAAAACACCCATGATGAATTCTTGATTTGTCAGTAGAAAATGACCCTATTTTAGCTAAGCAGAGATAGATTACTCGACGGACACAAGATGCAAGAGTATGAACATAGATACACGTCGAATACGTTATACACTGGCAAATAGAGCAAGTGAAAATTGGGAAGTCCGGCAATAAATAGCGAGGCTTGTGTCTAAGGAGATCAAAAAGTCGATATTGACCGGTATTTAAGAGTGCGCCATTCAGTAACAAAGTAAGTGAGACCAGGTACGCCAAATATTCATGTTTTTCCTAATACAGCCGAGAATTGAAGCCAATGGTGCATGAGTCGGTGATGAAGAGAATGCAAAGATCCTGACGCCGTTTTCAGCTGAAAAGATGTGCGGCACTTTGAGTGCTGCCTGATAACGGATCTGCGACAGCAACAGGTTGCCGCCACGGTCAAGTCCATAATTATTCCTGACGCGTCCGCTTTGCCCCATGTGGGTTCCATGTGCCATCACTGGCTCCATGCTGACCGAAGAAGGCCGGGTTGAAGTGCGGATTCTGATTCTGGAAGCCTTGCCCTAGAAGAGAGTGAGCAACTAAAAGCAGACGTCGAGAGAGAAGTAAATACCTTGCATGCCCATATTTTGCATTCCGCCCATCATTCCGCCCATCTGGGCCATTCCACCCATGCCCATACCACCCATACCCATTGCACCCATTCCTCCCACAGCGCCCATCCCCCCGACGGGCATCATGCCCCCGCCCATGGGTGCTGCCATACCTCCCCGGCCGCGCATGTTCGGAGCGCCTCTCATGCCAGTTCCCATCATGCCTCCACGATTAAACCCGACATACGGTTGGATACCCCCAGTGGCGGGTCCCTGGAATCCGGTGCCCATTGCACCTTGGAACCCACCACTACCCATTGGCCCCGAGAAATTACGGTTGGTATTAAATCCGCCCATCCCCATACCTCCACGATTAAACCCGCCCCCGCGACCCCCTCGGTATCCGCCGGTATTACCCATCCCGAAATTCATTCCCTGAACAGGAGAATTGAATCCTGTAGACGTGGATCTTGATCGGTCGTCTTTTCCACGCATGGGATTATCTTTTGGGAGTGTACGGAATGGGTTATTATGCGGCTGAGTGTAATTAACAGAATATTTCCTTGCATTTTGAACTCCCGTGTTCTGAGACTCGATTTTATGCTTCGTGGCAGTCGCGGCCTGTGGTGAAGTGAATTCGACGAACGCTTGTCTACAAAATAGAAAAGTCAATGTCACTTGATGTCATGATATAGAAGGCAAACCATGAGCCTTACCCTTTGCTTTTACCATTCACTTTATGTTCGCTAAAAGTGACATCTTTAAGCTCATCTTCGCATCCTGCTTCGTTAATCCAGCCACGGATCTCATCGTCTGTTGTCCACCAATAAAGGTCAGAAATATACAATGCACTGGTTGCATCAGGATCCATTGGTCGATCCGTTGGGCTCTCTTTCCTCTTAACACCCTGCTGTGGGGGTTGCGGTAATTGTAAATTATCGGGTGCTTTGGTGGCTTGCGCTGAGTCGTCAGTTTTGAAGATCTTGTGGCTGCCGTTCTCGATTGCATTGTTACCATTACCACCTGAGGTTCCATCGTCTACCCCATTTTGAAGGGTCGTGTCAGAGGCGTCCAATATAAGCTCTGGTTCTTCTGCCTTGAAATCCCCTTCGGTCTCGTTACCAATGTATCCTCCATCGCCATAAATATCAATATCAAAATTATCATCCTCGGTTGCCATGTCGAAATTAATGTAGCGAGTCTTTTGAAGTGAGAAGAGGTAATTGATTGTTCCTTGAAAATCGTTATGCACAAGCTTTTGGATCTCACTCAGTATTAAGGAGATTACATGTCTGCCAGTCGGGAGTTCAAATTAGCAATGGAAAAGAAGTCAAGAAGAACGGAAAAAATCGGCATCTCGAGTAAAGGCGTCCGTCCACCACTGATATTTGCAACTTTTTTTCCAAAGAGGATAAAAGAAGAACAGAGGTAGAAGAGAGGACAAGATAAATACGTACAAATCCGGATAATCGACTGATCTGAGGGTGCTTCAAGGTATGTGAAACAAGAGTATTGAGTTTTCGCAACAGCGGCAATTGATCGCGCCCAGTTCTCAAAGTTGAGACAACCCGCCTGACTGCCTTCGATGGCAAGTACAGGGCAAATCCTCACAGATAATCAGTTTTGTATACCTTGACAAATGCGCCAACAAATATGATGTCTCAAGTTCCCGACAGTCAGTAAAATACGTGGGAAAGGAGAGTTGAGTTTTGCAGACACAAAGGTGACACAGCTATCTGTGAATCAACAAGTAAAATGAAAAGGGAAAACAACGGGTTTTTGAGCGGATGTAGTGAAACCAAGCTGTACGGTCAGTTTATTCCGCAGATGATGGTGGCATGTGTGAATAGCTCAGCCTTGCACTCAATCCTAATCCAGGAAGTAGCTCACAATCAACAGCTTTAGCTCTGAAGTCAGACAGTCGAAGGACTTATGGATGAGAGATATGAGAGCTAGCTGCCGGCGAAGATGTTGATGGGCGAAAAGGAGTTGAAGGATGACAAGACGGTCGTTGGCGGTTTTGGACGGGAGGCGACAGACCAGGATTAGCGTGGCAATCACGTGGATGTTTAGCCGGATCAACATTGTTTCCGGCACTGCTAACCCCCGAACAAGGACACCTGTACAAGAGAGTGCTATTTGCCTTGCAACAGATGAATTATCTGCTCAATTTTTGGTGATCCACGAAATTGCTGTTAGTTTGCAATCTGGAATAGACGAGAAATATCAATCACAATGTCTGAGGCCTTCCATGAGCTCGCCGATATCCCCAAGGATTTCGTTAAGGACGGCTTGCTTTTCGTCAACAGATGCACGAAGCGTGAGTGTAGATCTACTACTCTTAAAGACAGCATTTTCTGGTTCCCCATCACTCTGGTTTATTGTATTGTTTATCCAGGATAGTTGCTAATGTTTTCCTTTGTTACTCCAGCTGATAAGCGCGAATTTCTCAAAATCAGCCAGGCTGTAGGCTTCGGTTTCCTTATCATGGGAGCTATAGGATACTTCATCAAATTAAGTCAGTCAATCTGTTCATCCTGGAATTCCCTATGAATACCTCGACTGGCAAATCGTCTGTCGGAGTCGCATAGCGAAATGAATGCTGATGATGGAAATCCCAGTACACATTCCTGTTAATAACATCCTGGTGGGCGGCGCATGATCGGAGCTGTTATGCATGAATCATTGTTGGTCCCATAGCTGGACAGCGAAATCACGAATTCCCGATTTATTATCTACCGGAAGCGAAAACTCGAGCGCTGAATGTACTCGTTTCCGAAAGTCAGGGCTTCAATGGGCATTTGGTCACAAGATACTTTTTAAGGAGTTGAGTGTTATTTCTAGTCATGTTGAGGTGGAGATATTTTCGACCTTTTCTATTAACAAGTGTATATTATACTATTGCATATGAAATTCTTCGAATTATGCCCAAGGTTCCCACTAGAAATGCTCTTCTGCCCTCCAAAAAAAAGAAAGAATAATTGGGAAAAAATTGAGTCTAAAGCTGAATGGATATATTTGCATTCAACTTTTCCAAAGCAAGTATCATAAATAGCGTTCGTTCCATCGTTGAAGTTTCAGAATCACCAGACCATGCCCGACTCTGCCGCCTGCGGGCGGACCGGCTGGCTCCTCAGTCCGCGAGCAGTGCTTCCATCTCGAGCCACTTGAGTATACCGATTGAACGCCTCTACGTATTCTAGGTTCGAGTCATAACTCTGCCCCACTGGTGGATCGCCCTCATCTTCTGAAGCATCGTCATTCCAGCTATGAATACTACACGTCCCAGTAGACATACCCCACCCGTTCCATGAAGTGGCTGAGCCAAAGACAGAGTCAGAAATGATAATAGCAAATATTCAGAGAAAGTGCATACCTGCTAGAATTGGGGCATTCGGGTGCCAGCTCGCATCTCGAACGCAAGTTTTCCATTCAATATCTCCCCTCCTAAAATAGTATGCGGCATCATGTAGACTGGTATCTATGGGCCGGGTTCGGTAAGTAGCTTTTGCAACTTCAACCGTACCCGCAGTTGTAGCATCAAGGTTGTAGATGTAGACTTTTCCATCTTCACTTCCAGTGTAAACGTAGCGTGAGTTGGTACTACCAGGCGGTGAGAAATGACATCGAATCAGTGTTTTCAAAACACTATGTCCCCGAAAGGTGACCACTGAGCAGTCATACGGGTGGGGTCGATAATCTTCGGGGGTGAAAGTCATGAACCTGTAGTCGAACCCTGTAGAATACTTCCTGGGCTGTATGGTGTCAAACTGTGCAGTGCTCATCATTTTTCGAAGGTCCCATAGCTTCATCATTTGGTCCTTTCCGTTAGATAGCACATATCGGCCATCCCCTTTACTATCCACATAAGTCAGTCCTTCAGTGTGACCCATAAAGATGCCTGCTTCTCGGCCGTTTGCCATTGATCTGCGATCCCAAACCCGGAGTGTTGTATCATCCGATCCAGAATATAAGATGTGGGGCGACAGATTGTCACCAAAACAAACAGCGTTGACATCGTCTTGGTGATTTTGAAGCCGTAGGACAGGGTTCTGGGTTTCGATATCATATACGACAACTGAACGATCTGAAGTCCCAGCGACGATTTCTCGGCCATCCCCTGAAAACCGGATTGACCATATCTGAATCTTTTATGAGCACGTAAATCTTCAGAGAATCGAACGGTTACTTACACCCCATACGGCATTTCCAGAGAAGCCCAAGCCTACAGGGCTAGTATCTCGATGTCGTGAGGTCTTAGCGAAATCTAATATCTGCGGGTCTGCGTCTGACGTGGGATCTGTACCGGCAAGACAGACAGCGTTGTTTATGGAGCTGTAAGCCAAAAACCTACTATCGGGACTCAACGAAGCGTCTGTGATAGTCCATTTACCAAAGGGATATTCCACTGATTTGTAGTATTTCCAGTCAAACGGGTTAGATGTATCGTACATCCGCACCTTGAAATCTTGAGCACAACAAAAGAAGAAGTTTCCATCTTCAGAAAATTGACCTGAATAACACCTCGAATCAAAATGAAGAATTTTATCCGGTACCGAGTTTGGAATAAGGCCCTAAAATTGACAATCAGAATCGCTCGCGTCCAGGAGACGTAGCCTTCATCTTACCTGTGGAAGGGCTCTATTGGCCCTTAACTCTGCACCTCGAGGTCCAAGAGCTAATTCCCTAGATAACATTTTCATTGCAAAGCTAGCTCTCCTGTTTTTCATTCTATCAACATAGTGATGGTTACTGCCGAACGCTCCGGATGCCATCAGTTCAGCACCTTCATCACTAGGAATTTTAGGGTATAAATCTTCAGCAGGCTTTCGTCTAGGCCGCCGTCTAAAGCCATAGGAACCAAAAACAAAAGCATCCTCATTATTGTCGTCATGAGGGGCGTGTTCTCTCCATAGTCCATGGGTTTGAAGAATACGACGTAGTCCACTTGCACCAAGTAGCCGAAAGAGCTGCTCGGTGGTTACTATATTGGAGAGTACTAAGTCAAGTCCAGCAATCACAGAACATCTATAAGCATTTCTTACCGCGAGAGGCGCCAGTGTAAGTAGTATGCTCATCTTCGCCTTCCTGGTCGCTGTCTTCTATAGTGAATTCAATTTGCACATCACTATCATCCTGGTTCTCTATCATTTTGATTAGTAATTACTTTTATGTACAGGCGGGTGAGCTCTATACCTAGAAAGAGCTCGCGGACAGCGTCGTCTCCGAGATACCGATTGTTGTTGTTATCGGACTCATCCGAGGAGTTGGACTCGGGTTCAAAATCGTCATCATCCGGTGAGCTCCCTTCTCGCTCGTTGTATCTATCGCTAAACCGCTCACGAGCAAGGTGATACGAAGCGTCAGACTGGCTGCCTACGTCTGAATCCAAGTGAGGCTCCACTGAAATTGGAAAATGAGGAGACGAGCTCATGGCCGATATTGACAATGTAAAGAAGGCGGAGCCTGCATGAAAATAAGATGGAGAGGGATGGGTGGCGTGTGCGGCAAGATATTCCCCAGGCTCAAGACGGAGTCTAGTTAGTTAGTTAGTTGACCCCGGAATCAACGGTGAACTTTAGCCAACTGGCTGCTCAACCCCATGAAAGGGCTAACTAAATCCGAAGTCCGCTTGCTGGTGGGGAAGCCGGAGCCGTTGTGCGGTCGATCACTGCGCCAAGGTCCACGAATTGACCGCGCGACATGCAACAGATGAAGCCAGCGAGCCTGAAAGCGAACGAGCGAACAAGCAAGCAGGCCAGTAGTTTCGAAGCTCGCCGCCTGGCAGGCAAACACCGCCCGGCGCAAGCGGCGTTTGCGGCGATGTCATCGCCCGCGGCGCCGCGCGCTGTGATTGGTCCCCCGCGGAGTTCTGACTCAGCCGCGCACAAGGTGGGGGTCGGTGCGGGAGAACCCTTCCCCGGCACTTTGTCGTCATCCGAATGTCAACTGCATCTCGTGCCCGCCAGCTGGTTGAGGCGATGTGGGAGTGAGCTCTTGCAGGGATTATCACTGCTATCTAACTATACTGTGCTATCCAAGTTGAGACTGTCGCCTGAAGCGCGAAGTTCCAGTCTGCTCGTCTTTGCCGCCAAAATGCAGGCTCTACCAGAGGCACGACAGCAAACCTTTGATGAAATATACGGACCTCCGGAAAATTTTCTCGAAATTGAAGTATGTCCCCTGTTTATATTTTCTCTGCCCAATACTACTCATTCACGCTGCCTGACTATCCGCTACTCCGGAACGTCCCTTATCCTTTACTTTTACCTCCCCGCTAATATATCTATCTACCCCACGAACAGGTGAAAAATCCCCAAACCCATGGCACATCTCGCAACATGTATACTTCCTATGAGATAATCTGCCGCACCAATATACCGGCATTCAAGCTGAAACACTCTGTGGTACGCCGTCGGTATTCCGACTTTGAGTATTTCCGGGATATTCTAGAGAGAGAAAGCGCCCGCGTCACGATACCACCTTTGCCTGGGAAGGTCTTTACGAACCGCTTTAGCGATGACGTTATTGAACATCGAAGAGAAGGCCTGCAGCGATTTTTACAAATAGTTGTTGGTCATCCACTACTACAGACTGGAAGTAAGGTTCTAGCCAGCTTCGTACAAGGTATGCCTGGAATTTCTGAATGGTCCCTATGAGTATTAGTGAGGCGATGGGGAATTTACTGACTTTTGTTTTCAGATCCAAACTGGGACCGCAATGCATGGTGACTATGCGATCACTCTTAATAGTAAAATCATGAACTGTTTCCTTAACTTACGTTCGAATCAATTATCACCCTTTCCTTAGGCCATTCATCCTTTTCCTAAGTTGAAGCACACCCTAGTTTACCCCTCATTACCATATAAATATTTATTGTTTTGCCCCTACGCTGGTATTAAAATGCGCAAAATTAATCAGGATAGTCTTTCATTATTGTTCATTCCTATTATCCTGTTCTTTTCCGGAGCGAAGATGAGCGATCTGGCGTCCAGGTATCTTCCACTTCATACATTATGAGACACACGATGTATATATTTATTCTGAGGCCGTTTATCTCAGTTTAGTCCTTTTCTCAGTACTCTACAAAATCTGATAAGCGCAACACTGCTTGGTGGCGGGCAATCAAAATGAACTTTTGGATTATTTTCAAAGAATGAGAGTATCTTTAATGCTTAAGACCATTATACTATTATATAGACAGTCAATTGTCTAGCTTCATGTGATCCCTAACTTAATTCGTCCCATACCAAGGGAGGAAGTGTATTTTCCGACCAGCGAAGAGGATTGTTACTCTCTTCGGCACCATTTGGCCCATCGTCCAACAATAACGAGAATAGGGGAGTCACTGGAACGTTAGGTGGCTCAGGGAGGCTTGATGGGGGAGCAGGGGGGGACATGGCAGGGTCAATTGGAACAGCGGCCAGGTCTTTATTTTGTGTATCACCGTTGAATTTGCTATCACTCACAGCCCCTGAACGACATCTGATACCATCGCCCGGTGAGAACGTGGACCTTCCATTAAGAATAGCATCTTTGCTTTTTGTCGTGGTAAATCCACCCTCACGGTAGACATTTGGAAACTTGGTTCGAAAACGATCCCTTAAGTCCGTGGCCTTCCTATGAAGTAAGTTCAGGTGCTTATCTTGGCGAATCAAGGTCCACTGGAAGCCATGAACTGCATAACCTTTGAGCAGAGAGTCATCCTCGGCCGCTGTGAAGGGTCGCCGATGTCGTCGGCTAGACTTAACGGCCATGTCAGGGTCATGCAAACCGAGAGAGATTAAAGTGGATTTAGATTTATTAGAGAGTTCCTTGCTTCCACTAATTCCTGAAGACCGCTTTTGACTCTGTTTTTGACTTTTCTTGTAGGAATTCGACACCTTAGTTCCGCATGTTGCGTTCGATTGAGCGACAGACTGGCTCAGACCGGAGGGGCCAGTGGGCCCCCTGTTGAATTCAGGAGCATTTTTAGTTGATCGAGGATCAGGAAGTAGTATCTTTGCCACAAGGCCAGACTGAGCATCACTAATGTTGTCAGCAAGCCTCGCTCGAGTGTCATCCGACGTCGATCCGTGTCCAGGCTCATACGCCCACGGACAGCAGACACGAAATCTGTCCTTCAGGTTCATCGCGGTCCTATTGTTGAACTTAAGATCTGGCTGGGATAGAATAGCCGTCCAATGGCCGACACCGCATCTCACAACGCCACTCAACAAGTCATGAGTTTCCTGCTCTGTCCATTTTCGCAGCTTCTTCTTTGGTTTTATAGACTTTCCTTGGCGAGAAGATGTGTCTGTTGGCCCCGCCACCTGTCCAGCTCTATCAGCGGACGCCCGATGCAGCTTCTGAGGATCGGGCTCCTGGTTTTCCGAAGCAACACCCGCTTCTTCATTCAAGTCAATTATATCCTCTATTCTTTGGGTGCGGCGCTCGCCCGCCTGTTCCGAGATTAGCAATTCCGCCGACAGCGAGGTGTCCTTTTCCTCATGTCGTCCATCTGATTCAAGAATGGGGGGAAACAAGGCAGCATTTGGAGGTGGCTCTTTTAGTTCATTCAATACAGGCAACGGACTGAATGGGCGTTGTTTCAAAACCTCTTTTTGCACTTTTGGTATTGGCAGTTGTACAACATCCGTCAAACTAGACTCCCCAGCAACATCTAATCGGCGCCGTTTTCGAGGGGTATCGTCAGGGAAAGATGGGTGGGACAAATTTTCAACAGCTCTCAGGCTGATAAATGCCGGAAGCGAATTCTTTGGTAGTCTCTCGGTGCTGGGGGGAACGCCAAAGCTATGGGGCAAGTCTGTATCTTTGCGGGCGGCCTTTAGAAAGTCTTCAAGCGTGGGGAGGACCTTGGGGGGGTTTCCAGAAGGGAGATTCAATGGTTTGGCCGCACTAGACTCCCTCACAGAAGAGGTATCAGGCTCAAGGGGTGAGGGAATCTTTCGGGATCCGGAGGGGATAGGGTTTCGGAGGGGAGGGATGCGAAAGTATGGGCGCTGAGAGACGTCGGTGGGCTGGAAACAAAGGTCGTCCGAAGACACTGCGGTTGACAGCGAGTCCAGCGTTTCATTCCAGGGCATATTGGCTCGTTTTCCCCGCTGTTGGTCGTGAGAAACATCTCCAAAGTCATCGCGGGTGGGCGAGCGAGCAAGTTGGTGTGGGCGGCGCCCGCCATGGCCTGGCGGCCCATCACGTGATCTGCCTGTCTAGGCCTGGCCACCTGATACCGTATAGCGCGGCCCGTATCCCTACGCAGCCGAGCACTACTTGGCTCTGGGCGCCAGAGACAGCCAGCGAGCCTGTTCTGCTGCCCAGCAAGACCACCAGTGCTCTGGACAGGGAATGGAAAATACTCGGTGACGGGCGCTCCCTGCCGCCAACACCCATTCCATCAAGGACGGAATCTCATCTATCACAATCGTGGCCAGTCGTCAAAGGGCTTCCCCATGGAGTGCGTCCCCACCTGCTCTTGGGCCGCCCGACTAGTCGCGCGCGCGGGCCAGGCTTCAAAAGAAGGTTGGCCGACTCCCATGTGCAAACTCTGGGTCGTTCCGCTTGGCAGCGTGCACAAAGCAACGGGATCCTTTTCACCGCCAATCAGTCTCGAAATCTGAGGCATTGCATACCAGGCTTCTTGTCCGGTATCTGGGTAACTATGTATACCGTTACAGTACTGTACGACAGAGGGCTGCAATTCCTGTCGTTCATACGGTATCGTTACGCGTCGTCCGCTTTGGGCCCTGCGCCGCGTGCAGATGTGCCTCCTCGCCTGCGAAGCATCCAAACCTCCTCGAGCCCTCGATGCTCAAACACCGCAAGAATAATGTGTTGCCCTGCCAGGGCAGCGGTGGGGCCCTGGGTTGACGGTCTCTCCTAGCCCGCCCGGGGTCTGGACCGGGCTCGATAGCATCCAATCACGACCGCAACTTTCGGGTTAGGCTCGCCTATCAGCCCTGGAATCACAGCTGAGGGGGTACACTGGCTACAATGGCCTGCTCAAGATTGTCTGATGTTACTTTTCCCGGAATCCCTCAGGCGAAGATCGCGCGTCTTGGGACACGTACATACATGCATACACACCTTCATGGTCGGCCCCAAACGTCTCACGAACAGCACTAACAGCGTTCAAAAGAGAAGAAGGTCGGACCTGAAACTCCTTGTTACCTGAGGTCCTGGTTACGGAGCACTGAGTAAAGAGTACCGATTACACCCTTTGGGATATTCTTGCGAAAGTCAAACCTTCTGCTAATCGTGCTCCTCGTTAGGTTCCACAGTACGGAGTAGCCTTGAGTGATGCCGAGACTTAGGTTCCCGAGACAGAGGAGCACGGATCCTTGTATGTATGTAATTGTCGGTAAGAATAGTCTATCGATGAGTTTCGCCACTCTACACAAGGATCGTTGGGTACACATCCATCCCAACAGCGTAAGGAGAGTGCGGAGGCATGCAGGCTAAACCCCCAGGCGCATAAGCTTTCGATAATGGTTACGAATACTAGTGAGACACCAGTGGTAACTATGTGTGTCACTGCTCCCTTACGGCGGAGTACTGATTGTCAATGTGCTCCCATGAGTTTCAGCCGAAAGGCGACGTCTTTTAGCAAACATCGGCCTCTGCTTTGATATCCCAAAACGGAGTACGAAGTACGCTGCTTTGTACTCCGTACCGGGGTATGGCTCTATGTACCGATCCGTTCTAGGCAAATGGACCCAGAATGAATCGATGTCAAACTCGCGTCAAAGGCTCGTTTTCTGGGAATCTCCACTCGCCATGTTTGGCGCCCTTGATCCCAGCTCCGCCCTGAGAACGTTTCAGTGGCTGGGCCGTATTGTGATTCTCAGCTTTTGTTTTGCGATCGTCATCTTCGGAAGCAAATCCAGCTCCCTGGAACATTGAAGTTTATCCAAATGGCGCTTACATACAGAGAATTGCCACCATTTTAATGGGTAAGTACAGTTTGAATATTATTAGAAGCCTGTACGAACCCCGTACTTGACATGATAGCCACTAGTTGCCCCGTTTCCGTTCCCCGTTACCCGTGGCCAATAATGACTCCGGGAGCACAAAGCATGTATGGGCGGAGTACAACTCGGGATTATCTGCGGCCGCACAGTTCTCCTGCCATAACACCCGTCGTTCTTAAACACCCATTTGCCCCCCAGCCTATGATTCGCTTACCATGTACACTTTGCGTTTATTAGTTATCAGGCAGTAGCCTATATACCCTTCGTTGCTTCAGTCAAACCAGCCTGTCTGAAAACCGTTTTGCTCTTCTGCCCAGACCTCTCTCCGAACAGTTTACGAGTTTCAGAATGGCAGAAACGCAACCCGAGAATTCTGCTCTTATTTTGAATGATCCGCTACCTTTGCCTTCCGAGAGTCATTCGCCACTAGACCAAAGCTTCCCAGTGGTCCCAGTCTCCCAGTCGCATGGCTCAATACAAAGCGCAGTTCAAGAAAGTATTTTGACTCAGATGTCATCCTACGAACCGTCAAGACCAGCAGGGTTGTTCGAAACGCAATGTACACCGCTCTATCAGCACATACTTGATCAGTGGTGGGAAGAAGATACGCTGCCCATCCTCTGGTCATTTAACGTGGGAGATATCAAGAGGATATTAAGATTTCGTTTGTACAGGGACGATGAATTCCCCAAAAGAATACTGCGACACCGGAATACCGCTACTCTCACGGAATTCCTCACCACCTTGCTCCCTACCAGCTATGATCTCATTTTTGGCCTTACTCACTATGAGAAGGTGAATGAACTCGTTCGAGTATGTCGAACGAGGAGCTTTCAGGTCTCCTGGGGCTGGTTTCCGGACTGTGTAGGCGATGCACTACCTTCGACTATTGCACTGGAAATTGACATGGAGAGTATCCTTCATTTCAAAACAGTGCCCTTCGAAGATTGGGTTCGTTACTGCTTAGGATATCCTACCAGTTCAGTAACATGGTTCCTCGAGCTGCACAATGAGCTATATCACATGGTCGCAGTACACCTTTCTAGGTTTCCTCCAAAGTCTTCTATCTACACTGAGGTAGAAAAGGTAGATACCAGAGGAACCTTGTTGGTTTGCCATTGGCTGATAAATTTGACTAGCATCTTCGATTCCGTAACCCATGGGCTCACCGTGCAATCTTACAATGTTTGAAAGATAGAGGTCTCGTAAATCCTCGCGGTAGCTCTAACAACCGCATATCGACCTTCCTTGTCGAGCCAATACAGACCTTTTTTGCATCCCCTCCAGGGCCATTCGTTCAATTTTTAAAGAGGCTTTCAGTCTTATCAGTCCGTTTCACCCGACAATATCATGAGAGGTCTGACATCAATTGGGCAACACCATTTCAGACAAGATTTCCACACTTAAATGAACTTGTCGCCTCTCATCCCATCACGAGCCTAGCCAAACGACTTACATATTCCAATGAGCGTGAATTTAACGCATTCTCGCTCAAGGCTTATGACCAGAACAACGACGCCGAATTCCAGACTCTGGTGGATAACTGGTATTTACTCTCAACGTCAATTGAAGATTGCTGTATAGCTTTTCCTGAGATGTTCAATTATTTCAAGGACTGTGCAAAAGTGAGTACTCCAAATCGGTTTATTCTGTTTTTGAACCCAACCAATATCTGACAAATTGACCTACGCTCAAGGTTCTTCTCAGTATGAGGAACTACTATGCAGCAACGGCAATTCTCTACGGGCTTCAAGAGGGCGAACCGACGTCATATATTCTGTCCCCTTTAGCATCGAATGATTCTCTACTGGATTCTTGTTTTAATCTTCTAGATTCTACTGGTAACTATGCTGTCTACAGAAGAACTATGGAAGAAAGACCCGGCCTTCCCTTCTTACACCCTCATATCAAAGAGTACCGCACTCGTGGAAGGATCGCCATATCTCGTTTGTTTCCACTGTCTCTCTGATAAGAACCTGTTTCCTCTGAAACGAATGATTTTTTATTTGGTCTATCTCGTTATAAATGCGACTCAGCCTACGTGTGGGACCTTGAAGTCTGTCACAATAATAGAAGGAATATCCGATTCTCTTTTTTGAACAGATCCAAATGTTATAGTGTAGTTTGACTTGGAAATCCTGTAAGGAGTAGGGTTACGGATAATGGCACTCATTCCGCAACTCTTCTACCTGAAAGATTATATATTCTACCTTTCGGTGAGATAGACTCTGTGCGGCATTACTTCCATAGTACTAAAGACCCAATAGCTCTATTTCAACCATCCAATCCTACAGAGCGGCCCTGATGCGCTGCGGTGAACCTCAAAGGCAATTTCGCTTCTGGAGACGTACCCATGGGCCAATGGGAAAGCTGATTTAGTGACCGAGCACTCATATATGTCACCATTTTTTCCAGTGTTAAGCCTAAATAGTACCTGGAGTTTTTTCTTATACGCACGCAAACTGCAAAACTGTACGGTAAGGCCTCTTATTAGGACGTGTAAACTGGAGCACACTGCATTACCAGTTGGGACGTTCGGCTGTGGCGATAACTACACCACATTATGAATACTGTTACATTCAGGTGCCTCTTTCCTAGCGTCACTTTGGTGTTGCCTCAAATAGCGCATCTCAGCATTATCTCACACGTAATGCTGTGCCAGCTTTTTGATACCCGGACGGTATGCAGCTTGCCCATTTTGTATTCATTTTCAAAATGCTATATCCCCTCTGGCTCTTAGCGCGCTTTCTTCATACCAGAGTATTCTGTGACCGCCATCCTTTCCACAGGTTGTGGTAACACGAGATGAACCCTTTAAAGGGGCGCAAGAAGCTGGCCAAAAGCAAACAAAAGAGGGTTCCGTCTTTGGATGTGCCGCAATGATCGTCGGTCGATCGAAGACTTCCGGGGCGAATGTTTCCGAACCGCTTTCTAGCTTTGCCGGCCGGTTTGATAACGGCAATCCATATCCCCGGTTGATTTAACTAGTTACAGTTGATGAATAGGTGGATTATGTACTCCGTATGACAGGCAAATATGCGGAGATTATTTCTGTCCCACTCTAGTGGCTTCCAGCATGATAAGACTGCATTTATGCATTAAAGACTGTTTGCGGACATATATGAGGTGCTACATGTACATATGTATGTCCAAATGCAGTGCTTTGTTACATACATTCAGTGGCATGCCCCTTTTATCCTCTCAAAAAGAAAGAGTTACTCAACGTTGCAGAATACCGCGTAACTTTGTCACTAGAAGTCTATACCGGGTATCTCGTAAACCAAGCATGTATCCATAAAGGGTAACCGCTTCTGGGGATCTCCAGCGCCCGCATGCTGCGAAGCGGAGTTTTTGTCCTGCATGTAACAGGCATCGGACTGCCTGGAAGAGAAGCATGCAGCTCATGATACAGCATTGTTGCCGATAATTGTGCCCGTCAGCTTCTTGCGCTTCCCAGTGGAAGCAAAGACGGCTATTGCCATGCGGGGAACAAATATCAAGCAGACAGGATGTGCACTCTTTGGTGACACCATATTATGGAACAAGGAGCAGGGGGAGGGGCAGAGAAATGAAATGCCCTTCAGCCTTCCATTACCGAACGGCCACCGGGTGCTGACAGCTCTCAGCCTGTTTCTGGCGTGATCTTCGGAGATGGCCGTTTCTAGCAATTTGGTACTTGCGTTCTCTACAGGTGTACAGGGAAGAGTGTTGACTACAAGGAAGACAAGACATCATAGTTATTGTTGAAAATCCCAGCCGTTAAGACCGCTAATAGACACAATTGACGCCATTCTCCTTGAAATCAAAGGGGGTCTCATAATTTTTCTATTGATTTCATTGTCATTTTTTAGGCTATTAAACAACTCACCGCCAGATGTGAGATACCGGTAATCCATGCACTTAGCGACCAGCAAGGGTCATAGCCCGGCGACGATCTCTCTCTTCTGCGATGGAAAGCTGTTGAGAAACTCAGTTAGTATGTACTGTCGATAAATAAACGAGTAGTGGTAAGAACATACCTTGACACCCTTGCCCTTTGGCAAGCTGATCCATGGCTTCTCGTGACCAATAACAAAGACGTTGGTCTCACGAGTAGCGAAGGTGTTGTCAATGGCATCCTTGATGTGGACGATACCGAAACCACCGTCGTGGCGCTCACGGTGAGTGAGGACACCAACACGGCCCATGTTACGACCACCAGTGACCATGCAGATAACACCAGTATCAAACTTAATGAAATCAGTGATCTTGCCAGTAGCAAGGTCAATCTTCACAGTGTCGTTGACTCTGATGGCTGGGTCGGGGTAGCGGATCCTAGGGGCGTTCAATGTTAGCATCACAGGCTCTCAAGTATACTTGCATTTACCGTCGGCCTGCAAAATCCGATTGAGGTTTCAGATTGGAGAAGAATATGACGCCGCTGTTCGGAATTCAATCCTCCAAGACCCGAAAATCAACCAAAACTTGGTCCAACGTCTGAATGATGCGGAATATGACATGAAAACTCACGTTCTCGCATCGTGCGTAACCAAGAATGGGATTCCGCCTTTGCCGAGCTGGACACGCTTCACTTTGCCCAGCTTGTATTCTGCCTCCTCGGCGGAGATACGGTGAACGGTGAAACGGCCCTTGGTGTCGTAGACCAGACGGAAGTTCTCGCCCGTCTTCTCAATGCCGATCACGTCCATGAAGCCAGTAGGGTAGGTGACGTCGGTTCGGACCTTGCCGTCAACCTTGACGAGGCGCTGCATGAGGATAGCATTGGTCTCGCGAGCGTTGAGAGCGTACTTCAATCTATGTTGAGAGGTGAAGATGTTAAAAAAAAAGGCCTATAAATCCTAGCAAAATGTCGAGTTCTGAAACACACCTGTTACGGATGAAGATGACGAGGGGCAAGCAGTCTCGTAGCTTGTGAGGACCAGGCGACGGACGGGGAGCATAAGCACCGGACAATTTATCCAGGAGCCAGTGGGAGGGGGCGCTCAGGCGCTTCTGGTGCTTCTTTCTGAAAACACGAAGGAATCAGTAATCAATAATATCGCTGTGATTCTTCGCAACTTACGGTCCTCGACCCATTTTGAGTAGATTGTCGACTTGAGAGCTGGAGTTGTCGAATTGGTCGCGAAGTCGAAAAGCCGATAGATTTCGCTTCTAAGGTTGTTGGGTTGAGATGTGCGTAGGGTTTTAACCCTAACCAGCCACTTTAGGCAAGGCGCAAAACCCAAAAAAATAAGTAGTCACTGATTACATAAGCAATCTTTATTATATGTACGGAGTAGGGGTGAGCAAAGTATCATCGGGCACATACGGAGTATTGCAAGTTTAATCATGCCGAAAATGGAGTAAAAGGATGAGCGCGAACTGACTAGTTAGTTACTTAATTTTCCTGCCAATCCTGGCGGGCCAGCTGCCATTCTTACCAGAAGATGCTACGGCGTTTACGCACTCAAGCGTGTTTATGAATCCAACCTTTTCATTCTTGAGTTGCCTTTCCCCATGCCTCTACTGTTACGATTTATTTTCTTATGTCATAACATATGTTATCGCTGCCCCATTACTGGTCTCTTTTTATACTAAAAATCTTTCCTGGGTTTAGAAGCCAGTGTGGGTCAAGAGCCCGCTTAACACTTCGCATCACATCAATAGTGTCTGGACCAAGCTCTTTGATGAGGGAGGTCATTTTGCCCATTCCAATACCATGCTCTCCCTATAGTCCAGTAGTCAGCTAAACGTGTGCCGTGACTCGCTGAAATGGGGTTCAACCTACCGTGCAAGAGCCTTCCATTTCGATTGCCCGGTCGACCATGGTGTGGACTATCTTGTGAATCTTCGCGCAGTGTTCGGCGTTGTTCTTATCATACATGATACTCTCATGGAAGTTGCCATCACCAACATGACCTAGAATACAAGCGAACATCCCAAGCTTATCCATGTCCTTTTTGGATAGTTCTAGGATATTGTTAGCAAACAATGCGATCTGGATGTCTGGATTTCAAAGAACTGACCAATGATATCCGGTAGCCTAGAAAGAGGAACAGCAACGTCTGTAGACCAGACGTCGCGTGAGCCGTCATCCGACAGCGCCATCATGCTCCAAAGGGACGCCTTTCGGGCAGACCATAGATCATGACCTTCCTGGTCGTTTTTAGCAAACTCAAAAGATGTACTCCCAGCTTCTTTTGCGATAGCCTTAGTGGTATTAATATTCTCAAGTACACCCGACTTGGTGCCAGAAAATTTGAAAAATAATGTTGGAGTCTCTTTCCAGGCTCTTTTAGTTCCCCCAGCCTTATTGATGATTTCCATTTGAACTTCATCCAGTAGCTCTACGCATTGGACAGGAATTCCCTTTCTTATGATTCGGATGGCTGTGTTTGTTGCATCGCGGATGCTGTTGAATGTAGCGACACCGACTCTAGTCTCTTCAGGCACGACGGCCAATTTCAAAGTAATCTCTGTTACGATTCCCAGGGTGCCCTCCGACCCGACAAACATGCCTGTCAAGTTGTAGCCGGCGGAGCTCTTGCGAGGCCGTTGTCTGGTTTTGATGATGCGGCCGTCGGCCAGGACGACCGTCAAATTGAGAACCCAGTCCTTCATGGTGCCATAACGCACAGCGTTTGTACCACTACAGTTGGTGCCTACCATGCCTCCAATTTTGGCAGAGGGACTAGGGTCAATGGGGAAAAACAGGCCTGTATCCTTGATTTGCTCGTTCAGCTGCATCCACTGAATAGACGGCTGCACGACGACGTCTAAATCGTCTGCATGGAGCTCAAGGAGTTTGTCCATTTGTAGAAAGTCGATGCTGATTCCTCCATGGAGAGCAGAAAAGTTGCCCTCAAGACTGGAACCGCCGGAGTAGGGGATCATAGGAATGCGATACTTGTGGCATATTTCAGCGATTTTAGACACCTCCTCCGTGCTCTTGGGATATGCGACGGCAACCGGCGAGCGGTCGATATTAACAGAAGACCATTCCGAATAGCCGTGCAAATGCAAGTCCTCATCATCTGTGCTAATGGTATCTTCTCCCAGGAGCTCTCTTAGTTCGGCAATCGCCTAATCATTTATATTAACAGGTGGTAACCCGACATGGCAATCCATCACTCGAGAGACGACATACCTTTTCCACCTGCTTTGGGGTTGCATATATTGGATCGGCGGTGGCGTCTGCGGCGTTATTGGACTGGGAATAATACGATCCGGCGGCATAGCCCAAGCCCGTGGCGGCTACAGTAGCCAGTAAGAGGCGGCCTGCATTCCCCAGCGTTGATATAGACGACCGGGCCACGTTCTGAGGGGAGGAGGCCGTGCTGTTCCATTGGCGGCAGATCTTGGGGTTGGCAAGGCGCAGAGGGCCAGGCCGGGGGGTGATCTCCCGCAGCCCAAGGCGAGTAGCAGCTCGGTAAAGCGTCCTCATGGCGAGCAGGAGCTGTCGCGAGGCGAGAGGGATGGCGAGGGCAGCGGGATGGGGGAGCGGGAGAACAACACGACTGCGGGGGGCTCTTCAACCTGGCGATTCTAATTGGAGAGGAACTTGCGAGTTAAATATACGGCTCAATTGTTCTCGCCGGTGGCGGCGGCAGCGGCAGCGGCTCTTGGAAATGAAGCGGATAGAAGGGTTGCAGCGTCTGTTTCTCCCAAGGTATCTGCCCCCTGTCGGCAGCGGAGTTGTAGCTCAACGCGCGCTGTGCACAAGCCAGCTTGTTCTCTGCCGGCAGCCGGTGATCTTTCGGAGGGGAGACGCGGCCGCAGGATTGCTCTTAATCTGAGCCTCCCAGCTCTCGGGCGACACTGGGGACCGACTGGATCTGCTGGTTTGGGTGGACAGCCTAAGAGGAGGAGCCAGACGCGGCGGCTCCGCTGGCTTTGCCGCATTATTGATTTAAATCTTTTGAGTGTGTCCGTTAAATCTTTTTTTGCCCGCACAACCGCGACAGAATGGCGTTAACCATCGGTGGAGGAGCGGAAACCTTCCGTCGGCACGAAAACTGGTAAGACTCGCACGCCAGCCCAATTCTCAAGTCGCGGCCTCCACAAGCGTTGGCGCGTCGATGAACCTCGGACATGGTGTGCTCTGCAGTGCTGGGTGGTTGGTGGCGGCAGACGGACGTTGATTGCCAGCGCGCAGTCTCAGCATCGAGGGCAGTCAAGTCGCTCACTATGGTTAGTTAACTAATCTCGCTGGTTGATCGACCAGCCACTGTATACCTAGCTCTATGTTTGCTTCGAGGAATTCGGATTGTGAGGTCGCCAAAGAGGTCGTGCCACTTGGATGAGCTCTGCTGCCGGGGATTCTCGCAGTGCTCAGTTCAGAAACAAAGAAGCCTAAATCGCCATCAGCCAGCTGCAGTTCGATATCCCCGATTTCTTTGACAGTACTGTCGAACGCGTCAGTCGCCTTTGATCGCTGAGATCGATTTAACTCCACACATTGATCGTCCGGCGCCCCGTTTGGTTGACTGGTTAGTAGTTCGTTAACCAGTTAGTTAGATGAAGCTCGTTTGGTGGGCAGCCTTCGTCGGTGGAATTTGAAATGCAATCAAATGGGTGCTGCCTGGTGCTCTTGGCCGTCATCTCAACACAACAATACAATGGCCAGTGCAGATTAACTGCCAAACCTCGGCTGTTGGCTGCAGGTAGCTTTGTGGTCAAAGAATCGTTCAACAGCTTCTTCCGCAAATGCCAGTCTGAATACATATCGTCGTTGGTGTAGGGGATCAGACACCCCCAACCCTAGCTCCTGAGCGCGGCCTGGCCTGCATTCGACACAGATTGCGGTCTTGTGATGTGTTGAATCGCCCAACACTGACGTATACGGATATGCACCCAGGAGTGTAGTCTGCTTGCCAAAGGAAATTCGTTCATGGCCAGGGCTCCCAGAAACCGTGTTTGGTCGCCCTTTTACCGGGTCCGAGCTCTGAGGCGCTTTTGAGGGTGAGTCTTTTGCATCACCCTTTTCCTTGGAATCTATGTGTGCCTTTAGGGACTCAATTTTTCATATGGCCATTGCGCCTGAAATGGCATTTCCCCACACTCTGAGATAAATTTCCCGCTGCTAGTGACCAAGAGTAAAATTGCTACCTGGTTGTGCGTGAAGTGCAAACAATGCACTTACAACAGTCTCCCGGGCGACCATATGGAGCACATGTTATACCCAAACATAATGCGTTTGTTTGAAAGAATACTGTTCCTTTGAGGACGGAAAGAAAGCAAGAGATGAATTCTGGGATGTCTCAATCAAAGCTGTTTTCAGCTACATTTGATTCCCTAGTCACCTTGAATTCATTGTTATAATAATTCTATTAGGCGGTTTTACAGTGTGGCCAGGAGGCCCAACGCACTTTGCATGCAGCTGTATTCTTGCTAACCCCAAAATTAACTTTCTTTTGAAGATATGGTGAGCTGTTCCCCTCTTGAGCCCTCCCTAGTCTCTGTCTACTTTTTGTTTTTTTGGTAGTGTTGGCCTGTGGGCTGCATCATGAAAACAGCAGTACTATTGTTTTACTTCCTAAGTGCTCTATGTAAAATCAACGATGCACTTCTGACAAACCTACCATTTACCTGACACCTAAATCTGTTTGTTTTCTCGGCAGCTAACATATGGCATCTGAAAGGAACGAGCAGCAGGGATGTCCATTCTTAGACAAGATAACGGTGTTAGATTTGTCCGCGGAGGAAAGAAGTCTCATCATCGGTACACAACAGACAGGCGGGACAGAAATAGGATCGAGAGGGCTGAACTCGCACTTTCGCAAAGTGATAGTGAAGCAATGGTGCTGTATCGTGGTCGCGCGGGAAGAGCCCCATTCCGGACAACCCAGCAAGGATATGTCGCGGCTACCTCAAATACTGAGCCAGAGCGTCCATCTAGCTATTCACCTGGGGTTGATTCGAGAGGCCGTGAAGGGTGAGTGTAGAATATTTCCCGTTTTGGCAGTCATCTGACCCCGTGGGGCACTGAGGATTCACCTTCTTTGCTGCTCCTTTGGTTCTTATCTGCTGCCCTTCACTTCATTTTGTTCTCGCACCCGACCTTCCCTCTCCGTTCAATCTTTACTTCTCGTACCAGAAGACATTCCTTTCTTCATCTGCAACCTCAAACGTCATTGCGTTATTCTTAGGAACCGATCATGGCTTACTCAGATCTAAATATATCCAGCCGAGAAAGACAACTCGAAAGACTTAACACGGCAGACCAACAAAGGGCGACTCGGTTTTTTGCACCGTGGACAACTTGGGAATCCCTTACTGTCAATATCTCCAATATCCCTCCAAATGCGAATACCTACATACTCTGGCGAACCTTCAAGGACTATGGTACTATCGAATGGGTTGAGATATTCGAAAACCAGAGAGGGAAGAAGGAAGGCAGAGGCAAAATTCGCTTTCGGTTCGCCTATGGTGCTGGGTTATATCTCAGGATTCAATTCTAATTGCTGTATAGACCACCGCCCAGAGAGGTTTTTTGCCCCCAAAATGAGCATATTCTTAAATTCGACGATGGTCAGCATTGTTTTCTCAAGGTCTATATCAGTCCAAACAGCCCGCCGAACACGATCCCTAGTCCCATAAATCCAGATACACAATATCCGGCATCACTGGTGAACTTCCAATTTCCATATCATATATAGCAGCCAAACTAACATTTGAGAAGGAAATTCCAGTAACAGAGCTCGGTTTTGGGAGATTGATAGAGAGCGACGTGATGCTTGCTCTGAGATCAATCAAGTCTAATATCAAGAGCCAGATCCGCTTCACTGCCGATTTTTTGCGGCGCGAAATCACTGTATTCTTTTACTTGCCTGCACTTGATCATAACTCGCTTTCTCGCAATCATCTTGATAATTATCGACTTCGAATTCCCTTTCTTCATATCTCCCGAGTGGTCAAAATGTCAACATCTCACAGTTCATTACTTGTCATTGTTCTGGCCTCGCCACCACTCTATTATAGGAAATTAAATAATTTACTCTCAACATTTTCTAACACTGAAAACATATGGAGAGAATCGGACACATGGTTCCGCCAGACTGACATCCCCTATGCACGGGAAGAGTTGAAGGGTGCTCCGTCAAGTCTCCGAAAAACCAACGCAATGATAAATATTGGTGAGAAATATCCCGTCCTTGACAAAGTGATGCATTATTGATTCTAGTAGGGCGGTGGACTGCATTCGTTCTCACGTTTCCCAAAACACATACTCATTCCCAAAAACTCGAGACTCTTGAAAATATATGCAAAGACTTTAATGTCCAGGTACAAGAGGGTTCAAGCTTTGAGATCAAGAATGATCCTTCTAAATCTACGGCATGGAAATGGATTGACCCTGCGTTTAATCACAGCAGGAAGCCCACCACTTCCCTGCAAGATTTAGCGGAAGAAGACTACATACCACTTCCATTTCCTGTTCGATACCAACTAGAAGTATGCATTTCCCATGGCTTTTTAAGTGAATATACTATAAGTAAAAGCTTTGTTGCTTCCCTTGCGAAGAATGGCGAAATTAAAGCAAGGGAGTTGTTGGAGCACGTGGCTAGTGAGAAACTTGTGTATTATGATCCCATGAAGATCTTTGATATCCCCTTCGTCAAACCGGTAACTGGTCGCAAAATCCCTAAGTATTGTTGTTACATGAGGACAGCACAAGTGACTCCCTCTACGATTTACTTTGCGACGCCTTCCGTTGATATCTCAAATCGGGTTATTAGAAAATACATTGAATATTCTGATCGCTTCCTTCGTGTTCGATTTACAGATGAAAAATATGAGGGGAGAATAAATGCCAGTTCGAATAATACTGTAGACGAGGTGTTTACACGCATCAAGCGCACTATGATGAACGGAATTACTCTTGGGGATCGACATTATGAGTTTCTTGCATTTGGGAACTCCCAATTCCGTGAACATGGTGCGTATTTTTTTGCTTCGTCGGGGCAACTTACCGCAGCAAGTATTCGCGCATGGATGGGACATTTCAGCGATATAAGAGAGATTGCTAGACATGCTGCCCGCTTAGGACAGTGCTTCTCAACAACTAGGGCTGTTACTGGTTGCCCTGTGCAGATTGTTGAGATTGGAGACGTTGAGAGGAATGGACATACCTTTTCGGATGGAGTTGGGAGAATTTCAAAATTCCTAGCGCAAATGGTGATGACGGAGTTTAAAATTAGAACTCCGTGCGGAGAACCTCCCTCAGTCTTCCAATTCAGGCTTGGTGGGTGTAAGGGAATTTTGACCGTTTCCCCTGAAGCTCAACGTCGAGAAGTGCATATCCGGAAAAGCCAATACAAATTTCCTGCTATACACAATGGTCTGGAAGTCATTCGACACTCACAATATTGTATGGCGAGTTTGAACCGTCAGCTCATTATTGTACTATCTGCTCTTCAAGTTCCAGACGGCGTATTTATCGAAAAACTCAACATAATGCTCGCAAAAATTGATTCTGCTTTGACTGACGAAAAAGAGGCTATTCATTTGCTTCAGAAATACATTGATCCGAACCAAATGACCCTTGTTTTAGCTGACATGGTCCAAGAAGGATTCCTAGCTTCAAAGGAGCCATTTGTCACTTCTCTTCTAGAGTTGTGGCGGGCATGGCAAATCAAGTACCTCAAAGAAAAGACAAAAATTGCAATTGAAAATGGGGCCTGTCTCTTTGGTTGCCTTGATGAAACTGCAACCCTAAAGGGCTTCGAGAGCAGCAAGATTCCTCCTGCAAATGCCTCGTATGAAGAAAAACTAAAGTGTCTCCCAGAGATATTTGTTCAGGTTTCTCGTGCTGATGAAAATGGAAGATATGAAATCATCGAAGGAATTTGTATAATCGCTCGAAACCCTTCATTACATCCGGGAGATATTCGAGTTGTAAAAGCGGTTAATGTCCCGGCCTTACATCATTTGAAAGATGTTCTTGTTTTCCCACAGACAGGGGATAAAGACCTTCCAAGCATGTGCTCGGGTGGTGACTTGGACGGGGACGATTATTTGGTTATTTGGGACCAGGACCTTTTACCAAAAGACTGGTTCAGACAACCGATGGATTATGAACCATCTATGAAATCTCACCACTTATCCCGTGATGTCACAGTGAACGATATAACTTCGTTTTTTGTGATGTATATGAAAAATGACCGTCTGCCCCAAATTGCGCATGCTCACCTTGCATGGGCAGATTACATGGAAGATGGTGTTGACCATGAGAAGTGTATCCAGCTCGCGGCACTACATTCTGCCGCAGTTGATTACAATAAAACTGGTATCCCGGCAACTATGAAAAAGGACTTGAATCCCCGAAAATGGCCTCATTTTATGGAGAAAAAACACAAGCCAAAGAGCGCGCAATATACCTCACAAAAGATACTTGGCCGTCTCTATGATTTAGTGGAGAGAGTCGACTATAGACCAAAGCTGGAGGCTGCATTCGACGAGAGGATTCTGAATAGCGGAATTGAGACAAGCGAGCAGCACTTGAAAGACGCTTCAAATCTGAAAGTACTGTATGATGCTAGTATGCGCAGAGTCATGGCGCAACATGATATCAAGACAGAGTTCGAGGTGTGGTCAACCTTTGTGCTAAGCCATGCGAATATGAGCAAGGACTATAAATTTCACGAAGAAATGGGTCAAATCTCCTCAGCGCTGCGAGACGAATTCCGCACTCTTTGTTTTGAAAAAGCGGGCGGTAAAGATTTCGAGTATTTAGCACCATTTGCAATGGCAATGTACAAAGTGACCTGCAACGAAATGACAGAAGCGCTGACAAGACTCAGGCAAAAATATAGCGAAAATAACGATGGACGCCCATTATTGGCACGCGAAGAGAAACTTCCTTTAGTCAGTTTCCCGTGGTTATTGCAACCTGTTCTCGGGAAAATTGCAAGTCGGCATTATGATCCCGCCTGTCTTGAGGAAATTGGTTTGTGGACTGGCCGATCCGTTTTGAGGAAACGCAGAGGAAGTGTCCTAGGCAACAGCACGCCTGGCATGCGCGATGTCGAAACAACAGGCGGAGTTCAACGTAGTGGAGAGGTGCTTGAGTTGTTTCACGATACGGTTCATGATCCTTGGAGCGGTCTCGGTGAAAAATTTGACAAAAAAGAAACGCCTCGCGCAGCCATTAGGGATGTCGCCCCTGAGAAGACTGTCATTGTTCCAAATAATTCGAGCCAGCTTATAGATATTGGCGAGGAATCATCTCCCGGGCAATTGTCGGTTGAAAGTTCGTTCAGTTCGTACATAGATTTGATGAACATAACCGATCAGTCAACCACAGGAACCTCTGTGTCTCCCGCAAACGAGTCTTCTAAAAGTGGCCTGTCGCGGAACAGTGTTAAAGTCCCGCTTGACCTACCAAAGGTTACCATTGCGCTGGAAACTTTCGAGGAAAATAGCGGGTCAAATGATATTATAGAGCGAGAGGGAGATATCAAACCGTCTGCAATTGATGAACTAGAAGCGTTGCTAGGAATGTGAAACTCGGGCATTAGTTATGTAGAGTGCGTATTGAGGCAGGTACGCATCTGTAGCTAGCCCTCCCGCGCCGTAGCAATCAACGATCGAGTTGGTTCATATAGTTATTATCAAAAAACACAATCGATCAATCTAGCAAAAATCTTAGTTGGTTAGTTATGTCATTTCCGAGCTCAATGCAAATATCACTCCAACTTCCATTTCCAGCGGCGCAAAGTTGATTTTAATCGTAGCTGGGTCAAAAGACAGGTTCTCTTTAGGCCATACCACTAGTTGCATTCAAATGCCAGCTGCTACAGCTCCCATATTGGCCCCCTATACGTCACCTCCTCCCCGCCATTCTCTATCTCTCATCACGTCTCTATTAGGCACCACAAGCAATTGGCTCGTGTTAAGATTTATATGCGATGCTCTTTACTCGGCCTCACAGCTAGCCCCGAGGGGGCCCGCAGCCGGAGCTGGAATTGTAGATGAGAGTCAGGCTCCAGGTGAAGGAAAGGGCCCATTGCGAATTGTGCTAGTCAGTTTTCTACGCGGGTGGGATTTTTGGAAAGGAGAAGGGAAAAGGCTGGTATGTTTCATTTCAAATATATTATTTTGTTATGAAAAATTTATTATCTTGAATTTTCGATACCCGACGGACGGTGCTGAGTTGCCGTGGTACTTAATGGCTAGCACTCTGTTTACTCCGCTTCTAAAAGAGGCCTTCCAATTGTGTCGTCCCATTTGATAGAATTGCTATTTTTTGTTTCTTTTACCCTCATCATACTAACGATGATTCAGGGTATCGACCTCGCCAGGTTAGCACTTCAAGGCAAATTTGTGTTTGTAGATGGCTTGACTGGACTCTTTTCAACTGCAGATCAAAACCTGTCAAAACTCACACCGCCAGCTAGCATGTCTCCTGCAGTTCATTCGACAACAGCTCCGCACCGTTTGGCTAATCGTTCCCATACTACTTCTCAACAGACGAATGTACCCACAAAGCTGCAGTGGTCAAACACAGGGGGTGTGGAGGCCATAGAACGAGCCATTATTTCTGCAATAGACAGTGTAAACAGTAGTGCCGGAGAAGACGACCGGATTACCGCCACAAGCAATACGCTTTTAATTGTCGATCAACCAGATATGCTCCTGGCCGCTACTGGAGTAGAATCTAAAGTTGGAGCATTAGAGGTTAAAGACATGATTACATGTTTACGACAGGTATATTTCCTTTCATGAAACCTGCTGAAAATCACTACTGACTTGGGTCAACTGCAGCATGCGCATTCTACCCTGGTTACGCTAGCTGCAGACTCGCCTTTTATCAATTACGGGGAATCTGGGACACCCTTAGAGACAGAACATGCAAGTCTAGTAATCGGAATGGCCTACCAGGCACGAATGGTGATGCAGTTGAGGGGCCTGGAGACTGGTGCCGCTCGAGACGTGAGTGGAGTAATGCAGATCGCCAAAGGCAGACTCTGCAGCCACGCAGATCAAAGGGATTTGGATAGTGATGATCTGGAACCCATAGAAATTTTGTATTATGTTCAGGGTGACGGGACGGTGCGTGTCTTTGGTAGAGGAGAGTGACAAATTCCCAATAATTCGTGCATTTTTAGTGGGCGAAAAGGAAGCTGATAGTCCGATGCGTCGACTTCTTGAGTCCTCTTCTCAAATTTGGATGGTAGCAGAAAATCGAATATGAAATGATTCATTTGAAACCACACCGTCCTTTCCATTACGGACAATGCAGATTTTTGTCATTTATCTTAACAAAGAGAAACAGATCCATGCGCTCCACGCTGCTTTTCCGGTCCATCAAAATATTTCTCTCAAGTGGCTTGTAAGATTGAATTGGCTGTGGGACACCACGCCGCAGAGAAAACAAAGATACTCAGCCCAAAAAAAGCCGGATCCCGTAAAAATTCAATCTCCTACTATGAGAGAAGATGGCACGGAAAGCATATCCCAAGTACCCTAAGACCGAAGAAATGAGAACAGGAATCATCTATGCTGATTGAGTTCCGCGAGCACCCTTGGGTGTTCCGGTCTGGAAACCGTTCTTGAATCTCCTGTCGACAAGTTTGAGGGATCGCATGCGGCCAGTGCCAGTGGTTCTGCGTCGAAGCGCCTTCTCTCCCCAGTTATCTGTACGTACAGTGAGCAAATCCGGCCGATGCTAGTCGAGTATGATATGGGTTGGATTCAACGTACATTTGCGCATCTTGGCGGCAGGATAACCACAAGAACTGCAAGTGTGCTTCTGGATGTGGAAAGAGCGGCGACCTAGAAGAAACCATTTCTGTTATAAGCCGTATTGCCCAAAGAGTCGAAAGCATTCCTGCGACCATCCATCGAAAGAGAAAACCAAGGTGGAAACTAACCGCATCGTCGGCAAAGAGTGTGCGTCTTGTTGTGGCGCTTGCCAAAGCTGGATGTTCCCTTCGCTATTCAAGTCGTCAGTACCGTGAGAATTTGATATAGTCGTGAGCCAGGCGATGTGGCTTCGGGAAGTGGTTCGTACTCATCGTGAATCAGGAACTCTAGATACCCAATTCATTCGTTAGTAGGTGTACAATCGGAGGTGGAATAGTAACGGGAGTAAGAAGTGTCACCATACCTCAATCTTGCCGGAAAAAGCGCTGGTCGTGTCGTCGAAGTCGCAAGTCGTTAATCCAGCTTGGTCGTCGGCCTAAGCGAATTTTTGTGTGAGGGTTCAAGCCCTGGATCACGTGATAATAACCGCCAAGAACGCGTAAAAGTCTCCCATCAGCCTGGATCAACAGACACAGTTGAACGTATGATTACTCCGTACTATTGGCATTATTTACAAATCGCTTGAACGCTCCAAACCCATAATGCACCTATTCTCACATAACCAGCTCGTCCTTCCCAAGAAATGCTGCCATGGGGTCATCAGCGGCTAGCCGAGATTTTTTGTATTTCTCAAGCTCTTCCTCTGTTACTCCTTGCTGCATTTCATGTAGAGATCTTTTTGCCAATGTTCCTTTGACCTTCTCTTCAACCTTTTCCGGACGAATTTCATGGGCATCGTGATCTTCGCCGGCCTTTTGAAGCTCGTTCAAGAGCATGTTTTCTGCGTCTGCCGCAGCTGTCTTACCCGCCTCGCCAGTACAATAGCTGTTCTTTACGATGGAATGGCAGCAAGCATAACCCCATTTGAAATTCGACCACCAACTGCCCCATACTGACGTGTGATTGTTGATAAGAACGTCTTCTTGGTACTTCGATGTTGCATCCTGGCTTGATTGTCCCTTTATAGCACCACTTTCATCATACTCCACAAATCGTTCATTTTCCGTGACAGCGGCTTTATGAAGCAATCCCGGCTTCAAAAACTCTGCACCACCATATTTCTCTAGCAGTTTTCTTTTTTGTTCTTGGCTTTTTGCATCCACTTCCTCCTTGTGTTTTTTCCGGAAATATTCGCCCTGTGTAGGGTTTGCCTGTAAGTGTTGCCTATCTTTGTCACCACGTTCTTGCGACTCCCATGCGTAACGTTGTGCCTGCTCGAATTCAGCAGCATCGCCCGATGCCCTCAAAAAGTTCTCTTCGATAACAAGGGCGGCGGCTTGGTCCGATTGTGCACCCGTATCAACCATTGACCTTGTTTTTGGGTCGTATTTGGCGGAATCAAGGTCTAGATTAAGCAAATATTTGGCGGTATCTTCTCGAATACGTAAATTTCGCGTTGCGGTAGATTGTTGTCTGCCCATATCGGACTCTTCGGCGTACTTAACCTCACCCATGCCGTCAATCTCTCCATTATCTTCATTGTCACCGTCGGCTTCTTGCCCCGAGATGCCGCCATTCTCAATTTCACCCTTTGCCTTTCGTTTTAGGATTTCCAAGTCCTCGTATTCTTGAACGGTATTTCTATATTCCCTAGGATCATAGCCATTCCAACGATCTCGTTTTGCATCCCAGCCCAACTCAACGTTCTCAATAACTTCATCAGCTTCGATATCTTTTCCAGTCCATTTGGCACCGTGTTTCCTGGGCCTGCTTAAGCAATCCCTTGTCTTGTGTGTCATTGCGCCGCAATTTTCGCAGGCACCTTTGCGGTATTTGGTGGCAGCGGGGCCAGCCCGCTTACCTCTGTCATACCATTTGGATTGTCCTTCCTTCGACTTATGTAAACGCTGATGCTCCAAGTAGTCATTGGCAGATGACTCGTCATCGACATAGAAGGGTTTTTTAGAGATGAACGACGGGATATATTCGTTTCGCTCTTTAGAGGGAACGTCTGTTGGTTTTCGCGACATTCTGAGCAGATGAAATCGTTCGTATGATTTCTACCTGAGACTAAGTGACGATTTTGCGAAGGGCATGCATGCCTCCTGGTCTTGAAAAGCTTCAAGTCACGTGAAGATAGTGGCCAATGCTGACTAACCAACTAACTAGTTAATCGTCAGACGCGTTCTACTTTGTACAAGGTTTAACCACAACGAACAGAGTCGCTGTACGAGAACGCCTATGGCAGCATCTCAAATAGACATACATCTCGCGATCCTAACACTTCATGGTTTCCTTTTAGCGAATGGAAACTTTTCGTATTCTGCTTAACTGCGTTGACCACTATCAAGCGATCCCGACGCATTTAGACCCCCAACTCCCCCGCAAGGATGGTGCTGCACCAGCCCCATCAAAGCCGAAAGTTCCTGTTATTCGGGTTTTTGGCGCTACTGAGTCTGGGCAGAAAGTATGCGCTCACATACATGGCGTCTTTCCCTACCTTTATCTAGAGTATTTTGGAGACTTGGCTTCCGAACAAGGTCAGAATACATACCCTGTCTAAAGAAACCTTTCCTAAGCGTCAGCAGTTAAAGTTGCAATTCGTAGCCTTCACGTATCGATTGATCATGCGCTAGCAGTTAGCTATCGGCGTACCGAATATAACTCTGGCACTGCGTACGTTGCTCACATAAGCTTAGTGAAAGGGATACCTTTCTATGGATACAATGTTGGATATAAAATTTTCTTCAAGATATACTTGCTTAACCCCCTGCATATAACTCGACTGGCCGATCTTTTACTCCAAGGGGCTATTTTAAAACGAGTACTTCAACCATACGAGAGTCATTTGCAATTTATTCCTCAGTGGCTGTGCGATTACAATTTATATGGATGCTCGTATATCAACTGTTCTACAGTCACCTTTCGAGGACCAGTACCTGCATTTTCTGAGTTGGAAGACCAGCGCCATGGCTGGCACGACCAGAGCATCCCTACCGATTTGATATCCGATGTTGCTCTGTTTCCAAAGCAGAGCCATTGTTCGCTAGAAGTGGATATACAAGTACAAGATATCCTCAACCGTCATGAAGTTCAGGAGCGAACTCTGCATCTGGACCTATTTGAATGCCAGAACATCATATCGCCAGACAAGAAGCTGCTTCCCAGTTTGGCTAGCCTTTGGGAGGACGAAAAACGAAGAAGGAAAGCGGCAAATGGATCTGCAGATCAGACTGTTGCGTCTTTTTCTTCCGCAGATCTGATGCCTGTATCAGCAGACCAACGAAGCACAGGAGCCGGTTGGGTTCATGAGGAAGAATATAAAGCTAAAATAAAAGAAATTATTATAATGGAGGGAAACAAAGGCTCCCTTCACCCTAATGCGCCATCGTTATCTTTTGGATTAAATATTGCATCGGCTTTGGAAAGCGTCGAAGAGTTATTCCCGCATAAACTTAAAGCAACTTTTGACAATTTAGATACAACCGCTGACGAATTAGTGCCTAAAATTGAAGTCGACGAGGCTCGTATCTTGTCTCTCGACCCTGAAGGTCTATCTAGTTTCAATGAAGATGCTAACGGCCCAGATTCTGGTGCCAGTATTCTCGAGAATGCTGAGCCCACAGAACCTGACTCTCGCCTTTTGGGCAGTCAATTTCCTCAGGCGGATTCCCCAGAACCATATCACAAAGATCCGAATTACTCTAGTACCAAGGATCTTACTATTGCGGAACTGAAAGCAATGGGTGTCCACAAATCATCAGAGGCGATAGACAGCAAGGAAGACATGTTTGAAATTGGAGATGAATTCATAAGCAAACTAAAATCTAACTTAACAAAACGGTCACTATTCAGCGGCACCGTGCCTCAGCCGCCGAAAAAGAAATCAAAATTAATGGCTGAGAGCTACCGAAAGGATATTCCATCTCAGGGGCCTTCAGCTAGTAATCCCGAACACTCACAGCCTACCATTTCTACTGCTTCCAATTCCTTGCCTCGAGCAAACCTATCCCAGAGGTCGATCAGGAACGGGAATAGTCAGAAGTTATGCTTCCCTGTTGTGAAGGACCCAAATGACCCTGCTACAATCATGAGAGCTAGCCAACAAAACAGTTCACAAAGGCTGACTTGTTTGAAACTCAATGATTCACAACCACCTCACATTAACATTATATCAGACATAGGTCTACCTTTAGAAGACTCAAAGTCGCCTCCACATTTTGGTATTGGCGAAGCATTCCGTCATAGACCAGGAAAAATATTTTTTTTCTCTTCCCCCAGCCCTTCATCATCTGACATTCGAAACACGATAAATGAAGACTCACGCCCAACTGTTGTCTACCAAGGGGCTTATTATAGCAATGAAGAAGATGTACCAGATCGTCCTCGGGAATATGGAGGCAGGGAGTTCAAACTAGAAAGCAACACTGTGCCTTACCTTCCTATGTTTGATCCAACTGGTCAATCCCTTTTGCCCAACGGCCCTGTACAGACATCTGTTTTTGACCGTGACACTTTGGAAAGTGTTAACAACCATCTTCGAAAAGGCTGCTCACTCCGCCGCTGGGAATTTGCTCCCATGCCGCCCTCCCGCTCCGAGGTTGTTGAATGGTGCAAAGATCAAGATTCTAAAAAGCTCCCACTGCCGCCCCCTATTATCAAAAAACCTATACAGGTGGGAATTTCCCAGATACAGGCTACCACTCAACAAAATCCACATGGGTTCAAGTACTCCTTGAAAAAACCATCACATAATGTGCGACACGAATCTAATTATATGAGTGTTATGAGCCTCGAAGTACATGCGAACAGCCGAGGCACACTTGCGCCTCACCCCGAGGAGGATGAAGTATCCTGTATCTTTTGGTGTTTCCAAGACGGAGATTGCCCACCAAATAAGGCATCTAAGGAGGGCATCCAGGTTGGGGTGCTCGCTCTTTCAGCCCACCAAAAGATTGCAACCAAAGTTCATCGTGATACCGATGCTGAAATCGAAGAAGAGTCTTCAGAGCTTGACGTTCTTACAAGGCTGGTAGACATAGTGCGGTTTTACGACCCAGATATTCTAACCGGCTACGAGGTCCACAATAGTTCCTGGGGCTATCTTATTGAACGTGCAAGGGTGAAGTATGATTATGACCTCTGCGATGAGCTATCTAGAGTAAAATCGGATGGCCATGGGCGATTCGGTAAGGAATCCGACCGGTGGGGGTTCAACCACACGTCAACCATTCGAGTCACTGGCAGGCACATGATTAATATCTGGAGAGCGATGAGAGCAGAGCTAACTCTACTCCAGTACACCTTAGAGAACGTTGCTTTCCATTTACTTCATCGAAGGATACCACACTACTCCTTCCAAGAGCTAACTAAATGGTTTGAAAGTAGTAAACCTCGAGATCTTGTGAAGATTGTCAACTATTTTGTAAAACGGACAAAGCTCAATCTAGACATTCTTGACGCAAACGAGTTGATACCAAGAACAAGTGAACAAGCAAGAATTCTTGGAATTGATTTTTTCTCTGTGTTTTCTCGGGGATCGCAATTCAAGGTAGAATCATTGATGTTCCGCATTGCGAAACCCGAAAATTTTCTTTTGATATCCCCAAGCAGAAACCAGGTTGGCCAACAAAACGCTCTGGAATGCTTGCCGCTCGTTATGGAACCCCAGAGTGATTTCTATACCAGCCCATTATTGGTGCTGGACTTCCAGTCGCTCTACCCTAGTGTGATGATTGCGTACAACTACTGTTACTCAACATATCTGGGTAGGGTCGTTGATTGGCGAGGCCGAAATAAAATGGGATTTATTGATTATGAAAGACAAAGTGGTTTACTAGATAAATTTCAAGATCAAATCAATGTTGCCCCCAATAGTATCATGTACACCAAGCCGGAAGTCCGCAAATCTCTCCTAGCTAAAATGCTTACAGAGATTCTTGAGACGCGGGTCATGGTGAAAAACGGCATGAAAGCCAATAAAGACGATAAGACACTGCAGCGTTTGCTCAATAATCGACAGCTTGCATTGAAACTGATCGCCAATGTCACATATGGCTACACATCGGCGTCCTTCTCAGGCCGGATGCCTTGTGTTGAAATCGCCGACAGTATTGTCCAAACCGCCCGAGAGACTTTGGAGAGGGCCATCGCGAAAATCCATTCCGTAAAAAGATGGGATGCAGAAGTTGTTTACGGCGATACCGACAGCCTGTTCATCTACCTCAAAGGTCGCAGTAGAGATGAGGCGTTTGACATTGGTGAAGAAATTGCAAGAACCATAACGGACTCCAACCCTCGCCCTGTGAAGCTTAAATTTGAGAAGGTATATCACCCATGCATCCTTTTGGCTAAAAAAAGATATGTTGGTTACAAATACGAAACGCGCAGCCAGTCAAAGCCAGAGTTTGATGCGAAAGGTATTGAGACAGTTCGGCGTGATGGGACCCCGGCGGAGCAGAAGATCGAAGAGAAAGCGCTCAAAGTTCTGTTCGAAACGGCCGATCTCAGCCGAGTAAAGCGGTATTTTCAGAAACAATGCAGCAAGATTATGCAAGGCAGGGTGTCGATTCAGGATTTCTGCTTTGCCAAAGAAGTAAAACTAGGCACATACAGCGAGAAGGGAGCGCCGCCGCCAGGGGCCCTCATCAGCGCTAAGCGAATGCTGGAAGACCCAAGACTCGAGCCGCAGTATGGCGAGCGGGTTCCCTACGTCGTAGTCTCGGGAGCTCCAGGAGCACGGCTGATAGACCGTTGCGTGGCGCCTGAATATCTGCTCCGCGACCCACATATGGAATTAGACGCGGAATACTACATCTCCAAGAACCTCATCCCGCCCCTTGAACGAATCTTCAACCTTGTTGGGGCCAACGTCCGCCAATGGTACGACGAAATGCCCAAGTATCAGCGGATGCGACGCACTGACGGCGCCATCATCCCGGCCGGCAAAGACGGAACTCTATCGCGACGAACGCTAGAGGCATACATGAAGTCCTCGTCCTGTGCGGTGTGCCGCGAGAAGGCGGACAGCGAGCAGCCAGTCTGCAGCCGTTGCCTGCAACAGCCTCAAATCGCTCTCATGCGACTCCGGTACCGAGCACAGCAGACGGCCGAAAAGGCGGCGGGCCTGCATGATATCTGCCGGTCCTGTATGGAAGTCCCATGGGGGGACGACGTCAAGTGCGATAGCAAGGACTGCCCTGTGTTCTATTCGAGGACCCGGGCAACGGCCAATCTTGGACACACGCAGTCTTTGTTGGACCCGATCGCCGACCTGCTCGGGGACCAGAGTGAAAACGGACCCCTGTCGTGGTAGCGAGTGACAGTATGCTGCACGTCTGCTGGAGACTGCAGCGGCCGTCTCCAATAACCCAATCGAGCGTCGCCGCAATAGTCGAATGCACAAGAGGCCTATCTCCTGTATGTAGTGTAAGCCGGCTACCAGTGTGATCGGATGCCCGCTCGCCACCCAAGCACGGCGTTGCGTTCAGTTTCTTTGTTTGCAGAAACCCTGTGCAGGCTGGGCTGAATTCAAATGTCTTCCCAAATCCCAGAAAGACCCGTAAACTCTCAGGCCTTCCAGCAACCAGGAATGCCTGTCGGACCCGAAATTCGCCCGCCCGACCCAGGGCCAGCTGTCGGGGCCCGAAAGGTTCGCCACAGCTAGCCGCCCAGCGCCCCCGTCACTGTTTCTTTGTTCGCGACCGAGCGAATCGCAGCTGTGGATGATCTCGGGATACGAGAGGCGCAGACAACTGCTGGGCGGCACATCCAGCCCCGTTCACGGTTCGTGGTGCCCGTCTCTTCTCGTCGTCCAGCGCCCAAAGCTGGGGATCGCTTCGTATCGCAGCGTCCGGCTGGGTTGGCCTCCCAAGAGCGGAAGTTGATTCTGCATTGCTGGGACTTCAATGGCCAGCCGTGCATTCTCCAGCGTCTGGCCGTGGAACATGCGGAGCAGCAGGCCTCGACCTGTTGGCTCTTTTCATTGTTGCATCCCGCATTCGGCCATCTCTTCTTTGTCTGGCTTTTGTGTTTGATGTTTTTCCTTTTTCTGCTCATCCTGAATTTTGAGCTGGACGAGCATTCTAGTCTGGTCCGGCGGCGATGTGTCGATGCAGTCCCCTATTTTTACCCATCCTGCATGATGCAATGACTTTGTTCGCCCTGCCAGGTCAAAAAGGAGTAAAAAAGGCCTCCGAGCCCCACCGCTGTTCATTGTTGAATGAAGTTCACTTTTATCCATAAATCGATGTCCATCCGTCTTCGATCCGAGCACCTCCCTCTGCCATAAGTCGGCCCTTTGTGCAGCGCCTGCAAGAATCTCCCCAGATCTTCTACGACTGGGACCGGAACCTCTACATCGTCGCACTCGTCTTTGAGACCGGTGCCTATCATTATCCTCCCTGTCCCGGCGCGGCCACTCCTGGCTCTTTATACGCCTACTAGATGGGGCCGGAAGGAGATCTCCTGATGACCGACGTTCCTCCTACAGCTATTCCGCTTACCACCTCGGAAGTTCCTGTCTGCCACTCCTGAAAACGTATTTCAAGGGCGGTATGGCTAACGATTTCTCAAGGACCCCTTTATTGGCTCTGACTATGGCGAGGACGACAAGTGAGCTCACCTGGCCCAACACTCCTGTCTGATGGGCGCCCGTGCTTATTGCCAGTTAGCAGTTTTAATGCAACCGCTGAGTTGCCCTATGAGCTCATCGATTACCCGTTTGACTATGGTCGGCGATATAATGCCTTTCAGGAGGGGGAGTATTGGTAAGTATGAATCAACCGGATTAGGGGCGGCTTGATTGACACGCTTCCAAGGGCCCCGAATGACGACGTGCAGCAAAACCAAATGAATATCTCGTAAGTAGCCTCGCTCACCTTCAAGGGCTATTGTGCTAACACTATATTTCGATAGGCACTGTATGTTCTATCAGTTGCTTGGTGGAAAACTCACCGATGCACCAGTTCCCACAGGAATAAGGGTTAGCCACAACCGCATTGCTAGAGGTACCCCGTTATTTTGACTTGGATGCTGATGCTGGGAAATATAGGAGGTAATTGATCTCGGCACTGGGAATGGCATATGGGCAATGTACGTCCCTATCGTTCTGTACTGTGGGCGGTGTCTAACCCCTGTAGTGAATTTGCGGACGAGCATCCGTCGGCCAATGTAACTGGGATCGACTTCTCAGCAATCCAACCAAGTCGTCTGCCCAACAACTGCAGTTTTATCGTCGATGACGTTTGCGAAAAATGGTGTTATCCAATAAACCATTTCGACCTCGTTCACATTCGACAACTATACGGCTCTGTCGCCAATTGGCCAAGTCTTTATGCATCCATCTATAGGTTTGTTATTTGATGGCATCGTAAATTTGACAGAACATAACTGATTTGTGCCTAGACATCTAAGACCCGGGGGTTGGATAGATCAACAGGAGATGTCGGTTGAGTTTAAATCCGACGACGGCTCGTTGCCTTACGATCATCCACTTCGACGATGGTCGAGGCTTATGCTCGAAGCTGGGGAGATAAGCGGAAAGACTTTTCGCATTGTTGATCGAGTCCGGGACCATCTACTTGACGCCGGATTTTTCAACATCGTTGAAAAGAGACATAAGGTGCCTGTGGGAACATGGCCGACCGACGAGAGAATGAGCATGCTCGGAAAACTCAATCTCGATCAAATAAAAGCGGGCATTGACGGTTGGACAACAATGCCATTCATGCGAGAACTAAGAGTAAGCGAAGATGGTTTGCTATTCTTACTATCAACACTAACAGCCTCTTTCTAGTGGTCGTATGTTGATATGCGTGATTTTATTCAAGATATTCTGGAAGCTCTAGACGATCCAAACTTACACGCTTATATCGAGGTGTAAGTTCGCACCCCTTCATTAGTGCACTTTGAGAAACGTTGGGCTGACAGGTCGTATACAGAACTTCCATTTATGCGTCTAAACCCAGCTAGAACGAGTATGATCGTATGGACAGTATTTTCGGCATTATCGAGCAAGGGGAAATATTTAATCCGGGGAGTAAGGGCGTAGATTCATGCTCTTTGGGCATTGAAGTGTTCTTTGGGAGTGTCAAGTAACTACATAGTTCTGGAGTAATCGCAGTCATAAGAATATGTAGGGCTGTTTGGTCTGTTTGCCTTGTTTGCCTCAACCCTCCAGGTCACGTGTAATTTTTCTTGGATTGGAGCTCTGGTTAGTGAAGCAAGCTTCGATGTCTTGCAGTTCAAGAGCCAGCAAGGCGCTGAATACCTGCTACAATAATGGCGACTTCAAGAAAGGACATGCGCAGAATAGATCTGGGTAGCTATTCCTGTCACTACTTCATCTGGCGCTCGCTAATGCTAAACTTCGCAGTCATCCCATGGGCTGATCAAACACCCAAGAAAAAGGAGGATATGGCTAGTACGTAATTGCAGCACATCTTTCAGCTTCTCGTCGACTCTTTTACTTACGTATACGGCAAGGTACTCTAACGACCACATTGCCCATGGCGGCTGTATGTTGCCCGGCTTTTCCTGCTCCATTGACAGAACGCTTAAGCTAATATTACCTAGATGTTTACGCGAAGCAGGTGCGCTTTTTCGTCCAGTACTCCCCTAGATTAGATACTATCAATTCTACTCTTTTCCTTCGGATAAAATACTGAAATGTTTGGGGATCTCTATCAGAATGATTGGATGGTATGCCTGCCCCTGCCACTTCAATATCTCTGATAAGTTAACCCACTCCGTATTAGGACTGCTGTTGTTTTTTCGCTTCAGACGTGGATGGCTGAATCGCCTGAGCAAAAGAAAACTTCTTCCACTCCAGCATATTTAGCAGTGTTTATGTCCCGTGAGCGAACGCTTTAGTCCCCAGGTCTGAAGTCGGCATACTGACTTTTTTTTTTACTAGTTCTGGCTGTTGTCGTTGTACGTAAACCCTACTCCCTTCTAATCAATTTGCGCATATATATATTCTTGGTTTCATTTACTTAGCTGCTGATGGATGGTCACTCTGATTATTTTCAGACTTATCTCCCACTGTTCCTGCCGCCTACGCAAAAAGTCGCTGGGACTGTGGCGCCCTCCTCAACACCGAGCACTTAGTATTGTATAAACACAGACATAATTAGGATTTTGCTGTACAAGTTTTGAACATCATTTAGTGAACAAAAAGGGTTGACGTGTAGTACCATTGCACGTACAGTATGGTAAGATATTTAATGCGAAGATATTTAATGCGAGTATGACAACCCACCACATAGCCATATTACGTATGTACATGCATATTCTAGGTACTATTCAGTACTATAGAAGTTGCACTGTACTTACTTCTGACCCTCATTCTCGGTGTTGATGAATTAGACTTACTATTAGGTTTGTTTAATGAAGACAGAACAAGAGGAAAAGACTTAATTGAAATGCTCTCTTCAGCAAATGATGATTATGATCAAACAAACACTAGACCATAGTTAATTCAAGAGATATACATTTAGCTACTTTATCAATAAACAGGGGAAATCGCAACTCAGGTTGCTTTGTCCTTGTTATGATAATTCACGTTGGAGTTCCAGCTAAGTAAATAAATCAGCGATGATCTAAAAGTGATAAGATAAAATGTGGCTCCGCCAAGCAGTTTTCAAAGGGGAATTTGACCTACAATAATGTCTGTACATCAGTTAGCAATTTTTCAAAACGGTAATATGGTTTCTATGAATCACCTTATCACCATCGCCCCAAGAGAAATTTTTTGATCGAATATTTTGGTATGGATATTCAACCCGTTCTTCCAAAGGCGGCATGTGTTCCCAGTGCTCCCAATGCTCGTTCCACAAGTTCCAGGCATTCAATGAGCCGAGAATCAACGCTGGTATGACGACACTATGAGCGAGTCAGCGGTGCCTAGTGATGTGTCAAGAAGATATTGTGAATTACTAAATGGAGAGTTTCCTCCACAAATCTAAGATGCTTAAATTAGAAAAATCCAATCTGACAAATAAAGTAATGAACACACCACTCGTTGCTGCTGCATGGGCTTTAACCGCCTCTCTCTCTTGGATAAATTTGTTGCTCGGGATATTTCCAAGTTTTCCTTCGGTAATCAAACGGCGTTGTAGGCCCGAATAAATTCGGGGAAAGGAGGTGCTAGGTACACCTCGGGCAGATGCGCGAATAACCGAGCGCGAAAGAAACATTGTTGATCTCAGATGTTGATATAATCGAATTCAGGCGGAAGTGGAATCATGGAAATGGCCTGAACACGAAGCGGGCAGGAACATGTTGCTCCGAACGGAAAAACGGAGTAACTAGTTATTATAGGTTAGATTGCTCTTATTAGCTATTGATGACGGAGCTCGCGTTTATTGGCTCTTGGCCTGTTGTAACTAATCAATTTAAAACTGCTATAAAGTGCCCAACAACATAAAATTTGGCTTTCACTACTTTATACCAATAGTATCTTCATTAGTATAGCAATTACCTACCTACAAGCTTTTGATTATTGATATCAAGCCATCATGAATGTTCTTTACTCTGTGTATACTATAATTGGTGCTGCGCTTTTGTGCTCTACACTGTACTTGTACAGAGATACAATATAATCCATTTGAATGGATTTTGAGAAACCACTCAATATCTACAGAACAATATCGTCTGCAAAGATTTAACGAGTTACTGCTGGATGTGGCATCAGAATGCCATTGCGACTAACATCATGGAATGGTCTCTTACACCTGTCTATTTTGCCTGAGATAACATGACTGACTTTTGATAGTAAATGGCATACGGTTAGCCTTCATGCTATAATCTATTGTTTGCTCTTTACTCATCGATAATCCTTCCAGCAACCCGTTCTCATATCAGCCGTGGAGAGATAATAAATCTTTTGAGGTATGAATTTGGAGATCGCTATATTCTTCTTTAGCCGAGTTGACCCTGATAGAGAATGTTCGAACTTTTGGAAGCAGACATAGTCGTATTTCAAGAAACCAAAATTCAAGAAAAGGACCTAAAAGACGATATGGTTCTTATACCTGGCTGGGATTGCTTTTTTAGTCTTCCAAAACAAAAAAAAGGTACTGCTATTATAAACATTCTTCTAATTATTGCTAACAACTCAGGCTACTCGGGCGTTGTAATATATACGAAATGCTCAGTATGTTTGCCAATACGCGCAGAGGAGGGATTGACGGGTATTCTTACTCCACGCGGATCCATTACCCCTTACCGTGAGCTTTCAGGGGATAGTAAAATCGGCGGCTATCCTACTGTCGAACAACTCGAACTTCTCGCCGTCGATCCTGCCGTGATAGACTCCGAGGGTCGTTGCGTTATTTTGGAATTCCCTGCCTTTGTTTTACTTGGTGTATATTGCCCAGCTAACCGTGATGAAGCACGCGACACTTTCCGTTTAGCATTCCTAAAAGCTTTGGATATGCGGGTACGAAATTTGGTTGATATTGGAAAGAGAGTTATAGTAATGGGTGATTTGAATATTTCAAGAGAAATAATAGATTCCGCTCACATTCTGGATTCAATACGCAAACACAAGTCGACAGAAGATGATTTTATCTTCTCTCCCCCCCGCAGGCTCTTCAATCAGCTCGTAAAGGTAGGTAACGTTGACACCAAGAGTATCGAAAAAGAGACCGCAGTGATGCTCGATATATGTAGAAAATTCCATCCAAATCGACAAGGAATGTATACTTGCTGGGAGCAAAGGGTGAACGCTCGTCCTGGTAATTATGGTGCAAGGATTGATTATGTGCTCTGTACCCTGGATATGGAGGAGTGGTTTTCCAGCTCTGACATCCAAGAGGGCCTGATGGTAGATTGCCGTATCTCCCCATTTAGAACACGCTGACCATCAATAGGGTTCGGATCACTGTCCGGTCTACGCTGTATTACAAGATACGATAACTATTCAGCAGGAAAATATTCATATATTGGACGCGATGAATCCTCCGGGAAGCTTTCAAGGTGGAATTAGAAAGTTACCATCTCGTCTCAGTTCTCTACCGCTCTCAGGGAGACTAATCCCTGAATTTCACCGTCGTAGAAGCGTCAAGGATATGTTTCGAACAAATACCGCCATGTCCCGTGAGGGGCCTAGTTCTCAATGTCAATGGAGTGCTCTCGGTTTAGAAAAACAACATCAGTTCGTTGCTAGGCCTGATGGTGATGAGCGAAAACCTCAAACTTTGAGTGGCAGCCAGGCCATCAAACGGGCCGTTGATGATATGAGCCCAGCCCGCAATACGAAGCGACCGAGAGTCCCAGCAGACACGGCCTCAAATGATTCGAAATCTCAGCTCACTTTGACTCGCTATATGGCAGCAAGACCCCAGAGAGGTATGATGTCTCACGGAAACTCCCAACCTGAGAAACCCGATGAACAGATCGAAACATTAAAGCCTTCCAAGAGCTCGCATAAACCCAGCGATTGCGATACTTCAAAATCTCCAACTCCTGTTTATGACTCGACAGAAATGATAAGTACACCTCAAGAAACCACCTCCTCCGGTTCTAATTCAAGAGACTCCTGGGCGCAACTATTTACAAAAAAGGCTGCTCCTCTCTGTGAAGGGCACAATGAGCCTTGTATTACCCTCTCCACAAAAAAATCAGGGCTTAATCGTGGTAGATCCTTTTGGATTTGTCAGAGACCCCTTGGTCCAAACGGTGACAAAGAAAAAGGGACACCATGGCGTTGCTCGACATTTATCTGGTGCAGCGATTGGAAGTCTCAAAAATAGAGGAATCCAGTACGACTCAGTTTATTGCTACCCCGATTATTGATGTCGGGGTTTTGTTGTAAGTTGCCAATATAGGAATGCCTTGGTTCATATCGCTTTCTACCTACTTCTTGGAAAAATACATTTGCTATCCCACTCTTCCTGCAAAATGATACTCTTTCTCAATCAGCTACCCCTCTTTAAGCATCCAATTTCCTTCCATTGGAAAAGCATTACTATGTTTTGCTATCATTATTACACTATGATTTGAAATGTATTTTTATTGTCTGTGTAGACTCCAACAGTTTTTCACAGTCATTATCATAATACATAATACTTTTTTGATACTTTCTACATTTAATAGCCAACAGCTTTGTAAGGAAAACAAAATCTTCTTGTTCGCATTTTTCCAAATAGCTGTGCCCTTTGACCTGATATACTGGGTTTCATAGAAACCATAAGAATATTCTTTGTATTAATGTGTTAATTACTTGTATTGTGCAACATAACTATGTTTCCCCTAACAAACCAAGTGCTGACATGATGTATGATGGTATTTTAGAGTGAATTCATAAATTCAGGGTAACAAAACAAATGTCTGTGCATAACAACAAGAATGTCTCAGACAGGAGGCATGAATCTTATCCATATTATCAAAATGGAAAATGCATCAAAGTCACTGTCGGTCTGGACAGGCCTTGATCGTGGTCTGGTTGGTGGTAAGCTTTCTATTGCCTATTGCCTTTTGCTGTTGCTTGTATTGATTTGCAAAATAGTTGATGGCGTTGCTACTCGGAGATGCAGCACTTCCTTTCTCTCTGCTCTGTACAACGCCTTCATGGAAGTAGTTGTCTGTGCCGGAGACCCAACCATCTTACAAAAACTCCTAGAGCCTATTCGACAAGAACTATATCGATTACAGCTTTACCCGACATTATACCCTACGTCCGATGTGCAGTACAGATTCCGAAGATTATTGGTACAAGGGCTTCAGGCGTATTTTTATGGTCACTCACTGCAAAGCGACGGTCCGGAGACAGTACTCGCGGCAGACAATCTTGTCGCGAGGCGGAGGGATACAGTACTCCAGATTTTAAATTTTCCTCCCTCCCCGCTTCATTTACTACCATGGGAACGGTTTCTTCTAAAAGAAAGTCCAGGTAGCGGCGTCAAATTCCCAGCTCCTCGGCCCCAGTCAATTACGCGACTCATGCCAATTGGTGGTGTTGCACTGCATCTGAGATGGTTGAGATCCAGGTATATAGTTGGGCAAAAGTGTCGTGAGGTAAAGCAAATAGCAATTACAGATGAGCTGCGCTAATACTATTTGAAGTTTCCAGTCCCAAACGAAAACGATATTCAACGTTGCGTTGCTGCAACAGCACAAGGACCGGTGAGTTTCCAATAATAGATGAGTCTGCACAAATTTCTAACCTCCAAATAGCATAGTCCCTCCACTCCGCTACCATCTTCTGGGTTAATTCACCGGCAGACTTGGGTATGATCTGGCATCCAATATTTTCTCTCATCTGCTAAAAAGTATAGATCTCCTTAACACCCAACCAATACTTTGAAGTAAGTTCTCCACGGCGATCATTTAGCATCATTCTGATAGACGTAGCAATTTGGAACAGACATGAGAGATCCTGAAATCACAGATAAACTTGAATCTCTCAGCACAGTAATTGGTGAGTTCAATCAGTCCATCGTTTTTTCCTGCATTACTGAAAAGTGATAGAACTGCTGGAGAATGAACCCCTGGCCGACTATAACAGCGAGCCTGCTGGAGTGAGAGCTATGGTTTACCGGTCGTGGAATACTACTGTACCCATTGAAGATAGATTCTAAATGGTGCGGGTACCGTCTACTCTGTACAGATGCTGCGATGCCTGTAGTACATACATACGTTAAGGTTGCTTCAGGCGCTTGGACAGTACATAAATACAGTACTACATGGTTTTATAATACACAACAATCCAGCCTCGATACTTAGTAAATGGGAATTTTACATATTATAAATATTTACTGAAAAGAAAAATACCACCTAGCCAGGCGCTTAACTGAGTAGGTACTCCGTAGTTACCTACTCCGTATTGTAGAAACAAGGTAACGTTGTGAGGCTGGTAAGTTGAACTCTTAATCCTTTGTTTGGAATATTCCATAGCAACACGGAACTTGCCATCTCCTCGCTAAGAAAAATTCTTCTAAAGATATCGTTTACCTTCTTCTCTTCTTCATTTTTCTTCGCTTTCTTCTTGTCCCGCTCCTCTCTCGTTGTCTTTCATTTGAAATATCGGCTCTCTATCAGTCACTTCAAACATCAAGCCCCGAATTGGATAACTACATACAATCTTCAAGAACAGAGATGTCTGGAAACGAGGTTTCTGCGGTTCACCGTGCTCTCAACAATCTGTTCACCACTCTGAGTCCAGAGCAAGTGCAGACATTCTTGTCGGAGATGAACGCCTCAAGCAACAGGACCATAGTGGCTGCACCACCGATTAGCGCTCCAATCACTTCAGACAGTTTTCAGCTTGTTACGAACCCCACCACTTTCACCTCGATGGGCTCAAGCATCATGCCCCGACCTTCTCCTCGCAGCAAACGCACCCGTGAAAATGGAAAGCTACGGCCACTCAACTCTTTCATTGCATTTCGAAGTATGTTGCCCAATTCTAATTTATTCATTGTATCTATGTACATACAAGACTAACCGAGTGAACCAGGCTTCTATTCTGCGGCGTTTCCGGACCTTTCGCAGAAAGTTAAATCGGGCTTGATCCGTTTTCTCTGGAATTCTGACCCCTTCAAAGGAAAATGGGCTATTCTTGCAAAAGCTTACTCAGTTATTCGCGACAAACATTCAGAGCAAGTTAGTTTGGAGTCATTCTTGGCTCTGAACGGCCCATTTATTGGCATTGTTCCGGCCGCGGATTACCTTGCGATTATGGGCTTGAAATTAGTTGAAGGGTCTGATAAACAATATTCCATCGCCACTACCAGCCACCAAGCGAATGTCAATCCTCTGGATTTGATCACAAACCTATCTTCTGATGATATCGTCGACTACTGTTACCAGACTGGTTATGTTCAGGGCATCGTCCCAGGAAAAGATAAATATTCTAAAGAGGCAGCTCTAGCTATGGCTGTCGCAGCCCAGCCAAGTTGTGCTGCTGATAAACTCCCAACTTCGACCCTTGATTCGGCCACAGCTTCTACCCAGTTAATTGCTCGAAGCAATGTTGAAGATATTGCACCCCCGTCGGACAACAACGCTTTGGTCACGACTTCCTCCGAGATTGTTCGCAGGAGAATCCCTACCGCTATTCATCCAGCTGTTGCAAACAACGCTGCTCTTATTGCCCAGAATTTTGGTAACGGTGCGGTCGCAAGCAATGGTCCTTATACTGCGGCAGATTTCGAACAGGAGATTCGCAGTGTTATGAATGCCTTCCCTTTCGATGCTGAGGATGATAGCTACTATGGGCTTTTCAATCCTGCGCTTCGTACCCCAGTCGTTGTCTACAATCCGTATCGCATTCAGAGCGACTTTGATGCTTTCGACGTTGGAGAATACACCGACATATGAGAACCCCGAAATTAACACCAACAATTTCCCTTCTTACGATAATATGATGAAATAGGTATGCAAATACTAGGATGTCAAGTCCACGCCACAGGATTTTTATTGGGAGGCGGACAATGGATACACATAATGGATAGCTAGATTTTGCTGTTTGCTGGCGGGCTTGGGGAGGAAATTTGACCTGTAACATTAATTATGCAAACCTGTATTGTAGACAGATACCTTAGTGTAGAAAATCAATATGAGACATGAATAATATTCCCCAGTACTCCAGGAGTACTCCGTAGGGAGATATCATCGGCGGAAAAAGGTTCCTAGGGGCCCCATCAAGATCCACGCCACTAGGATACCACATGTGGGTCCTTGCCGCAGCGGGGGGTTAATAATGGAAACGGCCGGGGCAGGGAAACACAAGCGTTGAGCCTAGCCGTAATTTATTTACATACGCACTCAAAGCAGCTTGGCTGTCATATTTTTGTCGTACAGTTTGTACACCAAGCCCAAGTGCCCACAACGATGCAAACGGAGCAATCCACGTGCTGGGACCTGCATGTGGGAGCAAACCTTGCCTTGGACAGTACGGAGCATTTGTACAATGTAGGTGTGTGTCCTTACAAAACCAGAAATTATTTGAACCGATACTCTCCGCTTTCTCGGCACTGACGTACTCCGTAACTACGTAACCACACAGACAAGGAAGCGACATGTGACGGCAGGCCGAAAACGTGAGAAGCGGAGAAACTGCATGCAGAACAGGCAAGAGGCGCGAAAAAGAAAGCACCCGCCGCCGCCACTGGAGCACAGACCCGAAAGGTAGTTCGCCAATACCTGCAAACGGGGACAGCCGGCGTCAAGCGCGCTGATTGGCCGGGTATTTCGGCGGCGGGGGCGCTAAACGGGGCGCGAGTACGGCTAGTGTACGGTACGGTACGGCGCTACGGGCGGACGGCGGGGCGCTTGGGCGAGAGTCATGTGGGGGGGGCAGGTTCCGTGGGACAGGGCGGCGGCGCCAAAATCAAAACAAAGGAAGAACTCGATGGCGAGCCACGCCATCGTCAGCAGAAACAAAGAAACCGCACCAGCGAAGGTTCGCGATTTCAAATACCGTTGCCTTGTACGTATCAGGGTGTTGGTGGGCGACACAGCGCCCGTGGAACCTGCTAGCACTCTCTACGAGAGGTCTTTTCCGAGTATCAAAGAACGAGGGGGGGGCTGGGTGAACCAAAACCAAAAATAAAAAAGGACAAAGACTTGCAGACTGGGCGGCAAGGGCGGCAATGGTATTATATACATGGAGACTCGATATATACACTTCCAATTTTACTCTAGATACGATATCTTGCGCATTTCCCCCAGCCGCTGTCTCGCTTGCGAAAGCTTGTTCTCCAATTGTAGAATCTCGACCTAGTACAAGAAAAAGAATATTAGAACAGAAGACACACGGCGTGATAGCCCTCTGCTGTAGAATACACATACCTGCTGCTCCATTTCTCGGACCTTGAACTCATGTCCGCTCAGCTGGGTGTAGTCGATAGCCTCTGTATCATCGCGGTTCTTCTCCGCGATGATACCCTGCACTTGGCGTACCAGCGACCGGCACGCCACCCCAACCGCCTTGCTCGCCGTCTCCAGGCGGTCTTGCGTCTTGCTCATGAACGTCGCCTTGACGCGGCTGGCCGCGACGAGCTGTGCCGTGCTGGCAGCCACGTCGTTGCTCGCAACGATCAGCTGCTCCGGCGAGTTGCGCCCAGATATAACCCCATCCGCTGTCTCGATCAGCGTGTTGGTCGATGTGGCAACGGCCTTCGCGGCTGAAATCAACCCTTCCGTCCATCGGTTGTTTTTCTTGTAGAACGCTGTGCGGGACGAGCTGCCTCGTCCTTCTCTGACGATCTCTTGCTGCGACGCCGTAGCCGCCCTGATAAGCTCGGCGATGGCATTCGTCACCGCAATAGACGCCTCCAAGATTGAATCGTGAATGCGTAGTTCGTATGTCGAGTATCCGTCCCTCGGCTTCTTTTTAAGTTTCGCCAACCGTGCCGCTGCGGCCTCGATGGCATTAGCCGCATTGCTTAGTTCGCGATCGACCAAGTCCCCTAGATCGCCCGCCGCGCTTAACTTCGTGCTCTTGGGAGCAAACGCATCCACCAGTTTAGAAAGCCGCTGCAAGTTCACCGCAATTTCATGGTTGTTGTTAATAACAACGTCCGTCTTCTGGAGTGGTTCTAAATCCTGGAGCCGGAAAGACTGCAGCGCCCGGAAGAAGGCCATGGTAGACTGTGCTGATTGTCGTGCTGCGTTGATGAGCTGGTCGGCCTTCTTCTCGTCCGTTGCAAACCTTGTCAAGCCCTTTGCATTGCTTAGAACATCTGCTATCGAGCCAGAGAAAATGCTGACCGTGCGGATGATTTCGGAATGCGTGCTGCCAGGGCCATCTGCGATAAAGTTATTGAACGCTGTTGAAAACTCGGTCGCACTTGCTGATGCTTTTTCAATCTGTGATAGTACGTATGGAGGCGAGGCGTTTTGATTACCCGCTTGCATAGTAGAGTCGAGTTCATACAGGGCGTCGTCTACTCGCTGAATACCACTCTGCAGTACAGAATCGATGATATCATTGATCTTAGTTACGGAACTGAGTAGGACATCATCGATTTGCGTATCAAGTGCCTTGTCGACATCTCCTTGATTCTAGGCACAAGTAAGCGGGTGGTGCGTGAGTTGAACAATAGGCAAAACTGTACATACCAATTTAAGTTCCTCCAGTTCCAATAGAGCCTGCTCCATTCCAGATTTATAAACTTCTATCTCTTCGTCCTTTTCTTGTAACGCCAGATCATGATCATGATCTCTTTCTCCAGTGCTGTTGCGAGCATCTTCAAGGGCGCGGCTTTTGTTCTTGAAAAAAAAAAAAAAAACGTTAGAATGTCGCAGGATTCGAAGACATCAATCAAGAACTTACCCTTAGAGTTTCCTCGAGGTCCGCCATTTCTCTATTATACTTCGCGAGCATGGCGGAGATTTCAGAACCCTTGGCACGCTCCGCATTCTCCGCCCTCTCAATGGCCAACCTTAACTCCCTCCTTAGCTTTTCAAGATCCTCTTTGTTCCCACCGGAAATCCTATCTCTTTCGTGAAGAGCTCGATCACGCTCTCGTATCATATCGGCAAGCTCTAGGTTTTTGGTCTTCATCTCACGTTCAAGTCGTTCCCGCCTCTCAATTGCCTCCTGCGCGGAAACTGCCTTAAGCTTCAAGGATTTTGTGGTCTGTAGCAAATCTAGATGCTCTTGTCGTAGTTGAGAGTAGAGTTTCGCAAGTGCTTCGTACTTTGTTCGCCAGGTGTTAACCTGTTCCTGAAGTGCTCGGATCTGGTCGTCTTTGGATGTATTCTGGAGGTTGTAGTTCGAATTAAGTTGGTTGAGCTGCTCCTCCAGATCTTTGACACGTTTATCATATTGCTGTAACATGAGTTGGTCTCGCTCGTATTGAGCGCGAGCATTCAAGTTCTCTTGCTCGAGTTCAGCAAGGCGGCCACGTGTCTGTTGCTGATATTGATCACGAAGTAATTGCTCTTGTGCTAAGCGTTGTTGCTCCGCTTGCAACCTTTGCTGTTCTTCAAAGTCACGTTGCGCCTGTAATTGGGCAGCCATCTGTTGTCGCTGCTGATCTTCCCATTGCTGTTGCAGTCGATTTTGTTCGGCTTCATACTCTTCCTGCTGGCGTTTTGCCTCTGTTGACCAAAAATCATTTATAGGTTCAGGGTCAGGAATGCTGTTCTTTGGCGGAGGTGTCGGCTCCTTCTCAACTTCCTTGGCTGGCCGCTTAGGAAGAGCTGGTCTGTCCTCTTCTTCACTAAGCAGATTCGGGGGTTGCTGTGGAAGTTTTGGAACGGTGATGAGGCTTGTTAAATATCGTAAATTCGAACACTCGTAGTAAAATTTAACGAGTCGATAATGCTGGGCATCGTATCGCCCTCGAAGTGGTTCCAATGGTTCTTCATCACCAGTAGCTATTCGGCCGTCAATACCACAGATCTGACTATGACGAATGTTAAGCTTACTGGTATGCATGGCCCTCAACATGCTAGTGATAAACTTGTATATTCCATAGCTTTCTTGGACTAATGCAACTAACGCAGAGATTCTGCACTCATTATTAGCTCCACCACGGAAATGCGAAAATATAAGTTTTTGGAAAGCGTCAATCTGGTCCTGTAGATTCATGAGATCTGTAATCGTTTCATATCTTGAATAACGTTAATATAGAAATGAGTTAAGTTAAACGAAGTGGGCATACCCTTCATTTGGGTCATTGATGGATTTGAGGCTGATATATTCTTCATATTCAAACAATCCTGATCTCTGATATTAGTAACGGGGTCATTAATTTCGACAGACGATCAAGTGGGCGCCAGGTAACCCACCATTGAATTCTGGATGTTGCCGATGAAACCCCAGCTTCGATTCAAGAAAGAATACGTATTCTCTGATCAACGGGCCATAGCCTAAGTCACAAATCAGCAAAATTCTTCCGCTTTCGAAGTCGCCTGTTGAAGACATGGGCCTAGAGATACCTCGGAGTCCCTCGCCTGCCACTCCTCTGGCTAAAGTATCCAGCCACGGGACATGAGCTTGTGCTTCTTTGACCGTTACCGGGTGCCCTTCTTGTAGGACTTTGTGAACCGTTATAAGTGCCTTGAACGTTTGAACCTCATCTGCTAGGACTGGCTGACTAGTCATGACGTATCCCGCCATTAGCTTCGAGTACTTGTACTGAGCCTTCAATGGAAGAGAAGTGATATATTTCACGTCGTAGTTAAGTGTAACTTACACTTTCATGCCTGCCCAGAAAGAGGCAGACGATTTATGGTCCCATGTATATACGATACAGCTCCGTACATGTTTTCCTAGGCCAGTTCAGTCGGATTCAACGATAGAAGACAATCAAATAGGAGCATACTTTTGGGGGCGGTTTCCTCTATGAGATTTTCTCAAGTCAGCGGATAAGAATATCGAATACCTAAGGTGAAGTTTACCTATACTTGTGGCTTTCCGAATGTTGACTGCTAAATCAGCCTCAGTCCTTCACAGTAAATTCACATTAGCTTCAATTCAATAAAGAAAAAAAACTTGATATCTAAATTTCAGTTTTACCTGCTCATATCTACATTGCGTGTAATTGTTGAATTGTACGCCATAGACATGGTGTTGGGCCGCGAACAGCTTTCAAACCCGGGGTCAGAAGGAATCGCGCATATATGTGAGCGTCTAAAAACAAAGGTAGTATCAAATAGATAGAATGATGAGCTGCTTTTGGGTCATTTAGATTGTAGTACAGCAATAATACACTATGAAGTTATGACTACGTAAGTGAGCAGGCAGTGAATTAAACAAGGAGTACTATTCTGCCCTATTTCACCGCTTTAGCGAGTAAACTGGGAAGCCTAACTAGGGGATGCCAAGAAAGCCGGCAATAGTTTGCATTGTTTGTTTATTTCTTGTTGCAGATAGGTACTCTGTACTCCGTACGAAGTACGGAGTACTACGTGGGTGTGAAACTGAAAATCGGAGCGTGGGTTCAATGTGCGTAATCCTGGGATTACTGACATTTATTGTCTATGATTAAATGATACTGCATATATCTGATACGGCAGTGAGTAAACTAAGGAGTGCATCTACCGATGCTACCTACTCAAGCTTTACGGCCTTATTTTCACTTGATTCTATGTTAAAGGGTGCTGTGTTCACATGGCCAGTGGAAGGGTGGTCCTTCGAAGCATCATGTTTATTAGAAGCACCCTGTACAGTTCCCACAGGAAGGAAAGAGGTTTTTAAGCACTCATCGTTTGGTTTAATGTTTTCGCAGAGGGGAGTTTCGCTCACAAATGGGATATTCCTATCAGAACTTGCTGGGGCTTTAATAATAAGTAGTTCTTCGCGTGCTTCGTCATTTTCAGTCTTGATGGACGATGAGTCAGAGTCCCTGTGGCGTGAAAGGTTTGGCTCTGACAGCTTCACGGTTCTCAAATCCGTTCTCTCGACAGTCTCGGGAAATAAGCGTGGCGCCAGTGGTTTTCGTTTAGGCAATGAAACCGTGCTGGTTCGGAATAAAGATCTCTCCGGGGGAGGTAATGGAGTTCCTGGAGGGGGTAGGGGCCTTCCTCGCCCCATAGGATGGTCTAAGTTGACAGGGGTTCTATCAGTACCCTTTTGAAATTGGTCAACACGTCCCAAGACGTTCCATCCCCACTTTTTGGCTGCAGCTGCAGCGACTGATCCTAAAGAGCCCATGGTTTGCCGTGTTTCTAGGGGGTTTGCGCTCGGTGCGAGGGTGTTAGGCCCAGGTTTTGAGCTGGGGCTCTGTTGTGTCGTTTTTCTGTTCTTTGGGTCGGCCAAGTCTGTCTCGCTGTTTTCAGCGATCGAATTTGATGAAGTTTGGCTGACAATTGAGTCGGCGCGTGTGCGACCATCCATAGAAGAACCGGAAGATTTCTGGAAGGAGGGAGATCTTTGAACTGATCTATGATGAAGCGAAGCCCTCGGAGAATGGGAGGTGGGAGAATCGATCATAGTACTGGTTGCAACATTGTCATCGAGCTTTTCGTTGGAAACGGACTCCAGCGAACCATATGTCACGGAGCTGTTGGATTGGGAGGTCATTTTCCTGGAGATAGTTACGGGTTCGGAACGATTAATGTCGGTGACTCCAGCACAGGTGTCCAGTGCCGGTGAGCTCTTGCTCCTCCAATCGAGGGCTGGGGACAGGGGGGAAGAAATTGTGATGACGCCTTCAGTTTGCTCGTCATTACTTAAAACGTCATCGGGCAAGATCTCCGCAGTATGTTCCTCTACCTGTATATCGTCTCCGGTTGTTTGATCATGAGATGGGGCTGAAGTCTCTTGCCATATTCCGCCACGATAACGCTGGAGCGACGTGTCAAGGAACGGTATATCATCCCAGAAAGGCTGCACTAAGGTCTCTCCTACGACTTCCCTTATTCGACTCTCGATAGCTCGAAGGATAACTCCATATGTAATTTGCATGGAGCTAACAATGGGTTCGATATTCATTTCCATTTCAGGCATAGTTTCGAAGGAGAACCAGGCGCGGTTACTTGGCGGAGGCTTAAAGCGAAGTAAGCCATGACCTTTCAGCCTCTTCAATACAACGGCTAACACAAGATCAACCTCTCGGGCTTTGAATCGCGCTCCTAGGTCAATTCGCGCAGTGGCGGCAATTTCTATGCGAAAATTGCCGTTGTAAGTAAGATCCGCCTCGACACAACAGTCGCCATCAACAGTGAGATCTTTAAGTCGTGGGTTTGTGATAAGAGGGATACCCCCACCTGCATTTATTTTTCGAAGTATGATCCTTGTTATAAAATTTGGTTTTTTCACTCGAGATATCTTCTTCGAAATTTTCGTCCAGATATGGCTCTCCAGCTCTGTAGTTTTATACACCGAAAGAAATAGCCTCCCAATCAAGGCATTGAACCACCGAGTATGAAGATTCTCTTCGGAGGAATGTAGTCCTTTAACCAGGTTCACAATGTCTTTAGCATCAAAATGCTGGGCAGTGGGAGGGGAATTCGGGGACTCGGGAAGCTTCTCTAAGTTTTTCAAAATGGCAAAATAGAGGTCTTCTTTTTCGGAGGGGTTTTCTGAAAACAAATAAAAGGGAAGGGTAGCCATTTGCGGATTGGTGGCGTCAGACGGCGATAGCTTTCTCGAAAGGCGTATGGCGTTTCGCTTGATCCACAGCTCGCCTTCCGGGATGGGCTCTCCACCGCTATATATTTCAACATCGTGATGTGATAGAGAAATAACGTAGCGAACTTCCATTTGCTCCGAGTCATCATAGAGCATAAGGTGGCCATGCCTAAGTATGAAATAAATCAGTTTTCCATTCGAAGACGGTATAGAAAGATGCAGTACAGACCTTAGGACGATATAAAAGACATTTCTCCCTTTCTTGTTATTCTTGCCGTTTACCTTTCCATGATCAACCGTTGTAGAGTTTCGCCTATCGAAGATACTGCGATACATGCTCTGATAAACACTCGGACTCTCAGGAGTTATGACTTCCCCAGCGGGAGTGGTCCGTTCAGGAGGTTTGCCGTTGAGTCCTCCTGGAACATACTCACGACACACAGTAAAGTACCCCGCTGCTACATCGGTTTCGTGGATCCGCTGGAACTTCTCAGCGAGGGCATCAGTGGCTGTTTGAAGAGTGGCTTGGCTATCGGTCGGACGTTGAATCCCGTCGAGGGTGTACCAATCCGGTATTTCGCCATTCTCCCGGCGTGGCAGAGTCAACCAGGCGTGGAATATTAGAAGGCCAAATACAACGGGAATGAAGGTAACGCCACCAAGGACATACACCAGCAAGTACCCAGTCAAGGAACCCATCAGGTGCTTCGCTCAGATAGTAGGCCACGTCGCCCCATCGGAAGAAAGCACGAAAGGGTTGTGCTAGATATTATTCAATAAGCAGAATGGCTTTGCTGTAAGGAGGACGGCTGCATTATGCCAACAAGAAGTGATAGACGTCATGCTGAAGCCAGTTTTATGATAACACTCTATCAACTTCACGATCGTTCCAAGCTCAATACGATTATGTAACTAAGTTATTCCCTAACTAATTATAGTTAACTTGAACTTAGTCAACCAACTAGAGAGTTATTACTAATGGCGCTACAGTGGACGACATGGAAGTACCTATGTAACTACGGAGTACTTCATGATTACATGGGCTGGTAAAAGCGGCCGGATACTTCATGCTCTGCGCTTTGGGGGCCAAGAAGGCGCTGAGAGTAAAAAAACGGGAGTTAGCTGTAGCTATAGTCACCATATCTATTATTGGGCGCACTGTAGACTACTCTGTAGTTGCATCACTATATACTCCGTAACCACCAGGCCTAGGCCTGAGCCCAGCAAACGAACGTGGCGCGGAACAACACGTGATAGTTACTGTCCTGATAGGCTCGCCGCGATTTTCGTCATGAGCAGCTCGGAGGCCCGAAGGTGATGATCTTGACTCTTCCACCAGTGACTTGGAGCAGCCTTGGTTGCACTGGAAGCAGCTCGCGATTGGGCTTGTTAGCACTCGCCCTATTAATGAACTAGCCATGATCCAGCGGTTGTCCATTTAGCTTTGAAGCTCAAAGGGACCGTAAGTTACACTACTCTATGTGAGCTGTTCTGTGACACAGTCTGAGTGTTGACTCTCTCGCTTCAGGTATTGATCTGAAGGAAAAGACGGTGTGTCCGCGGCGGCGAGAGAGCCCCAGGCTCACCAATTTCTACACTCTTAATTCCCGGCCGTTCGCTTGCACACCTCCCGCGTTGTCGGCCGGACCTGTGATGTCGCCCTGCCCATAATTTCAGAATGAGCGGGCATTCGTACACCCCGTACATTATTTTTTAGCTTCTAGTCTCTGAATGAGATGTAATGCTATCTCGCTATTCGATGACTAGTAGCACCTCGTCCTCCAGTGGAATTGCCGGCCGGGCACAGGTCCAGCTGGACGAGTCGGCAACCGAATATGCCATCCAGAGCCCTGTGATTGACCTAACTGGTAGCGACTACGAAACATGCGATGCGAATAGAGCTTCGAAGCGGCAAAAAGTTGGCACTACAATAGATTCTCTAGATACGCCGCAAGCCTCAACTACACAGTTATCGCAACCATGCTCGTTTGCATCCCAAGATACCGGCCCATCCACTCCAACGGAAAGGCCTTCGTGGAGCTTTCAAGACGAAGTTTCGGACCCTGAAACTCCCAATGATGACCTTAAAAAATCATGTCTACCATTACCGATGCGACCCTGGGACTACAGACCTCAACCCAACATCGACAACGAAGACAACATAGCAGAGATCATTGCCCTCAATAATCAGCTTGCAAATATTGAAGTTCAAACGACGCCTTTTAACATGAAAGTTCCTGAGGTCGCCCCAATACTTGGTTCCGACAGTAAGTACTTTTTCTTTTGATTGTTGTTCTCCAGGCGGAACTAATGGCTTCCGATATCAGCCCCTCTAGACTTTTATCCTTGGAAAGGTCTGCACCCGGAAGACCAGTTGACGGAGACGACGGCGAAACAAGGTTTCTATGACCGTGTGCCCATGGCACAAAACGAGACCAACACTGCGAGGCCGGCACTCTACGCCAACTTCAAACATCGATCGGGTTTGAAACTACTTTCTTCCATATTTACTACCGCTCTTGACAGGCGACAGTCTCGTTGTAGAGTTACGGATTTTTCAACATTCAAACCTCCTCCTCGGGTTACCTTAACGGATATTAAAAGAGAGGCCTGGTTGCGGGATTTGGCGAACCCTTCTGTCCCACTTCGAAAATTGAGTCGGACAATACCCCACGGAATTAGGGGCAAAATTCTTCTTGATCAATGCGTAAACAAGGGGATTCCGGTTGGGAGAGCTGTTTGGTTAGCCAAGTGTGTTGGTGCGAATGAGATTCGTGCATTTAAAAGAAAAGGAACTTCAGCGGCTATTGCCAATGGCCTTGAGATTAAATGGGTTCGAGATTGGAGCGTTAATGTTCAACAATTTGTGGAGAGTATTGTTGGGGCTTGTGGGACCCCAAACTGGGCGCCAACCATGTCTTATGTGTAAGCCTTGCCCTTGACCCCCTCATGGAATATTTGCTCACGTTGAATACAGCGTGAAACTTGCAGCACGGCTATTTCAAGAACACCTTCTTGACCGAGATTTATGCCAGGAGTGGTTTCTTCAATCACTCAGTGAAGCCTCGATTGCAATTCTTCCTGTATGGCTTTCCATGCTTGGAACATACTGGGCACACATTGTTCAATTTAGAAAAAGGGGCCGTCGCCTAGCAGAAATTTTACTGGAGAAACTGCAAAAGGTATTGTGTACACTCTCTTTTAATTTGAAGTAAAACGGACTAACTTTGTGCCCGAAGCTTTTGGCGCTTGACCACTTTGCGCCGAAACAGCCAATTGTTGAGCGTCTTTCCTTTGTGGTTAAGACTTTTGCTGAAACAAATTCGTCCTGCTTTATATTACCACTTACATGGCGAACCTACAAACATACTCTTATTACTTGTTTTAGTCCCAATATGGAAGCAGATAGCCAAAAGGTTGACTGGATTACCAAGAGGAACGAAACTGTCATCAAAGCTGAATTATGTCGTCGTAGTGATTATATATCACCCTCCCAACAATTTATCAGCTTACTGGATAGTCCTGGTTCCGCTAACGATATTGATACACTCTTTTTAAGCTGCGAGACTTTGAACTTGGGTTATGATATATTATTATCAAAAGTTCTAGGCTGGGCGTCAACCAATTTTCGTTGTGGATCTGCTAGAATCTATGCCACTGTGCGATTGATAAGGAGGTGGAGAAAAGCAGGAGTTGACACTGACAGCCACATTATTACCTTTCTACAGTCAAAAGGCGAGGCCCCAAGTTTTTCTACAGATAACATATACCATATCGTCTGCGAGCTTGTTCGTTCCCATTCTTTTGCCGTTGGCAAATACCTCCAATGGCTTTTGGCCCGTGGGGCCGTTCGAGACTATGTGGTGAGTTTCCTGAGCAAAGACATTCAATAGCTTGCAAAATGTTAAGTTACCTCTTAGTCTTCTATACCAGCAGATGTTTGCGTTCTCACTCATCTGCCACGCCATAGGCTACCAACTCATGTTTGGAATCTTCGAAACGCCATCCTTCTTAAAGCAGGCTTCTCCGTTGATTCCGAATATCGTTTGATTTCGAGCATAAAATTCCATATTCACAGAGAATTAGCTGATATTGTCCCTAAGCCCAGTGGAGACCCTATTGGGGGCTCCCCCCTTGTTGACGGTACTCATATATCCTGGACGATTAAATCGGAAATCGGGCATTGGCTACGTGAGCATGTCATTTCGTGCCGAAAATCTTCCCTCAGGTATAATGGGGTATCCTCTATTATACAGTATCGCCGTTTCTGATAGTTCTCTTTAGGATTCTCCCCGACAATGATACCCCTTCCGCAGTTGAGATTTCGGCCCTTACGATCGCGCAGTTCTTTAAAATTAGAGATGTTATCGAGTCTCTAGGAGACTTGTCACTTCTCGCAGACATATTGAGATATGCTACCAGTTCAGATGAGGTACCTGTACTAATATCCATTGCGGATACGCTCAACTATCATACGGATTCTTTCAAGGCCATCGGTGCATTTGTTGATATTTTTCGGGGCATCTTAACTACATACTCCTGTATCGGAAAATCTGATCATTTGACTCTGGAGCTAATATCATCTCTTCTTGAAATCGGAATAAAGTTGCCAACTGAAACCCCTGCAGTGACAATGCTTCGACGTGACCTCTCCCGCTTTGATAAGAAATTCTTGATGATGGTTTCATCTCCGGTTTCTGAACAGCCTCTAGAACCAGCAAGCTACTCTCGCTCAACCGTTCCTGACGCTATACGTCAGTTGCTTGATTCAGGGCACAGTATTGATGAGTCCAACCTGCGACAGATCTTTGACGTGTTGGTAAAAAGGCTCCAGCAGCCCAGCGAGCTAGACTCTTCTCATAAAACCGCTCGATATCTATCCGAATTACGCAATCTCAACCCCAAGGTTTTTGATGTTTTGATGTTGAAATGGATCATCTCATTGTTGAAGGCTTCGTCGCGCCCTTCTTTTGCCGCTTTCCTCCCACCTCTGATCGGCGTTGGCTGCGTTACATTTCACGCGTTCTTTGCTCTTATCAAAGGGGTTCTGGCCTCTGATGCGGATCAACAATCGTTACGAAATATTACGGAACTTCGCTATGAGTTGGTAGATCTTATCTGCCTAGAAAGTCTTCAGGAAATAGACCTTGTACGTACCCTCCTACACTCTATATACTCCATAATCCTGATTCTCACCATTCATCGGCTCTAGGTATCATATCGCTATAAGATTGCAAGACAAGAATATATCTCCGTCCACGCCCATGATGCTCTCACCCTTATCAATGACACCTTCGCCGAAATTAGCGGAAACCATAACACCCAAGGAGCCAAATATCTCTTCTGCGATTTAATTATTCAGAAAATATGTAAATCTGATCTCGAGAAGGCCAGTCGGCTTCTTGAAGAATTTCCCAATTGCTTGAGCTTTATTCACAAAGCACTCGATATTTTACTAGGGTTTAATTCTCGAGGTAAGACCGTGTCATCTTGATGGGGTTCGGCAATTGTTAATTTCTGCATTGAAGACATTCCCGTTATACAACAAAGTCACGTTGTTATCGATCTCATTGATGAATTTTCTCTGCCTTCTTGCTTAATTAAGCTCCAGCTTCTTCTTGACGCTACTCCCAATGAGGATGTTGCCAGAAACGGCGTTGTAGACTCATTATTCAAGACGGCAGAAATTGATATCCGCAACGGTGAGCGGCGCTGGCTTGAAGTTTTGAAAGTCCTACCTGTTACTGCCGCCCAATTGGTAAGCCCCATCCCTAGTTATTTCATACATCACCCTTCTGACAGCGAAAACAGATTAGGCATCGCGCTGAGCACGAACTTCTCTCTCTTCCTCTCTCCTTTGCCAACTCATCAGATCTTTCGTACGGAGAATCTGCCTTGATTTATCTCCGTATTATCGAAGAATTGTCATATTCAATCCCCGATGAATTTATTTCGTCCTCTATAGGTTCTGACATCGCCGATAAAATGATGTCCCTATTGCAGGGCATCGTGGAATCAGGAATTGTGAAAAACGCTGCTGATTCTTTAATACCCAATAGCCCAGGCTTTGCATGCGATAATCAGATATCAGAGCTCCGGGCCGGCCTCTGGTTCTATATTCTTCTTCGCCTTGTGGCTCTGCACCGGTTATCCTTTCCAGCCCACTCTACCTCACGGACGGAGGTCAACAACCAAACCCGCATTTTAATTCAAATCTGCTATGCGACCCGATTACCTTTATTTACAAATCGTCTTACTAAAGATTTTAGCCCACTGCTTCTCCATTTTACCAAGCAAATTAGCCTTGTACAAAATCTTCCAAGTACATGGGCGAATTTGCGACTTCAAGCGTTCGATGTGTGCTGCGCTCTTGCCGATACCCTTCGCGATGAAGCGCGGTTCGAGTGCGCGCGTTTTTTGCGGGAAAAATGTCCACCTGTCCTTCATCCTCAAAATGACCCCCGCTTGCTCTTCATCTTTGGCCCTATACCAGACCACCAAATTCCCATTGTGACCCATAGCGGCCCTAACCCTTCTACGAACGGCCCATCCACAAACATTCCCCCACACTTGCAAGCCGCACCGTCTCAAGCCTCTAATATGCCAACATTTACAGCCCCTGACGACCCAAATTCCTTCACTGATAAACTTCGTCTCCAACAAAACGGTCGGGTTACTGGCCCATATCAACCCCGACCTTGGGAGATGTTAGGCGAGGCAGCTCCTGTGGTTGGTGTCAATGACACACCCATAAACTTGACATTTTTTGGAACGAGGCAAACGAGACATTCTTAGTGGCGATTTTCAGATCTCTCGGATATTCTTAACCTGGTGTTTTTTTTTTTTTTTTTTTTTTTTTCCTTTTATCCTATAATATCAGCATCAGGGCGTTCAGACTTTCGGGATTTTTTAATCGATTTGTCATAGAATTCCTTTGCGTTCCCTTCTGATACGAATTTCTCTCCAGTTATGATGGCATGAGATGAACGATTATATATATACTACCTCTCCTTAATATGATTTTGCTAAACTCAGCTTGCGTCCTGATAGAAACAGACATTTGTAGGTGAGTAGCTTACGTTTCACAATATTTTACAGCTATAGCCCGGTGACTATTCTATATATCTCAAGACATATATCCTCCTGTCAACATCCTCAAATAACAATGTGGCCAACTGCTATGAGGGTAATAATGCTTCACCTGCGCAGGCGAGAAATATATGTCACGTGATCAATTCACTTCGCTCACATGGCAGAGAAGCATTGGAATTTGTTCAGCAGACATTTAGTTTCCAACCCATTGTTCTAGTTAAATGCAGCAATTATTGATTCATAATTCAATTTTGAAAGCTGTGGCAGGCTCTAGGGAAAGCCTAGATATACGTGAAGATGATTCCTACGGCGAAATGCCTCGCCCGGGGGTCAGGCCTTTTCAAACGTACAACTAACGAGTTGTCCCGCCTATCAAAGATGGGTATGTGCGCACAAACGAGCTTCTTCGCGCTTTATTTAAGCCCATTTCTAGCTTATAATACCCGTCCTGTTTGTCAATTCCTTAACCATGCTTGCCTGGGCTGACATTAATGAATATGTAGCTTGGGGTTTTGAGACTCTCGAAATTCCAACGAAACCGTACTACCTCCTTGATTTTGAACATGAGGAAGGTGTAAAGGATTGCAAAACAATGGCCGATCGTGCAGTGGGTGGCTATAGCACCGCAAACCTAGACTTCATCCCTCCTGACCCTACCACTAACGCACCCGCCCACGCCCGTTTTCATGGCTCTATATCGACTAAATTACCTACGAATTGGAGGATACAGCGGACTGGATATGCTGCATTTCGAAATCACGATCGTCGGTGGATATTCGGTGGCCTACATTGGGATATGGATCCGTTCGCATATCTAGCTCTAAGAGTGAAATCCGACGGTAGGCGATATACTGTTAATATACAAACGGACAGTATCGTGGAAACAGATATCCATCAACACCGACTGTGGACGCATCATCATAGGGTACTATCTCAATCACGATCGCCCGACACGCCCTTGTCGGACTCCCCAGCAGCACTTGCCGATCTTCCGACTTTGGACGCGATATCTCCGCATGCAGCGACTCCCGGACCAAGCTCGACTGGCTGGGAAACCATATTGATAAAATGGGGCGATTTTGTTCGGACAAATCACGGAAAGGTCGTCGAGCCGCAAACTGGCATGATAAGGCAGAGAGTCAAGTCCATCGGCATTGGGCTGACTGATCGTGTGGAGGGCCCGTATGATTTGAGAATCCACCGCATATGGGCAACCAACTGGCTGTCCAAGGAAGAGATGAAAGAGGAGCGCTACATTTGTGGTGAGAGAGCGTTAGATATGCCGACAGTGGAAGCTGGCAAGGATGAACCTTCGCTGGTGGATTCCGAAGCGAAAGGCTTGGGTAGATTCAAACAGCTTAAGGGATTAAAAAAGGAATATTAAGACTTTGGATTGATCTAACCGTATAAATTTAGCATAATACCAGGCGTTTGGAGGAAATTTGTAGGCCATCGCATTTGTATATGAAACTTGCAATCATAGTTCCGTACTTTTAGGTTACGTACGAATAATAATAAAACCCGAAACAAATCCAAGTTGATCACGTCAAGGGCACAGGGTAGAGAGATAAATAACACCAATAAACTCCACAAACAAAAGCTCCAGTCTGTGTATCATACGGCATAGTTCAATAAAGGAACAAGAGCTTTTCCTCTTCTGGATCGCCCTCGCTGTGACGTAGAATACCTCCCCTCATTCGGCTGGATTTCCCCCCTCGGGAACAGAGGGCATGTCATCCTGAAAGGCATTTCCAGTAATCCTCTCGAATGCCTCGTAGTACTTGAGTTCAGTCTTTCTGGCAATATCAGCTGGAATTTCAACGTTTTCCATTTCAGCCAACCCATTAGAGGTCAACCAGTCCCTCAAGAACTGCTTATCGAAGCTTTCCTGGGGTCGGCCCGCTTCGTACTTGCTGGCTGACCAGAAACGAGAGGAATCCGGGGTCAAGACCTCATCAATGAGAATAATCTGGTCGGTTTCAACGTCGAGACCAAATTCAAACTTCGTATCGGCAATAATAATTCCTCGAGAGAAGGCGTGTGCATAAGCCACGTTATAAAGCGTGACTGAAATGCTTTGAATTTTGTCGGCATATTTTTGGCCAATGAGTTTGCCAGCTATGACCCGTTAGTACGTACTTACGAAGCAACCGCAGTCGGTAAGGAGGCATACCATCTCTAGGGTGAATATTGATGTCATGGTCTCCCTGGTCCGCTTTGGTACTGGGGGTCCACAGTGCTTTGGGAAGTCGGCAACTTTCAATAAGGCCTGAGGGCATAGATATTCCATGGACAGTGCTAGACTCTTGATATTCTCTCCATGCTGAGCCAGCGATGTAGCCACGCACAATTGATTCGATTGGGAAGACCTTGACCTTGCGCACGACCATGCTTCGGTTTTGGTAGCTCCGTCGAAGCTCCTGGGGGATCTGAGCAGGCAGTTCAAGGCCAATAAAATGGCTCTGGAGAGTTGGCAAGGCTGCTTTGAGGAACTTGAACCAATAGGCAGAGATGAGAGTGAGAATCACGCCCTTGTTGCGTACGCCCTGAAGCTCTGCATGTAAGCCACGCTCTACAGCGGGGAGTCAGGCCACAAATATTGAACTCACATTTGCAAGAATCACATCGTACGCTGAAACTCTATCGGACGCCACAAAAAGAAGGGTGTTTTCATCGATCTTGTACACCTCCCTGACTTTGCCTTCAGCAAACACGGGCAGGATGGCGCCCAAGTCACTGGCGATGAAGGGCGCCTTGATCAGTTGACCAGTCATGGTGCACGTCAAAACGAGGGGTTTCCCTATTTTTGACTCGAGAAAACAGTCGCTGAGGTCGAAGCGAGGAACGAGGGAAGGGAAAACGAGGTGTCGGCACGAACAACGGCGAGTTCTTTATAAGCTGCGGGGTGCTCGTCGCGGGGCGGGTGGAAAGTTTTGTGGTCCGTGACAGAATCTTCCACCCCAACAAGCTTCCTAGTCAGCAGGCTAGCGAGCCAACTAGTTAGCTCACGACACCCAGAAGACAGCCTGCCAGCTCGTCGATAGTTCTGAACTTGGGTTTTACTTCGCAAGCAGAAAAGAAGCTCAAGCTCTTAAAGTCAAAAGGTGATAACCCGCCCCCCGAGTCTGTCGGCAATTCTCACCATCGTGGCGGTTACCGGCCTTTGACTGAAAACGGCGAACTGGCACCAACAGTAGCCGGGAGGCGCTGCCCCGGCGCATTTTTTCGTGCGCTGAGAGTCTGAGCCGTTTCCTTCGGCAAAATGGCGCGTTACTTGACACCTTCTAAAGTCGCTTTTCTGGCGCTGGTCTCTATCTACTCCGAGGGGGTTGTTGCAAACTCGGCGACTGTCGAGCTTCTATCGTTTTTTGTTTTACATTTGCTCCCTTTAGATACCCTGGACTCGAAAGATTGCGTGTTTCATAGTGATAAGGTTCATACAATCTCTATTGAGGAGTTCGAAAAGGCGACTTCCTGTCTGGCATCTTCTATTCCTGGTCGGACGTTATGGGATATCTTCCTCAAAAAGTTATGGCAGTTGGACTGCGTAGACTCCCTCGAGGAGTTTTTTACAGCAGTATCAGATTTGGTAACCAAGCCGCGGGAAGAACAAATACGTGACCCAGAAACCGGCAAAATGCGATTTTCTCGAATGTCGCCCCTGGGTGCCTTTGTACGAAGAGCACAGCTTGAATACGCAAGACTTCAATTCCATGATTCCGTGTCCCTGTGGCGTGCTCTCATAAAGTATAGGATGCCCACGTATCAGACCTGGGCCAAAAGAAATCCAATCCATAGCAAGAACAAGGTGGATGCAAACCTCTTAGAACTGGGCTTGGACCTCAATAGCCCTCTGGCAAATATTGTCTATGGTGGTCTGGTAGATAGCAACAGTGATGCCAAAATTACTCTAAGCACGAAGGACATGGAAAGGCTATTAGAATTTCAGGTACAGGAAATGCAAAGTAATGGCTTTTCGAACGCCTTCGTTTACCCTTTGCATACTAACCTTTTGTCTAGGCAAAGGCACAAGGGTCACAGAAGAAATGCGCAAAACATTAAAATGGATGCTTATTTCTGGAGCGGCTGTCCCGAATCTTTCCCACTATGTACGGTAAGTCCCAAGGCATGCCCCTTGGTGGCGAATTGATTTGCTAAGTATCTTAAGATTTCTAGACTCATGGAAGGCGGGAGATTTCCCATCGTCATTTGACAGCCTTCATCAATACTTCGACTATACCGTGCATAATCAAGATCGCACCTGTTATCAATATGCCCTGCTGAATTTAGCCACTCTCCAAGCAGACTTCGGTTGCCTTGGGGAGGCTGTTTCGGCCATGCAAGAAGCAATATCTATTGCCAGAGAAACCCAAGATATGCACTGTTTGAACTACTGCGTGAGCTGGCTGTACCATTGTCGGAAGGGCTATTCTTGTGCATCTGAAGACGTTCAGAGCACGGGAATGCTTGGCAGTGACAGAGAGGCATTGTCTTTTCTCCAGGCTAAAGCTCGAGAAAATAATACATGGAGCTTGCTTAGCACTTCCTTATTAGAAGAAGCCAAGTTAGAATTAGCCTACGTACGTTGATGTTCCCTACCATTTTTACGAAGACATCGAGATACTAATTCTGGCCTAGGGAGAAAGTATTGCCTCAGTGTTCGAACATATAGCGAAGGCTGCTCACCTTAATGCCGGCCAAAGTATGAATTCTGCCATGGGCCAGCTACTGGTCCTGCAGGTGGCTTTCTTCATGCGACTCGGTGAGACATTTACCCTATGAATGTGTAATACTAAGCTCTCTAATATATTTGTTATTAGGGGTATCCCACCTCGCCTCTGCAACCTACGAGATTCTACAGGAGTGTTATCGAGAAGGTGCTCTATTCGATGATTATCTCAAAGTCAACTTCCAAAATTCTTTGCTTGTGGGTGTTGCCTGTGTCTTTTATGCGGGCTCTCCTAATAATGTCATTCATTAGCTCTTTTTGAGTGGCAGCCATGCCCAGGCCATATCGCAACTAGAAGGAATCCCGTCTAGCAGTGGGCAGAGCCTTAAAAGTCAACAAACTTGGGTATTTCTCTGTGGCCTTTTGAAGCTACGGCAGCAATTAAACCGGTATGACTCAACTCTTCAAACTCATTGATTAACCGATTAACTAGTGGGCACCAACGTTTATAGAAATGATATAATGGCAGCGGAACATCTCGTTGCTCAACTCCACGGGTGCGCGCCGAACGAATTTGAACATCTCGCCTCTTTACATCTACTGGAGATAGAGTATATGATGTGCAAATCAGATTACAGCTCAGCACTTCGCCTAGTTGAACAGGTTGCGAAATCAACCCAACAGGGGTCTTTTGATGTTGCACTTCAAATTCAGCTGCTGAATTTGAAAACCCGTATATTCCAAAATACAGATCAGCCTGAGCGGGCATTTTCGCTTGCGATGCGAGCTGCCAGCATAGCCTATCGATCGCGGGTACTACCCAGCTTGTGGGAGGCTCTTGGTCACCTTTCTACTGTTTTGATGACCTTCCAAGAATTTAATGCGGCGGCCAATATTTTAGAAAGCGTTATTCCTCAAATATTAGAAAGCAACGATTGTATACTGGCCGCCCGCACCTACTCTCTGCTCGCAGATGCAAACATGGGACTGGCCGGCGGCCATAAGCAGGACAACATGCGACAGCAGGAGTACCTATCAAGAGCATTGGAGTTTACCGATTGCGCTTTTGAAGAGTACTCAAATGCCGAGAACGTGCAAGGCCAATGCGAAACAACATCGAAAAAGGCCACACTGATGTACCTCTCCGGTGACTTTGCGTTGGCCAATGACTATGCAGCTCGCTACCTAGATCTGAAGCGGGAAGCCAGGATGCAGTCTTAGATGGCCAGTTATGAGCTCAGCTTGGGAGTACAGCAGCGCGGCAAGTCAGGTAGCAATGCCGTGTACGCCGTGCTGCGTATCACCAACAGCACTCTGCTGTATCACACGCTCAGCTCTTTCACACCCAAAAATGGGTTGTTGTTCACGCCTCCCATGCCAAGCCGTTGGCCATTGCTGAGTCAGCCAGGCTAGCCGTTTTCGGCGCCCCTCGCCTCCCTTGAAAAGCTGCCCAACTCGTCGCCTTCCCGCCTTTCCATCGTTCTCCCACCAGCACCATCAACTCCTCTCTTCTCGAACACAACGGTTTTTTGCTCTCACATATACCTAATTTTCCCTAGAAACTACTTGTTAGAGCGGTTCGCCTACAACAACTGAGTTTATGTCAATCGAAAACCTCAAGACCTTTGGTAAGTCTGCATTTACCGCCACTCCACTCCCCCTACTGCTGTCCACAAACCGCTTTTGTCTGTCCCTCATCTCTCCCAATCTTGCATACTGGTAGATTCTCACTCTCGGGTTGAATTTCTACCATTTGCAGAACTTTGGTCGCGTGACGTTGATTTGAAGCTCCTCAGCTCAAGCGGGGTAGTTTTGACCAAACCTACAAAATGCTAACTACTCTTTTCAATAGACCCCTTCGCCGAAGCTGACGAAGATACCGGCGACACTAAACAGTCTCAAAATTATATCCACATACGGATACAACGTACGTCCTTGTTTCTTGATCACTTTCTTACTCCACCCCCAAGGGGCTTTTGCACCTTGTCTTGGCATGACACAGGTGACTGACACGTCATCTCTGAGCAAACAGAGCGCAATGGTCGTAAGACTTTGACCACAGTCCAAGGTCTTCCGAAAAAGTTTGACCAGAAGAAGATTCTCAAGGTCATCAAAAAGAAATTTGGTATGCTTTCTACCCCCGCCGCCTTATGGAACATTGGCTAATTGGATCTTCACCTTAGCCTGCAATGGAACCATCGTGAACGACACTGAGATGGGCGAGGTGATCCAGCTCCAAGGAGACCAACGCAAAGATGTTCAAGAATTCTTGACCGACAAGAAGGAAGGCCTTGAACTAGACGCCAAGACCATCAAGGTCCACGGGTTCTAGGTCAAAGGCGACGCCTTTCTCGCCTTCTCCCGCCTGTCTACGCTCTATCTAAATTGGTCATATCTTGCACTGCTCATTGTATGGTATGACTCTAATCTAGTAAGCTGGGCTTGATTCATGTGCCAGGCATAAGGGCGACGGGCACGATCTTGTGGGGTATAATCGGTAAATCTTATTTCTGCTATGGCTACGCACTAGGAGAAAGGTTTATCTCCCTGCACTATAATGGGTTGAGGCGAGCTGGGGCGACCTATGATCGGTTCCTTTAATTTGCCGTGCTAAGCAGCTGCGGATGGCCTGCTGTTCTGCCCGTTCGTTATTAAATTAACTTGATGGTTGATAATAATGAGAGTACTTTGCTTTGATTCGATTTTACTTCACGCCTGCTCCTGTGGCTTCAAAGCTCGGTTTTGCGCAACATCATTTGCCATAACTTTTATTACGACTCATAGCTCACTCTTTCAGCTATCTTAGTTGGTTTCAGTTAGTTAATATCAATAATGCTTATTCGGTTGCAGAGTTCCTTATGAGTCTGTCAGACCCCTGAACGATTGTATAGAAGACTATCTTATGTCCTACGTAGGTCTAATCCTTTAGAGAACGTCCGCCCAGGGATACTCGGTATGGGCGAAAGAGAAAAGCATTGCCACCAACTATATGAAGAGCTTTATACAGATCTGGACACACAACCAAAAGATATACGAGTGAAAGAAATGTATGTACGTATCAAGCTGTCCAGTAACCCGCACCTACGTTTCAAGAGCACCAGCACGAAGATGTTCCACCACAATCATCTTCTCCGCGACGATCTTCCAAAGCTTCTTACCCAAGATGAAGAACGGTAGCTCAGGTTCATTATCTCGAGATAAATGTAGTTGCAGAAGCAGGGAACACATGCTAATAAAACTAGCGATCGAAAATACTGAAAGAGAGGCGGCTGTCTCCTTTTTGATGTTAATTTTGCGCTGGGTGAGGTGATACAGAAGGGTAAGGATCTACAGTCAGTTAGCTCATGGCTGTAAGGGCAGTATTGGAGTAGGACGAACTGAAGTAATAGATATCCAGGCTGGAAGAAGTAAACGAGGGTCGGATGACGCGCCAGAAAGGTAAAGAATCCAAGAAGTTAGGTAGGCAAGTAGAGCATTAGTAGTAAGAAGGCGGATCACAACGGCAGGAGGGGTGTAATTTAGAAGCCTGCAACGATCACCTTAGTCAACGGAGCAGCATCATACAAAATACATATGGCCATAGTTACCAGCGAGACATCAAGCAATCGGCAAAAAAATACGATAAGTACGCCGAAGAAAAGCACTGGCGACGATCAGTATAACTACCCAATAGCTCTAGTAGTAGAGGGGACGTAACGCACCCACATAATCGCCAGGGCAACCTCTGTGACTCGAAACCGGCCGTCCGTGTCCCAGTCTATAGCAGCAACCGTTGCGGCCGTGTCCTTGATTATGGCTGCCGTCCATCCTCCCGCGATATCGCCCTCAGGTTCCCATATAAGTGGCCGGCTGGGAAGCAGTTCCGCCAAAAACGTAAAAGCACACCGCAACCCCCACCACGCCGCCGGGGCGATGCTCAATGCCCGGCAAACCAGCAAGGGGAGGTACCAGCGACGGTCAACGCCAAGTATCACAGCGACACGGGGGTGGAGCGGGTTGGGAGTGACGGCTCCAGGCGACGGGGTACGGGCGATGCTCTTGGACGAGTCGGCGGCGGCAGGCGACGGGAAGTTATTCGGGTCGAGCAGGCTATTGAACAAGAGCGAGGCATGGCGGAGGCGAGTTTGAGAGGGTGGCAGATGGCGAGAGGAAGAGGAAGACAGATCGGCGGCGGCGGCGGAGGACGCCAGTCTCGAGTTGTTGGGTGTGCTTGATGGTGTGGGAGGCGGAATCCTTGCAGCTGCTGCACGTATCGCCGGGGACTGTGTCGCCTGAATCGCAAGCCGGGTGGTCCGCTGGGCTTCTGCGGCGTCTGGGTTGCGAGCGAGGAGGAAACGAGTTTCTCGCAGACGGCGTAAGTATAGACTTTGGCTTTCTGGCGTCAGGATGCGAGTTGGATGGACGGGTCTTGGGTCGTGTCAGAACAGCGAACAGACACCAAATACGCTTCCGATTTCCACTCCTGGGCGCTCTACATTGAAGGTGCTTGTGAGGTTTATTAGATGCTTATGAATCTCCCTGGGCAGCTTTACAGCTCGACTCGTAACCCAAAGGCCAGTTGGCGGAAGCGAATTCCATTCCAGCTGGACGAGGACCTTCGAGGCGAGTAATAGCAGGATAACAGCAGCGGCTCCTCCAATCGTTTCGCATCTGCCCACCCAAGGAACAGCCGTTCCACTGATTCCAAAAAGCTTCAGGGAGTCCATACCGTTGTCCTAATGGTTAAACGTTCCGTTGTCCGATTATGCTTCGAAACGGTTTCTATGGGTGTGCTTGAGGTTCCGGCGCAGCGGCACGTTGACGTCTAGATAAACCATCCTGATTTCACCCGCCGAGGCAGCTGTCTCGTCATCTGGCGCTCCTCGACGCGCATGCAAATTCCGTCTTCTTTACGATCTTTTCTCGGCCAAAAACTGAGACGCGCATTATGTAATATATATATTTATAATCATATCACTTGATATATAGGCTAGTGTGATTTGGGACTAGCCTCGAAAACGTATAAATAATGTTCCGTTGATCTTAGTCATCCGCATCAAAAGCTTCGTAAAGAAACGATGAAATGATGAGAACAGACGGCACATTCTACGGCCTCCGACGGCTCCCTTGGAGGCCTATTGAAACAGAAATTCTACAAAATATACAGCTATAAGACGCAATCATGAAGTCAATTCTTTTGCGACGCTCACTAGCCCCCCTCTTAGCCCACCCTCCATCCCGACCGTCACCCGCACCCTCACTGGCGCAATGCCAATCGAAGCTCTTTTCAACGACCAATAGCAGATATGCTAAAGGGGGCTTTCAGACATTGAAGCCTCGAATACCTGCACAGATGAGCATGAAAAATCGTGTGAAAGATACTATGAGCAGTGCCAGTAGGGACATGATCCCCAACGATATCGGATTACTGCCAGGCACGTTTATTAGGCCTCTCTGGAAAAATATGCCGTCAATATTCAAGGACCCAAAAATGAGGTTACGAATGGAGTGGACATCGTTGAAAATGAAATTTACGAATTTTATCAGGTACGTCCTTGCAGCGAGAATACTCAAGCCTGCTCTAATCCTCAATGAAACTGTAGGCTAATGGGCTCAACTAATTAGTTTAATGTCGTACTGCAAATTTATAAATAAAAAACTTCCCCTCCGATTACGAGAACGCAAGAAGCATGCTCTCGAACTGCACAAGCAGATGTATACCGCCTTCGCGAAGTACAGACTCTCTCTCTCTCTCTCTCTCTCCACTGCCTTTTGTAGAGCTAACCCAATATCTGCACAGAGGCGACACCTCTTCGCTCCAAAAATTGTGTTGCCAAGGGATATACCAGACATTTGCTGCTCGCATCTCCCGCCGCCCACGAAACTCACCCCGTCTTGTCTGGACCCTCCACTCCTATAAAAAATTCCCCTTCGCCCGCACGCTTTCTGGAGCAAAAGTCATATCCGATCGTGCTGCATCTCTTCCCGATGCAAAGGGATTCGGTGTTCGTCAAACCATTGTTAGAATACAGAGCAAGCAATCGCTTATCACCCCAACCAGTGGAGATGAACAAAATCTTGAAGAGATGAAAGAGAAAATGAAAGACTGTACAGAATACGTTGTGCTCCAGAGATTTATGATTAACGGGGAGGATGGGGACTGGAAAATATGGGGACTAGCGGAGGAGACAACCGTGGAAGATATGGAGCAGGACCCCATGTTTGCAGCCGGCTTGACAATGAAGGACCGGATTGACATGTTGACCATGAGGATGAAAGGGTAATTTTTGGCCATATGGAGGCGTAAGATTAGCCATGTATTATATATGTCTTTTTATATCCAAAATTCATAGCGAGCGAATACCACCGCGCGGGTTAATTGTTAGCTATCCTTTAGTCAATCGCCATCACTGACCCATATATCATCAGGCAAAATATTCACTACCCATTCTCCGAGTTTTATTATTCCAGAAAAATTTGATGACACCACCTAACCTAAAGCGGCTCACAAACTGTATATGCTTGTTGAGACCTACGATGTTTACCAGTCTCAATAGCTCCTAAGCGACATGACTGCCGCTCTGAATTATATCACAGATCACCACCGCCCTTGCTGTCCATTCTTTCTGTCATTAACCCATAGGGGATTAGTTTGGGGCTTGCCGCCTTCTTCATCGCGAATGTCATCGGCCGGACCCAAGGCTCCATTCAGATCATCATCTCTACTCACAGGTCTGACCGGTTTATCGAATACATCAAAACGTTTGCCGCGGGCTCTAGCGTACATGAACTGAACGCCAACCCGTAGCGCAAAGGCAATAACGGAGAATATAAAGCCGCCAACAGGCGCAGCGACAAATGCACCTATCTACCTTTTAGTCGCTACCTAACTATGTCAAGAGATAGGGGCAGGAGACTCACCAAATACGCTCCAATCATTGGCATAGAGACCATTTTCCAGCAAGATTAACCGGCCGCCCTTGTATGCACTACCATAATAGATGGACCCGAAAATAAAGACAGAAAATATGCCTCCTAGCCCCCCAACAACAACTTCAAGGCCTGACCAAAAGTAACATCTTTCTGACAAGCCCATCACTAAAACAGGTATTGCAGAAGCCGAAACAAGATCAGATATCAGGAATATCTGCAACACGCTGGGGGATTTTAAGGCAACAATCACCACTGGTACAATGCACAGTACCACCCCGATACGGATAAATATTAGAGATAGTTTGTTGCGGAACAAATCATTACTTGCGGTGCTGACCATGGCGGACTGGAGACTGTCAAAAGCTGCAGTACTAAGAGCAACAGTCATGACAAGGACTATCCCGACCACCCAGCTTGGTAGTTTTTCCAACAGAAGGAAGAAAGCGATCGAGCCGCTCTGCGGCGGATTTCCTGGCCAGGCACCGGACCAGGCCGCCAGAAGGCCCGTGGATCCAACCAGAACAAGAATGCATAGTACCGCAAAGCTTGCAATAGAAACACCAATTCGAAGATCTCGGTCCGTCTTAGAAGCGAAGGTACGGAGCCAAAAGCTGGAAAGAAAGAAGTCGTTTGTCAGAATGGCGATGGGAAGAATATAAATGAGTTGCCAGCCAAGAAGGGAGGAATTCAGGTATCCGGACGAGTCAATTAAGGAGCGATCAATGTTGGTCTTGGTGCCAACAGTAACGACTGCAATGATGATGAGGCCAAGGACCATAACCCCTTGAATATTGTCGGTCATAAACGACACCTTGAAACCACCTAGCGAAGTGTAGATGGTGGTCACGATAACTTGCACAATAACTACTGGGAGTCCATTTAATCCAGTAAGCGCATTGATAATTTGCTGCAGCGCAGACAGTTCAGCAACCATATAAAGAAATAGAGTGATCAAGCTAGAATTTAGTTAGAAATTTGTATCTTTTTTAGGGTTCGAAATACGTACGTCAAGATGCTCAAGTACACAGCGGCGACAACTCCATATCTTTGTCGGGTCCACTCCGTCAAGACGAAACCGTCCGGGCATTTTTTCCGAATAATTGGTCCTAGGAATCCAAAAACTAATAGAGGTAGCGAGGATGCTAGTCCATACACGACTAGCCCCTGCACGCCAGCAATCGTGGCTATTTCTGGGTATGTGAAAAGAATGCCAGAACCAAGAGCTATATAGACATGAATAGAAGAATCCCTAAGGTCAGCATAGGTCATGATATGAGTAAGTTTGCAGACAAAGGCAGGGGAGAAGCGGCAGCACATTTCCCACGCAAGCATTAACTTGATCGAGTGTTCAACGGTACAATCTCAGCTTCTTGCCTGCACTGACGCCACACGATCTCTCCAGGCCGGCGAAAAGGCGTCCAGAAGTTGGATCATTTGGTCGCCAGCGCCACAATCAGCACCCGTAGTGTTGCCGCAGCAGATGCTCTCCAAGAGCTGCCATGAGAAGAGGTAGATGAATCCCAGAACCAGCCTGATATGCGGGATAGAGCTATCACCTTCGCCTGTTTCCACCGCAAACTCTTGGAGTAGCATAGGCTGGAGTGAACTCTCTGATACGAACCTATTTTATGCTGCACACTACCCAATGCTCTGCAGCTGAGTACAATAACTTCACTCTGCCGTTCCACGAAAGAGCCAGAGACCAGAAAGTCTAGGATCTTGGGTATAGAGAGATGAAACTAAAATTTCATCGATGACTCTTACTTGGCTGCCGCTTCTCACGCTTGAGAAGAAAGAATTGATATTGCAGCCCATGCATTTGACCACTCACCCGAAGCGATGAAGTTCAGAGCAAGAGGCAAAGCTAATCGCAAAAGGCGAGAACGTCAGCTATCCATAAATCGACACAGTGGAAGGGAGAAAGCAGCTACGAGGGGTACTCGTTTTAAAACGGCGTTTCTCTGGATTCTAACCCTTTTGCGTCCCGTTACTGGACAAGAATTGGCCCTTTGTCTGCTTGCGCAGCAGATAAGCAATATAGAGACCAGTCACCCTATCATCCAGTAAGTTTTCCAGCCATCCATAGGTGAGAGATCATAATTACAAGAACGCCCCATAGGTTAAATATATCAAGGCGTTAGACGCCTGAAACGAGGGTTGGCCCATACCGGACAGCGGCTAACTATTTCGCGATGTTGAGGCGGTGATAGAGTCAGACCGCCCACCAGAACCCGATGGACAAAGAATGAAGGAAACAGAATGCACGGACAGTCCGGTGACCAGAAGAGCTTCTATTTATTCAGACATTTTTCGACTTTTTTTTTTTCTTTTTCTTTTCCACGCTTGTCATTGTCCGGTAAGATGGGGTCGCTTGCGGAGAATTTCGCCTGGGCTTAGAGCCTGCTCTGCAATTCGGCTAGTTAAGCTTCCTCTTCCCAAACCAGCGCGAATATGCTGCCTGGCGATTTGTCGTGGCTTCATAGCGCGGTGGAGCTCGCCCAATGACCTGCCGTGAGTGTGGATCGCAGGCATGGCGTTTCTTGGGTGCGGATCTAAGTTTTCGTGACTGGCAGGTGGAAACTCTATTCGGCTACGGAGTTTTTGAATGGGGTCTTGAGATGTTGCCTGTGAGAGAAGTGATTGACATGGGCTATAACTATATGAACGAACTGGAAACATTGAAAGTCATGATCGTTGAGTCGGAAGCAGTTTGATAATACCATAACTACACATCATGCAGCCAGAGCCTCATGTCCGCCATGCGCGTACATAAGGATTGAAGAACGAAAAAAAAAAAAAAACGCTCCAAGAAAAGCTGTTGCCAGGGCCGCAGTTTCCTGGAGTCAGGGAAGAAATGCAATGCAAACGAAAAGTACCACCATTGACTCTCGAGCCTACCTTTTAGCCAAAGAGCTTGAACCCCAAATATACCATGTGAGAAAAATTGTTGTGCTTGAGATGATTGGAGGAAGCACAACGGGATCAATCGTCATCAAAAATCTGGAATGTATTTTGCAGAACTGTCTCAATGACCCGTGCTTGCCAGCCTGAATCCGCAATGCTGTGGCCAGCACTGGAGCCCATAAGGGTCAACCTGTGAGGCTAAGTCAGTATGGACCCGCGTCAACCATACTGATGGGGGATACTGACCCAAAACTTATGGCAATATTTCCAGCATTCATTCTGTTTTCGGAGGACCGCTCCTGCACATGGTTCAAGTGCTAGTGGAAATAAATTAGTATCTTCTCCTAAAACAGGAAGCAGGTACCCATACCAAGACTAATGCCCGGAGTGTGGCATAGTTAGGATCTGGAAGGCTATTGATCAGAGCATGTAGAGTGTCTCGACGTTGATTATCATCCTCCTTGCCTAGAATACTGTTAAAAACTACATGGATGAGGGAAGTGAGGAGAATGAGGGATTAGCTTACGAGCAGCATTGATAAAATCTTGGTAACGATCATTCGTAAATAATGGGTCCGGCAGCTCCCGGAAAAATTGTTTCATGAGACCAGCAACGCTATTTACATCATGGTAAAAACTTTCAGGATTGGTGAAATCAACTTGGCTGGAGTCTGTGTTCAAGTAAGCAAGAGTGAAATTAGTGCATAAAACAGTGGCAAAACATACCGTTATCGAACAATGCCTTCATCCGCTGGATATGCAAAGTATTTCCAGACAGCCTGTATATTCCCTCCAAATTCAACCCGAATAATTCGACAGCTTGAATACATTGATAGACGATCATTGGGATTGCTGTGCCATCTCTTCGGAATAGATCTTCCAGGCTAACGCCAAAAACGGGGTTCAACGGGGGCAGATCTGGATGTTGTCCTGAACTGGAGGCCGGGCGGTCCAAACTCGAACGTGGAGGCGCGGAAGCAAAAGTTTGATGGGGTATAACAGGAGGAGGATAAGGCATGGGGAGGTGCTGTGGTGGCGACTGAGTAATAAAAGCTCCCTGAGTTGGATGGGGGAAAGACGGAGGAGGTTGCGGAGGCTGCACAGCATGCTGCATCTGGGCGGGAGCAGGCGGGGCATTTTGAGGAGTCATTTGAGCGAAAGACTGGGCTGCTGTTGGGGGTGGAATGGCTGGGGTGGAATGGATGCTGAGTGATTGCCTCTTGGGGTGAGCGCTCGCATTTTGCGTTTGTGGAGTGATGAGGGTCTTGGAATCAATTATCAGTATAGGAACAACTAAAAAGGGGTTATCTCCTGCTTACAGGATGACGCTCGTATTTGATCAAGTTAGAGTTGGAGTTAGCTTTTGAGGAATGGCTCATGATATAATCTTTGAAGTCGCGCTCATTGTCAACTTGACGAGCAGCGTCCCGGAGACTTTTTGGTATGGGCGCATCTCCGGCACCATTGTTTCTCAGCGGGCTCACTGATAACCCAGTTCCTAGCAGAAGTTTTTCGCTAAAGGACGCTGGAGACATGGTATGTCACAGTCAGCATGAGGTTCATTGTCACCTATAAACTGGCATTCAACATACCGAATTTCTGCATTTGGAGAGCCAGTGCAGAATCACACTCATTGATCAAGTCCTGGAGAGCGTTCGTGGCCTGAGGCCGGAGCGTAGCAATCAGCTCCTGTTTTAACGTTTGAGCTGCCTGCACCTTGTTCGCATAATCCGTGTCTGCATGTTGTACTTTTCGAAGCAACTCTTCCTCATATTGCGCAGCGGACTTTGGACCCTTAAGACCAAACTTCCCTGGCTGGCGGTCTCCGGTCCTGGCACGGTCGTATTGCTCTGCGAAGCCGTCATATTTTGACTTTGCCTTTTCAGCTGCTAATTCGGCATCCTGAACTCTCTTTTCTGCGGACAACCCATTCTGCTTCCAATGTTTGCGGCCTCGTTCAATGCTTGCGGCGAGCTCGTTCAAATCATCCGACATTTTATGTAGGGAGAGCGAGAACTGCAGGCCATGGTCCGCCATGCGGTCGTGTACTTTATTCATGTCATCGTAGCTCCGTGCGAAGGTGCCCTGGCGGTTATCCGGGCGCAACGAAGAATCGTGCATCGCACGCGACAGTTTCTTGAGTCCCTGGGCATGGTCTTCTTCGAGCGAGGCGCGCTTGCGTAGTAAGGTCGCAAAGTCCTACAATTGGGACGAACGATCAGATGGGCATAGGTGCGAGGCAAGCATTACAACGCAAGGAGAGAGCTTACTTTGGCGGAACTGATGCTTTGCTTCAGCCTATTTAGAAGGGTCGAAACCCCAATCTGCAATATTTTCAGCAAACCGTCATGGCATCGGCAGGCCACATCCACATACGTCGGACTGAATCACTCTTTCCAACTTCTCCTTCTCCTCTGTATCAACCACTGCAACTTGAGGTGTCTCATCTTCAGGCTGAGGCAGTGGTGCTTCGGCGTGCGGAGGTTGAACAGATGTAGATTCTGGCTGACTGGCTGCTACCTCCGCCATTGTGGATGTTATTTGTACACTGGTGTTGTTTACCTGGAAGATACGGACTTGATCTGTACTCCAGATATTAAAACCCGCAAGACCTTGAAATGGGAGCGCTGCTGGTAATAATTCGCGATAATACTTCGCAGTTGGGTGGCGTAGTTAACTATGTTGACTAACTGGTTAGTTAGCCGCATGTAAGCTTGTAAGTTAGTTAGCTACGGCGCGCGAAACAGACCGGCTATGCTCCCCGCCTCGCGTCATACAATCGACAAAAAAGACCCATACAGCAGATTATAAAGGAAGTCCTTGGTAGGCTATAACTGCCATGCGCCTGATCTATAACTGGCATTGAAATCTGCCCATCGACTTCGTATGTCGAGTAGCAGACCCGAGAATTTAATAGCTACTCCGTACACTACAAATGAAGTAGGAGAAACGCGCCAGTCTCTTGCTCCCTTTCGCCGTTATTGGACCAGGATGCCGCACTTGACAGATAGAAGCTTGTGGAGCTTGATTGCGATAATACTAACGCTGAGATTTGCGAATCCCCATTATTATTGACACTGGGTGGATTGTTCCTTGTCAGTAAGCAGGGCGCCGTTTGATTTGTCGCGATGGAGGCTCTGGCGACAATCATCATCTCGAAACGGCCTACCGTGGCCCCCTGGGCCCTGGCCCTTGTGGACAAATCACGCATGCCCCGCCCTCCCTCTTGTTCTCTGGAAATTCTAGAAATAACGGCGAAATAACTACATGGATGGATGGGTTGGGCTCTGAGATTTATTTGCGTTGAGGCCGGGCCTGGTCGGGGTTCACTTAAAGGAGCCGCGGTTCGGTTGACTCCACAGCAGGACCACGAAGCCAACGACGCTCGCAGCTCCACTGAACCTAGGTTAGAGGCATTTATAAATGTTGGTTACGGGGCATAGCTGAGCTGCCATTGTTGTCGTAAAGATCTACTCGTGCGAAAGGGTTGAAGGTTGGATAATAATTATGATGGCTTCTAAGGAGATTCATGTCATTGCGACCTTCAAACCGAAGGCAGGAAAGGTGGATGAGGTGAGCACAAACAGAAAGATAATAGAGACCAGCACCCATGTCCTATAAAAATAATAAATCAGGCAATCCATTGGCTAGGTCGCTAATAATAGGCGCATTTCAATAGGTAGCAAAACTCCTCGCCGCGTCAGTAGCCAACATCCACGAAAAGGAGCCAGATACCTTGCGATTCTTTGTGCTGCGGCCTAAAAAAAGCGACGAGCTTATCATTGTTGAAAAGTATGCTTTTTGCAACCCTGTTTTGTGTAGGATGATCCTCCCGATCTAACCAGGGCCGTGCGCAGATATAAGGACGTGAACGCGCTCAAAGTCCACGGAGCCACTGATTACTTCAAAGCGCTGGGCGGGAAACTTGCGCCGCTGCTTGACGGGCCAGCAGACTTGAAATTCTGCAGCTTTGTCACCGGATACGAGGGGAGGCCATCGAAATTGTGATTTATCAGGAGTGCTCCGCACTGGGTCTGGGCAAAGGGATGGACCTGAAGAAAATGTGACTCTGGAGTGTGAATATGAAGGAGAAGAGAACGGGTTTCAAGAGTCTCCAGAACTCCCGGTGCCAGTCCAGAACAGGGGAAAGGCAGATGGAAGTGCAGCAGCTCTTGGGGTTCCAGCTGGCATGATGCTGGATAAGGACCCTCCCCCCAGCAAGATAGGCCTGGGGGCAGAGAGACGGGGTGTGTTCGAGTGCGGTAGAAGTGTAAACGAGCTCCGACATAGGTTTAATGGATAAAACTGGCGGGTGCCCGAAGCTGCCGTGGTGTTTGTATCAGAGGTTGCGACGCTCCGCTGGGACGAGCGCACAACGCGCCGACCAGGGTGGCCGCGGACAGCCAGAGCTAGTTCGGTAGTTAAATAGCATTTTCGCCACGAAGCTGGTAGGGCTGGCCAGCGATCAGACTGTCATGCAGCGCGCGGCAGCCAGGGCATCCGGGATCCCCTTTTGGCGGGCGCAGTGGCTCGTCCGGCTGCAGGGCGGGCAGCGCAGCGAAACTAGAGCGCCGTCGGCGCCATCACGCCAGGCCCAGGAGAGTTCGGCGTCAGCCCCGGGAGTCTCCGTCGGACCACCCAGCACGCTCTCCCTGAGTCCTGGCAGCCAAACCGGAAAAGCGCGCTGGGGCGGGTTTGACGTCTGTTCGAAGATTCGAACGATCCCTGGCACGCCGGCCCCAAGCCACCGCGCGCGCCATTGGCTGCCGCCGTCGAGATGAGACGCCGCGCCAAGTATCCCCTGTTGACCAGCGCGGCCGCCAAGGGCCCCAGCACGCCGTGTTCGCAGGCTCGTCGTCTGCTGCTGGCTGCGTTGCTGCTCTCTGCCTGCTCGCCGCCCTCGCCTGTCGCTGCGCTCGCTCCGCTCTCTGGCCTGCTGCCTCCCGCATTGCCCGCCCTCGCTGTCGTCGTCGTCGTCGTCGTGCTCGTCCTGCCTGCCTGCCTGCCGCGCCGCCCCCTCTCTGTCCCGCCCGCCGTCCGGCTCTCCCCCCTGAAGCTCTCGCCTCCCGAGTGCTCCTCCCAGCTCGCTCCAGCAGCAGTCCTCGCGCCTCGCATTTTACGCTGACCGTCCGTCTCTCCGCGTATTTGCTGTCCTCTCATTGAATTTTTGCGTGCGGCCTCTCCTGTCCGCCGTGAACTCCCGTTCTTTGCCGCCGGGCCAGCTCCAACCCTGAAGAAACCCGAAATACTGTCTTTCAGCATCTTGCTCTAGAGACTGGAGTAAATACTCCCAGAATACCCTGTGAATTTAACGCAGGCTCTGTCAGGGGCTTTGTGTGCCCTCGAAAGCCCTCTCGTTGCAAAACATTATAGTCCCAGTTTCGACCAGGACAATTTTCGGGGTAATACCAGCACTACTTGTTAATTGTCGGCAACGGTATGCGATGTCAAAATTGCCGTCCTATTCTTTGTACAGTACTGACTGAAAATTCAACTGCTAGATTTTTGGCCGCCGGCGCCGTTGTACATTTACTACCCTAGAAGCCACATATAATACGTCAGCCAATTTGAGCCTTTCTTCCTGTACGAAATTTCATACAGAAACCAATTTTTTTCTAATCATGGCCTCTGGACCAGCCACGCAATCTCTAAAGGTGGGCAAAATACCCAATGTTCATCAATTTCAAATCTCTGGACAGCACTGACTTGCATGGTCTGTAGTGCGTCGTCACTGGTGACGGTGCAGTTGGAAAGGTAGTCCTGACAATATAACTTTCTGCAATCTGATATTGACGCGGTGCTAGACTTGTCTTTTGATCTCATATACTACTAATGCTTTCCCTGGAGAATATATCCCTACTGTGTATGCGCACTTCTTTATCTTTCTCGCCTTATTCCTTTCTAATCCGCCATTTCTAGTTTCGACAACTATTCAGCGAGTGTTATGGTAGACGGTAAGCCAATCAGTCTCGGGCTTTGGGATACCGCCGGTCAGGAAGATTACGATAGACTTCGCCCCCTCTCCTATCCCCAGACGGATGTCTTCCTGATCTGCTTTTCCATTGTCAGCCCACCGTCGTTCGATAACGTTAAAGCGAAGGTAAGGTTTCTACCAAGTGTCAAGCCTATCTACCTAGCGAACCATGTTTTAACTTAGTGTCTACTCACAGTGGTACCCGGAAATTGAGCACCATGCTCCGGGTGTTCCAATCATTCTTGTAGGGACCAAGCTTGACTTGAGAGACGACAAGAATACGAACGATGCCCTTCGCTCAAAGAAGATGGAACCGGTTAGCTACGAGCAAGCTCTAGCAGTCGCGAAAGAAATTAAAGCCCAAAAATACTTGGAATGTTCTGCTTTGACGCAGCGAAACTTGAAGAGTGTCTTTGACGAGGCTATCCGGTACGTTACCGCACTCACAGCCTCTGGTACCTGGAGTCTAATAATACCCCCCAGTGCTGTTTTGAACCCGCGACCAGTACATAAACCGAAGGCGGCAAAGAGATGTAGCATTCTCTGAGAGCTAAGTGAGTCAAACTTTGATTTGTCTCTGACAAATGCATTTGTACACCTTCTAACTGGTCTAACATACAGTACTCCGTACCTTGACTCAGCCTAGCTATCGATAGTCATTTAAGCTTGTGTTTGGGCCGAAGCATAAGTATCCTTTGATCCGACGATGCTTGAAGTCAGCGCAGCGAGTGATTTCCTTTTTTTTTCTCACTTATTCGTACATGTGGTCAAGCACGTCAATTATGTATGTCAGATACCCCCCCCTGGATGATTAGACTGAGGTACCTTGCCTGTTTTTCAGACGAAAATGCACCCTAACGATTTTGGATTTTGAGAATTGTCTGTCCTTGAAAACAATATCTTGATCCACGTCGTGAACATTTTTCATCTGCAAGCGAATACCCCTTAATATCAAAATTCATCTACTTTTGTCACAGGCCGCTACTTTTCCCCCCACCCGCCTTTCTTTTTTATTGTCTATGCTTGAATTTTTTTTTTTTTTTTTTTTTTTTCTGTGTGAACTCTTTTGTTTTAGCATTGTCTTGGTCACTTTTTCTCCTCAGTTGGCATTATATCATTTTCCATTTCTACTTTTGGATTCACTTGTGCGGCCGAATACCACGGTCTTGGTTATTATAGTAGCTGAAATCTTGCATGGAGGTGCATCGATCTTTAACGTACTCTTTTCAATTCCATTACATACCCAATAGAGTGACTACAGCCCGGCCCAAACTCCTTTTATTTCCCAGGTACAATAATCACAGCAAATGCCGAAACCGCACGGCCCTTTTTATTGGAATCTAGTTCTTCGGCTTGGATGTATATCATCCAATCCGTTGGACTCCTCAGTCCCGTTCTCATCGCCATTCTGCTGAGATCCTTGGTTTTTCTTCTCCTCGATTCGTTTCCGTTTCGCCGCCTCCTTTGCCGAACGCGCACGCTCTTCATTCAGCTTCTGGTTCTTCTCCATGATTTTTGTTTTGCGTGCTTCTGAGGAACCACCGCCACCGGCACTGTTCGTCCAGCCTCATGTATTAGCATTCCACATTATTTTACCTTTTTTACTTTGTTTTGCAGATATCACTTACGTCAATTCGACACCTATTTTCCTCGCCGGCGATTTCCCATCATCAAACATAGTATGGTGATATAACTTTAAGCAAGTCTTCATGCGGTCATAATGGGCGAATTCCACGAACGCGAAGCCGCGCCCTTTTTTCCCACCTCGTTCCTGTGGCACCCGAATATGTGCGGGTTGGAGCTTTGCGAAATGTTTCGATACAGCATCATAGTCGGCCGTGTAGGGAAGATTGCCTAGTAAAGACGACTTTAGTATCGTACGTCACAGGGCAGGGGAACAGCGGAAGCACATACTTATAAAGACAATAAATCTACCTTGCTTTCGGTCGGGATGGATATGGTCGTCCTCCTCCGGTGGGATTGTAATATCCTGCTCTGAGCTGGTAGGTGGCTCGGCTACAGTGGCATCACCATTTACTTCCTCTTTGGGTTCCTCGTTCGTGTCTTTGGATTCTTTTTGGGCTTTTTTGTCCTTCTTCTTTTTCTTTTCTTTTTTCAGTTCGCCGTTCATCTCAGGATTCGGGAGCTGATCGTTTTGCTTATCGCTATTTTCTATAGAACTGCCATTCGTCTCCGTTGTCTCCTTTACCGTATCCTTCTTCGACCTGTCCTTCGCTTTCTTTTCCTTTTTGTCCTTCTCCTTCTTCTTCTCCTTCTTCTCCTTTTTATCTCTCTTCTCCTTTTTCTTTTTCTCCTCCGATTTCACATCGATTTCCGGTATTGGGGTCTCGTCTCCATTTACCTCCTTGGCTTCATCTTTTCTCCGCTTCTTCCCATCTTTGCTTGACTTTTTGTCCTTCTTCTCCTTTCCGCTTGAGCTCTTCTTTATCTTCTTAGAATTCGTAACGCCCGCGGCCTCTGCGATATCGTCGTCGCCAACGGCTTGACTTCGCTTTCGCTTATCGCCCATAGCTGTGAGGTTCCTTATCGTTGGGGCCTGCAGAGGGTCCTTGACAAGCGAGATAGGACCCAAAAGGGATAAGATAGCTTTGCAATCAGATCAACGCGTTTGTTCTGGAGTTATTTTCGGGCTAAACTAATATAGCTCAACCATGGTTAAAAGCCGAAGAATTTCGAATTTGACTTTTTATGAAATCATTCTGCCACACTGAGCAAAGGCGGTGAGAGACACGTTCCACAAGCTCCATTCCTGAATACGGACCGTTTGAGCCCAGACTACTCCGTACTCCGGACTCCATCCAGTCCAGGCGCCTGTACTCCATAGCACAACTCCATCCAACTTGTCTTCAAAATACGAACCATGTATACGCTTTCTACGGTACAAAATACGGGAATTTCTCTCATGTGGCAGAATGAAAAGGGAAACAAACACATTATTATTTTCTCTTCCATTGCTTAAGCTATCAACAGGCACTTCGTGGCGGACTCGAACAAGAAACAGTAATGGCCTGAATTCGATCGCATCCGCTCCAAAAAACTATCCTTGAGAGAAAGCAGAGGTTGATTATCAAACAGATCGAGGAAGGGGTAATATAGGAATTTTGATACGTCAGGCATCACATTGCTGGCAAATGAGCGATGTTACTTTTTTTTTCTGCAAAGCCTGGAAGTTTTTGTTGGTCATGCTTACCGGTGTACTGCCCTGTGAGGCGCATCTTCCTGAGCAGCAAGTGCTATCGCCGAAACAATGAGAGCCCTTCGAGCCACAATTCGGGTGTGCTTGGACAGAGGCCAAAAGTATGTTGCTAGCAAATGCTAGAAAAAGGGACCACGAAAATCGCATTTTTGGCGAGTATGCTGATCCTCGTCAGTAAGGGGTGCCTTTGAAGCGGAAGACATAGACATTCTTACTTGCGAGATGACGTCTAAAGGGCTGGATCGATGGTGGGTTGAAAAATACGTCCTGTAGACGGCAGGCATAGTTCCTTTTATAGGCTTTTTGAGCATTGCTGGCATCTCAGTTGGGTTTGCCATACCAACAGTCGAGACGCAGCCTGCGCCGTTTTCACTCCTACCACCTGTTGTCTTTTTATGAGGTGTTAAAAAGATACGTAACCAAAATGCCCATTCCAACCATTCACCGAAGTAGGGGGTACAGTTGGTGTAACTTCTTTAGAAATGTTTCCGTAGGTTAACATATACACAGATCTCTGTACCGCGTATGTAGAGAGGGGCTAAAAGAAAGCCGCGCATATGGGGCGCATCAGTTGGTTCCAGCAGCGATGTCTAGACCCAAAGCTAATAGACTTATCAAAAACAGTGGAAAGATCATCATGTAACCTAGGGAAGAGCCAACAATTTCCAATAAGATTTCGGGTTCGAGCGACTGTTATTTTCTTGCCCCTCCTCTGTGAAACGAGGTGCGGGAGCGCTCCATAGAGCATAGGTTGATAGACTGCGGTGGCTATCGATGCGCCGTGTCGTTTTAATAGATCTGTGTATGATCCCAGCGAGCATGTCATACCTCCTGATAAAATTTAGGCCGAGAAATACGCAGATAAAATATGTGTCAAGGTTCGAAATGATTTAATAAACAGACATTCTGCCAGTATTTTTGATTCGGTTCGTAACGATTCATCTATTTTTTATTTTTTTTTTTTCTGTGGCTTCTTTGCCTTAGAATTGGTGGTTTTGCACACTCGAGCTTCGCAAGTTCTCAAAAAACCAAGACTTGAAGCTTTCCTGCGGATGATTTATATCGATCACGCATATCAGTGCGATTTAAGAATTTAAGCAACGGAAAAAGTAAATCTGCCATGTCAAATATACCACGTTTTTTCTGATCAATATATGAACCGTCTATCACGACATATTTCAGCGAATCGAGGCTCAATGCTCCTATGATAAATCAGACCAGGGGTCAGCAAATCCAGGAAGTTGGCGTACCTGACTCCGCTAAGTCATTGAGACGAGCCGGTGTCCCAACTCCTATTCCAATCCTTAACCATATTTTTAGCGACAACAAAATATCAAAATAGACGTGGTGGAGCTAACCTTGTTTTCTTGACAAATTCTTGGGCCTGCGCAAGTTTTATGTGCTTCGCAAATAGCTTAGCAACCGTAAATTCATTATTTTGAAACGGACGCAGAGCCCTTAAGCGGTCAGCTAGATCTATACAATTCGAACGGGGGCTATACCTCGTAAGATCTGCAGCGCGGAGGCCGGCAATCGTGACCACAAGGATATGGGGAGTACCGTTCTCTGCTGGTGCTTTCGATAATGATAATTCCTTCTTGAAACCGTACTTTTTGAGGAAGGACGGTAGACTTGTAAGTGTTCTTGGTGACTGCCAGGATGATGTATCTAAAAATGCATATTCTATTCAATATCAGCTATGGAGCTGAAACAGGAAAAATGCATTTTCCTTTTCCCCTACCCGCGCCACGCGGAGTCTTTGACGTACCAGGCACATAAATCTCGTCCAGTTCAATTGCGGTCAAGTCCTTGTTCCGTCGTTTTGCTTTTTGAGCAAAATAATCGGCGAGAAGTTTCCCATCCATCTTCCCAACAGCAGTATTTATGTCACCAATCTTTTCAGTATCCTGATCCCTATTCAGCTTGTTTCCTTTCTTCTGTCTTTTTCGTTTCTCGCCAATGGTATCCACTCCCGTTGAAATATCTTTATTTGCCGGTATGGACTCCTCGTCTTCCCGCACCCTTTTACGAGATTTGGTAGACATTGTATTTTGAACTTTGGGGGTAACCGCGACAAGCCTCTGGGTCCTTCAATACCTATATTATCTTTTCTCTTCGTGAAAAATATGGACATGATCATAAAAATTAAGCTTAGTCTTCACTTTTAATTCCAAAAAGGTTTGGTGCAAACCGACCAAACAAAGGTAGTGGTGGCAAGTGAGTTACTTTATTGGTCGATATACCTTAGGTAAGCCAGTTTTGGTCACCTGATTATCACGTGTAAGTGGAAGTGACACTAACCGTACGCACAGGCCACATCTTCCACGCGACGCGACTTAAACGGTACATTCTGGCATATGTTATAATTTGGTTGCTTTGATTATGTGTTTTCTGAGTATCAGTATATTGGCGCTACCAGATGGCTTCTCCAAAACGAGGCAATGAAAACAGCTCTCTACCCGAGCGGCCTAGGGTACCGCTACCAAACTCTTTGGACAACACACCCAGTGTGGTACGATAACTATTCTCTGGGGGCATAAGAGCTGGCTGACGCTTAGAATTGTTTTAGAAGCCGGCACTAGAGAAAAAACCTGTAACTCCGGCAGGACGACCTAGAAGATCGCTATCGTTTGGGCGAGTTTCCGCTCGCCGGAGTTCTCGGGGCTTCGCTTTCCCTGATACAAACATCCGTGCACCTGCCACACCACATGGTTTGAGGGCTTTTCAGAGACGTGCAGCTGCCAACACTCCAGCGCGGGAAAGAAGAAAAAGTATTAGAGTGCAGAGAGAGACGCCACTAGATATACTAAAGAATCTTGGAAAAGGTAGGAGAAAAAATACATCTCCTCTTCAGCCCAGAAAGGATAAAAAATGACTGTGTATTAATATATCTTGTCTGGGTTATAGCTCTTGCACCTACCAGTGAGATCATCAAGTCATCCCCTTCAAACGAGACGGAAGTGGAACCACAGGGAAGTGATGAATTGGATCGAGATTCAGACATATCAGTCCCCAGACTCTCGCTGCCCATGGAAGAAATGAACGTCATAGACGATGACGATGGTAGCCCTGAAATTGTGCCGCCTCGATTATCACTCCTTTTCGACGAAGATGACATTACACAGAGGTCTATTGAAATGCCACGCAGGGAAAGGACCGCACACGAGTCCGCAATAATGTCCAGGCACAGTTTGACCAGTACGAGGTTTAGTGAACACTTTGGGGACGCAAGCCGAATGGAAGACACCGAGGAAGGCTTAGAATTAGAGGAACAATATGGTAGTTTCGCGCAGGATGAACTGGATATCACTACAGAACACCCTATTCTTGACGCAGGGTAAGTGATATTTTCTATTATGTGAGATACATCGTTTTAACTCTGTTAGTGGCGAAACGGAGGACCTGCGACGATTCAATTTTGACTTTTCCTTTCCGACTCCTGACGCTCCGCAATTTACCGAGGTTCAACCAGAAGACTTTGTGTTGGACGCCACGTTGCCGCTTCTCGATTATGTGGCCATTTCTTCTGATAGTGATTTTGGGGCAGAAGGCCTGGAACCGATTGTAGCAGAAGTCTTGCCTGAAGCATCACCTCCTCAGAGATCCCCTCAGGAAGGATCCGTAGATGTACCATGGCATAGCTTATCTCCGAAAACTAAGAAGACACTGAAGCTTTCGAAACATGGTACATCTGTACCAACCCTGCCTCGCGGCATCATAAAGCGGCTGGCTACTCGGTTTGCTAGAACAAGTAGTGCTGGCAAAACGAAAATACCAAAAGAAAGCCTCGCTGCGCTTGAACGTGCCACTGAGTGGTTTTTCGAGCAAACAAGCGAAGATCTGACCGCATACTCGAAACACTCGAATAGGAAGAAGATAGACGAATCAGACATTATAGCTCTCATGAGAAGGTTCTGACCCGACTTTCATTTTTTTGCCTGAGAGGCAGAGCTAACATGTGTTTGTAGACAACGGCAAGTTGGCAAAAATGCGTCGGTATTTGCACTTGCACAAAAACACTTGCCCGCGGAGTTACTGCAGGAGATTCGTCTTAAAAAATAATGCCTCCGGAATTAACCGGACCATCCGAGCGCCCAGTAATGTACAAAGAGCGGAGAACCAAGCCAACATTGTTAGGACCAATTCTTACTTTGTCGAATTCTTCCAGAAGCCATATTTGGCTTTTTTCGAATTACCATCCAAAGCATGACAGATGTGGCCAAGGAGAGACCATACCTGCAGATTCAAGAGTTAGCTATAAAAGGCAAAGTACTCGTGCTTAGTCGAAAACGCACCACGTGAAAATGTACTGGGTATGGTTATTTCTGAGATTGACTTCGGGAGCACGGCCAATTGGAATGCCGCTTGCTTCCCTGCGATATTGCTCCAAGAGTTCCGGCACTGACTTTGATCAGTAGGTTGGGATAGTACTTCGACGAACAACGTACCCATCGTCTCTTCAACCCATATAGGTTGGCTGCCTGTCAATTCAGCCATTTGTTCAACATCTGGAAAGTAAAACTTCCCCTCCTCCGGTTTATTATCGGGCGTGAACATATTCTTTTTCCACGGCGATCGCAGCAATCCTTCCACAACCACCTCACCAGCGGGTACTCCCTCAGGTCTATCGCTCTGGTTTTTAAGAGACTTTGGGATCCAGCCACGATTCACAAGGATTGTACTCTCGCCGTTGCCTCTCTCAAGTGGGGTGACGACGAGGTACCCATCTTTGCCATCGTTCATACGAGGACCAATCAGCATTTCCTGGTCGTGCCTAAGGTGGCCCTTTGCGTACACGCGTCGATACTCAAAATCAGTAACGGCGTCAGGGTCAACCACCGGCGGCAAGGGGAGGGGAGGCTTGATTAATCGATCTTCAAAAGTTGTTATTAACTTAGTTTTCCAGTCCAAACGCTGGACCTGCCACGTCCCCAAGGCAAAGGCGGTGATAGGAATCAAAGCTTCATAGCATCCATCCAATTAGCCATGTGTAGACCAAAGAGCTAGCGTTTGCAAACCTAGAATGATCAGGCCAGGGCCATGTTTTTGACCTGTTCGCACGAGTTTGGACGGAGCGTCTGCCACTGAAATCCAATTGGGGTCATCCGCGGGATTGTTATGTGCGAACCGAAGTTGCTGTCGCCGCTGTCGCCAGCAGCCTGAGCATATGTTGGGCGGGCGGGCAAACGACGGGGAGGCAAGTCGTCGCAGCCGGTTGAATGAGCTCATCCGCGCAAACGTGAAGGGCCTTTAGCCACAGAATTCACCGCAACAACAACAACCGAGGACTGCTCTCGCACGTAGGAGAAAACGAATGGGAAATCCGGTTTTGCTTTTGAGCGTAAACATTTCAAAGGTTCCAAATGGCTTTTGAAGTCAGTCCGAGATGCTTATGTAATCCGCGCCACGCGCGACACCTATATCAAGCCGATGATGGCATCGACCCGAAAAGCTATCGCGGTTCAAGACCCCGTCGAAACCACAGAGAAAGCATGGCGTGCCATCGAAAAAAGCTCTTGGTCGTGTTGGAGAAGTTTCGTGCCTGGGTGCGCAAGAGACTGCGATGCGAGGAAGAGGTAGAGTGCGTCTTCTTTGATGATGCGCGCCCGCGTCTGCCTCTACTACCCGACTCGAGTCGAGATGTGGCTAAGATCTCCGCCCCGAATCCCAAGGCCACAAAGGCCAGTCCCTTCTTTCGATTACCTCCGGAGATTCGCTTGATGATATACGAATTTGCCTTTGGCGACCGTGTTGTGCACATGGACCTCCAGCCGTTGTTTGCGTGCATATACCCCTTGGGCACAATGGGATCGACGACGGTCAAATGTCTTCCGCGCTCGGGTAACAGGACACTACCTGCAGACTGGGACTGGTGGAGCTCTGTGTGTCACCGCAGCTCCATTGAGGAGCTATGGATGGACCAGTGCCGCCGCAGCTGGGCCGGATCGCTGCTCTTTCCCGGCACCTTGCCGGGAGGATGGCCGATCGGCGCCATGGGCTGCTTACTTACTTGCCGACAAGCGTGAGTTTGGCTCCGAAATTTGCCGTTGTTTGCGCTATCTATTGTTTTTCAACGGGCTCCAGCGATATCGTTGTTCACCACAAATCGGACACCTGTTGGTGCCTAGTTCGATTTCTGCGAGTTGCAGCGCTTCTCTGGAGATCATGTCGTACCATTCGCAGTTCGGAGTAGCGACACTGTTTCACTCGAACACGCTGACTTTCCCATTTAATTCCAGATATCTTGAAGCTATCAATATCCTTTACGAGACGAACACAATTCACACGAGCAGCAACCTTGTCATGATCAATTTTCCATATCTTGTTCCCCCGGGACATCTAAGCAAGGTAACCGCTTTGGAACTCTGTGGCAAGCTGTACCTTTTAGATGGGCCTCATGCTATGCGGGACGATCTCACGGCAGGATGGCCAGCCTTTGAGACGATTGTTGAGCTCATTGAGGCGAACTTTGACTCTCTTCAAAGTTTGAGCTTGGCTGTCCAGACCGGCAATTCGAATACATTTCCAGGCCAGCCTCGCGATTTATCCGATGTGGATTTCGATAGGCTCTGGAAATACACAGATAGGTTAGCGCGACGGTTCGGAAAACAGTTACAGTTCTTTGAGGTCATACCCCAGGCAAGTCTATATTCTGCTCTCGAGGATGTAGTCAGGGAGTCATCGGAAGAGGAAGAGGGTAGAAAAGAGATGGTACTCCGCTCTGGGCATATCTGGCGCACCGTGCCCAACGATGATCCTGGGGCCGACGAGCTAGGTTACTGGGTCAAACTCGGCACAAGCGACTATATTGCGCTGGGCCAAATGACCCTCGGCGTAAGCCCTCAGAATCTTCGGTAAATGATCCAGTCTATGTTGTGAATACAAATTCTGTTGGAAAGACCTTTCGTTCTATTTGGATGCTGTTCTTTATACGTTCTCGTACATTGGTGGCGAAAACTTCATAAATTGCATATTTACTTCTTTTCGGACTGCAGATATAGCAAAACAAGGATTTGGCTGTGTTAGTTTGCTACTGGGCGTACATATGTGGAGTATTTGTATATACTGGTGTCTTGAGAACAGTGCATATGTTGGTATTCGGAGTATACTGCGTATAGGCATTTCAACACATCTTCTTCCCTAATTTCACATCTTTTCTTTAAGAAGCGGAGTTGCCTATTTCAACCCCGAACATTCCTAAAAATAATCCTTTCTTTCGCCCATTATCGTTTTGCCGTTGTTGCACTTCGGTGAAGTATGGAGTAGTTAAGGTTTCTAGCACACGGGCATCCCCACACGATCGTCGTCATCGCAACAAACGCTTCACTTGGGGGACAATGAGCAGCAGATTCAACATGTTCTACGACGGAGATTTGCAAAGTGGAATTGCACTTGCTGTTCGAGAAACGAAACAGGTAATATGTTTTGTTCGAGGTACTGCCGCCTTGCATCACGAATCCGATCCCTATACAGAGTACTAACCATGAAGCCAGACGACGGAGAGGAGAGCGCAAAGTGGGAGAATGAATATCTCGCCGATAAGGAAGTGAGACCCTGCTATTCCACATTGTCGGCTTCAATACGGCGACTAACCGCCTAGATTTCCCTGCTGGTATCTTCGACCAGCATTGCCCTTCGGCTGTCTGCTGGCTCGCAGGAAGCTGGCTTCTTAGCATCTTTCTGTCCTGTTAATAAAGTACCAACTCTGGTTATTATAAAGTATGGCGTACTGGCTGTTCTAGAGCCACTTTGAAGCTAATATTTGCCAGAAATGGCGTTCTCCAAGAATACATTATCTCTGGCACCGCGGAGGGTGAATTTAAAAGTCGTGTGAAGGCTGTGCTCTCTCTCTCTTCCCCACCCACGCCAAAGCAGCCCACTCAAACGCCTCAGACCTTACAACAGGACTCTACACCCTTGAATAATATACAGGAAGCTGTACCGGACCCAGACCCCGAGGAAGATACTGCTGCGGAGGTTGCACGACGTGAAAGTATAAAGCAAGGGAAGAAGCCAGCTACGTCTCCTACGGCAGCATCCCTACCTAATAACCCGACCAAAACAACTCAGAAGTCATGGAGAGATCAGCAACTAAGCCGAGAGGCCCAAGAAAGGAAGGAAAGGGAGCGAGTCTTAGCTTTGATACGGCAAGACAAAAAAGAACGGAAAATTAAAGATGAACAGAATAAGGTCACTTTGCAAACTACATCACAGACCTCTGATCCACATACTGAGTCCTCGAAACCTAAGCTCAAGTCATCTGAATATCGGCTCCAGGTCCGTCTTTTTGACGGCAGCTCTATTCGGTCTAGCTTTTCTCCTACGCAAACGCTCAATCGTGATGTCCGGGCTTGGATAGACAGTCATCGTACCGACGGGAACACGCCATATAATTTTAAGCAGATTTTGACGCCCCTACCTAACAAAACAATATCTATATCTGAAGAAGGGCAAAACCTCAGTGATATTGGCCTCGGCCCAAGTGCTAATCTGGTCATGGTACCTGTTCATAATTATACTGACGCATATGCTACATCTGAATCGTCATTACCTGTACGAGGTTTATACGCTGGGTATAACTTGGTTACCAGTGCAGTTGGGGCTGTGGCTGGTACTCTTACTACTTTTCTTGGGCTGGGAGGCAGCCAAACCACCCCACAACAGGGGGAGAATGGCGGCCCAGGAGTTGGACACCCCGTGGCAGCAGCTGATACAAGCGAAAATACATCTCGAGATACAAGACCGTCTCGAGCTAATAAAGTGCGAACACTGTATGATCACCAATCTGATGACGGAGATCGTCAGTTCTACAATGGGAATCAGGTATGTTCACTCAAAATGATTTCAGCTAACGCCTGCAATGTATATGCTGATTATAGAGCCCTGCAGCTGAATTTTGAGCCTCGAAAGGATGCTGGTAAAGAAGACTAGATTATTTCTAGACTAGATACACGTTCTGGATAGCGGTTACCTTTCCGTTTCCCTAGTGCTTTGCACTTTCAAATGCCTTCATTTACACTAGGGATGTATACTATCATGTCGGGAAAAAGTGCATTTACTTTGACAAACTACGCTCGAGATGCTTTCAGATGTCTGCTTGTGGTGAGTGTGAAGAGTGGAAACATTCTATTGCAGACAGGCCAGGTAGCTGTAGACCAAGAAGTGTCCTTCATGGCCATCCACTTTGTAATAATACAAGACAGGTTTATCGAGAAATGTAGTTTATGAGTGAATGCATGTATATACAACTGATTCAGTTCTGAGCAACGATGTGTTCCACTGCTCTCAATCCAAATACATGAAATACATGCCGTTACAATCAATATTTCTTAGCAGCCTCCTGGCAAGCTTTCTATTGAAAAGAATGTCACGGTCAGCAAGGCCTTATACGCACATTTGAGAAGGCAGAATTCGTATTCCACATACCAGCTGGTCCATGTACCAACCACAGATGGACATGTTGCCTGAATGCTCATCCATACAAGTTCTGAAAGCTTTAATGTCGGTTTCGCAGGCACCACCTTGGCTCCAGCTGCTGCTGGAGTTGGCCTGATACAAACTGTTATCTATGGGCGAGGCCGCAGCGGGGGGAGCTTGAGCAGCTTCGGCAGGGGCGCTGGAGGATCCACCGGTGAAAAAGCTGCCAACTGCATGGCCTATAGAGGATCCCACAGCGACACCGCTAGAACAGAGAACAAATAAATTAGCCGGATCCGCTTCTAGTTTGGCTGGGCGATAAAAAACGCAGCGGCCTCTCCATGCGAGGACTGTTACACTCACGCGGCGGTGGATGCCATCTGGGAAAAGAGACCTGGCCCTTGGCTTGTCTGTGCTGAGGCAGCCGGCTGAGCTGCTGGCGCTGGGGGTGCAGCGGCCGTTGAAGATGGACGCTGCTGGGTCTGAGCGGGAGCGGGAGCAGCTGGCATAGGTCTGGCTGGGGCAGCCCGGGAGGGAGCGGGGGCGGCGCGGCGTTGACGGGGCATTTTGAAAGACTGAGATGTGTCAACAGAAAACGATAGTGGATGTACTGCGCAGACAAAGAGCGATGGCAAAGGTTGGTTGGTTGGTGATGGTCTTGAGGATTTCGAAGAGGAATAGAAAGAATACATAGCTTGCGTATGTAATTTACACGCTAGCGGAAGAAAAGCCAAATTCGCTGCGACAATGTTATTTTCTTGAGCTCCTATTGGACAAAATCAGCAACAGTACAATACGCGGCTGTTTCGCCTCCGTACGTCGGCCTCGGGATCGGGATGGCTGAGTTCAGGCAGCGATTCATCACCCTACAGGAAATGCATATATATCACGGAAAGGAGTGACCACAAAGAATTTAAATTAAATGGTAAGATGGTACCACCAGAGAGCAATTTGCTTTAAGATAAACAGGCAATACTGTTATACGGAACGCGCTCCTCAAAACGGTTGTCAGAAAAGCTCACATTGGTGTGCTACAGCAGAGCAACATGAAGCCATACCCGTACGTCAGTACATAGTATAATCCTAGAGAGTCAGAAGGGTATCAACGAAAACCAGAAACCAAAAAAAAAGAGCGCTATCATCTAGTTTTATTTTTTTGGTCGTCAGCTGCTCGCTTTTTCAACTTTTTCATACGCCTCTTTTCAGCTCTAAATGATCTTTGCCTTCGGCCGTCTGCCGCATCGCGCCTTTGTTTCTTACTTCGTTTCTTCCCATCACCACCAATACCCTCATTGAGTTTTATGAATTCATCTGCTTGAATTGTTTTCTCGAAACCCTCATTCGCGTTATCTTCCATTGTTGCATCATCACCATCTTGGTTCGATTCATCGTCTTGTTCTTCAGCGCCACGGGAATCTTCGGGAACGGGGGGGGCAGCACTTGGTGGAGGTGCTAAACTAGCAGTAACAGCAGCTCTCTTTTTAGCTAACTGGGCTGCTCTAAGTTGAGCCATGGCCCTTTCTTTCGCTTCCCTTTCCGCTCGCTCTAGGTCAATTCTATTATTTCCGGCCTTAGAAAATGAATGTCAGCGTTATCTCAATATAATGATGGTGAGGTGGAAACTCACTAAGTCGTGTTTAATAAATCTGGTAACTGCCTGTTTGTCAATTGTCATCGTTGGTTTCTCTGGTACAGCTTCTGAATTTTTTATTTTTGCAAAATATTGTTTTACCCGTGTTAGTTCTTTGAACACGGGGTGCTCCCTCGCATTTACACCCTGCAAACGTAAATATGCTATAGAAAACGCGTTAACGTCATTCAGATCCAAGAAAAAAGCCGGCCCAAAAAGAACATACAGAAAAGAAGAGACTCAATAGTGTATGTGATGAGAACATGAAACTTCGCCTTGTCCATGACAGTCATGTTCTGTGTTGTTGAAGATACGCTCTGTTTCAAGAGCGGCTCTAAAATATCCTCCAAATCATCAATATCATCCTCAAGTTGGCCCACTAGTGGCATTAAATCCATGGTCTCCATAATGATACTTTTATCTTGCACGTTGAAAGATCAAGGCAAAGATAGTATTTGGACGTTGAAAACAGCCTCAAAGTTCTGGAACGGAGACCTACAAGTGAATTAGAGTTTCGTAACTAACCTGATATAGTTAGACTAGCGCCAGAGTTTCCCGTAGGCGAACCTCCATATTATCATGACTGAACGACCTCGAGTCTCGAGATACTCCGTAGAAACTCCATATCTTTATCTAACGCTCACAATGAGCTCAAGATTACATACCCTGCCGCCAGCCCTTAGAAATTCCCTATATCTTTGGAGTATACCACCGGATCTGGCACTGTTTCCAAGACGAAGCTTTTGGACAGAACCCAGAAAGCAAGTAATGGAGGGAGCAGAAGACGGTTCGATTGCTGTATCGGGTAAAACCCGGATCACAAGGAGAATTCATATACTGGGAGTCGGAAATATTGGAGGCTTTGTCGCGCACTCCCTGGCTTCATTGCCCAACCGACCTCCGATGACTTTGCTCTTGCACAAAATAGAGCACTATTCTGCCTGGAAAAAGCATGAAAGACGCATTACACTTGTGAAACACGGAGTTGCAGAGCCTAGAAATGGGTTCGATATCAATGTTCTTAGAGACGGCGCTTGGTACGAGCCATTTGTACCGGATGAGGCAATAGAAGAGCAAGCCGGATCCCTTCCACCACGAAGTAAACCAGAAGACCAATTTATCAATGTGGACGACGAAAAAATTGATAGTTTAATCCTAGCTGTCAAAGCAACCCAAGTTGAACAAGCTTTGAAGTCTGTACGTCACCGGCTATCGCCTAAATCTGCAATCGTGTTTCTTCAAAATGGCATGGGTGTACAGGATGAAGTAAACCAGAAGATTTTCCCGGATCCCGCCTCAAGGCCAAGTTATATTCAGGGTGTTACCACTCATGGACTCCATTATACAAAAGCCTACCACATAACTCATGCTGGAGTGGGAACGTCTGCTTTCAGTATCGTCTATCCTGAACGCCCACAGTCACCCCCTGAAGACACGGGAAAACCAAGGGCTGAATCCAACGATCGAGATTTTTGGGATATTTCGTCAATATACTTGACAAACACATTGCTGCGCTCTCCGGAACTCACACCTGTTCGAATAACCAAAATAGAAATGTTACAACATCAGCTTGAAAAACTTGCTATTAACTGTGTCATTAATCCCCTTACTGCTCTTAACGACTGTCTCAACGGCGATCTTCTTTACAATTATAATATTTCCCGTGTTCAAAGACTTTTGCTTATCGAAATATCCACTGTGATCCGTGCCCTTCCAGAATTACAAGGTGTGCCAGGTGCAATGTCTCGATTTTCCCCTGAACGACTGCGCACTTTGGCTGTTGGCGTCATGTATAAGACTGCTACCAATACGAGTTCCATGCTTCAAGACATAAGACTGGGCAAAGAAACCGAAATTGATTATATCAATGGGTATATTGTTCGACGAGGAGAAGAACTGGGTATTAAGTGTGCACTCAACTATATGCTGGCACAAATGGTACTAGCGAAGGCTAGGATGCTATCCAAACAGATTCAAGACGAAATTCCCCTTTCTTCTTCTCCAGCAAAATATGAATCTATTATGTGATTTATTTGTCACACGTCGAGAAAACCACACATACCGGCTTTTTGTTGTTTATGTAAACAAAGCACACGCTGCATGATTCCCAGGAAAAACACCAACAAGACCAAGTACACTGGCTCTATGACTGCTCTAGGGCCCTTAAAGCCGCACTGCACAGGCTTGCTATCTGTCTCCATCTGAAAAGAAGCACCTGGAAACGGCTATCATCTTCGTAGGTTTTACTTACAAGCCTCTTTTCAATCTTCTTGGTGACCATAACAGACTCTTCTCGGTATTGACTTATCCAGTCAGCAATAATATCGTCGGTCTTACTTTGGTTAAACGTGGGTGGCATGACACCAGCAACATAGGTACACCAATCTTCAATCGCCAAATACATCAGTGACGCTGCTACTTCAGTGCGAAAGCATGGACCGGAGCTTGCGACCCGGTAATTCCTTTACCCGACCACAATTAGCTTTGAATTTGTATTATATTGCACCACAATACGGCTTACCCCAAATAGTTGTTATCTTTCAGATATTGTTTCTTCTCTCGATTCAAGTTTTGAAGCACAATATCGTCAAGGAATAGAGTGTCCCATTTATTTTGATATGGACAAAAGCCATCTATCGTGGTGCTTAGCAATGGTTGCTAGGGCTCTGGAATTTCTTACAGTCAGCTAAAAGGAGATCACTAGTGTGATTTCCATAGCAAATAAATATTTCTTCACCCTCCTCTATAGAAACGTTGTCAGCTCTCATTGCACTCATATCTGGGAATCATAGAGGTAGCATATTGCTTTACCATAAGATTTAGTGGTTGTGAACGTATATCCACTCTCATTAAAAGCCGCTTCACACTGCATGTTATGGTGTTAATAAAATTGAACGAAATCATTCCAAACAATCAAATTTGTATCAAGAGTACTAATTGGGAAATGGATATACAAGAACATACCCCGTCATCGTCGCCAGAATGATTGAAATAATCGGCAAACGGACATAATGCCATTGCATCATTGCGATCTTCTGGCATTTCAGCATCTTTTCCAACATAAAAAAAGCATCTTGTGTTGGCCACAAGCCAGTAATACGTATACTCCTTCTGGTCCATGGACGGGTAAACCTGTTTCACGATATCCAGTGCCTTTTGAAGCCTGTCTGATTGATTTTGAAAGAGGTTCTGTTGTTCAACAACGTAATCAGTCGAGCCCTGAGGCTTTTTTGGCAATGTGTGCCAGAATCCGGATATCGAAGGGGGCAGTAAAGATGAAAAGCCATGGGCGTCGTGTCGCAACCCACTCTGACGAGGTGTAGCCCCACTACTATGCTGTGTTCCTAGTAGATACGCGGGCCAAAGTAAAGGTATAGATTCTTCAAAATTCTCCATTGTCGGCCAAGTGGCCTTCCATGAAGCATACCGGAACCTTGCCTCCCCATCGTAAGCCAGATACGCCGCAAACAGGCACTGCACGGGCGTATTTGCGGGGAACCGGTTTTTAAAAGACACTGGTACTGTATCCAGCGTCAATAGAGCTGAGGTCGGGACCGAGACAATGGTTTCTCCAGCCTGGCGACTAATAGTCAGCAGTGAAACGCGGCCCGTGTGGAGATCGAACGCTTTGAACAACGGAAGACTGTGGTTTAGGAACAAGCTTGTAACTATAGTTTTGAATAGAAGAACTGCCTATAATAGAGGAGCTTGATGTTAATCGTACTTCAATTTTCTTGGACGCCGCAATTCCCAGCCCTCTTTCTGGAAATCTGACTGGCTTCACGCCCTCAGTGCGTATTCCTTGAGCATCAGCCCATTTTAGGAATTTCTTGCAGTTTGTGTCGGCGTCCTTTGCAGACATTTGGCGCTCAGGGTCACGGCCTTGAAAATATTAGGAAATATAGAGAAGTGGTATAGCAAGTCATCCTATTCTCAAGTTCGAGACGCATATGGAGCAGTATGTAACGGGCATTGCCCTATGAGTCAGCCACGGAATTTTGTTTTCCGGCCACGGAGCTTTAACTTTGCCGAGCCTGTTCTACCCGCACCTTTAGGTACGACAACGAGCTTCAATAATCAAGACAAGTCGATGTAATACGACGCTTCCGCGCAGATCAATGGCATCACCAGCAAGGGTGGCTGCGACTTGTTGTACTCGCTCCTGGCGAGCGTCATACACACCACGAAATGTCGCCCGCGAATTTTCCCTGTTGAACCGTCCCTCACCGAAGTACCCGGGCCACATACCTTTGACATCGGTAGAGCGAGGCGCTCTCGCAATTGGATCGGCAGTGGGGTCGTTGTTAAATCCTCGAAGGGGAGGTATTGATATTCCCATTGAATGCCTAAATACTGGACACTAACACTTTGGGCCAGACTTGATAGCAACTCTCGGCGAAGCTACAGCAACACCGTTTTTTATTTACCGTCTACGCGATGCTATGCTATCAGACCCAACAGGTCGACGAATACTCCGTGATCGCCCTCGAATTACCTCCCAAACATTGTCCCTCCCATATCTTCGCAGCTTACCTCCAAACACTGTAGGATTCACCTATGCTGCTTGGCTTGATCGAGAGGGTGTCAGCCCTGACACTCGCAGCAGTGTACAGTATATTGATGATGAAGAATGTGCATTCGTCATGCAAAGATATCGAGAATGCCACGATTTTTATCATGCAGTGACAGGCCTCCCAGTCGTTGTTGAAGGTGAAATAGCCTTGAAAGCCTTTGAATTTCTGAACACATTGATCCCGATGACCGGTTTAAGTGTTTTTGCAGCAGTAAGACTGAAACCAGACGAAAGACAACGTTTTTGGAGCATTCATCTACCGTGGGCAATTCGAAGTGGGCTGAAAAGCAAAGAGTTGATTAATGTGTACTGGGAAGAGCAGTTGGAACGAGATGTGAATGAACTGAGAGAAGAGCTGAACATTGAGAAGCCCCCTGACTTGCGGGACATTAGAAGAAAGCTTCGAGAGCAGAGGAAGGCGGAAAAGCAAGCCACAATTCAATCGTGAACTTGATGCCCGAAGATGTATAACAGTATGGCGTTACGGGGGATCCATTTGAAATTAGACAAAGGCGTTTCATCCACGTTTCTCCCATCCTATTTTCACTAGCAGAAATGATATATTTAAAGGGAACTCGTAAAGCGTTACTGCCCATACTCTTCTCAAAGATCCAGCAAGTCATCATCATCATCCCATCCACCTTTTCGGCGGCTAATGATAATCTTCTCCTCCTCTTTATTTCCAGCCACGGCGTTGAGAAGCTCTTTTAACTGGTCTTCTGTGACCTTTGCTCTCAGTTGCCCCGTTCGAGCTAGCATTATCAATCTATTCTCAACATCTGTAGCGCGGGATTCTTTCACCATGCGAATACGGTTCAAGCGGTCTGCAGCCTCGGGTAGAAGGATTTGGGAAAGTATTGCCTGACGGGCATCCGCTGTTAACTGCGTTAGACTTTTGATCATGGCGAATACGGCTCTATGAGTTTGAATCCTTGGTGATTACCTTCCTGCTGCCTTTCAAACCATAAAATATATTAGCATGGGAAAGTAGAAGGTGTTATTGTTTCTACGAGTTTCACACCAACCTTTGTTTATCTTCCTGGCCAGGTCCACCGCTTGCCCCTCCTTGCTGTTGCAACTGCGCGAGCCGCGCCCTTCGAATCTGGAGGCACGCTAGTTAGTGCGATATGACTACGGTCAAGAAACCGGCATCCGCGTGTACCTCTTCAAGCTCTGAGTCAGCCATCGAAGCTGGACGTTTGTTATATTCTCGATTAACTTGGCACTATAAAATTTGATCTCTGTCCTAAGAGTCAACTTGTGGCTTCTCCAGTAGTTGTCCACGCCCTCGACCCCGCAGCAAGGGGGGCTTACAGCGAGGAAAACATGTAGCTAGCTAGTCAGTAACCTCCAGTCACTGCAGATAAGAATTCAGAAGAGAAATACTTACGAAGTTAGTCTTTGACACACGCCATGGCCAGACGCTATTCTTACATAGGGGATCATGGGCACGCGAAGCACTCTTTGATGCTGCTGGTAAGGCGCCGATTATGTAAGTTAACGAAGGGTCTAGCTACAATGCCTCCACGCAAGGTCGCCGTAAATGCACCTCCCGGGTGAGACTTGTTTCGCAAGCAAAAAGTCTTGGGAGTTCAACCGTGGTAGATGTTTGCTGGTTTTTCTGTAACCTTCCCACTGGCCCCGCAAGATCAAGGAACCGTTGTGCTCGGCGTTTCTTCCCTCGTCCTTCTCGCGCCGCTTTCGCCCATCACTGCTGCCTCTCCACTGCTGCTCGTGCGTCATCCGGGGTGAGAGGCTGTTTGTCGCGTTTGCTGGACCGGATCGCCCAACTGCCGCTTTGCCCCATCGGGCTCTGCTTAGCCGCCCGTGATTCTTGGTGCTTTCCCTCAGTCCGCGGCCACTTCGCCGTTTGCCTCCAAGCCACCTCGATCCAAGGCGCCTCCAGACCCGCCGTGCCAGAGGAAGAGGAGGCGGGCTTTTTCAATAGCCAGCTGTTCCTTCCATCATCATCAACCCATTACTCTGGAAGATGGCACATACAGTTCGCTAATCTGCCAACTACGACCTCAGCTCTGTGACCAAACGAGGACAGTATCGCCATCGTTGACTCTTCATTTTTCTGTCTTCTGTCGTACTAATCATGGCGGAGTAAGTGGTTTCTTCTGTGGCTAGCCAATGCGAGCACTATGACGACTTGAAAGACACTCATGCCTTGACAGATTAATATCCATGTACGGATGGCCATACCCCTCTATTCGAACAACTTCCGCTCCATCCGATCCCTCAACGAAATCCGAAATGCCGCCCTCCTCTAAAATCCGATCGCTCTCTACGAAAACCGTTTTTCGCGCAAAGTCGACCAATGCGCTATCCGACTTGGTCGGTGGCTCAAAGGCGTCGAGGTTGTCGCGCTTTACGGACGAATCCGACACTTCTTTCAATACTCTGCGTGACCCCAGAACCGCAAGTACAACCGATTTATCTCAGACCGCGACTTCTTCTCCACGGCATCCAGACTTGAGCAACGAAGTGGCCGCTCTCAGTGAGAAGCTGATCCAAGCAATCAATAATCAGACTACTCTTGACGATACCCTAGCAGCAACTCGCCAGGAGCTTGAAGTATCGCGTCAGAGAATTCTCCAGCTCGAGGAAGAAAATAGGAATCATCAGAATGATGTCTCTAGCGGGGTGTTGGTCAGACGAGACAAGGTAGACTCCGAAAATATGGAGATAAAGCAAGAATTGGAACTTGAGCGAACTCGCCGAACTACTATTGAAAAAGAGAAGAAGGGAATGGAGCAAGAACTTGCTGATTTAACAGCAGCGTTGTTTGAGGAGGCCAATAAAGTATGTGTTCTAATTTTGGATGAATATACACTTTGCACAGCTAACATACATATAGATGGTAGCGGCAGCAAAGAAAGACCGTGAAGCAGTGGAAAAAAGAAATGAGCAGCTACAGGCACAGATCAAAGATACCGAAACCTTGCTTGCATCACACCAAGAACAACTTGCTGAGCTCAAACTAGTGATGCAGGACATGAACCACGATTGTAGTGACATCAGGACATGTCCTTCCACAGCGCCCGTTTCGCCAATTGCAGCCCAATCGCAAGGCAACTTGAACAGACTTCTAGAAGCCATGAATTTGTCGCCCGTGACCCCTGGTACTGGAGATATTTCGCCAGCTCCCTCAACCAGCTTCTCTCATCTTATAAAATCAGTGTGCCGCATTGATATTCAGGCTTATGAAGATTTTCATGCTTTGTTGCGTCAGTCTTCGAGCTCAAAGCCGCCCAGCAGAGCTGTAAGTGGCTCTTATTCTGGTTTAAATGTCATTGGCCTTGGAAGCCTGACTGGCAACAACACTTCCCCACAACACCAGTACCGCTCGAGTGCCCCCGCAAATCCAGCCGCAAGTTCGGCGACTAGTTCGTTACCTAACGGGAACTCCTCTACGCGCAATACCTCGTCATATTCACATTTGAAGGAAACAAAATTTTTTAAACGCGTATTGATAGAAGATATCGAACCGACTCTGCGGCTTGACATCGCTCCCGGAATTTCATGGTTAACTAGACGATCCCTTATTAGCAGCATATGTGATGGAAGCTTGATTATTGAACCCATGCCATCCGTTGACACCAAATACTCACCAGCCTGTGCACTATGTGGTGAGAGGAGGGATGGTGACGCACATTCACGAATGCATCGTTTTCGAACATCTGATAATGACTCGGCACAGCGACACCCGCTTTGCGTTCTTTGCCTTGAAAAGATGCGGTCATGCTGTGATTTTGTTGGCTATCTAAGGCTCATTATTGGTGGCCATGTCCGCATTGGAGATGAAGAGGAGGAAAAGGAAGCATGGGAGGAAACTGTTCGTTTAAGAGAGCGGATGTTTTGGTCGCGAATTGGTGGTGGCGTCATTCCTGCATTTATTCACACAGACGCTTCAACAAACGATTCGGCAATGCAGAATCACGACCCATCCATGCTTACTAAATTCAATGGTTCCATTGATCAAAAGATACATGCACCTAAAAAGCAAGAGGAAGCTGTGTCGAGTAATGTTGGATGCTCAGTGGAAAACGCCCCTACCAACCCAAAAAAATGCTCAGAGCAAATCCCCACGGACAAGCACGATGCCGATGATAGCGACGATGGCACACTTAATGAAAGCAATGTTGATAAAGTTAATGACGATGACGCCTTTATTGCAAAGGATACTTCGAACTCGGCAACATCAGATTCTGGTAACCCGGCCACGGCAACTTCAAAATGTGTTAATGGCATCGAACCCAAGCTGAAGGTGACAATACCGACAGTTTTTGAACTCTAACTCTTTTAACAACCACAATATATTAACGGCGAATATGTCTTTGCCTTTCTTATTCAAATTCTTCATTTGCCATTGGTCATACCTCTATGGCATAGATTATTAGCGCTGTGCGCTGAGTTTCAACATTTGAATACTTACTTTAATCCTGACCTACCAGCGGGCTATGGACTCGTTATTGAGACGACTTAATCGTTGAAAGGTCCCCTTTTTTATCTTCCTTTTGTTTTCGCCGTTTCCCTTGCTAGCAATTTACTTCCTGCTTCATATCATGCCACGCACTTTATCGATGCATGCATTTGATGGCGTGGTGTTTGAATGTTGCGTGCGATTTAATTTCCCTTTACTATGTTAGTTGCTTGTTATTTATTGCACCAGTAGCACCAGTGCATATTTCTCCCCTTTCTACTCGAAGATTCATTCTGGCGGCTGCATGGGACTCCTGGTAGCATTTTCACTTACGCTTTTCTCTTCTTTGCATACAAATATTCTCAGAGGGTGTACTATATATCTATTTATTTCTCCTAGTGGGGTTTCGTGTAAATAGTACTGCGGCTCGGGATCAGATTTTAGGATTTCCGGTTGTTTGGCCTTAAATGAGATGAAGTTCATTAAACCGAAGAACATGATGAATTATTGCGGCGGCGAAGTTTCTGGACACTCATCAATCCAAGAATACCTGAAATTCTTGAGGTTTTGAAGCGCTTATCATACAATGACATTTCCCCTTCTGGAACTCATTCAAATTTACATTCAATCACACCACCCCCAAATACAAAAAAAAAAAAAAAAATTGGAAATAAGGGCGTAAAACTCCAAAGCGAAAAATTCACGAGTACAATATGTATTCGTCATCTTCTTCATTGTTTAAATTTTTGGTGAATCTGCCTTATCTGCTCTTCAATATCAACAGGCTGGCCTGGGGGCGGGGCGCCCATTCTTGGTTGCATCCCGGGCGGAATGGCTTGTGGCCAGGCATCGTAACCTGGTTGAGCTGGAAGCGAACCTGGAGGTAGTGCTGGTATGGCCATAGGCATGCCTGAGCCATCCATTCCACCGCCAACGGCCATTCTCTTCCTCCGAGCTTCTTCCTCTGGGTCAAGGCCGGAGGCTTCTGGAGGGTTTGGTTGTTGTTGTTGTTGTTGTTGTTGTTGCTCAGTTCCGACCACTTGGTCAAAAACATCACTCCTTTGGCTAGCGAGCCGTTTTAGATTGTTCGCAACATCAACAGTTGACAAATTGGTGGTTGCATAACGCGCTTCAGCCTTTGCGCGCTGCTCTTTCCAGCGTGGATCGAGCAACTCAATCCGCATATGTTGTTCCATTTCTGCAATAGGGATTTGCTGTTTACAATTCGGGCAAACAGATGTTGGCACTGTAGCAGTGTTAAGGCGTTTGGCTTGGGCACGAGGGACATAATCGGAGCGGATACGCATGGGTGGCTGTCCAGGGATCATAGGGGGCGGCGTAGCCACAGCACGGGAATCAGGTTCCGCAATTGTACTGGCAATCGGGGCTGGAGGAACAGGCGTTGATATTGGTGTAATACCGTGAGGAGAAAGTAGTGAAGGTTGGGGAATAGGAACAGAAGGTGGGCGATTGGTGGGGATGGGTGATTGGGACTGGGGTTGGCCATAGCTTGGTTGAATAATGGGAATTTGCGTGGGAGGGTAGGCATTGTAATAATTTGCACTATCATCATCCGTAGGTAAAGCTTCTTCTATTCGTCTGTTCGCCGGTGCTAGCGAAATCATAGCTTTTTGTTCTAGGGACGCAGTCTGGAGATCGTTCAGCGAAGTTGGTGGCGGGAGCTCGGCATGGTCGTCGGCCTCTGTAAACATGACAGTTTCAACTACAACAAAATCATGCCAGTCAATTTGAGCATACGCAATGCTTTCTTGCTCTTCCTCCTCTTCCTTCTTTTGCTTTTGCTGTTCCTGATACTGAACCCACTCCGCCCGCTGTCGTGCCCGGTCAAGGATATGATACCTGTTCTTGACATTCTTTTGCAACTCAGAAATGCGTGTTTTTTCTGCTTTCCCAATATCTGCTCTCGAAACCTGAAGAAGCTCAACATATTGGTCTACCAGCCTTGTGAAAAATTGGTATAAACTATGTTGGGGCCGTAGGAAATCAAATTGATAATTCCTGGTTTCCCGCTGCGAAAGCGCTGTCATGAACGACTTGCCTCTTTTAGCCACAAAAAGCGCAGTTAATTTCACAACCTCAAGATCTAGTGCATTAATGTTCGGCATGCGCGCAGAGAAACGAAACTCTGGGGGAGCCTCGGGGCCCTTGGATACCGTTTCTTCGGGTTGTGCTGCCGGTTCGCCAGCCCTCCCAGCAGATACAGCCGTACCCCTGCCGGCTTTAACTTCATTAAGTCTCCAAGAATAAAAGGCAGCATAAGGATCCGCCGAGTTTAAAAAGGAAAATTTGGGGTTGTTTCTTTCTTTTTCACGGACTCGGTCTAAAAGAAAATGTGTCAGAGCGGCAACGAACGAGAAATATCACCAAAATGCGCACCTTCAAAAACAAGCCCATTTCTAGCCACGAAACCTGCGGTCTTCTCGACAATTGCTGGTAGAACGTTAGCTCTCCGCTCGCTCGGCGCCTTTTTTCAATTCATGGGCGGTCATGAACACTCACTTCTGATGTCTTTCGGAGGCACAACGATGCCTTCAGGCGGCTTGCTTACTTCCTCGGGAAGCTCTGATACTGTAGGGGTTCCGTTTGCTACTGTTCCTGCCATGGTTACTCCGTCCTGTTCTGCGCTGGGTGTCCTGTTCCACAGGAGTTGGATGGCCGAGAGAGCTGTGAGGAGGCTCCACTGGCACGACTTCACGTGTTTCGTAGCCTGCTGACCTAATCAGTGTTCAACTTCCCCCTTTTGGCCAACTTGACGAACCTGCTTACCGCGACCACGCCTCACAGCTCACGGGAATCCATTCTTACACCCGGAGGGACGGTGTCTGTCTTTCTTCCCCCCCTTCATTCATCCTTTCGTCTTTCCACCTCTTTATTGCCCACATAATTTCTTTAATACTTCACTTTGTTTCTCTTCATCCGCGTCTTCCGCATTCGTTTCACGTATACATGACCATCGATTTTCTTATGAGTATCTAATCTTTCATAATGCCGCCAAAGTCCAAAAATGGCCTTGATGCCAAATCCCCCTCACGGCGGAGCAGCCGCTCACCCAGCCCCAAGATACCTCAAAAAGCGTCACGTACGATTTCAGACTACACATCTGAGGGGGTGAATAACAATGACATTTTTAACTTACCAAAGTCCGACTACAAAATTATACTTGTGATAACTGCGCTTGCAACTATAGTGAGGCTGTTCAGGATTTATCAGCCAACCAGCGTGGTGTTTGATGAGGTCCAGTTAGTTTAAACCATCCCCCGATTCTCAAGAATTCTGCTTACACATGGCGCGTAATTGTAGTTTTGGCGGTTTTGCGATGAAATACATCAAAGGGAAATTTTTCATGGACGTTCATCCTCCATTGGCCAAGTTACTCATCACTTTAGCTGGCTACCTTGGTGGATTCCGCGGTGATTTCGATTTTAAAGAAATTGGCAAAGATTATTTGGAACCAGGAGTTCCATATGTCTCGATGCGTATGCTTCCCGCAATATTAGGAATTCTATCCGTTCCGACGATGTTTTTCACCTTGAAGGCTTCTGGTTGCCGGACAATAACGTCTGCTTTGGGCGCCCTTTTGGTAACATTCGGTAAGCTCTATAACTAGACCAATCAATAATCATCGACATTTTATACTGAAATACTGCAAAGAAAATGGATTAGTTACCCAGTCCCGGTTTATTCTTCTCGACTCTCCCTTGATTATCTGTACGGCCTTGACAGCACTTTCTTTTACTTGTTTTACAAATCAGCATGAACAGGGGCCGTCTAAAGCGTTTAGCCAATCCTGGTGGTTTTGGCTTGCTGCGACTGGAGTATCATTAGGTGCTACTGTGAGCGTTAAATGGGTCGGCCTTTTTACAATTGCTTGGGTTGGAAGTTTAACAGTACTTCAACTATGGGTTCTTCTCGGGGATACCAAAACCGTGTCTCTTGTAAGTATGGTGCCTCTTTGGAGCAGCGTATATGATTTTGACTCGAATTGCATAGGATATCTGGGCACGTCATTTTTTCGCACGGGCATTGTGCTTGATCGGCATACCTATCACATTTTACCTTGTCATGTTCGCTATTCATTTTCAATGCCTTGTGAACCCAGGAGAGGGTGATGGGTTCATGTCCTCCGAATTCCAAGCCACCCTTAACTCTAAAGGGATGCAAGATGTGCCCGCTGACATCGGTTTTGGCTCGCGTATTACGCTTAGGCATCACAACACGCAAGGTGGTTACTTACACTCCCACGCGCACATGTATCCGACGGGTAGCAAGCAACAGCAAATAACTTTGTATCCACACAAGGATGATAACAATATTTGGATTTTTGAGAACCAAACCCAGCCCCTTGCCGAATACGGTCAAGTAGAAGGGCCCAGGGCGTGGGATAATATCACCGTCGGCTTTGTCGAAGATGGCGCTGTTCTAAAATTGTACCATATTGCTACTGATCGCAGAGTTCACTCCCATGACCATCGACCACCTGTTACAGAAGCTGAATGGCAGAACGAAGTCTCCGCTTACGGGTACGAAGGCTTTGGTGGCGATTCGAACGATCTTTTCCGGGTTGAAATTGTCAAATCTTTGTCTGACGGTGCAGAAGCGAAGAAGAGACTCAGAACTATCCAAACCAAATTTAGGCTTATTCATGCTATGACGGGCTGCGCTTTATTTTCTCATTCGGTAAAACTCCCGGAGTGGGGCTTTGAGCAACAAGAGGTGACATGCGCCAAAGGCGGGTCCATGCCCAACAGCATTTGGTATGTGGAGCATAATGATCATCCAATGCTTGGTCCGGATGTGGAAAAGGTCAATTACAGACGTCCCAGCTTCTTCTCCAAGTTTTGGGAACTTCAGCGTGTCATGTGGAAAACAAACGCTGGCCTAGTAGAATCTCATGCTTGGGATTCACGTCCTACTTCCTGGCCACTCTTGCTACGGGGAATCAACTTTTGGGGTAAAGATCACCGACAAATCTATCTCATTGGAAACCCTCTTATTTGGTGGGCGTCAACTGGTGCGATCGTGGCATATGTGCTCTTCAAGGGCATTGCAGTACTTCGATGGCAACGAGGTTTTGGTGATTATCGCAATGTCAACTTCAAGCGTTTCGATTACGAAATCGGCCAAACAGTCCTGGGCTGGGCTTTCCACTACTTCCCTTTCTATTTAATGGCCCGCCAGCTATTCCTTCACCATTATTTCCCTGCTCTATATTTTGCTATCATCGCCTTTTGTCAGATTTTTGACTTTGCAGCCAACCGAGTGACTATCTGCGATGCTAAACGAAACGCCATGATCGCCAATGTGTTTTTCGTTGTATTTTTGGCCTTGAGTATTGCGGTATTCGGACTATTTTCTCCACTGGCATACGGTAATACTTGGACACAGGGGGCCTGCCGTAAGGTTAAGGTGCTTAGCTCATGGGACTTTGACTGCAATACTTTCCACACCGATGTAAGTCCTCCGAAATGGCAACCTCCTCAGCGTGGTATAAGATAAAGTTGCTGAATTTTGCTAGTTGGCACAATATTCGAATCCTGTGGCCGTGAGTGCATCGCAACCGGGAGCAAACCCTACCTCTTCGAGCGCTGTTGAACTGCAGCAGCCTGCCCCGGAGAAAGAAGGCCTTCCGAAAGATGGTGCGAACGAGTCCACTGAAGCGGCCGAAGTTACAATGGCGGCTGGCGATCAGATTATTGAAAAACAAGAATCGGTTGAATACCGCGATCAGAATGGAAATGTCCTCAACGCCGAGCAAGTCTCTTCTCTTGCAAAAGAAGGTGGAGTATCCTTTCAGACTAGATACGAGACAAGAACAAGAGTGGTAGACGCTCAGGGACGTGATCTGGAACAACAGTTGGCTCCCCCACACCCTGACGTGGATGGGCAGAACCCAGAAACTCCTGGCAAGGGTGAGAGCGCCCACGGCGATAAACCTGCTTCTGTGGCTGGTGATGAAAAGTCTATTCAGCGCGATGATAGCAAGCCGAAACCGGCCAGTGAGGGAAAAGATGCCACCAGAAAGGTAAATGAATTGTAATGTAGCTCTGATTCATTTTTGTTTTTTTTTTTTTTTTTCAAGTTGATTTCTTGTATAATTAATGCATGTGATACTCTCCTAACAAGACTTACATACTAGCTAAAAAGCTGATGTATTTTAGAAATTCGCTCACACCTCGCGTTGAGCTCTCTCAAGAAGTAGGAAATATGAATCCATATTATACAATAGATTTGCATTGAAGGTGGTTCAACGAGGAACGTCTCAACTCACTGGTGGTCGAAGACTTTACATATGAGGATATTTACACGGTATCTTTTCATTTTCCGATGTTATAGAATACAAAGGAAGGCTGTGCTAATAGTCTTTCCCGTATTTGTTGAATCTCTCGTGCAAATCCTAGTAAAAAAAAATACATTAGCAATTGCCGAACTGGCAAAGGAGAGAAGATCTGCATACCGCTGGCAATGTAACATTTGGAATTATGACTTCATTCAACGCGCTTGGGGCGGATTTGAGGGGCTTATTCTTATCCCCATGCGGGTGATATTGATATTTGAAGTTCCCATGCTTCTCTGAATCGCTTTCGTCAATCTCCCAAGGCATAGCACCGCTCTCTCCGATTCGAATGTTGCTTTCGGATGTAACTGTTGTTGGCGAGCTGCCGAAGTACCATCCCGCAAGGCCGAAGGCACCGGCCATAACGCCAAGGAGAAGCTGGATAGCAAAAATAATGTTAGGCGCTAAATTCACAAGACAAAAGTGGCCTGAGATAGCGTACATAAAGCTCAGGGTCTCTCTTTGGGGCTTTGTCAAGCCCAGCTTCTTGTATGCGGCTGGAGTATTGTCGGACTGGCTGGGCTTGTAGGGCGCGAAGAGGGTGTCTCATGGCGGCCCGGCGGGCAAAGTTGGCAGCGAGGAACGACATGGTGAAGTGCTGATATGAAGTTGCAGCGGAGGGGCTAACAATCGAGATGTCAAAGGGAGGATATGAAGTTGATTCCGACGGCCAATTAGTGGTGCGTTTATTCGCATCACGCTGTTCCGGGAATTTCACGTGATCCAGCGTTTGCTGAGTCAGCAGACCCGCGATTCGCCCGAAACAGCAAATTCGACAGGGATACTGCGCAGGTGAAGTCGGTTCGGCAAAGAGCAAAACAACGCGATTCAGCCCCGACAGTCCGCATTCCCGCACACCCATCCAGCTATATCACTGCTGTTCCCTTCAGGTTGGCTCTGTGTGGAAATTGGCGTCTGCTTCTTTTTCTGTTCTACCCCTGTTTCGTCCTAAGCCCATCGGCCTTCATTAGGGGCTTATTCCAGGTGCTATTAATCCTTGATCATTCGCTATGAGAGGGGCACCGTGTATTATTCCTACACCTGCGGGTATATAGTAACCGTCCGTCATTCTCTATAGTCTGGTATTGTTGCTGCAGAGTGCTCTGCCATGGCTACACGTTCGGATAGTCAACCTCCCCCTGGCGCCGCGGCATCCGATCTTGATCCCGCGTCTCCCAATACAGATGCCAGACCATTGTCTTATATTTCCTCACACATGACAGATATCCAGTCCGAAGATGGCGAACTGCGATCACAAAGCCCTCCCATACGCTCCCATAGATCTCCTTCTCGGCCTTTTGCCAGACACTCCATGTCAACCGCGTCAACTCAAGGCGCCATCCCGGCAGGGAACCGAATGAGCAGGACACATGTTCCATCCATTACCTCCCATGCTTTCTTTAGACCAATGAGCTCTCAAAGGTTGCAGATGCAGCGAAGCGTGCGCCCTCCAACGGCCACGACACATGGAGTCAGTAGCGAAGACGGACAGAGCGACATTGGGAGTCAAGCACGACGGAGTTTGATATCGAATCCAAATACGCTTGCTGGATTTGGCGGGATAGACTACGAGCCTCCACCACCTTCAAGAGGGACAGAATTCACAGACCCAATTTTTTTTGACAGGGGAACTTCAACCGCTAGCCCGACCGGCAATACAACCGTTCGAAGCGGTGGAGATAGTGTTCGGTTACTGCATGAGCGGTCGCGGCGGTCAGTTCCATCCAACTTGAATTTGGGCGCAACACGCAACGAAGTAGGCCTGCAGGATCCTCCTCAGAGATCACCTCTCTCGTTCCGATCCGGCTTTCTTAAATCAAACAAGAACGAACATCCTGAGCGTCAAGACACAAGTGATCATGAAAGATTGTCGTCAGCAACATCATCACCCGCTTCAACTGGTTTGAAACCGGTCAGACCTATCCCACACAAGACAAGTAAGGATCTTGGAAAAAATTATGAATATTTCACGGGCAATACTATATTTTTCTGGGGTGGGCGTCTGCAAAATTCCCGTGATAGACCAGTCAATATAGCAACAGCAATATTCGTGGTTCTACCCGGTGCCTTATTCTTTGCTTATTCGTACGTTTCCCACGCAAAGTTGCATATCTAGATTCCTAACACAGTCGCAGTGCGCCATGGCTATGGCATCACGTATCTCCAGCCATCCCTATTCTATTCTCTTATGTTTTTTTCCTTACCGTGTCGTCATTCTTACATGCCTCATTGGTTGATCCTGGAGTATGCTTGTGTTTTCGCCCATTTTTTATTTGTTCTGAATAGCTAACATACTCCTCAGATATACCCACGAAATTTACACGTTAATCCCCCTGCCAACCCTTCTGAAGACCCATTAACACTTGGACCACCAAACAGCGATTGGGTCATGGTCAAACTTGCGACATCCGAAATGGCCGCGATGGATGTTCCTGTCAAATACTGCCGCACTTGCAGCTTATGGCGGCCTCCTCGATGCTACCACTGCCGCACCTGTGACAACTGCATTGAAACGCTAGATCACCACTGTGTTTGGTTGAACAATTGTGTGGGTCGCCGTAATTATCGTTTTTTCTTTTCATTCGTCAGCACAGCCACCATCTGTGCGCTTTTTCTTCTCGGTGCGAGCTTAACCCATATTCTCATATATCAGAGCCGAGAAGCAATTAGCTTTGGACAATCAATCGACAAATGGAGGGTGCCATTTGCTATGGTAATATATGGAGCGATAGCTGCCCCATATCCAGCTGCTCTGTGTGGTTACCACCTCTTTTTGATAGGCAGGGGTGAGACGACCAGAGAATATCTGAATTCTCATAAATTTGTCAAGGCAGACCGGCACCGCCCTTTTACCCAGGGAAATATCTGGAGAAATTGGATTTCTGTTTTCGGGAGGCCTCGACCCCCAAGTTACGTCGAGTTCAAGAAACCATATACAGAAGGAGACCAGCGGTTTCCTGCGTCGAAAGTGAAACGCCGTGTCCGTGATGTGGAGGCACAACCAGCAGAGCTTGAAATGCGTGACGTAAAAAGAGCACATCCCACATTCCAAGGCCCAAGCGGCAGAGGACCTCTTAATGCACCGCCAGCCGCCTGATCCGCCTTTAATTTGTTAATACCCCTTCAGCACTAATATACCCTTTTCGGCCTCCTTTTTTGTTTCCCTTCCACGTTTTTACGTTGTTACGCTACCTTTACTTCTTAATACTGATTTTTTCAGCTTTGGACTTTGTAAGACTTTCGCATTGATATTGTATAGAGCGCGAGTGTCGGCAACTGTGTACCAGTATATTGGCGATGTGTATTTATAACTACAGGAGATCTAGCTCGGGGCGTCGAGAAGTCGGAAATGTTATGCTAAACTTGATGGTGACTTGATGGGAGATGGCCTGTATGGGTATGACTTGTGTTGGAGTGGCTGGTGATTGGGATATATGGCGTCTTGATGATACTTTTTCTGAATTTGATATGGAATTAAATATAGTGATGGAGACTGGGCGCCAATAAACCCACTAACTACCTACCAGCTGAATACAAAGCCCCTGCAAGCACTTTGTAGATGCAACAACACTTTGTGGCATCTAGTTACCACCTCAAGAGTTCCCCGACCTCGGAACCACATCCAAACATATAAACTTGCCAGCCTTCCCACCAAGCAACATCCAACAGGTAACCGCCCCAATATAGCGTTTCAATAAGGTTGCCTGGGTGGATTCGAATGTTGTTTGCTACCACTTCCTCCTAGTTAATTGCTTGGTGCGGATATAGACTTAAGCATTGCGTTTGGACCCCCGATTCCTCACGCGTTGAACTTCGTTGCCAAACATCTAACGGAAAGTCACAGGCTGTTTCTTGGTTTCTCAAAAGCCCTTTCATCCGTTTTCTACTCGCTTCGCTATTCCGTTCCACTCAGCAAAATGATGCACTGCCCCGGCACCCGTCCTCCCTCTACGTCCCCGTCAACCACGACGGAGAGCGACACCACGGCTCTGGACACCACTGCTCCATCCCTTACTCCTGCTACAAGCATATCTGGGCCCGTCAGTCCTACGGGACGCGAAGACAGGCCTGAAGACTGTGTAAAAGAGTTCAGGAATTCAAGACGCGTGACGCGTCCCTTGGGAAGTCCGAAATCAGACCGCGCAAACCAGGGCCTAGACCATAAAGAAAACCGTCGGAATGAATTGTGTAGCTTTAAAAATGGACTATTTGAAAATGACGCGCTTTGGGTTCAAGGCGGGCGGGACTTCTCGTCTCATTTTGAGCGCCTTACGGACATGGATTCTGATGGAGTACGGAAAGAGGAGCCTCGGGAGAGTATGAATTTGAACAGAATTGCGGATTTTGAAACTTCATTTAATAGCTGTGTTGAAAGCCCTACATTGGTCCCCAAATGCGGCGTCCGCTCCAGGCAAGTTAAGACGTCGGCGGCTACAGAGGAGGCATCATCAAGGAACGGAGCAAAGAGCGAAAATGCAGCCAGAAGATCCAAGCGCCTAAGTGCTCTTAAGGACAGTGCGGATGCCGCGAATGACAATGACTCTGCGCTAGGGAAACGAACACTTGACACGACATCTAAAGGCCAGGATAAGGTTGAAATGCCTAATAGACGGCCTAAGCTAAGACCTAGAATCGAAGGTCAGATTCACTCTGAATCTCCTTCTAGTGTACAAGCTCCGTCAACTAAGAAAAGGCGAGTCTCTGAAGCTGTTAGCCCTGGCTTATCACCTGCAACGTCTAGCCAATCTGTTGTCAAGGAACGCAACTTAGGTATCCACAAGAAGAAAGAGTGGCTTAATCAAGGCTTATATGCTGGACAAAACCCCGTAAATTCTTCCACTCCAAGGTCAAAGCGAGCTCGAACAAACACAAGGAAAGGGGAGAGCCAAAATGCGGCAGTATTCCCACTTCCGATCTATGCTGGTGCAAGGCTTTTGGAGGCTGGTCGTGCCTTTAAGCTTCCATTTGGTGTTTTCTCTCCTCTCCCGCATAAGCAGCCCAAGCCTAATGAATGGAGAAAAGCGAATAAAAGTGAGTCCTTTTTCTTTTCGTGCTGTACTACTGAATATCAACGCATTCTAGATGTATTCGTCGGTGACGCGGCGTCGATATGGAAAGCTTCCAAGCTCAAAGAGCACTCAACATGCACCTGCACGAAAGAGTCGGGATGCGATGAAAACTGCCAAAATCGGTATATGTTTTATGAATGTGATGATACAAACTGTAGGCTGGGCCCGGAAGTCTGTCGGAATCGATCTTTTGGTGAACTACGAAGGCGCTGTAAGGCTGGAAGCAAGTTCAATATCGGTGTAGAAGTCATCAAAACGAGCAACCGCGGTTACGGAGTCCGAAGCAATCGATCCTTTGACCCGAATCAAATAATCATAGAGTACACAGGGGAGATTCTTACCCAAGAGGAATGTGAACGGCGGATGAGAACCGTTTACAAGAAGAGTGAGGTAGGCTGTGTTACCTACACTATTTTTATCTCAACCATGAAGTCACCTAACATCTGAGTAGTGTTACTACCTCATGCATTTTGACCAGAGCATGGTCATTGATGCCACGCGTGGCTCCATTGCTCGTTTTATCAACCATTCTTGCGAGCCTAACTGTAGGATGGAAAAATGGACTGTAGCTGGCAAACCCCGCATGGCACTCTTTGCGGGAGAGGATGGAATTGTGACTGGAGAAGAGCTAACATATGACTATAACTTTGAGTAAGTAATCGTTTAATTTTCTTCCAGTAACCGGTGATGGCTAATTAAGGGATGTCACAGCCCGTATTCTCAAAAGAATGTTCAGGAATGCCGATGTGGTGCGGTAACGTGCCGGGGGGTGCTAGGCCCAAAGCCTAAGGACTATAAAAATAAAGGAGTTGATGTTAAACGGAAAAGACCAGCACAAACGATACCCACTACCGCAACTGCTGCTTCAAGGCGCAAAAGGATGACACGGAAATATTCAAAATCAACGCCCATGAGGGCAGAAAACAAAAAACTAGCACCTAGAAGTAGACTAACCACACAACCAACGAAGTTGAAAACGAATATCAGAGCTGCCAAAGCAGGTACCGGGAACTTTAAACCTACGACTCTTCCGGTCAAACGTCGCGGCCGTCCCCCTTCTGCCGGTACATCTTTAAAAACCAATGAGAGAGTTAAGAAGCAAACTAAGCAAGTGAATGAGAGCGTGATCCTGTCCTCCGACAGGCAGGCAAATTCTATTGCCGCCGCGCGTTGCTCGAATAGTACTCCAGCAGTAATGAAAAGGTTCTTGGAAGCAGCTGGGGGTCCAACGCTGAGAGCAACGCCCAGCCTGACATCCCGGAATAAAAGAACGAACGTACCAAGGCATGATAGTCCTGGTGCAATTGCTGGAAAACCGCTTATTGCTAGGCCTAGAGGCCGCCCTAGAAAAGTCGCTTTAAAGGGATAGATATGGTGAAAACTTCATCTTTTTTAAATGTTCTTCTATAGTGCTGTTGGAAACATTTATATGGATGGAAGTGGCTCCCTACCTTACGTATGTATATCCTTGGGCCAGTTACGTAAAACCTCGCAGAGAAGAAGCCCGGCGTATATCAAAACAAGAATACCTAGCAACCCTGTAATATACAACCCAAAATACCTCGTATTCAATCCTCCAAGCTCTGTACTCCAAGTCCATAGGCCATTTAAGATAATTAGAAATGTCGCGACTGGGCATTCAACCAGTCATATTTACGTCTCCACTATCTTGTTTGGCTATATCCGATTCTTGAGCTGGCTGTGTTTCCTTCACCTCTGCTTCTGTGGACGTGGGGTGGTCTAAACTAGCTTCCAGGCTTCCTAAAAGGTCGACTTCTCCGTCTTCGAAATGAATAGGCTCGGTCTGCGGTGTTGGCGAAGAAAGTGATGTCTGTGGTGCTGTCATTGTGACATCGGCTGCGGGTGGTGTTTCTTCCGGCCTCCCCGGTGCTTCTGGAGTGGGAGGGGATGATGTAGGGGGAAGATTGGTATCTGGTGGTTCAAGAGAAGGTTTTTCAATGTTACCAATTGGAGATACTGCTGTGTCAGGTGGAGGTGAGAGGGGATTCTCAGTTACTGGTATGGGATTCTGATCTTCACTTAGAGTTGGTTGTGCAACAACAGCCGTATCTGATATCGGTATTGGTTGAGATTCTTCTTCTTGACAGGTTTCTTGGGGATGTGGATCCTGGTCCTTATCGCTTGTTACTGTTGTAGTGCGGTCGGCCATCGCTTGGACAAGAGGAAGGTCTGGTGAGCTTGACTTGTCACGAGGCGGATGTTCAGGAACGGTTTCTTGTTGTAGCACCGGCTGCAAATCAGATGGTGTTTCCTGGTGGTTGGTGATCACGGACATTGTGGGCGATTCTGTTTTCTTTTGGGATTTGGAATCATCACCAGATTCTTCATCACTCCCGTCACCATCCTCCTCTTCCTCCTCCTCTTCTTCCTCATCACCACCTGCATCCTTTACCCCCTGATCGGTGCCCTGCGTAGGTGCCGAATTCTGTGGTGCATCACCTACTGAGGGGTCGCCATTTGGCATCTGCGATGAAGCGATATCACCATTTAAAAACATGACCTTCTTCTTCCTTCCTCTACCTATTCCCTTAGCCTTTCGCTTGGGAGGGGGGTTTCTGCGTCTGATAGCCGTCACCATGCTACCTTCAGGCTCTGCAACAATAACTCCATCTTGATCGGCCACTCCAACGCCGTCCACTATGGTCCCTGGCGTGGGAGAAATAGTAACGACAGTCGCATCGGGGTGCTCAGCAGTGACTTCGGCTTCGCTTGCAATTTCTCCTTCGACCTTATAGCCCTCTAAAACCCAAGCTTCATATATAGATATGGTCCCGGAGACAGCGTCGATCGTCTTGAATTTTATTTTTCTCCTTGGGGCCTCGTTCGTGGTCTGTGCGATCACAGCCGCCGAATTGGAATCAGATGGTAAAACACCACCATACAAAGAGCGCAGCCCATGTTTTCTCTTTGCTAAGAACTCCATCTCTGGTGGTTCTTGATTCCGTGGAATAGCGGACCATCTCACCGTGGTAAACGCTCGCTCGCGACTCACAGTCGGCTGGGTAGCTGACTCTTCCGCTTTGTTTTCTTTCTCTCCACTACCTATGTCTTTCGGAGCGGGCTTGATATATGTGCACCCTGCACGTGCTGCACGTAGTAGTGCGCGGCTCAAGGGTGCCAAAAGATGGCTATCTTTGGGCATTGGCAGTTCCGGTATAGAAGGCGCACTCGTACTCGTTATATCAGGCTCTTCTGCCTTGGGGGCCTGGGAGAAGATTGCTGGCTGGCGTGACCAGCGCCGGACAGGCAAACCCTCAAAAACATCATGATCAACCTGGCCAGGCCGAACTCTGCTGTGCGCACTTTCTGAAAGGCCTTGTGAGCGGGTGCGCGACGATCGAAACTATTCAATACGGTGCAACAATTAGCTGACGTAGTCTACGGGGAACAAAAAACCGAGGTCAAAACCATCGGCTCCATTCGAGTCATGCTGGAAACAGCCGAAGGAGTGCGCTGGCGGCATTTCATTGATGGGTAGATTCGACGTACAGGGACCATGCTCAGATCAAAGGTAGCTCAATCTTATTCGTGACAATTCATCAAAACAAACGAATAGATTAATTGATTAAATACTGGATAGCTGCTGGTATATAAGAGCCCGTCGTCTTAATAAATAATGCGCGAGAGTGGCAGGAATGCGCCCGCGCGAAGTGTCGGAGCCCCGTCCACTGGGCGCTGAGACTAGCGGTCACGTGGAATCTGGTATTTCCACGCGGCGAGCTTTTCAGCCATCAGACAAGTGCAATGCCGATAGATTACTGCGAAAACAGAAAAACAAGGTCTATTTTACAAAGGTAGTTATTTTCATAGTTAATTTATATTGGGCGTATTACTGTGTCAACTTGAGCTAGAAAACGTTAGCTGGCAATCACAAATATCAGCCCGGTTCAAACTTCAGGTGCCTTACGCTGAATCTTTTTGGCGCACGATTCCTCCTTCAGACCCGGTTTCTTTCCCCTACATAAAACTGTCAGAGCTGGCCTAGTTTAAGATACCTTTGGGGTACCGTAGGGCATCTACCATACCGATTCTTGTCCCTCCACGACTAGCCTGTCCAACTGGTAGAACTGGCTGATAATTGTTTGCCTCTGAAAGAAAAATGTCAGCATCCCACCTAAAATCGAATGTAGCCATCCCAACTAAAACTTTGCTGCAATGGGTCTGAGCGGAAACGATCCGTGAATTTTGGCTGACCTTCATCATTCGCAAATCATGTATTCCCTTTTGGAGGAGCTCTTGAATTTTGCGTTCCTCCGTTTCGTGCCGGTGTTGCCTGAAAGCATCCCGCGTCCTTCTGAGCGCGTACTCCCGAAAGTTGTAATTTGAAAACTGTTTAGATTGGCGTAGTAATGATCGAAACTAGGACCAGGACTGTCAGCAAGCTGTTCCATTCTGATCTTGTGGCGGAAAGTAGGCTCTCACAAGTGAACGGGCTTGGAAAGCGGAATCGCGGGTTAAGCTGGCGACAGACATGGCGAGGTGAAGAGTGGAGAGAAGTATCAGGCCGGCGATAGAAATTAATCTAGCAGCCTGGGCAATGCGGCTGGAAAGCGTTGAATCTGAGCTTCCGGCCGATCTTCGAGATGGTCGATATAGCGGCGGGAGAAAGCTTCTAGTAAGAATGAAGGAGCAGGTTCGCAGGCCGGCGGTTGTTTGCGTCGCTACCGGACACAATATCTATCGTAGCAGCAGTATCTGATGTGATACATAGAATGATTTCCTGGCGAATCCGTTGAGCTGCGCAGGAATGCCGTTGATGTAACTTGAAAGTCAGAAATAAATAGCGCCGTTTACCCGGAGATAAGAACCCTCGTGTCGGGGGGGTAGGCAGAGTTCGCAGAGAGATGCCACCGTCCACAAAAGAATGTCGAGCGCGGTGCTCGCCGTGCTGGCTGTGAGTGTCTGTCTGTGCGGCCTGGAGCTGGCTGGGCGAGGGCGTTTTCGTCGTCTTTTGGCGTTGACGCTCTCCGCCTGCCTTGGCGCTGCTTCTCCCACCGCGAGACTCTCTTGTCACCCACACAATCTCTCACCAGCAGCAAGTATCCATTAACTACGTCTATTAGCTAGACGTGTGGACAATGAGCGACGTCCTCCCAACTCCACCAACCTCTCCAACAGCCCTGGCTACCCTCCAAGTCTCGAGCTTCGCCTCTCTCAAGGCCATTGATGCGCTTCTTGAACGGTATCTCTACCTTTTAGATGAGCAACAACGCCTTCAACATGAGCTTGGGAAGCATCTGTCAAAAGTAATTCCTGTACTAACTTCCTTCCGCAGCTGGCATTAGCTAAACGTATCTCTCACCCTCAGGCCTTTTTTTCTCTCGCCCGCGCAAACCATTCCTGTCGTCCTGGCCGTCGATACGGCGAAGAATGCTATGATGAGCGCATGACAGCTGTCAGGAAGGTGTACGTGCCAATATCCTATCTTTTGCAATATTTGCGGTACCAGACCGGCACAGTTTCCCGTGGAGTAATATACACCGTTACTTGCATGACACTCACCAATTTTCCCCAGGGCCCTCTGTCCATCCGACCTCACATCCCCCAACACAGACCTGCCAACAGATACTTGCTTGAGCCATATCCCCCAGCGTTTCACCATTATCAAGCATATAGCAAGCGACGATAACACAGTCATTGCACTAGAGCCCTCGCCCTCAGACCGCTCCCCGGCAAATGCGGTGGCTGAAGATCAGCCTCAGGTGGCAGATTCACCTTCGATATCAAAGACCAGACCCCCTTCCATAGATCCTCTACAGTGGTTTGGCATTCTCACTCCGGCTTCCCTCCGAGACGCGCAGAGTTCGTTCTCGTCCGCAGTAGACGGGCCCATAGCTCGGCTGCTCAATGTGGTTGCGGAAATGCGAGATGTGGAACAGACCATTACCGGGCTGAGGAAGCTAGTGGCTGCCGAAAGTGTTCCACTACAGGACGCAAAGTGTCCATGACACCCGACCTTCCCAAGGTCCAGGTGAAACGCGGATACTGCTTGAGGCTCGCATGAACGCTCCTTTCACCTATATCCACGTGGTGGAGGCTAACCGATACGCCTTTTCCCAATTTAGGATCTCCTCCTCCTCACTATGGAACCTTTGCGGAGTACCGATGGAGCACAGCTAAGCTAAGAAAGTACGCGCCAGAACTAACGACCTCTGGGCCAATCTATTGTTGAATTAGAATTTTATTAAGCGTAGTGGACCCAAAATAGAAACCCGAATTCCTAAGTATGTAAACCTTGAACCTGTGTATGTACCAGTTTGACAGGACAACCTCGGTGTTTTCTAAAAAGACGAAATCAACATCGTAAGAATAAAGATATAGACGTGGTATAAAACGCTACATGCACCACATTCTAGGTGGAGAACACTGCAGAGCATCTTATATTGAACCCAGACGGGTTACGCTTCATCGTAAAAATTTGAGTTCCCAATCAACCACTCGTGCATGCTTGGCTGAAGAATCACTTGTCGCAGATATTTCTTTGCCAAAAATTCTGTGGTGGCTGTCTAGCTTTGGTTGGTTGTATCAAGATGGGGAGGTGAGCGAGAACCGATCCACACAAGCATAGCAGAAGGGCCTGACAAGCTATTGTTACATGACCTACTGTCTACCTTCTTGTGATAACCGGCGTTGGATCGATCGGGGGCATGTTTTATGCCCTCAGAAAAAACAGCCGATTCATGACGTCTAGGCTTGTGGGCTGCGTTGTTCGAATATTGAGCATAAAAACCATTGCAGCGGGTATTTGACTCAAGTAGGATAGCCTCAATGCTATTGGGAGCCGAAGAGCCCTTCTCCTCGGGTGCTAGCTCCCGCTCCAATAAGAATTCCCCATGGTCCGATGCGGTAGCTTGGGGGTTTGGAGGGTCCCAAGGTGGTGCTCCTGGGGTCACCTCCGCTAGCCAGGCTTGAATTCTTTCATTTCTGACATCAACCCATTTATCAGGGTTCGAATAAGCAAGAGAGCGTATTGGTTCGAAAATTCCATTGCGACAAGTCTCGCGCTGTGTGTTGAGACTCCACCGTCGATGACGAGGCCGTGTGTTCAAGGTTTTATTATGTGTTATTTGGTGATAGCTATTCTCACGTTGGGTGCTGCCAAAAATGTCATGGCACAAAGTCAAGAGGGGTAAGTGGTTCCCCTCCGCAGCCTTGTTTCGATAGCAATTATAGCCTAGAAGGCGGAGTTAAAGGATCCATTCAGTCTCAACGAATTGGATAAAAAACACACTGTTCAACCAAGGTGGTTCGAGAGCCATTCTAGACAAAAGGTAGGCAAATTGTCATCTCGGCTTCCAACCTTAAGTCCGCTCGTATCCGACGGCAGAACAAGATTAATTCCCGGTCTCGGTACTCTGTAAGATTGAAGATCTCCCTAGGTGGACAACGGTTGCTAGTAAGTAGTATAAATAGTGAATAGATAACTTATAGGACATAGGGGTATGTAAACGAGATACCGAATAATACACAACAGCCTCCTATCACCAGGAAGGCCAGTTAGTTAACCAACAGCAGAGCTGCAGTGTGAAAGCATGTTGAGCGCGCAAGCAAGCGCCACCCGCAGAAGCGCAAGGGCCACGAGGGCTGGCGGCAACGCCAACCATTGGGGGCGTTATCCAAACTCGACAGCAAGCGCACGGCGAACGCGACGACATGAAAAGAGAAAGAGATGACGAGATGCGGCTCAAGAGAGCCGATCACCTGACAAGCGACGTCGTTTCTTCTTTTTCGCATCTCAACATTGTGGGCTTCGCACGCTCATCTCAAGCCTTTCGGCCGTCAACGATGCTGCCATCCTGGCCCTGACTGATCCCCAGCAGCGTATGCACCTGAAACGCCGGGATCGCTGTCGTGGTCAATATTATTATTAACACGCAATCCTGGATTCCCGCCCGCCATAGCCCCCTGGGCCACTATCGGCGTGTCCCCGCCTCTCGGCATCGATGCACCCCCACGATGAGGAATCCTCCGAGAGTGAGACAAAGAAAATGGGTGTCTAGAGGCATATGTAGGGCATCAGAGCTCTTCTGTATACTAACAATGACCCGAACAATATAGGCAGCCCGCGAGCTTTTGAACGATGCGGTATATATATGTCGCGCAGTCGCAGACGGCGTGTCTGCGGGGCTCTGTTTCAACTCTAAACGAACCTTCAAGCCCGCTTGACGAGCATCATGGATCCATCTCTTGCAGGAACCAAGATCGGTGCTAGGAAGCAAACGGTAAGCGTCGCCCTCCTCCACGAATCGCCGAGGTGTTGTCTGGGCCGGCGCAATGCGACCCTTGATGGACCGTGTTTCAGAAGCAAATTAGCAAAAGTCAGTTCGGTGCTCCTCAAATCTAGTGAGGGCATTATTCAAGCATCATGCCATTGTCACCGAGACTCGGTCTCAAATCTCTACTTTTTTAGAAAACTGTCCGTCTTCAGTTTTTCATCTCTCACTTTCCCTTTTTCTAGTCAGAGCTCGACGCTCCTCCGTTCGAACAACTTCATGGGCTCTCGGCCAGGCATGTCGGGGCTTCCCTCTTATTAAACCCCCCCCTATTTGAGACGAAAGCCAGGAGCGGCTGATATCTCACACTCCTCATTTAACCGTGTACGCCCACTGAGACGTCAACGGTTTGATGTCGAAGAAGACTTGAATTTTCAAAATACCTCCTTTCTCGCCCGAGTCACTCGTTTACTCTTTTATCCAAAGCGACCCCTTTCTTGGTATGTCATATTCTCTTGCTGGCCCTTCTAGGAACTTCCAGGCAACCTGGGGCTAGGCTCTGGCTCTGCCTTTGTATGTCTATCCATGAATTGTATCATGCGTCCCGCGATTCGATGACATCGTGTACCCCGACCATGACTGCGTTGATCTCCATTCATTTGTGCCTAGGAATTGCCGTTGATCGTACCGCTAACTAGGATTTAGAAACAATCGACACGTTCTCTTAACCAATTCGCTCATTTGATTCTGACTTTGAAATTACATTCTTTTCACTCTTCCCCAACTGCCAATTGCCCGCGCCTCGTGTTTCAACCCGATTCGCTTCTTTATTTAATCTATCGCTTTGATTTCGTGCATTGAGTGCAGATTTTACAAGTGTTCCTAGTCGACCTTCAAGAGCGGCATCTTCAAGTCCTACCTGTCGTTTCACATCGCCGGCATCCATATCACCCTCTTTCTGTAACGTTCGGCGGAACTGGGAGTCACTGAAGCTATTATCTGGTACCTAATCTTTCGATATGCCATATATGTCACCACAAAGGCAATTAGTGAATTTCTTTTTCAGTGAGCATCAGTGATAACGACTGTCGAACTCGAGAAGGATAGAATCGCCAGTCACTTTTGGCAAAAATGAGTGGGGCAAGGTACGGAGGTGAGAACCGCTCGGGAAAAGGTTCTGTACGGCGTGCAAGGGAAAGGATGCAAACAGCAATACCATCGGATGGATATATAGACATAGATCGAGATCAAGGAATTCCGCCGCCAGGTCGACTTCCTGCCAGACGCCCACCACCTGTACCAGCAGCATTTACACCTAGCAGAAATGGGCCCAGAGAGATGGTGCCGGAACCTCTGCCTTCATGGCCTCTACCTGAGAATATTGAACGAAGAGAAATGAACAGGTTCCCGGTTAACCCTTCTCCCCCTAACAGGCCAACGCCTCAGAGGCCACCAAGACCATCGGGAGCTTTCAATGTTCCTCCAACCATGGATTCCTCAAGGATGCCAGAATACTCCCCAGAATACTCGTATCGCCAACCCGTTCCTGCTGCGTTGGAGTATCAATACGAGGAACCTCCACGGTCTTATATGCAGGATTTCGCTTCGCCCTCTACTTTAGGGAGGTCCTCCGCTTCACTCACAGACCCTTTTAGTTCGCCCGAGCTCTCCCCCGATACTAGGTCTTATCTACAAATGAATCAATACCTTGGACCTCCTTCCGCTCGTCGAGGGGCAAGCTCGTTCTATGCAACTCATCCCAATATATCACCCATTCAAGAAGAGCATTCAGATGGATCTTTCCGAAAACCAATGTCATATGCGTCAAGTAAAGTCATACCTTCGAGTTGGGGAACAGCTCCTTTGGGAGAATTCCCCGATTCCTCAAGGGAGTCATTTGCCAATGGCACAGACGAAGATATCGGCCTCGTGCGCCAGGCGAGTTTGGGAAAACGGGCAAAACCTTCTCTTTTAACGATTAATAAAAGCCAAACTAGCCAAAACGCAGAGCAGGAGAGTCGCCGCATGAAAGCAGAAAACGGCGGGGGTAAGCAAATGAATGCCATTGGCGCTAGCCCTGGTATACAAGGGGTTAGAGGCATCGCCCCCAACACCACGGATACAAGTACCCCATTTGGGAACCAACAACCTCTTCCATTCAGCCCGCAAATTCAAACTCGATTTAGCTCTGAGTCTTCTTCGTCCGATGCGTCTTTTGATGATTTAGAAAAGCCGCCAATTCTAGCTACAAGATACCCGTTTCCCGGTTCGGAGGAGGACCTAAGACAGCTTGACCCTAATAGCGACAAAAATTCGGCTGCTCATTCAAGCCTAAGCAAAAGTGACTTGAAAAGACCGCCTCCGCTCAACATCGATGCAGTTCGAGACGCTGAAGCCAGAGGCAGCCTTACAAGCCTTCCGGATCTTATCCGCCGTGCTACGAAGCTCGCTTCAAATTTGGACCGTGGAAAGACGGCAAGCAAATTTGGTGTCCTTGATATGATCAGTGGGAACGCTGATACGAACAACACGCGCAAAAGAAATTCAGGTTCTATTTCCGATATCTTAGCTTCCTTCCCTCCCCCAGGTCCAATTGCTACTTCAGTTGCTGGTTCGCGAGCCTCGAGGATGTTTGAAAATCGTGCGCGCGCAAACCCGAATCCTCCCCCTGCCAATCCAGAAGAGTCGCGACCAGCTGACCGCTGCTGCGGAATGTCACGTTGCGCATTCATTTTAATAATCATTATCTTATTCGTCCTTATATCCTCAGCCGTGATTATCCCTGTAGTACTGATTGCCCTTCCCCGGCAACAGGACAGTGGACGACCAGCAAACTCAACCCTGTCAGGCGAGTGTCAGAAATCCTTTCCTTGTTTGAATGGCGGTGTTAGCATTGGTAAAGAAGGCTCCTGTGCGTGCGTGTGTGTGAACGGGTTTAGGGGGCCTAGATGCGCCGTAGTTGGCGACAGCAGTTGTGCTACGATAGATATCAGCCGAGAGTATCGAAACGCGACTGTTGGCAACGCAATGCCACGACTATTTGACCAATCCCAGGCCAATTTTACCATTCCATTGAACGCTTCAAAGCTCCTGGGCTTGTTCAACAAAGAGGACTTGTCCTGTACTAGCGGGAATGCTTTAGTCACCTTCAACGGTGCGAACAGAAGAAGGGATCTTGGTGACTCTGACTCTAGCCTTCAGGGCATGATTCGAAACAATGGCAAGAGGGCTCATCGCCGTCACGGCCTTGCTCCTGTCTCGAAAGTTACTCGTGATGAAGCCACCCAGGTCCAACCACAAGCAAATCAAGCAAGCCCAGTTCCAATACCGCCGAAAACCTTAGATTTTGCCCGTATCTCTGTCCTATTTGTCTTTGAGCAAACCGAAGAGCTTCGCAATGCCACGGCCGCACATGACAGAATTCAAACCTTTTTGAGGGTGCAAAGCGGTGACCTCAGGAATGCGGAAAATAATCCCATGGATTTGAGATATGATAAACAGTCTTTCACGCTAAACTTTAGGGATTTCACGATTCGATTGCGCAATGGGACAGTTGTTGGTGGGAATCAAGCCCCAAAGCTATGATCAAACGAGACTCCTTTCTTAGTGGATCTACGACGATCTACTTGTTATACTCCGTACCTGTGACTGGGAACCACGGGGTTTCCTCAAAGCATCTCTTGTGAAACTATTCCTTTTTAGCCTTTTTTCCGTTGCATATCTACTATTATGCTCCGTGCTCCATACAGCCAATCATTACCATTTTCTTGCAGCCTTTAATTGTTTTTTGAAACATTTATCCACTCCCCCATAGTTACTTCATACGTTTTTCCCTTGAGCTTTTGAAGCCATACTTCTTGATACCACAGCAGTGGTATTAAGCGAGACTATATACACCCTGCATCATCTTTTCTCCTTTCCCGTTATACTTCTTTTGGATAAAGTGATACCGTATGTAAAATATCCAATCCATATTTTGGCATGGCTCTGTACCAAAAAGTTTTCCGTGCCATACTTTTCCTTAGCAATGAGATCTAACATGAATTTAATAATTGATCCTTCCATAGCACACTCTCATTTTCTCCGAAGCAATGGGTGATCTTGATAAATGCTAGTCTCTGGAAAGCACTATTTGCCATGTAATCATAACTCATTCCACTTTCGTAGCCAGCGATGCCATCTGACGCAGTACGTCAGGGTCTCATCGGAAAAGTAGAAGCCCTTGATGTGTCACAGCAAACTTGCGGATTCTTTCCTGTTGATATTGTACAAGGTTGCGTAGCAGCCTCTGGTTTGGAAGGGTGTACGGGTATCAACAACTGACCCGAATTTTTTCTCCGGTGTTGCCGTGCAATACGGCGAGGTAGGCGAATACTCTACCTGCCACGATCTTCACTATCGTCGTCGATCCTACCAACGCCGTCCTTTTCTTCGTCTCGTGAGGACAGCTTGGAGTCACGAGGAGTGCCGGAGTGACCTCGAAAGGTCAACTTGGCATCAGACCCCTCGTACGCAGCTAAAAAGGGCTTTAGGCAAGGGACAGTGCTGGCTAAAAGGATATAAACCAGTTGTATCTGTGTGCAAAGAGTGGCATACGTGCAGTCGTAAGTAGGATCCACGGAGAGAAGCTGCTGATGAAGGTAGTATAAACGTAGAGTTGCCGGGATTATAACGCTGTTAGGGGGAAAAACAGATGAGCAGAATGCCTTTAAATAGGTCAATTATGTAGAAAATCATATCACTCACAACACGCGTGAGCTCAGGGCCAATATTATTTGGACTTTCCGCCGGTATGCGATTTGAATATCACGAACAAGAATTATAGAAATCCCAGCAATAGCTACTTCGATGATAGCGTCAAACACACAGATGACTGCCCATCGCGGAAACTAGTACATATTATTAGAGGGCATGGACAATATATAGAATAGAATGCGGATTCTTACCAGCGAACTACATTCAGCAGTAACGTCGGTCCATGGAACACTGATGTTGCATCGCAAACCAACGAGCAATACACTCGCAATAAGCCATAAGGTCGTAAGCAAAACCACGCACCAGACGGCACGGCTGAGCGTTCGACCGGGTGATATGCGAAGATAGAAGAAGGAGCCGGAGCATTTGGAGACGTAGAGAGTAGAGATATAGAGCAAATCGCTGACGTATGCATCCTGGGGTCGCTGGTAAGCTTCAACCTCCAACTCCAGTGTGGGAGACAGGCACTGACCTTCAACATAGTATCACGGCGCTGGGCCTGGAGAAGCCTTTCCCTTTTGCCCCATCCATTGTGGACTTGGGAGAAGACAAACGACGACTGGATGCAAAATATAAGCTGCGATGATGGTTAGACATCATGGTTCCAAACGATTCTGCGCAGCAACAAACTCACGGTGGCGCAAAGCAAGAGGATATCATCCAGCTTGATTGTCCGCCGGACCTTCTGGATATACACTCTGATACCCAGGAAAACCAGAGCGACACTCAAGGACACAGCTGACACGACAACGATGACGCCGCTGCGGTCGTCGCGGTTGTTGGCCGTCAGAGGCGCGGCGACTCCGGGTGGCAGAGACGGTGCGCGGCTGCCCTCAGTCATGGTGGGCTAGACAGCTCGACGAGCTCCATCGAAGAGTAAAAAGATATGGAGTACACGATGGTAGTCTCGCTTTCGACCGCCGCAGCCGCGCTCACGCCAGGCGGCCTTGCGAGGCGAGAATAGCCCGGTCCGGTCGCACAGGCGGGATGTCGCGCGGCGGACGGCCTCCAGGGCGTCACCGATGGACGACGAGCGTGCAGCGACGCCCTGGATGAATCGGCGAGCGAGAGCTAGCATCGCCAGAGCCCGACAGGCTGCATCAAAGAGTGCTGTGGGCCGACTCCATCGCGGTGCGCGAGCCCTTCACCGGCGATCGCTGGCCGGCTCCGACTCACAAAGGAGACAACACAACGACCGCCTTTCGGATTGGTGACTGCACGGCGGATGGGCCGCCGTCCCTTGGCCGATCACTGCGCCAGGCGCCGTTATTGGCCGCGGGTTTCGAATTCGGAGAAGATCGTACGACCGGGCGACCCGCACTGATAACGAGCTTCCCTCGACTGAGATATCGATACTCACCGTCCACAGGGCAGACCGCACGCAGTCGGGCTGCTATCCCTCGCTTTGGATCCTGAGCTGCTTCGTACACGACTAGCGAAGACACTGCCAGGCTGATCGGATCGCCGCGATGCTCTGCGGCGGCGTTTCTCCCGGATCCTGGCTTTTTCTACCACTCCAAGAACCACAGAACCAGATGACAAGGACTGGCTCAGTCCAAATGCCGTGCTATATTTGGCATATGCCAGGCTGTGTGCTCTGGAGGACTCTCTGCGAATTGTTCTCTCTGCTGTGCAATCATGATTCCTACGGCGTCTCCCGCCTTGTGGCGTTCGCTCGTTGCACAGACTCGGGAAAACAGTCCGCTACGAGAGATCAGCATCAGTTCTGTGCATGAAAGGCCCTTCCACCTGCGCCGTTACTTTGCTGGTGCCTCGGTGATCGCGCCCATTATTCGGTGCTAAAAGCCCTTGACGTCCAATATGCAGACACGCCGGATGCGAAGAGCACGCTGCTCCGGACATGCAGATCTAATCGTTTTTTTTGCTATGAGCTGATGCTCATCTTCTTTCCGACAAATGTTGACCCACTGCAAGCAACAACTGAGAAATGAAGTGTTGGTATGAGTCCCCATTATTAAACGATCTCCTTGCGCGTTACGCCCATTCAGGAAATCTCGCTCCTGTCTCACCCTCGCAAAGCTCACCGACCTTTTGTCTTTGAGCTCTATTTCTGCCCACTCTTCTCGCTTAACGTCCGAAGCCAGCATTACAATATCGAACGACGCTGCTCCTAGCCATGCCCCATGGCCGCGTGCATCACACTGAGGGAAATAGAAGTGATTTTGTGTATTCTCTGGATCTTGAGGAGGAGCGTTTGCCAGAATGAGTTCTTTGAAAAGCTCATCCCTGGAGGGCGAAATAAAACCACCGCATCTTAGCCCTTCAACGAGCTTTCCAGAGGAATACAACTTGGATCGCATTGAAACTAGCGACAGTCATGATTTCGTATCGCCTTTCCAGGGACACACAAGAAATGACCATCGGGACATGATGCGCATGGGCAAGGATCAAGAGTTTGTGGTTCGTTTGCGCTTCCGTTATCTTAAAATACTCCACCCAGTCCAAGGCCCTATTGACGAGATAACATCTAAATCGGCTGTAGAGAACGTATCGCCCGGTAGCAGCTCTGAGTCTCTCAATCGTGCTCGGCGCCACATGGGAGTTTATGTTGGTGTATGCTTATTTTCATGGCTTTAAAGCGACCCAGCTTAGGATTGCCTTGCTAACTGCAGTACAGATCTCAGGAACAAGGCCTAGCGGATGGCGGGATTGCCGGCTTGTTCTGGTCCTATCTCTGGACGTTCATTGGATTTGGGTTCTGCATGTGCTCGTTAGCGGAGATGGCATCAATGTTAGTGTGGTTCCTCCCTATTCTCCTTGTTCTTATAGGTAGCTGTTAACATCCTTAGGGCTCCTATTTCCGGAGGGCAATACCACTGGGTTTCTGAGTTTGCATCCCCAAGCTGCCAAAAGGCTTTGAGCTATTTCACAGGTAAGTGAAACTTTGTAGCAGTCCATACCAATTCTGATTCCCTATTTCTAGGATGGATGTCAGTATTAGCATGGCAAGCGGGAGCGGCGTCTGGTCCATTTTTAGCGGGAACTCTCGTTCAGGGCTTGATTGTTATCAATTTGCCAGACTATGAGCCGGTTCGTTGGCATGGAACTCTTCTGGTCTGCGCCATGGCGTTTCTAATCTATGTGTTCAATGTATGGTTTGCACAAGCAATGCCCATGCTCCAAAATGTGCTCTTTGTTGTCCATGTCTTGACTTTTATGGTGATTATTATTGTACTCTGGACTCTGGCTCCACTCAATACACCTCAGACGGTCTTCACTGCATTCACAGATAGAGGAGGATGGCCGTCGATGGGCCTGAGTTTGATGGTTGGACAGATAAGTGCAATTTATGGATCCCTGAGTACGTATGCACTGTCCTTAGGCTTCACAATTGCATATTGCTAATTGGAATATAACACAGCATCCGACGCCGCAGCCCATATGGCGGAAGAAGTGAGGGATGCATCGAGGCAAGTTCCTCTAGCAATGGCTTGGGGCTATTTTATAAATTGCATCATGGCCCTTATTTTGCTAGTCACTTACCTTTTTGCCCTCCCTTCTGTGGAGGATGCTATCCGCAATCCTTCTATATTTCCATTCCTCTATGTCTTTGGGAATGCTGTGTCGCCAACGGTAGTTACCATCATCACGAGTCTGATTTTCATCCTTGTGGTTTCGAGCAACATATCATTTGGTGCAGCTGCATCACGCCAGACCTTTTCTTTTGCCCGAGACCAAGGCCTTCCCTTTGCGAAATGGTTAGCGGCTGTCGATAAGACAAAACACCTCCCCACAAACGCTATCCTGTTTACCTGCATCTGCACGAGTCTTGCGTCGTTGATATATATCGGGGTGGAGGTGGCGTTCAACGTTATCATCACACTATATGTCAGCGCGCTGGCCACAACGTATGTGTTTTCTATCGGCTCTGTTCTCTACCAGCGTATCTTTCACCCAGATAAGGTGCCACCTGCACGCTGGAGTCTCGGAAAAATAGGAGGCCCTATTGTGAATGTAATTGCGCTGCTGTACGCCCTTTTCGCATTCTTTTGGTCCTTCTGGCCGAATACAAGAAATGTCACGGCGAAGACCTTCAACTGGGGCGGCGTCATGTTCGTGATTGTTGCGATTGCATCTATCATCATGTACCTTGCGCAGGGCCGAAAAGTGTACAAAGCACCCGTTAGCACCGTAGCCGGGAGATGATGGCAAGGTGTTTTTGGTACCTTGGATGCTATCTGGAGCCAGCGAGACGTGGACTTTCCCCGCATAAACAACCTTCGTAATGGAATTGATGTTTTGGGCTGTTCCTTTTAATCGTATTCCCCGGCAGGATTGATGGGGAAATGGACGGGACAGTGGCGGATGCCAGGATGAGGCCATAAATTAATACTCACCAACTAAGTACCTACTCCGTCCATCGCAACGAACACCACAGGCCCGCGAAGGACCTATCCCTGTTTCATCAACCTCGCGAAGCCCATTGTCCATCGAATCCTCCAGGATAAAATAACTACATAACAAACTAACTTCTAAGTAGTTACCTGATTAATCTGGATACACCTCTTTTTTTGTTTCCTTACGTCCTCACTCCTCCGCTGGATATCGACCGCAGAGCTCGCAAGCAAAACGCATCCAGGCAGGAATAATGCAACGCGCGCGAAAAATCCGCCGACATTGATAGCTGACTCTCCGCGCTGAATTGGAGCTGTAGCTGGGGCTCCTTCGCCTGGAGATCAGCACGTCTATTTGCTCTCGGCATCCTCCCAGGGCGCCGAGGATAGGTTACATTATCTATCTAGTAGTCCGTCATTTGTGGAAGAATAATGGGGACGATGTTCATTCAAAATATAAAGTCGTCCGTCTGATCATATCAGTTGAAGTCACCTTCTCAGCGCTACACCAGACGCAATGGCGCCCGTCCTCGCATTTGTCGTGACGTTGTTGATGGCTGCTGTCTCTATGGCAGCATCACTCCCGCGACACGAGCCCCATCGTCAAATTAAGAGAGTTGTCGGCGGGGAGTTTGCCCCTAATGGCATGTACCGTTCGACAGTCCATGTTTCGTTCATGGCCGGCAGAAGATGTGGTGGAGTCTTGATATCTCAAAACGCCGTTCTCACCGCCGGTCACTGTGTTTCCTATAACGAGACGCTTGCCCTTTCAATCTTTGCAGGATCTCACGTATGTTCTCCTTTCTAGCGATGTGAGCAAATGCTCATTTGGCCTCAGGTTTGGAACCATTCCAAAGCTCTATCTGTTGTTACTGGTATTATACATTACTCCGACTTTAATAAACCTCAATATCATAACGACATCGCAATATTAAAGTTGGGAATTCCAATTCCAGAGAGCGAATTTGTTAGTCATGCCAAGGTAGGGAAGGACGAGGTTTCTGGCGACGCCAGGGTGACAGCAGTAGGCTGGTATGTCTGGTCTGTGGCAGGTACTGAAGCCAGAGTGCTCACTTCTGTGAAATAGGGGTTCTACAACAAATGCTACGGGGCCTGGTGTTGAGAAATTGCGGCGTGTCCATCTTTCCGTTATGGATCAGGATAAATGTGCGCAGGCTTTCAAAAACCAGACTGAGTCTCCTCTCAAAGTTGTTGGGAAGACCATGATTTGTGCTGGAGAAAAAGGCAAGGGGTCTTGTGCCGGAGACGACGGTAGCCCCTTGTATGCCTGGGGGACAGATACGGTGGTTGGGATTGCCTCCCTGGGTCCTACGTGCGGTTCAGACCAAGCTCCGGCTATATACACCCGGCTTTCGCAGTATACCCTTTGGATTTCTCGAAACATGTAAAGGCTATGAGGTCCAAAAAGAGGGGATCTGGACTCAAGAGAAAGCTGTCGTCATAGGCACTACTTTGGGCTGACTCCTCAGGGCTAGCCTTGGAGGTGTTTCCGGGCTCTATTACCCAGGAATCAAGAGAATTATCTTGCTTTTTAAGGACACGAAATACTATGCCTTTATCTAGTATTTTTTAGTCTTTGCTCGACTTTATAAGCAATTTCTTAGGCCTACATACGAATATGATACGGTTGGATTCTATATATCTTCGTGGCTGAAGCTTTGAAATTGAAAGGGGTATCGAGTATCATGAGATGAGAAGGCTGTAAGGCGTGTATGTGCTTGGTGTACGGAAGATTGTGATATTTTCATGATTTTAATATCGTAGACGTTGAGCTACTAGAGCTTTTGGAAGCAGACGTAGGGTTTCATTTCGAGGCTTAAAAATTTGCACTTTCTACCAGTTAAGTTGGCGATGGATGTTGTAGGATTTGGGGGTTCTTTTCTCGGTCTTGATACTGCAATTCTATACGCTATAACACCACTCCCTATAAAATGTAGACCTAAATTGAGGTAGACGGCAACTGCAGTGGTGCCATTGACTCAGGAGAAAACGTAGTTCGGCCAGACATTCAGGAGAGAATGCATATGATGAGAGACTAATTTACATCCACTTGACCCACTAGAGCAGCATACGTATGGATGCTCGCCGCGGAGAGGTAGACTGTGTTGTGTGAAGTCATGAAAGGCAAGTTTTCAATGAGATGGTCATATTTTTGTTTCAAAGCAGTTTCATACTGTGAGTGTTTCTCTCTGTATCAGGCCTGTCGCTGGGCGAGCTGATTCATCTACTCCACGCGTTCTCTGACCCTCTTCATCCCCACACATGTGCCGGGGGCCACTTGGATGTCGTAAGCCTAGAGTTCTTCACGTTCTTCTCTTGCAGCCCCGAGAAATCGCCGTTAAACCGTAGAAGGACTGTAATAGCCCCCTCAAAAGAACGGCCAAGGCAGACACTCGGGATTCGTGATCTACTTGCATTCATGCATCTCGAAAGATTCTGCAGTTCGTGTCCACCAACTACTCCTGCGATGCATGGCTAGAGTCTCGCCACAGCATCAAGCAAACGCAGGCGGGTCCATCTTGCTTTTACTTCGGAATGCGCCCCTTCGTTGTTTGGCTCGCGATGGCAGATTGCTGACACGAGGCGTAAGGCTCGGGCGTCTCCGTTTTCGTATCAATGTTCCAGGTTATTCTTGGAAATAAGAACAAGCTGCTTGATCTGCGTGTATACGGGCGGTAAGGTTCAGTCACTTGTTTTATACAGATCAGCTTAGGTGTGCTTGCAGGGATGAATAGAAATGTGGCGGGAGAGAGGGTCCAGATTCTGGGATGCTGATAATGCACGCTCTGTACTACAAGAAATGCTGAGAAAACGCCTGAAACCTGATAGTCCCCAGCGCCTTAGCAAAAATGACTGGGCGCCCAAAAGTGTAATGACACGAACTGCTTTCATCCAAATAGCATCATGGTTGTATTTGGAGCCAACCCAGCCAACAGCGGATCCCCAATAAACCTCTGCACTCTCCTTGAGCGATCCTGCAGAATTAGTTCCTCTGCCTCCCATCTCCTCCTCTGCATCTCTTTCTCCTTTAGCTTTTTTGTACTGTTGCTAAACCAAGATGTCTTCGTATTACTCATCAAGTCCAGCTCCTCCTGCTCTGCTTTTGTTACAAGTTGTTTGACCATTGTCTTCCAATTCTCTAGGCCACTTCGTAAACAGTTGTGGCACCTTTCTTCATCACTGTGATATTGCATCGCATGGCTAGTAGCTTTAGTACTAACCTCGTCCATCTGCAAAAGCGACATTTCTGCCAGGTCGACAGCGTCACGGGTCCACGCCAGCCCAGTCTCCAATGAGGATGAGGCAAAGATAATTTCGCCAATATATAGCATCAGCCCAGCTTCGTCACATGACGAAGAAGCCGATCGAAGTGCGGTTTCGTTACCAGTAAGAACGGGAAGAGGATAGGGGGGCGGGGAGAGAAGAGACGCAATAGTCTGAAGCCATTCGTCGATTGCGGAGTTACTCTTTTTAGGCTTTTTGGTGTCAAATTTAGTCTCAGAGCCAGGTTGCGCAGGGAGGTTTCGGCGTGCTCTCAGCACAGAGAGGAAGATAGATAAAGCGGGAGCTAAGTCACCCTGACAGACTTTGTGAATACCGAGAGCTGTAGTAACGCGTAGGACATTATCCGTGACAAACTTATTTCCATCGTCTACCAGGACGCCGGTTTTCACATCGACGACCTTCTCCGGGTTCACAGCAAGCCCAGACGTAGCGATATCCATCGCCCACTGGTACATATCGTTCGCAGTATCCTTCAAGCCCTTAAAATCCAGCCAATCCGCATATGCAAGCGCGGCATCAAGTCTCTGATTTGTCTGAAAACCTTCTGTAGTAAGAATTTTCATATAATACACCTCGGGGCTTTCAGATGCAGGGCGACAATTCTCCTCTTTGAGAACCTGCTTCTGCTTCATAGGCTGCGGTCTCGGATTCGGATTAGATGGACCAACGACGTATTCTGCCGGTGCTGCAATATCCAAATTTTCATCGTACATCCATCCGTCTAACTTTTCAGCAGCTTCAGCCGCACCCATCAGAGCTTGGAAGTACGCCATTTTCCAGGGCTCACTCATCCCTTCAATATTATACCCAGTTTTGCCAACGCCATCTATAAGCAAGCCTTCGTCCGCCAGCTCCTTCAGCCCCTTACCATCAAGTGCAGGATCCTCCATGCGTTGCAGTAGCTCCACGTAGAACTCGCACACCCGGCGCCAGGGTGTCAGCGACATCCCTATATGCTCCGGTTTCTGCAAAGCCCATGCAGACCGTAGCAACCATCGACTGTATATCGTAAAATCTGGTGGCGTGGGAAACTCTCGCTCAATAGTTTCCTGCTGCAGGCCCAGCTTCATGACGTACAGCAACACCATGACCACGTAAGCGGTGACAGCAATTTTCAGCCCATCTGTAATCGTTTTGCGACGCTCCGTGCTGAGGAGACGGGGATTCTGAGTACGGCCGGCGTATGCGGGAGAGGGTCGTACGGTTGGCGAATGAAGGAATGGTAGCTGTGGGCGGTTTGCAGACGGGGAAAGGAGCAGCAATTGCGTGTTTTTGGTGAAGTAGCGGGGTTTCGTAAGCACGGCATGGTTGCTGGGAGGTCGTAAGGGGCGGGTTAGGCGTGGTATTCGCCGTAGATAGAGGTGCGTGAGCGGCATGGCGTGCAGGACTCGCATTACTTCCAACGCGAGAAAACGCTGAGGTCGAGATATGCCGTCGGTTTGCAGTGTTTGCATGGCCCAGGGAGCAAACTCTAAAGCGCACGGACATGTGACTTGCCGCTATTGCCACCCACCACTCAACGAGTTTTGGAGACAGGCATTTCATTGGTAATGTGCTTTGGCTAGCTAAAAAAAAAGTACTGTACATGCAAACTGCAGACTCAAGAGATACTTCAACATGGCTCGGTCTTGATTGGAAGCAACATTCTATGTATATACAGAAAAGTCTATCCGGGTATTCATGGTACTCCATATTTCAGGTGCAATCTAGGAACGCAACCTTGATCCACCCCCTCAGTCCAATCCAAGTCATCTAGAATTTGTCCAAGAAACCCTGGCTCTCAAGCAACAAAATAATCTCATGGACAGCACTGCGGACAGTCTGCTTCTCAATATCGACAGTGATGTCGGGCTTCTCGGGGGTCTCGTATGGGTCATCCACTCCAGTGAAGCCCTTGATCTCACCTCTTCTGGCTCTGGCGTAGACGCCTCGGCGATCGGTCTTCTCGGAGTATTCGAGGGAGGTCGCGACGTGGACGAGGAAGAAGGTACCGGCCGAGGAGATAGTCTCACGTGCCTGTGCTCTGCTGTGCTCATGGGGGGCAATGGGGGCGGCAATAACGGCAGCGCCGGCTTTGGTCAGCTCAGCAGCGACGAAGGCAATACGCTGGATGTTGGTGTGGCGATCCTCTCGGGAGAAGCCCAATTCGGCGGACAGTTCGTGTCTTACGGTCTCACCGAGAAGAAGAGACACGGGACGGCCACCCTGCTGGTTGAGAGTGACTTGAAGGGCACGGGCGATGGCTTCCTTGCCGCTGTTCTGGTAACCAGTGAGGAAGACAGTGAAACCTTGCTGAGATCGAGGAGGGTTCGACTCTCGGAGAACCTTGACGACCTCGGGATACGAGAACCACTCTGGGATGGGGGCGCCGATCCGTAGGCGCTTGCGGAGCTCAGTGCCGCTAATGTCCAGGGTCTTGACGCCCTCTGGGATCTCGTCTCTTGGCTTATACTCATCGGTATCAGGAAGATAAGTCAACTGCTGGAATGGCACGACCTCAATGCCAAGCTCATCTCTGTATTTCTCAACAGCGTGCTGAGCGTCATAAGGACCGTAGAATTCCTCGCCCTTGGAGTTCTTTCCTGGGCCAGCGTGGTCACGACCAACGATAAAGTGAGTAGTACCGTGGTTCTTGCGGATGATAGCGTGCCAGATAGCTTCTCTGGGACCACCCATTCTCATGGCAAGAGGAAGGAGACCAAGGACAGCCATTCCGTTGGGGTAACGAGGCAGAAGAGCCTGGTACACTCTGACACGGGTAAAGTGATCGATGTCACCAGGCTTTGTTAATCCAACGACGGGGTGGATGAGGACGTTGGCCTGGCGAGCACGAGCAGCACGGACTGTCAGCTCACGGTGAGCTCTGTGCATGGGGTTTCTGGTGTCTCTATTAGCGGCTATATCCGGCACCGATCATGAGTGTTGGACATACCTTGTCTGGAAAGCAACAACTTTAGTCCAGCCGAGTTTGTCGAAATGCAGACGCAACTCTGCAGGAGAATCTAGAGCCACATTAGCCACCTGCCATCGGAAACATAGGGACCATGTAGGCATTTGTATGAATGTACTTACATCGCAGACCGACATAGTCGTAGTGATTCAACTTGTTGACAGCCTCGATCTTTCCTCCAACGTAGAAGTCCTTGGTCTGGTTGAAGAGGAACTGAACAGCAGGGTGCTCTTTATCACCACCAAAGACCTCCTTCGCCTCCTTCTCCCTGTATGAAACAGAACAGTTTAGTCAATTGTTTGTTTGGAAATATTTCCGCCGGGGAAACCCACTTGTCTGGTCTGTAGACATCATCAACTGTCAGGATGGCCAGGTTGCGGTCGTCCCGGAAGTCTCTGAGGGTGATGCGGGCGCCAGGAGCAATGCCCGCACTGTCAATGGTTTCTTGCGAAACATCCAGAGTGATGGGGATACTGAAGAGGTTGCCGTCTGCAAGGCGCACGTTCTCAACAACACTATCGAGGGGCAGGTCAGCCACAACCCCGCACCTCATATGCAGCCGACAGATCACTCACCCATTATAATCCTGCTCGTTCATGAACCCTGTTTGCCAATGGGCATGCTTGTCAGCTGCAGGTCCGGTCTACGGTCGAATGCGCGCGCACATACCTTCCAGAGGGCTGAAACCTCCATTGAGAATCAACTCCAGATCGCACAGATGTCTCTCCGTGAGCGTGACGGCGGGTAAAGACTCAGCCTCCGCGGAGAGCTCAGCATGTCGTGGGGCATCGCGAGCAAGCAGGTCCTTGAGGACCCCGCCATGAGGAGGATTGGCCATTGCTGTGGGCTAGAAGAGAGGTGTGAGGGCAGGCGGGAGGGGTCGAGATGCGGGCAGAAACTATGGTTTTGGCAGCGAAGCAGCGGCGAGAGCGGAGAGACAAGGCGGAGGCTGGTGAGCAGGAAGATGAGAGAGGAAGGGCGAGAAACAGAGCAGGACGAGCTCAGTATAAGTTCTGTTGGCAGCGCAAGCTCATCCGCAACCCCGGTGGTCCCTTACATTGCGTTTCTCATGGCGGACCGGGGTGGATACGCCCTCCAAGCTCGAGCGCGACTAAATCCACCGTCCTGCGTATCATCGCCGCGATGATGCAACTCTGGCAGGCCCGGCAGCAAAGCGCACGCACACCCTGGGCCCTGTGTTGCTATAGCGCATGGGGGCCGCCGCGTTTCAGGAACGTTTCTTACTGCCACGGCGATCGACGAAACGCCGGCCCCGTCACCCTGATGAAAAATTGCGTGATCGACGGCGTGGCGGGCAAGGGAGCCGAGTCAGGGCCTGTTCGCGGGTGCAGTCCCTGCAGTGCCCAAGAGCGCGCCCACTCTTATCTGCATCAAGCTACCTGATTAACTAGCTGGCCTGTGAGCTAGTTAGTTAGTTAACTCACCTCACGGCTGATCTGCCGTTTCATCGCAGCGTCTACGCTACGGCTGGCGGCGCTGGCAGGCTTCGTTGTCTGCCTCTTATGCCCGGCGGCTGCCTGGGGAACGGGGACCCGACGAGCTAGCCGGCTACTAATCGCGTTATGATGAGCTGCAATGCAACAGGCGACGAGTCCGTTTCACCAGAACACTGAGCAATGCATCCTTGCTCGGGAGGTAGCAGCCATAATCTCGAGAGCGCAACTCCAGGTGCAAAAGACCAGGCCCATCGCCTCAAGATACCCCAGGCGGCAGGGATCACTCCCCACACGGTTGTTGATGCGGTTCCAACGCTCAGGCTGGGCAAATTGAAAACCCAGCACCGGTCTCAGAACGTCGACAATAAGCTTCTTCGCAAGCTCTGGACCTGTCGTACCGCCCGTCCCGCGTGGGCCTGGCGACTATCGATCTCGTGCAGCCAAGACGTGCCGTTGCCATCGCGAAAGATTAGGCGTCGCACTCGCGGCGTGGTGAGCGTCGATGCTGCTGATACGGGTCAAGCCGGTTTCGGGCTCTGTTATACGATTCATTTAGGAGGAGCCGGGGGGGCAGCAGCAGCATTACGAGGGAACCGAGCACCGGCTGTCGACAGACGGGGTGCCGAGTTTGCCTGCCTGCTCCCGTAAATTACTCGGCCTGTCCCAATTTTACTCGCGGCGGATGCCGAGACCTGTATCGTCAATTCGCCAGCAAAGAAAAAGGGAAGAAGGATTGTGAAACTGCTGTTGGTGCATTGTCTAACGCGGATGCCCTCAAGGCCAATCTCGCTGAGGCGCATATTGTGAGAATAACGTTTTAGAAACAAAAGTCAACGCAACGGAGTGGCTAGTATTTTGCATAGTTACCCGAAATGCGGGCAAGAGGAGCCTAATTTAGTCGAGGCGGTTTAAGCAGATTACCCATGTAGATCAAACGGCTTTTCGCGAGGTCTACCAGAAACATATGATAAAAATCGTCGATCAGAAGATATTCTAGATTTTAATCGTATTGGGGTATGTAACATCGAAGTGTATCTATTTAGAGACCAAGATAAGAAAAAATAAATATGCAACATGAATAAAAAGAGTTAGCTAAAGTAGAATGAAGGAAGAGAGAATGAAATCTATAACGCCGGATCCACCAGACACGTAGTTGCAAGAAGACGAGGAGTTTAGAAGGAAAAACAGTAGCAATTTTAAACCACCAAGGGCTCAGCCTTCATTTCCACTGTGAGCTGCTCAGGTTTCACTTCAGTCAGTAGTTGTTCTGGTTTGATTTCAACTGGCAGTTGTTCAGGCTTGGCCTCCACTGTGAATTTCTCTGGATGTGTTTCTAGATGGAATGGCTCCGGCTGGACTTCAACCTCAAACTGCTCAGACTTCACTTCATTTGGTAATTGTTCTGATTTGGTTTCAATCGGTAATTGCTCAGGCTTTACTTCGGTTGGTAATTGTTCAGGCTTGATTTCAACTGTGAATTGCTCCGGCTTGGGCTCCAGGTCAAATGGCTCTGGCTTGACTTCAATTTCCATTGGCTCAGGCTTGGATTCAATGACCGCTGGTTGCTCGGGAGCCAACTCGACTTCCTTCACCTCGTTTCCCATGAGAGCCTGCTTGAGTGCCTCCTCTTGTCTCTTCAGCTCCTGATCCCTCAGGAACTGAGCATATTTGGATCGAGGGTTGTGAATACCACACTCGGTCTTGGCCTGACCCTTCCAGCGGCCAGCACGCTCATCCTCGCCCTCCTTGACGGGCTGGGTGGAGTGCCAGTCGCCAACACTCTTGTAGCCGCGGTCAAGGAGCTCGTTGTATGGAACGTTGTGGGTGGTAGCGTATTCCTTGACTTGCTGGAAGTTCCAGTTGGCGAGGGGGTTGATTTTGATCAGGCCAGCCTCATCAATTTCAACAATGTCCATATCGCCACGCTTGCCACCCTGGCTTCGGCGACGACCAGTGAGAACGGCATTGACTTGGAGTTCCCGGTAGGCACGCTGAGCAGGCTCGACTTTGGCGACCCAGTCATATAGCTGATCGTTGGTCTCCCATAGACGTTCTCCGTGCTTGGCGTTGAACTCTTCAACATTGTCGGTTCCGTCTGGCTTGTAGACATGGATATTGACATTAGGGTAGATTTTTCGGATACGGTCGACCAGAGCAAGGGTTTCTGGGAAGTGATGAAGAGTGTCGAGGAAGATCAGGTCAACCACCTGTGGTCGAGGAACATCGAGCTTTGAGAGCATATCGAGAGTAACCAAGCCAGTAAGACCGAAGGCGGTCGTCTGGAAAAGTCCGGGAAGACTTGTAATGCACCATCTCAATACATCTACACCAGCGTATTAGTACATCCGAGACCAATGGTAGTACCCATACTCAGGGGGAAGCGTTACCTTGAGGCTCGAGAAACTGCAATTGTCTGTTCAAAAACTTCAAGTGGGCTTTGGTGAAGATGAGCTCAGGAAGACTGGCTTCGCTGGAGCCACCACTGACATAGCCAGACTCCAAGTCCTTCATGTCGTTGTTCTCAGTATCTGACGGGTAGCTGGAGTGAATAGCAGCAGGCATGTTGACAGCGAAGTGAAACAGTTTTGCAGAGGCAAGGAAGAAGACGACAGGATGTTTTGCTTCTTAAAAAAGACACTGAGAGAGGGCGGTGGGCAAGATATAGATCCAATCAGGGCCGGACCGAGTGGAGCTAGGCTGTGTATAAAAAGGGAAGAGTGGAGGGGGTGGCAGTCACAAAAGCTGGGGAATCCGGTTCAGCAGCACGGGCAGAGGGTCAGCACATCGGGCGGATCGAGTGCTCTTCTTCAATGATTTCCCACAATATTGGGAAGACCGGGAAGGGGGATATTAAACGGATTAGCAATCAGGCTTTTTGCGACCTGGTGGGCTCCGCTGCAGACCCTGCCGACGAAAGTCACCTTCCTGGCGACGGTAACCTTCCAGACTCCCCCTGCATCTGCGCAATACTCGAAACATTATTTCTTTTCTCTTGGCCAGGGCGCGCAGGCAGCGTTGGGCGGTGTCTGATGTGGTGATGGCCAGTCCAAATGACGCAATTCTTAGCGTGACAGCACGGCGGCCAGCACGCAAGAAAAGGCAAAAACAGCAGATCTGGCGGTGCCGGGCGGCCGCCGCAGCGAGACAGGCGACAGCGCGCGCGGTGCGAGAGCGCAGCATGGCCAATGCGACGGCGGCGACGACGCTGGCGCGCTGATACCGGCGGGTCGAGAAGTATGAAGAAAGATGCGCAGGGGAGGGGGGTGCTAAGCGTTGCGATCCCTGACACTGCCAATGCGTTTGACCAGTCCGGCCAAGCCTGGTTCGGCTTCATGGCCAGCGGGCGGATCAGCAGGCAATTTCGGCATGGGGGCGGATGGGCGCGCGCTGGCTGAGATTGAGGCCCGTATACGGCGCCGGCTCAGACACAGCGGTGGGATGTAACCGTCGTGAGCGATCGGCCCGTTGGAGCCCGGGGCCACGCCAGGGGGGCCTCACAGGGACCCCGCTAGCCCGCACTGCTGAGCTCAGCCGCGCGCCACCGGCCCGTCGTTGAGCCGCGCCGGCGGGGCGCGCGGCCACGTGACGGGCGGGGCGCGGGCGCAGAGAATTCGAGCTGTCGCCGGCTCGACGACCTCGACCAAGGCGACGACGACCACCACCACGCTGCCGCTGGACGACGCTCTGTCTGCTGGCGACTGTCTCTGCCACCCTGTCCGGCTGCTGCTGTGCGCCAGGGATCCCGCTGGTCCGATCTCCACGCCGCTCTCCGATCTGAGCACCCCTCGACGAACCCTCCCACATGGCAGACGCGCCCTCATCCATGCCCCTCCGTGGCGGCCGCCCCATCTTGCGACACAGCTCGCTGACGGGCGGCTCCTACATCCGGGACCACCAGCAGTACAGCTCGCCGCCGCCTGAGCCCGCGGGCGTCGCGCGTTGTTTACAAGCTTCGCCCGAGCCCCAAGGAACGGCCCCACATGTGCTTAATGCCAGCGTGACAAGACCCAAGGACGCCCGCGTGCAGGAGAGCGGCATCGTGCACACCATCTTCCGCAACTCGCTCAGCTGCCTGCCCGCCGACACGCCCAAGCTGGTGGCTACCATCTTCTACAAGGCGTCGCAGCCCGTGCATCCCCATCTGCACCCCGATGCCGCCGCCGCTGCCGGTCTGCCGTCGCCCGCCACCCCCCTGCCCGTGGCCGCCATCCCAGAGGGCTCCGCACCGTCGCAACGCGTCGATGCCCTCCCGCGCGAGCCTCCGCCGCAGGAACCAGAGCCCTTGGACCATCTCTATGGGCCGTACGTCTCGCAGCTATGCCTGACCAATTTCCTGCAGATCATGGAAGACCTGTCCACCCCCTACCAGCGCATCACCTCCTCGCATCGCTGCTTGGACCATGAGCACCACCCCCGCGTCGTCGAGGTCACCCTGTGCCCGCCGCCCAGCCTGGAGTACCTGTCCTTTGATGATATGCGCAAGCATGAGCTGATATGGCGCTTTGAGCGGGAATGGAACGTCGAAGTGGTCCTCCAGCCAGAATCCGTCTTTCGGCGCTATAAGCGACTGGCCGTTTTTGACATGGATAGCACCTTAATCAAACAAGAAGTCATTGACGAGATAGCCAGGTTTGTCGGGGTGGAGAAGGATGTTTCGGTACGTCGTGGAGTCTCGTTGCTGTCTCATGTTTCCCTTGACGCTGACCAGGGGGGGTGGGCCAGGAAATCACTGAACGCGCCATGAACGGGGAGCTCGATTTCTCTGCATCCCTACGCGCACGAGTCGCCCTGCTCAAAGGGGTCCCTGCTGATGTGTTCGAAAACCTGAAGCCAGTCATCACCATCGCCCCTGGCGCCCGCGAACTCTGCCACGCCCTGAAGCGACTTGGGTTCAAACTCGCTGTTCTCAGTGGCGGCTTTCAGCCACTAGCCAAGTGGCTGGCGGCAGAATTGGGCCTCGATTATGCATATGCAAACCATGTAAGCAACGCCAACTCCACGCACTGCACCTGGTCGGTTGGGCTGACAGGCTTCTACCCCAGCTCATCACCGATGACACTACCCAAACCCTGACGGGCACCCTATCTCCTGACCATCCAATCATCGACGCTACCCAAAAAAGGCATCTCCTTCGGACTCTTGCCGCTGACAACGGCATCCCGATCTCCCAGACTCTCGCTGTAGGTGACGGTGCTAACGATTTGCTCATGCTAAACGAGGCTGGACTGGGGGTGGCCTGGCGCGCTAAGAGCAAGGTCCAGCTGGACGCCCCGACCCGGCTAAACGGAGAAAGCCTTCTGGATATTTTGTATCTATTGGGATTGAGTGAGAGAGATATTAAGGAGCTGACGCAGAAGTAATAGACATGTCAGGTTCCAGCTAGAAGTGATCGACATTGGGTTTATTTGGGTCACTTTCTCATATCTCTGTTTCTCCTGCTCTAATCCTGGTCCTGGTACCATCTGATACCCACTATGCACATGGGTGAGGCTTATAGAGAAACTTGTGACACACCAATTTATTTTACGATGAAACATTGGAATGTGGGCTTGAGTCAAGACCATCGAAATCATGAAAAAAAAAAGTATCGTTTTTTTGTTTCTCTCTTTTGTGGAAGCGAAGAAATTGCATTGAGGTTGATTTTAGATTCGGCGTCCGGCCACTCTTGTTGAAACAGAAAGTCAAAATTCCGGGGGGAAATTAGGCCCCCAACTCTCGAAACGCCATCATCAAATCCTCAAATTTGCTCCAAAGAAATTTCATCTTGCGATCCCACCGGCGACCACCTCCTGCACTCGCGTAGCCTCGCTCCCCGTTGGTTCAGCCGCTCTTCTCTTTTTCAGCACATTCTCAATAAACGCCTCCCCAGCTTTGTAGCTGCTCCGTACCAACGGCCCACTCGCACAGTACAAGAACCCCATCTCCAACGCGCGCTCTTTCCACAGCTCGAATACATCCGGCCGCACATATTCATGCACGGGCATGTGTCGCTTCGTCGGACGCATGTACTGCCCAAACGTCACGACGTCGACGTTCGCCGCCCGCAGCTGCCGCAAGGCGTCCCACATCTGATCCTCCGTTTCACCCAGCCCAAGCATCATCGACGTTTTGGTGATAAGCGATGGCTTTGCCTCCTTTGCGGCTCCCAGGACTCGTAAGCTCTGCTGGAAGCTCGCTCGGCGGTCGCGCACCTGCGGAGTCAGGGCTTCCACCGTCTCGACGTTGTGCGCGTACACGTCGAGTCCAGACCCGGCCATGAGCTTGACCATTTCCAGATCGCCGCCATAGTCGCCAGTCAGGCACTCCACGAGGATGTTGGGGGCTTTCTGTTTGATCTTCATCACGGTTTCGGCAAAATGCCTAGCACCGCCATCTACCAAATCATCACGGTCCACCGCCGTTAGAACAACGTACCCCAAGCCCCACCTTGATAACGCTTCCGCGGTATTTTCCGGCTCATGCGGGTCTAATGGAGGCGGTGTCCTCGACGTCTTGACGCTGCAAAATCGACAGCCCCTGGTGCATGTATCACCCATAAGCATTATCGTAGCCGTAGCCTCAGATTTAGAACTACCGCCCCAGCACTCGGAGATATTAGGACATCGGGCCTCCTCGCAGACCGTGTGTAGGTTAAGCCCTCGCAAATCATTTTTTATACGTTTGTAGTTTCCGGAATCCGGAATAGACGTCTTCAGCCACGGAGGCAGACGCGTCATCGGCTTCTTCTTGCCCTTGGGGCCGACGAGTGCGGTCTTCAACGCATAGGCCTCGGCGGGATCGACGATACGGGCATTGTCGCCAGCAACAAAGTCGGAAAACGAAGGGCCGGCATTGAGCCTGTCTTGAAACGACGTGCGAGGCCGTTTAGAAGGAGAGGGAGTAGACGAGGTAGATGATGAGGGCGGGATGGCGGGATCTGGCGATGCAGTAGTCGCATACGTCTTGGAAGTCGAGGCAAGGCGGAGCGAGACCGCTGGGCTGAAGCATCTTATTCTACTGGCACAAACAGCCATGACCAACTGCGGGCGTGTTAGCTGGCTAGAGGACAAAGATAAGAGGGCTTTGCAGCGTCTATCGTTACCTCTGCAGTCTTCTGTCCGATATCCGACGGCACTTTTGAAAAAATAATTGTTAATCGCCGCTCTCCGATTCGAAGCGCTCGGAAAATCGTTCTTCCAACGTGATCTTTCGACTGTTCACAGTGCAGTCAAATAGGCCTGATGAGATGCTAAACGAGAGACTTATACCGGTTCACGTTTGCCTCGTCTTTTGCCTGTCTCGCGCGAGAGTGATGCTCTTCGCCATCTCGCCGTTTCTTCTCCGGTTGCGCGCCGGAGAATAAGCTTCCCGGTGCCGCTGCAAACAGAGCAAACTCGCCGCCAATCGAAGCTTTCGCGAGAAATTGAGAGAGCTGTTGTTGCGAGATTCATTTGATAATCTTTAAAAGGGGACTTCAAGTCTCGCCTGGCGCTGCGATGCTCTCTGAGAGCTTTATTGCATCGTTCTCGTCTCTCAATGCTTCTGCGCCGCCTCCATCGTCCGCTCTCAAGGACGTCGGAATCTGCATCTATGAATTCCAACCGGATTCTTCCATACGCGCAACGTTGAAAAAGAGCTCCACGGAGCCTAATTGTTTGGCTGTAACCGCTTCTCATATATTTGCCGCGCAGGCCGGCAAAGCTGTGGTCAATGTGTACAGCCGGGAGCGCGGAAATCAGGAAGCCACAATTCCTTTCTCGGAGCGAATACGCAGTGTTGCGATCGCAGGCAAAGACCATGATGGGAACGCTATATTAGTGCTAGGCACAGATGGTGGGAGGCTAATACTGTGGGAGGTCTGAGAAGTCTGATTGAAATGACCTTGAGAGAGCCTATGCTAACTCATGCTTCAGGTGTGCACAGGAAGACAAGTTTCTACGCCGGCAGCGCACTTACAGCCCATTACCTGCCTCACCGTCGATATAACCAATAATTTCATTTTATCTGGCTCAGAAGATGGCAGTGTACACGTTTGGTCTTTACCTGATTTGATTTCCTTTTCAAAGCCCCATTCTAGTGGGCAGGGCATGCCGGCATCGAATTCACCGATCCGCAGCATCACAAACCACTCCGCCGCAATTACTGGCATTGGCACTGGCCATAGCAGCAATAAAAGTAATATTGCTATTTCCATCTCAAAGGATCGCACAGCCATTGTTTGGGAGTATCGAACGGGAAAGATTTTGCGAACGTTCCTTCTCCCTGGAAATCCACTCTGTCTTACCATCGATCCCGCAGACAGGGCATTTTACGTTGGTTATGATGACGGGAGTACCCAACTAGTTGATTTTTTCAAAAATCCATCTATACAAAATATCCTTTACGATGCTTCACAACAAGCCACCCCTTCCCAGCTATCCGCCAGCGACCGCTGGCTACCGCCTTCTACTGATTTTGGGACTGCGGAGTGTCTTACGCTATCTTATGATGGAACAAGTCTTCTGTCGGGTCACCGGGGAGGAGATGTGCTTTCCTGGGATATATCTAAAGGAAGATTCTCGTCAACCGTATCTTCGTTCAATTATCCTGTTACAAATATCCACATGCTCCCGCCAACAGGTTTACCAAAAACTATCCAAGAGGTAGCTGTCCATAACATTGTGAAACCGCGGTATGACCCTGCACTATCAAACACTCAGGCTCCTGAAGACAGAATTCCTATCGCGTACTCATTTACCGCCCAACTTACCTCCTCATCCCAATACGACACTGAAAATGAATTTGCTGCTGCCCTTTCTCATCCTTCGTTTCCGTCTGATCTATTATTCGAAGGACTTGTCGAATTGCATGCTTTACGCACAGGTTCACAAGATCCTTCCCTCAAACAGAGTACTAGCATGGAAATCGATGAAAAATTACCGTCTGGTGACGTTTCTCGACTCTCAGCTCTTGAAGAAGAAATTCAGTCACTCAAACGACAGCTTTCTGTACACGAATCGACCCACAAGTCTGATACGGTTAAAATGATAAAGCTTCAGGAATACATTTCTGGCCTAGAGGATCTCAACAATGACCTGCTCGATAAGCAAACAAGAGCTCAAAAAGCTAAACTAAAAACACAAACTAGTAAAAATGAAAATGCTTTGAAGAGACGGGAAGCGTGGTTCCAAGCCGAGAAAAGTGGGAAAAACGGGGATACAGTTATGAAGGAAATGGTGGATGATGACTCAGAAATGAGCGAGTGTGACGAGACGAGCGGTCAAGACTAAGGATGTCGCCTGCAATTTGGAATGTGCATTTTCTATTTAGGGGTCATTTTCAAGCGCGAGGCGTTTACGGGCTAAACGGTGGCGCTGGGAGAGAAAAGTGGTTTAACAAAGATCTCATTTTATGGGTGGTTGTCCAATGCTCTATTTAAGCAGTGCCGAAGGATATTTTTAATCTCTGGACCCTGTTTTTCCCAGACTAACCATGATATGAATTGATCATATACAAGAAGGTTGGCTCAGAAGGCCAATCCTCTGTTCGCAATATAAGTGAGGGCATCAGTCGCGCCCCTTCGTCACCGCAACCTCTCTCAAGCCCATCAATCCTAGCCAGACAGCTTCTTCTGTTCGAATTGTCCTACTACCTTGCCCTGGCAAAATGTTGACCCAGTAATCAAACAAGCCGCCCACGTCTCCCGGCTTGATGCCTTTTTCTACTAGCTCAGAATCGACTTTAGCAGCAACCTCCAAGCCCGCTACTCCACCAAATACAAGTAGCAGGTGCTTATATTGTGGAATTTCTTCTGGATTTTGTAGAATATCGACAAGTGGTACTCCTCGTTCAGAAGTTCCGAAGGATAAATCATATCCACCGTCAAAGGGGCACTCAGTGAATACGCTTGACAGCGAGGAGCAACGGCGGATGGAGTAACCCCAGTAGTACCCTGCTTCTTCTCGTGGAGTAGCGGGATCAACGGGATCGGCTCCATCGGCGGGATCTTGGCTTTTGAATTTGAGCGTGAGACGAGTGTGAGGTGGAATCGAGAGATCGAGAAGGCGAACAGGTTCTGGAAGACCTGTTTTGACCAGTGTAATCTCGTCTTTAGATAGACCGTCTTGGGAGAATGCCCCTTGTTCTCGCTGCGCCTTTGAGAGCTTTTTACTTTTCTTCTTGACAGTTTTCTCCGAAGCATTTTCTTCCACCCCGTAATTCTCACCCTGTATCGTGACAGCCTCCCGATATTCGCACCATTCGTTGGCCCGAATATGGTGCGGCATATCCAAACTTGGTAATGTACCTGCTGTCCTCAGATTCGGATGCATGGGGAATAAATCCCGTCGTAGATGCGGAGGCGTCTCGAGGTAGGAGAGCACATGTGTCAGGAAATGGCAAGGGTCGGTAAAGGCCGTATACTCCATTTCATGCGGCTGGCCATTTCCGATAGGTTGGGGGCGAGGCTCATCTTCAAATATAACGATTTCATCGACGCAGAATACCGCGAGGGCGCGTGCAATGGAGCCGGCAAGGAAAGTCTTTTGGTCATGCGATTTGGCACTGCCATGAAGCCGTCAGCATTCAACCATACCTTGGGTCCAGAACAAAAGAGCATACTTAGCAATAATGCTACCCGGGAGCGCCACACTCAGGGTATGGGATCGCCCGCATTGCGGCGTGAACACCGCCGTTGGCTTCGACGTATCTGGAGAGTCCTCATGCTCGCGTGAATTCGCCTCGTGGGAAATCTTCCGTTTCTGTAACAATTGCCCATTAACTAACTAGTGGATACGGCGCTGGTGGCTGAAGTTCTGACCTTGGAGTCGTGCATAATCGGCCAGACGAATACTGTCTCGTCCTTGAAGGGATTGAAGCCCTCGAATCGGAAAGCCGCGCGCGGCTCCGCAGCGTCAAAGGCCTGGCCAACCGTCACGTGCGCATGATATTGAAAACTCCAGCGTTGAAGTAGAAATCGATATATTTTGAGTAGTAGATCTACAACTAGTTATTCTAAACTGACCAATGCGTTTGGATACATTCAGTATGCTGCCGAACCTGGCGCACTGGAGTCTGTTGTCTGCTCCTCGTTGACAATCTTGACTCCAGCACTCGCGCCTATCCTATCAGCCCCCGCCTGAATCATCTTGATGCAGTCTCCGGCGGTCCTGACGCCTCCGCTAGCTTTAACTTTGACTTCTTTGCTCACCAGGTCACACACCGCCCTCATTAGGGCCACATCTTCGACACGAGCACCGGGACCATTGAAGCCGGTGCTGGTCTTCACGTAGTCGGCACCTGCAAGGCATGACACCACACTGGCTGCAATAACTTGATCCCTGCTCAGCTGCGATGTCTCCAAAATTACCTTCAGGGTAACATCTTTAGCCGCGTTTCTGACCGCCTGTACGTCGTTAAACACAGCTGTGTACTGCCCTTCCTTGAGTTGCACATAGTTCATGACCATGTCTAACTCAGTGGCGCCATTCTTCGATGCCTCCTCGGCCTCCACCGCCTTTTTGTCGGTGGGATAAGTGCCTTCATGAAATCCAACCACGCACGCGACACCAATCGGTGATCCTTCGAGATTTTTAACCGCACGGGAAACGTAGCTTGCTCGAACACACACCGTCGCAAAATTGAATTCGCGCGCTTCAGAGCATAGAGTATCAATTTGGAACGGCGTAGCAGAGAGGGAGAGTTGCGTGTGATCGATCGTGCGTGCAAGTGCGGTGAGTTCAGGAACTGGGCGGCTCGTCAGGGGTATCGGGGTTGGGAGAGAACCCTTGATTTGCGAAATGCGCGAGGCCCACTCTTCGTCTGATGTTGGTAGCGACATTATTGCAGATTCCAGGGCCTAGACTGTCTCGAATGCAGTTAAATAATTCTGTTTGTCAGTGGTGAATTCCTCCAGCGTAAATTGCCCAGAGTTGGTGACGACGCTGGTTCCCGCCGCCGCTCCAGCTCCGCAGCTGCACGTGACGAGATTTAGAGCTTCGCAATGGCACGAATACATCCCGTCTGTTGGTCAAAGCGCTTTGCTAGGGTGGAATCCTGGGGGGATTTTGGTGGTGGGCAGGACTCATGGTTTCCTGGCGGCGAGCGGCGGGGTGGTGAGCGGAGCATCTAATCCGCCAAGTAGGAACTCAAAAACGGGCAACTCTCGAGTCTCGCTGCCGTCGTAGAATTAGCATGACGCTTACTCTCTCCGTTCTCTCTCCAGTTGACTGTTGGGGCAGCTGAAATCGATGGTATTTGGCTATATTTTGGTCAAATTAGCTTCCTCGGGGTCATAGAAACGCCCAAATGCCCTTGCCTTAACCGCAGCTGGTCGAGATTTGCTGGATGTAAGGAACGGAGTAACTTTGCAAACAAAACCTGTGCACGTCTACTATATAACTGAAGGAATGGCTTCAGAAAAACGTCCAGAGGTATACCTCGGGTCTCGATGCAACAAACAGCGTTCACGGGTCCATCTTTACGGTCATATCATCTCTGATATCCTGCTCAAGCTATCCACAGCTCCTGCACTCAGGGCCTCTAACATCGTCGACCCGGCCAATCCGTTTTGAAGGTCCGTCAGTTCCACCACCACCAGTGCCGCTTCCCCATCCCCAGCTGCCACCACCGCCTCCGCCTCCACCTCCACCGCCCCCGGGAGGCCCGCCGCCGGCACCACCCCAACCGGGCCGCGTCCCTCGTATATTCCTGCTCGGTGGGCTTACAACGTTGAACCTCGAGTTCTGGGCAGCCGAGTAAGGGTCCAGCTGAAAGGAGACAATATTGATTAGCAGGGGCATGATTAGGATTGACCATTGCGTACCGAGAATAGGCTGACAAAGTAAAGACCAAGAATGGCATATATCGAGTAGATGAAATTTCCAATTCTCACAGTAAGGGGCGGGCTGTGGGAATATTAACATGCGCGTTTCAGCTCGCAGCTTGGGAAGCATATCCTACCTTGGAAGAACTTGTCCTCTAGAAACGTAAGGCTTGTTGGATCCAGGTGAGCTAGCCATGATGAAGAAAGTAATAACTCCTCCGCTCTAGCTCGTGGGCTTTTGTTCTTAAAAGTTGAATAACAAGCAATCTGTCATTGTCAAGCGGTTTGGTATTCGGCGGCGGTGATGAACCGGATTATTGATATGCCGATACCGCGTCAAAGGCGCTAAAATTAGCAGCCGGAGCCGCATGCGCGCGGCTATAGTCATTTCCAGCCAATCTCAAGGAAGTTTGGTTTATGTAAGCTGGCATTTGTTACATAATCAATAACCTCACCTAAAGCCGGAGGAAGCTCTGGATAACCTGATGCTTCATACGCCATATTCATTTTCAAAAACACCGCATCCTGTGCTATATTAGATAGCTCAAATTTCACGAACTAATTGAATAAATCAGAGTCCTACCGTCTGACGCCCATCATGTCTAATGGGACGCTGTTCAAACCAGACAAGGACTTCACGAAAGATGTTGACCTACAAATTCCTGAGGCCCAACAGCTAGCAAAGGCATGAACCTCAATTCTAAATATCAGTCTAGAAATTGAACCCAACTAATTCAATTTTTGTAGACAAACATACAAGCCGCTATCGACAAACTACTTATTTTAGAAAAACAAGCCAGACAGGTACCAGCATCCGATATACACATCTCTTCGTTCCAACTAACGAATTTGCGGCAAAGTCATCCGATCTACCTTCCACATCTCGGCTTCTAGTCGCGATCTGTACACTCTGCAAGGATGCCCCGGATTGGTTGCTACTAAATGAGCAGGTCGTTGCTCTTTCGAAAAAACATGGCCAGCTCAAACAGGCGACAACAAAAATGGTGCAGGAAGTGATTAAGTTCTTGGACGAAGCACCTAATATGGAGATCAAACTGTCTTTGATCGAAACACTTAGAACCGTTACAGAGGGAAAGGTAGGGCTGACGAAGATTGACGAGATTATGCAGCCTTTTGCTTATTCGATCTTCCCTAGATTTTCGTCGAGGTAGAAAGAGCTCGCGTAACACGGATTTTGTCCGAGATTAAGAAATCTCAAGGAGACATCGTTGCTGCCGCCGATATTCTCTGCGAACTCCAGGTTGAGACGTTTGGCTCCATGAGCAGGAGAGAGAAGACAGATTTTATTCTCGAACAGGTCGCCTTATGTATATCTAGAGGGGACTGGACCCAAGCCAAGGTTCTCAGTCGAAAAATTAATACGAAATACTTTGCTCGGAAGCCTAAGAAGACACCTGAAGAGATCGAGAAGCAGAGGAAGCTGGAGGAAGAGCGTGAGCGGCAACGAAAGCCGGACGAACCACCTGTGGAAAAGGATGAGGATGTTACAGACCTCAAGTTAAGATATTACGAGCAACAGATTATCATAGCAAACCATGAAGACCAATACCTTGAGGTATGCAAGCATTACCGACAGGTTCTCGACACCGTTTCCGTAGAAGAAAATCCAGACCAGCTTCGAGCAGTAAGTTTAACAAATTCTTTTTCTTCGTTTCCTAACTAATTAAACGCCAGACTCTTCAACGTATCATCTATTACGTCGTTTTATCCCCGCACGATAATGAGCAATCGGATCTCTTGTACCGCGTCAAGGCTGATTCTCGAAACTCTTTGGTCCCAGTCGAGGCCCAGCTGATTAAATTCTTCACCACCCACGAACTCATGCGTTGGCCTATGGTTTCGGAGCAATTTGGTCCTCATCTCTGCAGCACCGACGTTTTCGATGTCCAACCAGGCCATTCTATGGATGATAAGCCACACCGCAGATGGCAAAATCTCCGCAAACGAGTTATCGAGCACAATATCCGTGTGATTGCTAAATACTACACACGCATCCAGACGAAGCGTTTAACTGAGCTTCTCGATCTCGATGCCGCCGAAACGGAGAAGTATATCAGTGATTTGGTTACGTCAAAGACGATCTTTGCAAGAATTGATCGTCCAGCGGGGATCATTAACTTCGCTACGCCGCGTGATGCAGATGACGTGCTGAACGAGTGGAGCGGGAATATGAAGAGCTTGTTAGGATTGCTTGAGCGTATCGATCATTTGATTACCAAAGAAGAGATGATGGCTCGCATTGCACCAAAGGCGAGGGCTCGTTAATTGTTTTTGTGAATTTAGCGACTGTATGCTACCTTTGGCCAGGGCATCGCTGCTCTGGAATAGCACAATAAGTACTCTATAATGATACTAGTCTGCAAACTCCGACTTTTTGGGTCTATAGATAGCTTTAGGGGTCTATCCCCGTCGCCAGCCATGGGCTTCGATTTCCAATTCATATCCGTGGGGTAATCAAGTCATCCCCTAGGTTTCCAACAATTGATTAGAACGGCATGGCCATATCTTCCACCGGACTATCGATCTCCGACTTACCACCACCACGGCGTATCTCGCTCTTATCCAGGCCACCGCCCAGCTCCAAACACTCCTTGATAAATTTGGCAGCTCCGTCCAGATACGGTCTCTGGCACGGTAGAAAATGGCCTCCTGGATGCCAAATCACCTTTCCTTCTTTCTCCGGATCACCCGCACATGAATCGATTAGAAACCGGCTCCGACTCTCGTCAACTATGGCATCTAGGCTGCCCAGGACGTGCAGGACCGGCGTACGAATCGCGGGGCGCTCGTAGAAAGCACGATATCGCGCACCCGGTGCGCGAAATCCAGAATAGCAAATGGCAAATTTCAGAGGAGGCTGCGTTAAGCCTAGAAAGGGAGTAGGAAAGGAGACACCGGAGACGGTGCCGATGACTGGCTGCGGCAGCTGCGTGGGAATCGGCTGGGCAAAGCTCCCTGAAGCGCGGGTGAGCGGCGAGCTGTTGTTCTCCGGCTTTGAGAAGTATTCAAATGCTTCCTGTCTTCCGTCTTCGAGCAGGCCGGCAAGCATAGCGGCGAAAGCGGCGCCCTGGGAGAATCCGATTACGCCATCGAACGGGCCCTCGTCTCTCAGTACGTTCGCGACAACTTCCAGGCCGCAGTCGAACTGCAAGTATTCGGGCGGGTCAATGCCGGTGACACGCCGCCACCACGCGTAGAGCTCTTGCGACGAGCGTTCCTCCGATTCTGTCGACGAGGGGCGGAAGTTGGGGATGTCGGCGGGGTCGAGGCGGATGGGGCCAGAGGGGTAGGAAAGGATAACGGAGTGCAGAGGAAACGACTTCTGGAGATGCTTCTCAAGGGCCCGTGTTTTGGCTCGGAATAGCGGTCCAGATTGTGTGTAGCCGTGCAGCATGAGGATCTTGAGGACGGGTTTTTCGGCCGCCATTGCTCTCGTTCTCGTCAGGGCTGCGGGAGAAACAGAATGAAAGCGAGGCAGAGGCAAGGAGTATGTTGAGAGGCGCAGAAGCAGCCGTGGAGATGTGATAACAAGAGAGCAGCTCGCGGAGACCAGCCGGGCGCCCATCAAACTCGTAATCGACGGTGCGCGCTGGCGGTGGTGTTGGATGGCGCTTGCCTCGGCGTAACGGTTTTAGGCGCGGCGGGTTCGGCCACCAACGATGCCCGCCCGGTAGGGCCGCAGGATTACAGAGTGAGAACACATCTCCAGTAGAATAAACTGCTTTCATTGATGCTGTGACTAAAACTGTCTGACTAAACGGCTTCACGAATCCCTCCCAGAATACAAAGTTAAGCGTCGTTATAGAAATCCATGCTGGAGAGAGCTCCACAAGGCAGGCGATTGATATACATAACTATAGTTAACCCAGAGTCGGTTACAAGCACTGCCAAGCATGAAAAGCAGTGACAGCGACAGGATGCCTGCTGTTCTCAATTCCGCCTTTACTTCTTCGTAACGTTGCCGCTTGGAGAAGTATACGTCGAACTCCCCTGGCCGCTGTTATAGTAGGTACTTCCATTGGGGTTGCTGTAGTAGTAGGATCCGTTGCAATGTGGGGTTGTGTTGAGCTACTATCATTAAACCAAGATAGTCAAGTATAGATAGGCTCACGTATTGGAATAGTGGTATGAGTTGCTGTTGGCAGCTCCGGATCCATAGTCACGAGAGCAGTAATGGTTGCCCTGAAGTATGCAAGGTTAGCAAGATGAAATGGGCACAATCCAAGGGGTATGTCAAGCATTGTAGAAGAACGAACCTGGCTGTTGGTCCCGGAGGACGTGTAGGTGAAGCCCTTGGAGTTACCGCTGCTGTTGCTGTTGCCCGACATGTTTGCGGAATGGAAGTCTGAGTGCTTGGTATCGTTGAGGGGGGTAGTATGCGAGGTGTGTTTCTGGGGACGAGGGGACGTGAGGGAGTTTTATATCTCCCCTCCCGCTTGACCGCTGTTTCTGGATTCACCCTCAACGCTGACTCCGTCAATGCAACTCTAACCAAGCCACCAAAGGAGCTGACTGGCCGGCAGCTGCCATGACACACCCGGTCAATACACCGTTGTTTGGCCTAGATGATTCCTGGAAGAGAGAGAGAGGGGTACATCCTTGCGCTAGGAAAAGGCCGCGCTTCCTTTCAGGACCATGCCGGCGAAAAGGACTATAGGACTCCATCCACCTCAACTCAAGAAGACACGAGGGCACAAACCAAACCGGGTAGAGCTGGCGCTCGACTGGGAATCAATTCTGGGTCCAAAGTTATAGAATATTTTCAGGTTGACACTCAGAAAACGTCTCTTGAAGGCGGGTGTTCAACATGACAAGGGGGGGTGGTCGCCTACTCCATATATGGAGCGGACTTAACGTATTCTTGGCTCTGGAAGCTTTGGTCGTAAACTTTACGATCGGGTCTTTTTACAGGTATGTATGAAGGGCCATGGCATGAACCTGGAGAAGGTTCCAGGAGGATATAATTATCAGATGGCACATATGAAGTACGAAGCAAAAACTAGAGAAGGAATATGAGGGAAACTCATTCAATAAGAAACACTGATCATAGCATACAAAGATCCGCCCTGTGGTCCCAATCAACTATGACTGGGCTCCACACACAAGTCGAACCTCTCGAGTTTGTACACGGTCAGGAAGGTAGGTATCCTCAATGAAACAGCATAGGTTGCCATGAACCTAATTCAGCCAGAAGGCACCGCTAAGAATGTCGCAAAACAAGACAATTCTCAGCCAGCACTAAACAAAGGCCCAAGGTCGTCATAGACAACTGCATCCATTTCTCCTGTCCCTCTGAAAGTGTCGACGATTGAAAACGAGTTCCTGGTGATGATTAAAAAGCAAGACGAATGGCAGTCCGGGGAGCGAAGATGCAAGGCAGCAGAAGCGAGGCGAATATTTGTGCAGACGAATAAAAAGCGCGGTGAACAAGGGTCATAAGAATCGCCAGATATCCGGAACTCCTCCGCCTTTTCCGAAGCGTGTTGTCGAGAATAATTCAAAAACCGTGCAACGACATGTTGTCCCGTGTTGTTTTTGCCGTTCCAGCACAGCACAGAATGTGAAGAAAAGTATTTGATTCATTCCATCTTCTATCTGTGGGGAAACTTGCCATGATAGCCCAGGCGAACCAGAGAAGTCGAGGTAGGAAAGGTAGGTGTCAGGTAAAACGGGGTGTGGGAGAGAGAGGGAGAGAGAGTATAGAACGCCATGAATGCTTTCTTTGTTTGACATGATTGTTATCTGGTAAATTCGAGCTATTCACGACAACAAATTTCCCCTTTTTTTCGTCATTATTTTTCGGCCTCTACTTTCTCCTGAACGAGCATCCCTCTGTCAATCTGGCCTTGCCACCGGTGGGCTGGCAGAGAACGGTCGAGCATCCAGCGCAGATGACGACGGTCTGTGCGTGCGAGAAAACGGTGGTGATTGTGAAGCAGCCGGGGCACTTGACGTCCATGAAGAAGGATCGGGGAGCAGGCACGAGAGTCTAATTGTATCAAATTCACCGCGTCAGTGGTTGGTCCTGTAAGTCGTGTGTCGTCCGAAGGGGCGAGTGTACCTTGAGCTTGTGCTTGCGGGCCTCAGCCTGAGGCGTAGGGTTGAGGAGATCGACTGCGAGAACCTGGTGAGAGAAAGTCGCTGTTAGCCATCAAAATTGCACTCCAAAATTGTCGTCAAGGCGAGAGCTCAAATTCATCGCCATGGGGCCGCAACTCTAACGCTGCTGGCATCTCGAAATTTCAAAAAACTGGCTAGAACGTACCATGGTGACGTGAACGACGAGATATCTGCGAGTGGGCTTGGAGGAGTCTCGAGATCTGTTCAGTCGACGGGTGGTTGAAGTCGCGGGTCAGCAGCAACGAAGAATTGGCGGTTTCGTGGAGGCAAAAACTCGGCTGAGGGAGCAAGTCTGTGGTCTCGCTTACCTAGCCGCTTTGGTCTAGCGCCGTGCGGTGCAACCAATAACAGCTAGGGTGCCTGCGGGGGCTGCACGACCACTTGCCGCATTGATTAGTCACCAGCTGTTGCTTTGATCGTCGGCCCAAAATGTGTACACAGCACTTCGTATATACTTCAAGCATCTGCGATATATCTTAGGGTGTTTCTATCTACACTATCATGGGCATCTCTCACGGAAAAATCCCAAACACAAATAAGAGGTCAAAGCTGTATTAAAAAAATCTATTATTTTACCCGCAAGTGGGTAAGCATCGTGGACGAAGCCTGCTTGAAGCCACAAGTAGTACACGGGAAAGGGCAAGAAAAGGGGCTAGGCCAGCCAAAAAGGAAGCCGTTAGACGCTGCATACACTGCATTTTGTGGTATCAAAACTCTAGGCGAAACAATAAGAACAACTTGCGGGAGACACGATTTTACTGGTAAAGTATTGATAGGTCGACGAGATATGAAGATTCTTAGCGGCTTTAGGATGCTGGTTTCGGCTAAGAGTAAGGGGAGAGTGGAAAGGTTCACGCGCGTATAATGTCGGTAGGAATATACTTAAGCGGATTTGCCTTTGTTGCTGTTGTTGATGATACTGTGGGCATCGTTCATTCTCTCGGTGAAAGGGTGCTTGATTGTCAGGCACCAAATATCCAGGTAATCGCAAATCGTGGTGACTACATCATACTATAGATATTGGTCAGTATCATCTACTTGAGAGGAATATTCGGAAATGACGTACGACAAAACTTCCATACACGCCCACGCCGAGGCCCAGGCATCCGAAAACGAAGGCTACTTGGTAGGTGCTATTACCAAGATATCCGCCCCATGGCAAACCTGCCTGGGTTGCAGCACTGTCTAGTACCGCAAGAAGAAGCGGAAGCAGCAGAACGTTGTGGTACGGAAAGCTCGTTTTCACCAGGTGTGCAATGATCATTCGCCCAACGGAATAAGCATTGATCATGCCAACAAACAAGGAGAATGGAACGAGGTGATACTTGAGGATCACAGGCTGTAGGTAGAGGTACGACATGACTAAGAACCAAACAGCGGCAGTGGGCAGGAGGCCAAGTAAGGGTGTCCAAGGGTTTAAGCTTCGCTTTCGTCGAACTTCAACGACGGTGTAAATACTGACAGCGGTGTTAAAAAAGAGGATAACTCCGCCGTAGACGATCCATGCCGAAGTAAAAGGAAGGTTGTAAACATGGTCTGGGATTAGTGGAATCTGAGGAAAGCCCAATGTCGGGAGCATGGGCTTGTGCCAAAAGCTGCCACCTCCCATGATGGCGGTGAAGATGTAGACCAAGCAGAGCGCCAGGATACCTTCGACCGGGCCGGATACTATTCCTAGTGTCAAGGTTTGGGTGTAATACTCTTCCCAAGTGAGAACATAGAAGGTAAACAGGCCTGAGGTGAGTTGACAATTAATGTCTAAGACCATACTATTCAAGGTAGTAGGTGAACTCACAGCCAAAAAGGGCAAGGACAGTCAGCCATGTATATCCTAGGTTTACGGCACCCGCAAAGAGAAGAACTTCGAGAGCAGTGTTGCAGGCGTCAACCCCTACACAGAAGAACCGGCTCAGGTTAGATATGGATATTTTCAACTTTCAACCAATGGTCATCCGGATTTACCATGATCGAAGAGTTCTCCCAATGGTCCGCTCTGGCGCGTTCTCCGGCTGCGGACTTGTTAGCCGTGAGGTCTTCAATGGGTAAGGCTAGGAAAATACAGGCAGGGATAGCTTACGCTTGAGCTCCATCCACAGCATCAAAAGTCTGGTATAGGAATAGACCAATCGCCCAGCTTAGATACACCCACCGCGGGCAATCGGTATCCAGGCCCGAGTTATACCATAGCAGGGTGAGGAAATTAATGACGACGAAGGAGAACCCAGTCAACGTTATCTACACGAAAAAGAAAGGCGAGATCAGCTCCGTGATTTGAAAAGTAATTTTACGGGATGCCAGGGGGCTTGACTTACGAGATTCGGCCTATATTACCATCACAGACAAGCATACCATCAGAACAGAAGAATGCAAAGGGCAGCAGCAGTACGATCCCGCTTCCATGCTAGGATAGGCAGAACATTTTACAAAAAAAAAAAACTACTCACGCCATAGACATGGGAAAACACTTGATAACCACATTTGAATAGAAAGGTTTTAGGATATATTTCGAAACGAGCGACTTATCCACGGAGGAGTACTTGTACTCCCGCAGAGCGTTGAGATTCCATTGCCGGATGTATACCATGACGGACAGCACGGGTACCTAGAAGGGCACCCAAGTAACAGCCTCCAGGGCGGTGTTGCTCTTGTCGTCGGGTAGGCGCGGTGTTCGCTAGGGCTGGACTCGCACTGGGCGACGAGTCCTCGGATGGCTGGCGTGTGAGTCTGTGCTCTGCGGGCGACAAGCGACACGGGGGGAGGTGGGATGACGAGGGATTGTTTAAGGAGAATCAACGGGGCGCGCGCGGGAGGGAGAGATGGAATACTTAATGCGAACAGCAAAAAGGATGGAACACTGTGGCTTGAAGCATCAATAATGTTGGCAAGGAGTGGGGAAGATATAGGAGGCCCGGATGACCCGCGACGTCCACGGCAGAGGGCTAAGGAACGCTTGGAGCAACTCAACGCTGGCTTGCGCGCACCGTCGCTGGCCGTCTTCTGTTGATTTTTCGCCCTGGAAATTCGCCGAACGCGCGCTGCTGATTGGCGGGTTCCGGCGTCGGTTAAACCTGCCGCCTGCACGCTCTAGAAAACGGTGAGGACGTGGAGGAGGCACATGTACGGAGTCAGGAGTAACTAAATCAGCATTTCTCTACCAACGCGGCTACGGACTGTTCTATGCAACACGGAAGAGAAGATGCCACAACCTGGCCTTATCGCTGCTCTCGCTTTCCTCCATGGCATAGTTACTCTGTCCAGCACATGTGTGACGCGCTCCGTGCCATTCCCAGACATGCACAGGTCAGAGCTGGCATCACGGGCGCTATGAAATCCTCCAGCCTTGGCTTTCCCCCCAATCGTATTCGGAATTCCACTCTCAAAACTCTCCATTTATGATATCATCAGTGTCCGCAGTGTGTACGTGGTAGTTTCTCGCTGCGATGGGTGCTCACTTAGGCATTCGTTGCATCTAGCCAACCGGGCTCCATGGCATTGGGATCAGAATCCGGCTCTTCATCGTCTGGATGAGCGGCACCGTCTTATGCACAGTGTCTGCCCAGCCCTCGATGTTCCAGGACTCCTCACGTCTCTTCTTGCGTTCCTCAAGATCTGCAAACTGCCAGAGGTGGTGGACGGTGTTCAGGTCTCCGATCTGCACAAACCACGCGCCAACGCCTTCCATCACCACGCGTCTCGCTGCTAATCCCTTACGCCAGTGGCTCTCCCATTCCAAAAGGTTTCCCGGGTGCAGTGTATACGACCGAAGCTCGAAAATCCCACCAAGGCGACGAGGAGGGGTCGTGGGCCAGAACGAGAATTCCTGCATCAAAGAGGTGTTCTTATGGTCAATGAGAGACTTGAGCTGGCGGTCGAATTTGACGAAATCAGGGTGCTTGGAAATATTGTGGAGAGATGCGTGGTATCCAGTGTAGCGCTGGTACTCCCAGATGTGAACTAACAACGCGGGGAGAGGAAAAAGTTAGCATCTTCCTCAGGAGATAGAAAAGAATATTTCAAATGAATTTAGTGCTATACCAAATGTATCGTTATCACCCACTTGCGTACGCCAACTTCCAACAAGGTTGACGCGATTGGCCTCAAGAGTTGCCATCTTGGGATACCATTCGCCGACCAATTTCACGTATTCGTCGACCTTGTCTGGTTTGACTTTGTGGAACACAATCGAGTGAACATATTTGCCACGAGCAAGTACTTCGGAGAACGATCTCTCGATGTCCCTGTCGAGCTGCTGTCCCTCTTTGGTTCCGTAGATGAGGCTGGACAGCGGGCCTCGCTTTGAACCCTGGCTATTGAGTTCTGCCTGACGCTTTTCTCCTAAAATCCGGTGAGTAGACAGTGAGCCCAATGCCTGGCCATCTAAACGATCGGCAGCATCAACAACGGGACGTAGGGTAGATCCGCTCGCATCGCTCGCACCTGGAGCGGTGGGAGAGGAGGAAGGGCTAGAAGTGGCAGAAGAAGGGGAAGAAGAAACAAAATCATCAACCGACTGACTCTCTTGCTCTAGTTTCTTCTTCCGTGCAGCCTCAAGGTTCTCACGGAACTCCTTCTGACGCGCATTGAATGTAGCAGCATTGTCTGGGGTGATGTCTCTGATGGACGGAGATCTGAAAGCAGCGCTCGAAGTAGCGAAGGTACGGGCAACGAGGGAAGGGCAGGACAGGCTAGGGCGAACAAGACGTGCTGCCAGCATGATGACTGTGCGATACAGGAGGGCTAGCTATTGATGTAGTAGTTGCAGGTGTGCGGAAGAGAATGTAGAGGTGAATCACAACGCAATGAACGACGATGATGCTGCAAGCTGGCAACTGGGAGATTGGCAAGGAACACAAGAGAGAGCTAGCAGAGCAGAACGGGAGAAACAAGCAGAAGACAACGGAAGTGAAGGGAATGGATGATGCGTGCGTGCGACGTAGAGGAGCTGGATCAGTTGACAACGCTCAGGCACAGCTAAGAGAGGTAGTAGCACATGCGACAGGCTGGGAGGGAGGGGCAGCAGCACTGCATGCAACAGCCGGCAGAGGCCACGGGCAGGGGAGTGGAGAGCAGGTTGCAGGTAGCAGAGGAGTTTCAACCAGGGTGGATGGGCAGACGCGGGCCAGCCAATGCTACTACAGACAACAGGCCAGAGGTACAGAACTAGGCTGGAGCACAGAACAGTGTGCAATTGAGCGAGAGAGACCAGCAACTGAGACAGAGAGCGCGGTGACGGCAAGGGATGCAGTGCAAACAAACCGGCTGCGGGCGGTTGGCGTGCAACAAGCTTGCTGGCGGCCGAGCTTGGGGAAGCGGCGCCAAGCCTTTCCTCGACGGCAAAGCGTGCGGGGACGCCCAGCCACGCTAGACCGTATATGGCCTAGTTGTCACGTGAGTGAAACATGACGTAAGACACTGGGTTGCCCTGTCGGGACGTCATGTGACGAGCTGCTTCGGGAAAGTCAATTGAGAACCATCGCGAGCCGCCGATGAAGCACCGCGATAGACGGACAGACACAGAGTCAGCCACCCAGCAGACAGACTGTCAATCACAATGGCTGCTCACAATCCGCCGCTCAGCTATGAGCCCTCCGCGAGCACCACCCACCCGCACTACTCCACCACCCTGCCGCCTGAAGTCGTCTCCTGCCTAAAGAACTCCAGATTTGTACGCCGCCAACATTGCCCCTATAGCCAGCATACCCCCCACTCCCAATGCGCACGAAACACTAACAGCTAGTCCTCCGAGCTGGCAGCTGCACCTCGCAACGTGCGACAACCTGACCCCCCACATCTCGCTCATGTCCTACACCTATCTCCCCAGCACGCCCTTCTCCCCCCACCCCACCGTAATCATGACCACGAACCCCGCCTCCAAAAAGACCCTCAACCTCCTCTCCAACCCGCGCGTCTCGCTACTGGTCCACGACTGGGTCTCGCACCGACCGCCCACACGCACCCGCGACCCCGGTCGCGAAGGCTCCCCGCCCCCCGCCGCCACGCAATCCAGCCTGGCCACGCTGCTGCTGAACATCAACACGAGCGCCCTGAGCAGCATCAGCACGACCATCATCGGCACCGCACGTTTCCCCGAGGCGGGCAGCGACGAGGAGCGGTGGTGCAAGGAGCGCCATTTGGAGAACAACACGTTCGCCGCCGACGCCTCGGAGTTTGGCGTCTTCCGGCGAAATTCCGAGGCCGCCACTGGTCCCATTGGCGATGCCGACGTCGACGTGCCCGCCGTGGGCGATGGCGTGAGGGTGGTCACCGTGCAGGTCAGGGAGGGGAGAATCGCGGACTGGAAGGGTGGGGTGCGCGACTGGGCTCTGGTCTCCGAGGAGGAGGTGGAGGAGGGGGAGGGGGGGGAAGACCGCCAGAGTAGACAGGGCCAGCCGTTGTCTAATAATATCCATGCCTCATGAGAGTGCGCGCTGGACCAACGTGGCAGCGGTCCGTGACCTGGTTGCCCTCCATGCAAATGGGCTGCCAGTGAGGGCCGTTCCAACGTATTCCGAGATTAGAGATATGGACATGGATTAGTGTGCCAATGAATATCTCTCTTCCGCAGAAGGCATTCTTGATGATTGGTTCAAGTGCTTGCTTATGTCCACCCACATGCACTTCCAAGGCCCATTGGACAGTCGGGGTATGATACCAAGGGTATGAACAGCGGCCCGAGATATATATATCCGGCCAGCTTCCACCCGCATATATGCTGTGGTCGAGGCTGTGTAATCTAGAGAGCTATCGTCCAATGATGGCATATCAATGAGCACATTTAAGTTTGTGATTTAAAAGCATCATAGGCAGTATTTTGCACCACCTTTTTTATCATTCTTGCTAACCATATTGTACCGAAAGAAAGCAATAACACCGAAAACACACAACAAACATGTGGTGGGATATGTTGGCTTGGATAAATAGAGGAGAGAATGTGAGATAAGCACGAACGCTAACTAGTAGAAAACACCCTTGGTTGTACTCCAGTTGGCACAAATAATAACATGCCACAACACCCCCTCAGTACATGTATGTTCTAGTCCAGACTAGAATAAAACTCAAGGTTTATCTTGAGATAATGAAATTGGATGACAATTTTCAATTAAAACGCCAGTCCCTTGGACTTTCACGACAGCAGTATGAAGTGAGACGAGGTAACGATGAAGACAGGCAGAAAAAAAAAAAAGATCGTAGCTCATTATCGGGGATACATCGCTAGCTTCCGTAAGCTCACAATGCCACCGTTATGCCCTATTTGTATTCTTTTGTGTAATCCCACTGAGACGGCTGGAAGTCCGGATTCCGAAAATGCGCTTGGTTGTGGTGGGAACTATATAGATCATAAGTTGTGTTCCGTATAGTAAACAAACATCCAATCACTTACTTTCTAAAGGGAATAGAACTCAGTGGGATCGTGTTCATCGGCTCACTAACCAGTGGGTTCATTCGGATAGGTAGCTCCCCAGATCGATCAGGAGCAGCAGGCGGTAGAGTGGTGGTGACAACCGGTGGGCGTGGTGGAGGTGGAGGTGGTGGCGGCGGCGGTGGCGGCGGTTGGGCTGCGGAATATACCTCCTCATAGGCCAAGGGATTCACGGCCATCGGCGGGTGGAAGTGAGGGTTTACCGGCATCGGGCGAAAGTATTGGTCTTCTATGGATACGGCAGGAATGGATATCAAGGCAGAGTTTATGTCAAACGGTAAGCCGGCGGAGCACCAGGAAGAGCTGCTATATGTCAGCCCAAACTGGAAGTTCACAGGTACATCCAGCTGATTTGGGTCTGTCGGATACAGAACATCATAGTGGCCGCTATTTACAAGTGTCAGCAGCAAAGCTAGTCGGCATGGAAAAGGAGAGACACTCACGGTCGGTACAACAAACGGATAGTGGCAAGGCTAGGGCCACCAGGAGTAAGGACATGGAAATTAACCTGGTCACCCTGGCTTCTATCCAAGTAGGCAATCTGGACGGCGAAGCCAGAATCGGAAATCACACCGTCCACCAAGCCCTGGAGGCCGATTTCATCAATCTCAGTTTTCACAGTCTCAATAGTCCTTTGGCAGTATTGATCCAAGGGTTCCGGCAGAAAACTCTGATATTGATCACGATGAAGTCTCATCCAGGCACTCGTTATCAACTAGGTGAGAGATATGTCAATGAAAGTCACAATATTAATAACAGCCCAGATATGACTCACTCTGAAATGCTGGATGATGGAAGTTGAGGTGTATTCGTCGTTGTAAACGTCCATCAGGACCGAATCATCGTAGTTTTCGGACCCAATGGCTTTCAGCATCGCTTCGAGGAGAGACACAGAAGCGTCGACAAACATCTCGAACAAATCCTCTGCGTGACCACTGGCGGCTATCAGCCGGTTAAAGCCCTTGAGGCGGACAATTTCTTCGGCAATCTTGCGGGCATCACGGAGACGCAACAGGGCTTCAAAATAGCCAAACGAAAGGGCTATACAGGGTAAGCATTTTGAGAATCAACGGGGCGGATCTTGTACCTCTCCAGCCACAATTGCCGTCTCCCTTCATCGTGCGGTAATGCGAGTGGGTTGCAGCGAGGGCCTGTGTCTGGGTCAGGTTCCTATAGTAAGGGCTGGAAACAACGTTAACATACCGACGTCTTCGCAACATAGATTGGATGACCTTGTGCATACTCGTTGACGATTGCATTGGTCGACATCCTGGGACCAACCAGCGGGCCCTGGGACCAGATCAGCTCGGCAGTTGCAGGGTCTGGGTGCGGTCGACTCACCTGCAAGTCGGGCTCGTAGCTGTTGGAGAGGCGCTGGAAGTGCTCCAGCTCCTCCGGCGAGGGAATGGAGCTCATGGTAGCGTGGAAATATGGTTGCGTCAGGAAGTAGGGGGAGACGAACGGGTCATGAAACTCGGTAATATATCGCGGCGGCTTTTCTGGGGGGGCGGGGGGGAATGAGGAATACCTTTTGACGTTAGGCACATAGGCATAGAGAGGTACGCCGCTGCCTTCGACGATGAGGAAGGGATACATGGGAACGCACACAGAAGAAGCAGAACAGCAGCAGTAAAAAGCAGCGAAGTGAGGGTAGCGGAGAGTCCGCTTGAGCGCTGGAGGCAGTGATGGGCTGAGGGCTGGTGGGAATGAAGCAACAGAACGAGGAGGAGCAGCGGGCTTTTATAGAGATGGGCAACATACCGATGGTCTCTCAGGGCGTCCGGCTTTCTCAGTGAGTCTCTTGCTCCGGGACCGTCGACTGACGTGTGAGAGAGAGAGTATCTTGCCGGCCTGTAGTTCACAAAGGTCCGACGCGGGTGCAACAACGTCGAGCTCCGCGAGTTCCAAAGCCGTGAGCCGGCAGCTGTAGCAGCAGAGTTCACCGCACGCTATCTGCGGGCAGCGGCACGGCGACAGTCTATATGTAAGAGCGTCGCCAGGCCGGCTGCAGCAAGATGGGCCTTCGGGTGACGATCTTGGGCGACGTTGCACGCTGACAGCGCGAGGTTGTGGGCGAGACCGAGAGCGAGAGTGGTGTCTGGGCAGGCGAAGAGCCAAACCACAACGACGACGACCACGACGACCACCACCACCACCACCGCCCGCCTCTCCGCTGGCTCTCCCCGTCCACCTCCTCTCCGCCTCACACCCACGCCCACACCCACGCCCACGCCCGCCAGCTAACCTCCACACTGCGCGCCTCATGCACGCCGGACCCATCGTCCCTCCCAGGATGTGCGCGGATGGCGGGACCGGCGGCCTGCTGCCCGCCCAATCGCGCATGGTCGCCGCCCGCTGCGACCGTCGTTTGCGCCCCCCCAGCGACGAGGCGCCGTGATATCGCTGTCACACAGCGTGGTGGGCGTTATCAACGCCTGCTGATACCCGTCTGGTCTTCACAGCTGCCGGAAGAGCGCATGCAGCGCCAGCATTCGTCATATCGTGCGGCCCGGAGAGAAACTGGCCCGTCTGCGACTGCTCGCCCACGCCTACGCCCCCTGACCGGCAGATGCCCCAATGCATCTCCACCGCCGGTGCAGCCAGGCCAAACGACGCCGGCGCCCGAAACTTAGCTGTGCTTCCTGCACGCTGCCCGCCTCATGATGTCCGGGCGCCTAAGTAACTAAGCGCTGCCCTAATCCTTGCTCCGTCGTGCATGGGAAGGTCGTCCATCGCCTTCGCGGCCGTGGGATGCTGCAGCTGATATTGCCTGCCCGGAATACGATAACTATCCAGTCAGACGTGCCATGGAAGAAGAAACACCCGGCGTGCACCGCATTGTCTGCCCCTTGGACCGCCAGTTAATCCCGCAATTCCTGTGTTTCATCAGACTCTCCGCTCTTTGATCGCCGCATGCTGGATTCTCCCGCGGCCCCGGATGCCAGCGCCCGCCGCTTGCTATCGTCTTCCGGAGGCTGTGCCTCGCAGGACGTCGCCTTGTTGCGCCTTATCCGGCAGACGCTGCTGAGACGGATCATCTGCAAATGCGCGTTGCCGTCGATGCCGCAGCGCCCTGGCTTCGTTTCTTCTGCGTATGGCACCACTGCCAATTGCTATGCAGCGAAATCTCCCGTATTTTCTTTTAGGCATTTGCAAGAACCAAGCTTGGCGGAACATTCCTTCATGCTGGCCATGCATGCAATGCAGCCCGCACGACATGCGCAGCATGGCCGGTGTCCAATGGCCTCCGGCCAACGGACGCCACTATTTGCATCCCGTCTGACTGGTGTCAGGTTCACTTGCAGTGCGGTTTTTGTCCGTTTACCTGGCCATGTTTGCTTCTCTGGCTGCAGATGGTGAATTCTGTACCCACAAAGCAGCGGAGCGCAGACGCTGTTCCCCGGTCACGGAATGACTGTCCACATCACCCTCCTCACCGCTCCTGGCCGTCGTATCTGTGCATGCGCCTGTCGTGCATACCCGACAAAGAGGGGGCGTTCTATTGCCGTTTTTGTTGTGCTTGCAAACCGCAAGCCTCTTCCCCGCCTGATAAGTCTCCCTCAGACCTGATTGGTGCGATATCTAAGATGTCGTACAGTCACCCAACTTTTGGTCCAATTTTTTCGGCAATCCAACGGTCAAAACGCCTTTTGATCTTCATCTGCCATCACCCATGCTATACGGGCACGCACGTCGTTGGCACTTATTGATATGTACATGAGTCGCATATATGAGGTGTCCACAGAGTAATTTTGGAAATGTTACCCAGCCTCAGCCCAGCTCTTGATTCTCCAAAATGAATCATACGACTGCGGTCAACTACATCTGATTGCTCCTCAGACTGAGCCAGGTCTTCTTTGACGGCCTCAATGCCCGGATACCCCTGTGCAGTTACACAAGGTGAGCTATTTCTATCGGAATGACAAATCCTACTGCCCAAGCATACAGCGTACAAGGGATGCATTCTCCCTTCTATTTTCCTAACTCGCATATCCGACCCCGACGCCGGATGTGTTGAGAACGTTAGCGGAACGGTTGCCTTTCCTACGCCTTATGTGTATATGTGTTTGAATATGTATCGTATCATCTGTATGTACAGTAGTTACATACTACGTCAGTCTCCCCGCGCCTCTGTATTCAGCTCCAAACGACGATCGAACCCGCGAGTTTGGTACCTCTTGCATATACGGTCTGAAAGTCTCGGGATCCCGCCTCCTCATCTGCTTCCCTAGTAAGGAAAACACGTCTGGCACTGCATATCATGGTTTTTTCCGCGGAAAACATTTGCATGAATTGAAATGCCTACTCAAGGCAATCATGTATCCGTGTTTGGGTACATTCCCGAAATATCCTGCTTGATGTCTTTCCTTATGCACCTCTCACCGTTTTCCTGTCAAGGCAAGGCGTGATGTTACAAATATTCCATAAGTCGTGAAACCAGTAAAGGTTTCGTTCCATATCCCTCCTAGGATTCTTCTTTATCTTTCCTTACCAGTCACACCGCCACTTCACTGCACCATCCCTCTGCCTTAAAACATGGCATCGGAGCTTCAAGCCCCTGTCTTGTATTTGCGTCTAAGATACGCTGGCTTTCATCAGTTGCGGCATGAATAGCGCACGGGATGCGTGTTGTATGACAAAAGCAGCCGCCAGACCCTTGAGTATTTTTCTTTTCTTTTCCCTTCCCCTCTTCTTCCTCAATATGTGTACAACACTCTCCTTTTTGGAGCCTGTTAATTCATGCAAGCTCTCATAGGCCATTTATAGGACAGGCAGTGGACGGGGAGGAGATTGATTGCCATGCCTAGCGACATCGCGATCCGAACCAGAAGTGTTATTTCAAGGGCGTACAGAGAACGCCTCTGGCTGAACATTTATCCGTCAAAATGTGTCGCCTGTGTGCCATGTATCTGCATACGTTTGAGATATGCGGCAACTTCCGTGAACCCCTTGTGCTGTCCTTGGCTAAAAGATCATCCAAGCTGCGCAAGGCGGAGAGCCGCAGCAAGAGAATGAGGGACAAGTGGCTTGGGCCTGCGTTGGGCCGAGATATCCCCGTGACGGGATACACTGGTGAAATCTGTGATCCTGTCAATGTGGTTACTCTTACTCTTTTTGGAGTGATTGGAATTCGTCCTGCTGGAGACGCAGAAGCTCGTGATACCTAGGAAAGAAAGTCCTTACGGCCCCCAAAAGAGGGATTGAAAAAAAATGTATGTATGTATCTGTATTTCATAGCGCGTTAACGGAGTAAAAAAAAGGGGGAGGCGCTATCATCTAGCTGTCCTCCCCACCGCCAGCTTCCCCTTCGCGCTGTGCTTCATTCGACTCTGCGGGTGTCTGCCCAAAGCCCGCGATGACGCGAAATCTGCACTACGTCCAAATCCCGGCCCGCCCGGGAACGACCTTGACATGTATCCGAATTCTTCGATTTTGAACCCATCCGCCTGACTCAACACCGCCTTTCCCAGGGCATCCAGTTCACTCGTCCATGTACTAAGCGCAGCCATCCTATCGGATTCTGGCGGAGGCGCAATGACTACCATCCCGTGCTCTTGGTCTATTGTAGCGTTATGCAGTCGTTTGTCCAGAATAAGGTAAGAGAGGATGTCCTGTACTTCCGACACGGCGAGTTTGAGGCGTCTGGATACAAATTCGAGAGAGAAGCGAGAATAAGGGGCGATGAGTTTGAGAACGGCCTTGGTGCGCATGGTCCGGCTGACCTCGTCGATGTTTTCGGCGATGAAGGGGTCGGCGAGCAGGTCCTGATTTTCTTGAAGAATGGCTTCGTAAGCGTGAATATCGTCTCGCTGGAAAGCGTCGACGAGACTGGTCATGGCGGATATTCGAGGATCATTCTTGTACGGCTTTGTTTCTTGAGAGTCGAAGGGGTTGATGTTAGATTTCATTAACATTGTGGTGAGAACGAGATATTTCAGAACCTGAATTCGCTGAATCGAACCGGCCTCGTCGTAATTTCGAAATGATTCGAAAAAGTCACTCTGCGCTTCCTTCCAATTCTCCTCACTCATGTGCATTTTGCCTCCACATTCGCGAATAATACCCATGATCTTGGGGTGCGGCACAGCTGATCGGACTTTTAAGGCCTTTTGATACAACGCCTTTAGTCTCTTGTTGTTCCCAGTGATTGCATACATTTGGATTTCCAGAGCATAGACCTCCAGTGAGTATGTTCCCTTTGCAGGGTCGTCTAGTCCATCGGGATCCTGACAAGCTTTGTGCAGTTCACGAAGCTGCTTGCTTAATTGTCCATATTCTTTCCGATCCAACCATAGCCTTGCCAACTTGATATTTGTCTTCAGCCAAAGTCGCTCGTTATTGGTACTCTGGAAGGAATTTAATGTTAAGGAATAGAACTTCTCCATGCAGTGGTATGCCTTTTCATCTTCTGCACCTTTTTCAATATAGTCCAACATGTTATTAATTGATTTTTCCGAATAGTTTCTCGTAACAGCGGATTTAACATATGTAAGCAGTTCACAATAATGTTCAACAGCCTGGATACTATGCGTAAGTATAGCCATTCCTTTCCAGGGTAACATCCGAGAAACTAACATCAGCATATCGCCCTAGTTTGAACTCCAGCTTTATGGCTTGTTTTAATCCCTTGAACCCCCTAGTTAAAAGTTAGCGATTATTCAAACTGCAATGATAAGAGAAGTCATACCAATCGCCTTTATCTTGTTCTAGTAGCGATACGCCGAGGAACTCTTCAATAGCTTCATCGGGATTATCCACTTTTATCTGTTTGGCATTGTAGTATTTATTTTCAATCCCAATATCGGTAGATTCATCATCGTCCGCGTCTTCATACTCGAAGTCGTACCTATTAGCTCGTATTAGATGCTGCACACACAATAGATTTGCGCAATACGCACTCCTCCTGGTCCGAATCCTGCATAAAATCCTCGTCAGACATGTTGAACCAATATTGAAGTTATTTTTCCCAACGATCTTAGGGACCAGAGCTTTCTCCGTGACTGGAGAGCGTGATTGTTGGGAATCTCTCTCTTGCTTTTGGATGCTTTGGAGCTTCCAGAGCGATGATGCGGGGCTTGGCGTTATTCGGCCGCTAAGCCTAAAGTGATTAGTGTACGCTCCGGCCACATGATTTGTGCGCTAGTAGATTACATAAGCATATGAGGCTGGTCAGCCCGTTGCCACACGGCGACAGGAATGAGATGCGCTTCCTTCTCATCAAGGAAAAAACGTCAAGATGGGTGGTGATCTCAACCTGAAAAAGAGCTGGAATCCAGTTCTTCTCAAAAACCAAGAGCGAGTATGGATCGAACAGAAGAAAGCGCTCGAGGAGCGCAAGCGCATCGACCAGATGATGAAGGAGAGGGCAGAGGAGAGGCAGATACAGGAATTACAAGAGTTACAGGAAGCTGCGGGCGGGACCAAGCGATTAAACCGGGTTGATTGGATGTACTCTGGCCCTGCTGCCGGCCAGGCGGGCACAACAGAAGAAATGGAAGGCTATCTGCTCGGGAAGCGGAGAATTGACGGCCTAATCAAAGGCAACGAGACAGAAGCGCTCTCGAAGTCCTCTGACAGCTCGTCTTTTATGGCTATTCAAAACGCGAATACGCTCAGGGACACGGCTTCTAAAGTGCGTGAGGATCCTCTTCTCGCGATTAAAAAACAAGAACAGGCGGCATATGAAGTTATAATGAATAACTCCTTACACCGGCGAGAACTACTAAAGGCTGCAGGAGTCGAGACAGGTGAACGGCAAAGTTCGGACAAGGATAGAAAACACCGAAGGCACCATCGACGGGACGACGAGGGTCGTCATTCATCGCGAAGGTCAAGAAGACATGACGAAGATCGCGGGAGCGATCGGCATCGAGCCCCCCGACCTCGATCAAGAGATGCTAGCCCTTCTCGCAGGCCCCGCCGGTCCCCGTCTCCATATCGAAAGAGAAGATCTCATTCTCCGCGACCCCGCGATCGAGACCGGGACTGGGACCGAGACCGGAACCGGAACAGGGATGGGGGTCGGAATCGGTCAAGATCTCCTTATAAAGCAAGGGATGACCACCATCGATACTCCAGATATTCTCCAGACGCCCAGCGCAGAAACTACGACAGAAACCCGCAAAAGTCTACAAACGACGACAACAGAGCGGCTAGGTTAGCTGCCATGCAACAGAACGCCGAGGAACTGGATCGGGACCGCACTTCTCGATTGACAGCCGCAGAGCAACGCGATAAGGCGGAGCGTGAGGTAGACGATGCTGCACGGGCGAAAGCGAGCAAATACGGTGGAAAAGGAGCGTTCGTGAACGCGCTCAACCGCCGCGCTGGAGATATCGACCTGGCAGACAGGCTCCGGCGCGGAAGACGGAATGTCGAGAAGGAGCAGGAAGCGTATTAACGTGTATATTTTGAAATCAGGGGCCACTTGAGGACGCCGGGACAACGGGTTTGGTGTTCATGGGTGGATAGTATGCGGCAGAGCCGTTTTTCTAAGGCGCGTTAGGGGGGTTTTTGATGGGCGTTTGGGTACCTGCATAGTCTATTAATTAGTTAGTTAGTTGGGCTTCTGGGCGTTGGCTTGCCAGGCACACCGTTTCTCATGTGTTCAATAGTAGCGGATGCTGGGCAACTCTGCTCGCGAGAATAAAATTAAACTGATACCGTCCTTAAGCTTCTCATCGCGATGAACCGCTGCCTGTGCCACTCGGGAGTCCGAATGCTATAGACCACCACGGGTAATATCAGCGCATGCAGGGTCCAACGCCCAGCATCGATGCACTCCTTCGAGAGAGTTGCACGGGCAGTTCTCTGCCACCGTAGCTAATTAGTATATCCCAGCCGGCTGTAAGTTAACTAGCTGGTTAGTCATATGTAATAAGAACCGCTCCATCCTGTTCACAAGCCGCCACCAAGGCTTCCTTGGTGTTCGCCAATCCATGTTTCCGTTACATGGCAGCGTGCGCCAGCGGACAGTCGAAGCCGGCGCTGAAGAATAAATTCAAACGGGCGTCTCCTCGCACCGGGCGGTAGTTAACTGCTAGTTACGGAGTAGTTGATATCGACCTCGACCACCGTGCCTGTGTGCATCTGCCGGGGGGTTCGTGTTTGCCATCGAGCCAATCTCGCCCATGACGTGAATCGCCTCAACGTTCGGCGCCGCAACCGTCCATCCTTTCTCTTCCGCCTCTTCCTCGCCGACGCTTCTCCCTTCTCCACCTCGTCCCTGGCGCCCGCTGCACAGCCTGCCCAGTGCTCAGAACGGCTTTCCTCGCTCAGCGATCTTCCCTCTGCCACCTGTTCTTCAGTCGATCCTCCGCACCAAGCGTGGTGAGACATTTCGCCCACCCAGGCGACCAGAGAACCAATATACTTTCGCGTTGAAACGAAACGGTTTGTGTAAATCCCGCACGCCCGATCGCCGCCGCCCGTCCCTTTTGTTGCGTGTTCCCACCGGTTGTGCACGTATCGGCCGCTTCCCCGCAACGGGTTGTGTCGACGATGCCGAAGTTCGCTTTGTGCGGCCGTGAAAAGGTCGTCCGGCGGAAGCTCGTGCTTTTGTTAGTCCCCACCCGGCCCCTTGTGTATCTGCGAAACGGAGTCTGTGGCAGGGCTGCGTCTGGCTGACCGTTCGAACGCTTCGTGTAGGGGTGATGGCGCGTGTGGCAAGACTTCGCTGTTGAACGTGTTCACGAGAGGGTAAGCCGCCTGCTGCTGCTTGTGAGACATACATCGCTCCAGGGTAGTTACTGACGTCTGTGTAGCTTCTTCCCTACTGTCTAGTAAGATATCTGCCCCTGTCGCGTCGCCTCCCTCCAGAAAACGCATTAACAAGCTCTATGTGCTGTGCTATAGCGAACCAACCGTCTTTGGTGCGTTGTCTTCAACCCATCCCTCCTGGCTCATTGCCTTACTGACTGGATCACACCTCTCGTAGAGAACTACGTTCACGGTATACCACCCGAGGACCCGCAATCCAAAGCCCCTGCTTACCGCGCTTAGATATATTCGTTGATGGAGTCCAGCTGGAATTGTCCCTGTGGGACACTGCGGGACAGGAGGAGTTTGACCGTCTGCGCGCCTTATCATACGATGATACCCAAGTCATAATGCTTTGCTTTAGTGTACGGTCCCGGCTACGAACTAGTTTGTGATGGCATTTGCTAATTGTTCTTGGCTTTGCGACAGGTCGATAGCCCCAATTCCTTAGAAAACGTGCAGTCAAAATGGCTGGCGGAAATCGCCGAGAATTGCCCAGCTGCCAAAATCGTTCTTGTCGCCCTAAAGTGTGACCTTCGCGAAGAAACCGAAGAGAAGGATGAAGAAGACGAGAACGGAGAGCCCCGCCAGTTGGTCACATACTCACAAGGCCTCGAGGTCGCCAAGAGTATAGGAGCGTTGAGATACTTAGGTATGGGGACGCTGTGGCTTTCTCGTTCTAGACCTCGACTAACGGCTGGTAGAATGCTCTGCGATGAGGAACCGCGGCGTAAACGAAGCTTTTACCGAAGCATCGAGGGTCGCAATCACTGTCCGCCCAGCGAAATCAGACAGTGGCGCGAAATGTGTGATTCAGTAAGACAAATGTTTACTGCCAATAATACCCTTTGTTATTTGCTTCTGCTTCGTTGGACTCGCGCGCTACACCCTGTGAATCGCTCACCTTTCAAAAAATACTCAATTACTATTTACCATTGATCCCCAGATGCTTGATATACTGGGCTGCAAGATTCCCCCAAGTCTTTTTTACTAATTTGCAATTCTTACACTCCCCCCTTTTCTGCACGTCCCTATTTCACCAACTTCTGTAAATACTTATTCGTTATTCGTGTCTCTTGACCACCCTGTTTTGTCGAAAGTCGGACTATTGTTTGTTTGCGGCGGCCCTTATGACTCTTTCTCTTCGACGGTGCACATCGATCTCAAGATGTGCTTGTTAGGATAATACCCTCTTTCAAGATGCCTTTCTTTACTTATTCCCACCCCTTCGTTATCCAAATGCCCAAAAGATATGTATGTACGTATGTACTTTGTATGTGCAATAATCTGCTGATGTGCTGTTTGACCCTCCCGTTTGTTACCGGCTATCTTCTGTGATCCACCATACTTTGAAAATGTCGTTTGAGAGGTGTTCAATCAAGCAAATCTCTCTCTTCCATTCTATATACTTCATCTATCTTTGGTCCAATGCCACCACTCGCTGTTCCTTCATTTATTCGTCCAACAAACGCTTTTACAAACCCGTCGGCAACCTCTCCTAATCCTCCCTTCACTGCGGCATTCTGGCCTTCTATACTGGTCGCGCCTCTGCCCTCCAGTCCGCACGCCACAATTTGGCGAAGATACCATATAGGCTCTTCAGTAACATTCAAGCCAACCCCATAGCTACTCACAAACCGCCGTAGGTGCACCCCTACCGCTGCAATTTTCTTCAATGAAGCCTCCGGACCCACGCTTCCCGCTTGCGCGGCAGTTTTCACCCAAACACCAGGATCCTCGTTGAGCATTCCCTTCACGCCATATGTAGCCAAAACTTCAAGTACACTTTCTTCTAGAAGTCGGATATGTGCCCTAGGTCCGATTCGGAGTTTCCGTAGGTCCAGGATCGTATATGCAACTAATTGCCCCGGCCCATGATACGTTGTTTGCCCGCCTCGTAACGTAGCATGATACTCTGCTAGCGGCGGAGAAGCAGTGAGAATATGTCGGATTGGTTCGAGAGAAGCCGGTAACGAGAGGGTTTGCGGAACTGTGAGGGAATGGTCTGCGTTTGGGGTAGAAGGAAGATCTCGTCGGCCAGTGGTGTACACCGGATGCGGCGTAAATGTTAAAATCGTGGGATCTGGCGCCGGCGTCGATTGGGAGGAATTCGATACCTTTTTGTATGCTAGAAGGCGCGAAACGAGGGTATGCTGGAGGCGAGAAGCGTGAGCGAATGGTATGAGCTCCGGAATATGAAGATGCGCGAGGCGCATTGCTGGAAAGAGCCGAGGAAGCTCCTCAAGTCGGGCAGTCAGTGTTACAAACAGATATCCATAGCAAGATCCAGGCAAAATAGTGCCGGAATTGGAGTTTTAGCCCGTGTAAATATAGAGACCGCCAGCTTGCCAATTCCTGGTTCGATCTGCCTCATGACGAAACGCGAGAACCTTCATTCTCCGCGCCATCAACAACTACTCCGCATCCACATCAACATTCCCCCGTACATCTCACTCACCACAAACACGCCTTTGCTTCTTTCTCTAACTATGTGAGATGTAAGTTTGATATCCCCTTTGCAATTTTACCGGCATCTGCTAACGTCCATGCTTCACCGTGAAGGGTATCCCTCCCCGTGCCCATCCGCCTGCGACGGGCTATTCTCCTTAACGACACCTTTCTGGTAAAGCGGATTGTCAGGAATAATCCGGCATACCTGGAAAACCCGGACTTCAGCGACAAGAGTAACACATCTCTGCACCTTGCTGCAATCCTCGGCCGTTTTGAAATCATTGTCCGTCCGCACTGGCCCCTTTCCATCCCCGCACCGAGGGGAAGATCTTACCGGTCTGTATAAACTAACGTCCCTTTAGAAATTCCTCGTCGACTACGGACACGACTCTTGTAATCCCGATATTTCACAGAAAGACTTCAACTCTGCTCTTGGGATCAGCCTTAATACCGACTCCTCCACTGCCCTCCATCTAGCGGCTGCCCATGGCCACACCGATTGTGTCGATATACTTTGCAGTGCATTCCCCCAGACGATCAACCGTCCTGATAGACATGGAGCTACGCCCCTGATGCTTGCTGCCAGAGCTGCTAACCCTAGTAGCTTTCCCCAAAGCACGTCGCTGGTGCCCCCAAAACAAAGACCACGCGCTGCATCCAACCCCTCGTCCGCGGAAGATACGAAAATCGTGGGCATCTTGCTGGATTATGGCGCAGATTTTAATGCAGCTGATGATTCAGGAGACACAGCCTTACACTACGCAAGTACCTGGGGAAATCTGAAGACCTTCCGGTTGCTGGTGCAATGTGGTGCATCAACACTGGTGAAAAACAACGCAGGCTGTGTGCCTGCTGATTACGCTTTGACTGGCCAAGCGTCGATATACTGTCGAAGTCTGCTTTCGGATGCGGACAGACAATTACTAAAAGACAGTATCGATGAGGAACAGACTGCTGAAATTTTACAGCAGAAGATGAATCTGCATCTGAAAACACTTCCAAGTGAACCGATTCACTTTGCTTCCGAATCCAATTATTCTCCTGGTTCTCTGAACGGCACGCTATATAGCGACTATGGTGACCTGCCTCCCGGCAGTGCAAAAGCCCACTCCATAGCTTCAGGAGGATTGCGGTTAGTGGATGACAGTGATCGAGAAGATGATATGTCTTCGACGTTTTTCAATGCGAATCCACCAAAGATGGATGGAATCAGCGAATATTACGACAACGACTCCAAACCGCTTCCTGATCCGTTGTTTTCCCGAGCCTAGATATGCCGTTCTATGTGACGACGGTAATTCTCGCGGCCAGTGACCCATACATTTGATTCTACACCACTCTATACCGTAGTACAAACCAATCCCTCTGTTGTCGGACTGTGACAGTATTTTATGGCGTTTATGATATTATTTTGTTACAACGATGTTATTTCTATCTGCTTGAAGTTTAAGACACGGAAGACCTTCCATTAGAGGGAAATTTTGAGTGCCACTCCTTTCTATAATTTAGCGCTTGACGGTGTTTGCAGTATCGCTTTGAACAAATTTGCTTATGAATATCGAACTTAGATATTTGCTCCCAGACCATGCGGACCGTATTCGGAATGGCAGCAAAGTGGCTCTGGAACAGACAGGTCCCGGAAACAGGCCAGAAATGCATAAACAGCACAAGGTCAGGGGCAAGGAAGGTATAGAATATGCAGTAAATCAATAGAGGGTGCTATAAGTACAAAGAAAACTTGAAAAGCAACCAGGCCCGCGTGGTATTCGCTCAGTAGATATAACAAAGACCTGGACAATGAGACCTTCTCTTCACTCGTGGGGATTTTTCCGTAATGATTCCGTTTTATTCTTACAAACTGGGCTGAAGACCTCAGTAACAGAGGATATAAATATCGTATGTTAAAGTGCCTTGCATGGTCTGGAGGTTCACTGATCAACGCCGTATAACACATGTATCCGCCGAGAGAAAACTATGCGAATGACTCCGATAGATATGAAGTAAATGCAGCTCCCTACTTTCTTCTAGTCATGACCTTCTCGCACATATCGACCAAGCCGCGCTTGGCTTCGCTGTCTGGGAAAATACTAATGGCTTCAACCGCCTGGTTAGCGTACTGCTGGGCTAACGCACGAGTCTGATCCAAGCCATCGGATTGAGAAACGATTTGGCGAGCCTGATATTGGGGGACAGTTAGTTTTATTCATGTATTTAGGTTAGGGTTGCAGGCCTTGAGAAAAGAGGATTGCTAAACCTACCAGTTGAACGTCTCCCTCCCGGGAGAATTTCCTGCCTACCAGTGCTCCAAGTTCCGGATGTGATCTCCAGGCGAACAATAATGGAGCAGTGGCAAGGCCCAGTTCCAGATCGGCGCCGGCAGGTTTGCCCAGCTCTTCGCCGCTAATTGTGTAGTCTAGCATATCGTCAACCAGCTGGAATGCCAGGCCCAAGTGTCTGCCGTATGTATAGGCTGCTTCAACGATCTCAGGTGCACTTTGCCCCAAGAGCGCAGCGGCACGGCATGATTTACTAATCAAGCTGGCAGATTTAAGATATGTCTTCTGCAAGTAATACGTGATGATGTCTTCAGACCACAGTGGGTTTCGCTCGTCCTGCGCCGTGTTCTTCAACTGCATGAATTCGCCTTCCACGAGATTGGCGATCACAGTGGCCAGAAGCTCCGTCACCTCGGGATCTCTCAGCCTGGCCAGCGCGACGGAAGCCCGCCCAAGGAGAAAATCGCCAGCCAGCACGGCCATCTTGTTTCCAAACTCGAGGTTTGCAGATGCACCGGACCGGCGCGTGACTGCATTGTCGATCACATCGTCGTGCAACAGCGACGCAGTATGGATCAATTCCGTGATCTCGGCCAGCCTTCTCTGCGACGGCAGGATAGTCTCGTCTCCTTCGGCAAATTTATATGCGGTTTCACTTCCCATCACCGAGGGTGCTGTTAGAGGGCTATAGTCTGGGTTTGTATCGGCGAGAATAGCCGGCGAGCTGATGGATGCATTGATTCCGGCCGTGCTCAAAATACGTTCCTCTTGTCCACACCGGGGTGTCAGTGCCGTAGCCTGGGACATCAGCAGCACCAGCAGCGGACGGACCTGTTTGCCCTCGCTGCGCGCATAGTATTTGGCGGCTCGGTCAAGCAGCGGATGCCCCGACCCAAGCAATTGGCGAATATTCTTCTTGAGGAATTTGAGCTCCTTGGCCACCATACGCAGCGGATCAACGGACATTTCGGGGCCATTTCCGGCTCGTATGCCCGTTGCCGGAGGAGGTGTTGTCGGCAGGGTTTTGGATAAAATGTTTTGTGCGGTGGAGACTGCTGCGGACAGGACGGACTGCTGGTTTTTTCGGCGCGACGGGTGATAGCTGCGGGTTGTGAGAGAGATAGCTGGACGAGCGTGCCCGAGGCATTGTGAGCATATCGACGGCGTCAATGGCGAATATGGGGACGATCGAAAGAGGCCGCTCCAGGCTCGAAGGCCTGGTCGAGCTCTCATCGCGGTGGCAAGGTCGGCTCAATGGCGGCAAAAGTAGCATAGGACAGTAGCCAGCGGAATCCCAGCGAGCACTCCGCCTGCGAGATGGCGAGCAGCGACGGTGGTGGGCGGGCGGGCGTGGGTGCGGTTGTGTTGCTGACGGGAGAAGTAACTTTTTTCTCGGGATGAATCCAAGGTTGCAAAGCGCGGGAGCTGGTTGGCCGAGCGCCGCGATCCAGACTCGCCCGCCCACCCACCGGCAGTCAAAACAAGTGGATTTTTGGGCAATATGGTGCATACATAAGACTACATACTGTACATACATACGTGAGCGCCATCATGGGGCCCTGGAATCAAGGATTCGGAATTCGATTGCGAGGCCAAACGGCCGGAATTATGTCTAGCGGATGGGAGCGAGAGAAATTACAGAACAAGGGCAGAGACCAGAAATTGGCTCGATCAGAGTGACTGTACATATATCCCTGAGCCCTCTTGCTCCTGCGTGGAATGCGAACATGACCTGAATATAACACGAGCTGCCGGTAAAGAAAGACCCCTACCGGTCGGGAGATGTAGGTAATATGGAAAGATAAGACAGGGGGCGAAAGGGAAAGGCACAGATATGCCCAAACACGGCGAAGATGCAACCCGCGAACAACGCCAGGTGGAAACGATGAGGGCGCGCGAAGCGCTTCACTGAGCTCCAACTAGATTCCGTCAAACTCGCCGCCTGCATCGTCATCGTCCACGTCCCCATCTGCAATCTCCTTGGCGAGCTCACGTTCTCTTTCTCGGGCTTCCTGGGCATTCTTAAGCTCCAACCGATGCTGGTTCATGGGGAATCTCATAGCCTAACCAAGTCAAAATTAGAACGGAACCTGCATCAGTGGTGCATAATAGTACAACATACCTTAACGCTCTCATCATGGAGGTTTAAGCATGCCTGGATGCGCTCATGGAACACTTCGCCAGGCTCTTTGGTGGCATATACATCACCAATTTCCTTACTTTTCATGTATCCGCGTTCATGGTCGATGGTTGCCTCGATGACTCCATCGCGGATAGCTTTTGCAACGATGTACTCTGCGGATTCCTCGCTGTCAAGTCCCAAGCGAAGGCAGATATCTCGCAATGAGATACGCGAATAAGAGAGCGACATCATTCTAATACCGGTTTTGATCACATTTTGGCGCAGTCGAAGAACCAGAGTGTATGTCCCGTCTTCCCGGAAAGTAGCGCCGTGAGCATGAACCACCTTGAGGAACCCATCCAAATCACCAACGTGGACTGCTTGAACGAGGAGGAGGTATGGGGACATGGCACGCTCAAGAGCAGGTTGACGGAAAATGGCTCGGTCGGGGATGTCACCCATCAGCAGCTCCACAACAACGAGAAGTTTATTAGATGCCTGGTAGAAGCCAGCGGCACAATTGGATGAAGGCGACTTGCGAGTTGCGCTAATTAGATGCTGGTGCGCTTCAGTATAGCGCAGTTGAACTGCTCGAATCCGGCCCAGATAATAGAGATATCGAGCAATCTGGCTGTTGGAAGCGCTCTGCGGGAATTCTGTGTGAGATACAAACAAGCTTGCCTGGGAAATGTGAGAGGTGGAAAGATAATTTCGAAGGAGAAGATTTATAACAGTTGCCTGTACATCTTCATCTTTTCGAAGCACTGCCGTCCGTAAAGCTGTCAGCAACGGTTGCCTAATTGAAACAACAGCAGCACCAGGAGATGGGGGTGCTGGGGCCAGTTGTTCAAAGAAGAGAGAGTAGTAGAAGTAGACTCGGGCTGCCAGAGCATCAAGGGTACGACGGTTCAAAGTTTGAAGCTTTTCCACAAGGGCACTTGAAAATTCGGCCCCCCGGCGGGTTGCTTTGTTGTCGTAGAAAAAGATCTGAACCAGAATCGAAAGATAAATGTCTATTTCCGGTATAACTTCTTTTGGCGTGTCAGATTTAGAATTCTTCGATACACTATCAATATCCATCGAAATGTCGGGATCAGTGTCGTTTTTCAAAAAGGCATCTTCTTTGCCCAACGCCTTTAACAAGAACAATGCTCTTGAGTCGGAGCGATGATATGTCTCAATAATTAGTTGACAGAGAAGACTTATGGATAATTGTTTTCGCAAGGACGAAATTGATCGAAGGACCCGTAGCGTAAACCGCGGGTCAAAGTGGGTGACAGCACGGTCTAAGAGGACAAAATTGTTTTTGATATCTGTAGATTGTCACCAGGTGAGCAGGCCGAACAGCGTCGAGGAGAAGAAAGAGGCTTACCAGATAATGCCTTTGATTTTGGATCATTGCCTTCTCCAAGCTGCGCCATATCTTGATCAAGCTCTGCTGAAAACTGGGGTGTCTTCGAAGCAGGCAACACTACAGTCATCTCTTCATCACCATTTGCATTTGCACCATCTCCACCCATCTCCACGTCCTCAGACCCGTGGATGCCATTTTCAAGAGGCTCCGTGCCATTCGTGTCGTCTGGCATTGCAGCTTTGGGTTTGTGAGAGGCCTTACTTCGGGTAGAGCGGGCGGCAGGGGCCGGCTTATCTTTGTTGGAGGGTTGCGAATTGGAGCGAGCCTTCTCGCCGTTGGAGCGGAGCGTTCGCTTGTCGGTCGGCATCGTGGAGCTAGCTCTGGCAGGTGCCGGCAGGCGACCGGAATGTCAAAGCAGCTAGGGCGAAGGGCGAAGGGCGAGCGAAGGGCGTGGAAGGCGTTGGAAACAGGGGAGCTGGACAAGCACGAGCACGGCGAGCAGCAAGCAGCAGCAGCTGGGGATGGTCAAAGAAGCGAGATGGCCGGGGCGGCGGCTGGCGGGCACGGCAGAGTTGCTGAAGGCAAGTTGGGGGAGGTGACGGGATGAGGCAAGTAAGTCTTGATGGCGCGTTTTACTCAGCAGGCGACGGACGAGTGGTGCCAGCCAGCCGCCAGCGACCGCCCTGGGCGAGCGAGCGGCCACACACGAGCTGGCGCGCTCGCAGCGCCTGGCCTGGCCCGCCCTTCAGCACCGAAGCCCGCAGCGGACGGCCAGCAGCAGAGCCCAGCGCGTGCGTCCGGCGCCGTGCGCTGTCGTCGGCCGTCTTCCAGCGCGTCTTGGCGCTGTCTCGTCGTGGTTGTTCGTCGTCGTCGCTGGCCAGCTGCGGCGTCTCGCGTGTGACAGCATCAACCACCCGCCTGCGAGCTCGGCCTGGACGCTGTACCCCCCGTAGGCGTATCTGGCCGCTCTGTACTCTCTCTCTCTCTCTCTCTCTCTCTCTCTCTCTCTCTATCTCTGGCTTAGATCATGGCGCTCCTACACAGCCATCTCGAGCAGATCTCGCTCTCTGCCACTGCCATCGCAGAATTGCCGTAAGGGATTGATCATCACCCCCCAGACTTGGGCACCACAGCTGATTGCAGGACGACCCAGGTTCCCTCCCCCTAAGCTGTTCGTCAACGCTCTGCTCGGCTCGCATGATATTACAGCCCTTATTCGGGATACGGAAGCCCACGAGCGCGCCCTCTTCTCTACCGATCCCGCCTCGAAGAGCTCCCACCGACGCGCCACGCGACGAGGCACAATGTTCGCTGCTGAGGCGGAAAAGGAGACTATGATCAGTCGTATATATTCAGTGAAGGACCGCCGAAACCAATCGGCTGTTGCGCAGGTGTTGGGCGGAGATATGATGGAAGCTATTCGACAGATCGCTCGTGTGCCTCCTAACCAGTCAAGCCGAAAGGAGATCAACCTCGAGATTTTGTTACAAGGCGCTGAAATGCTCTGCAACGTTTAGTATGCGGCCTCTCCCTCTCTCTGGCCTTGAAACGAGTATACAGAAAACTAATTGCCTGGATTGTGCAGCCCGGTTGTGGGTGCGAAAGACAAAATTCACTCCCTGAGACAGCGTTATCAAGACATCTCCACCTCATTATCGGGCCTTGAGGAGCGCGTTTCCGATCAAGCAGAACAACTTGAACGCATGAACCATTTGGATGCGTACGAGAGTGACGAAGCTACACAGCACGCCCAACCCAGCACCGTTGACGTAACAGATGAAGACATACAGCGCGAGCTTGATGAGATCGCAGAACTAGAGAACCGAAAGCGAGTCCTTGAACGCCGCGTCAACGGAATGGAAAAAGACCTGGAGGGTCTTTTAAAGTAGAAGACTGTCACGAGAATTGATCGTACTTCCAGCAAGCTCGACGATTGGCTCTATTGATCATATTGATCGCAGAGTTGGCCAACAAGGTCGAATACCCAGCACTGCCTGCGGTCTCCGATAAGTCAGAACGTCTACGGAGTACCCAAAATGGTGCTCACAGCAGATCCACCTGCGTACTACACGCTACTCCTCAGGCACCGGCTCCGTGCAACCGAAGTGCATATAGTATGTATGTCTTGGAACAAAACCAGAGGAAAGAATAGCAGCACACCAATATTCGCAAAATTGAGCCGGACAGCAGCCCCTCTAACATTAGCTGAATAGATGGATTTGGATGGATTCAATTTTAGGGGTGGGATTGATTGTGACTTGCAAGGCGCCTTTGACATTGTACATAGTCTGTGCTTTTGGGCCACAGCAGCTCCGTAGGACCAGGTAGCCCATAGCAGCAGCAGCCGCCCGCGGGTGGCTTGTAAATAGGCAGCTCTTCCGCCAGTCCTCTTCTGCGAGCGACGAGCTTATTCTTAAGTATTCTCGATGGCAAACGCTCATTCCGCCAAGCCCGCCACTCCAATCTCATCGGAAGGTTCAGCAGTCAGGATGGCGCCGACCTCTGCCAGAAACCACCCCTCACAGCCTCAGTTCTCCGGCGTGCTTTGTGCTCTTCTCTCCCACCCCTGGTTTGCACTCTGATGCTGTTTGCCCCTGCAGCCCCAAGCCCTATCGCCGCGCGAACGCACTGCTGTCACTATGGAGAACCAGCTTGGGCTCGGCGGCCAGCCTGTCGCCCCCCCAATGCCGCAGAACTCGGCGCTGGTGCGCACAGAACAGGTTCAGAAGCTGCCGCATCTCAATGACGCACAGAAACAGAGCCATACTGTGATGGTGCGGGGGCTGTGGGAGATCTTGAACTCACATCCTCCAGGCTCAAACGAATACAACAACGCCCAGACCAAATTAACCCAGATCTCTCAGCATCTTCTCAGAGGCATGAGGTCGTTCCAGGCAACGCGCCAGCAGCAGCTTGCTCAGCAACAGCAGCAGCAGGCTCAGCACATCCAGGCCCAGGCCCAGCAGATCCAGCAGCAGCAGCAACAGCGACAGCAGCAGCAGCAGCCCCAGCCTCAGCCCCAACAGCCAGCTCCTCCCCAACCAGCGCAACAGGCTCCCCGACAGCCGGCCCAGATCAACAGAACCGCCGCAGCACCGGCTGTTACTAATCCAGCAGCACCAACACGGCCCCAGATGGGTGTCCCGCAGACCTTCCAGCAGCTCCTCCCTCAGATTCGCGCCAAAGTTGACACGCTCACTTTCATCCTCCCGCCTACGATCGCAAAGGAACAATCCGATGGCTGGATGCAAGAGGCAAGGTTGCGATACGGCCTAGCACTACAGAAGCAGGAGCTTGGGAAGGTGAAGCTTAACGAACTGCGTCAACAATATACGCAACGCCAAGCTACTGGGAACCTGTCTCAGGAGGAGATCCAGGATTTCAAGAATCGCCAGACTGCTGCGGACAAGCTGCTTCGTGAAGGAAGTGAATTTTTGGGGAAATTCAAGGAGCAACAGGAGAAATTCCGAGCCCAGACTCAGCAACTTGCCGGAGCTCGTCAGGGTGCTCAGGGTACTACTGCCCCGACCCAAGTGTCTGCCGATGGCCGCATCGCACCGCCAGCTACATCGGCGCCTGCTCCGCATACCATTACGTCCGCCGTAGTTGCAGCTCGAGCAGGCCAGACAACTTCTGCCCCGACCCCAACCCAGACCGCCGCTGCGACTGCCGGCGTTGTCACTTTGGCGACTACCCAGCAACCGGTAACCGCCGCCCAATCTGCGCCGCTGAATGCCTTTAGTCAACAAACAACGCAGGAAAGTCCCGTTTCTATTCAGACACCAAGCGCTCAAGCTCCCCCGCGACCATTGTCACAGCAAGCTGCTTTTGCACAGGCAGCCCAGAGCTATTCGAACACCATGAACCAGCCATCTACACCTTCCCTTCCAGCTGCTTCGCACGCGCACCCGGCGAACTACATGAATAGCCGCTCCGATACGCGCAACATTACCATGTCTATTCCCAAGACCCTGAATGTCTCTACTCCTGAGCCCGTCAGCATGGGCCCAGCCCGTCCAACTCTCACCAGTGGCCCCAGCCACGGAGCTTCTGGAGTTATGGGCCAGCCGGCTATTCAGAAACACCCAGGATTTGTTCTTGAAGGAGAAGGACAACACGTGTTGAGCAAGAAAATGCTGGATGTCCTGGTGAAGCAGGTCACTGGAGCTGGGGAGGGAGAAGGGTTGACTCCTGATGCCGAAGACGTAAGTTTTGTCTCTTAGCGTAAGTTGGATGGCCTTACAATTAACCTGCCGATTGATAGTTCATCCTTCAAATGGCGGATGATTTTGTCGATGACGTTATTACTGCCGCATGCCGTCTTGCGAAACTACGCCCCTCTGCCACTCTTGACATTCGCGATATCCAACTGGTTCTCGAACGTAATTACAATATGCGCATCCCGGGGTTCACCGCTGATGACCTTCGCACCGTTAAGAAGCCGCATCCTACTCAGGGATGGATCCAGAAGATGTCTGCCGTTCAAGCCGCTAAGGTCACTCAAGGCCGCACCGACTAGGCATTTTACGATTTGTTTCCGGACCTGGTTCTTTTGCCTCTCTGTCGACCCTTTCTGGGTTTGCTGTCACGCCACGCTCACGAGATTTTTACAGGGAAGGACATGGAGTCTGTACAGTATCATTGGGTTTCGAAAAAGGATGGCTCTGGTCGGCGCGGTCTTGGTTCGTTTGGCGACATTTTACTACGTGATTTCGGAAACATCGGTGTCGGAGGAATGTGTCTATGGGGCTGCGTACTCGGGAAACTCGGCTTGTTCTTTTGAAATCAGGGAAATGTCACTAGCAGAATAAAACAATGGACTTTAGGTAGCAATCAAAGGTTTTTTCGCCCGTGGCGTCGTGAATCCTTCGCGGTGCAGAAGTGCCGGCGGGAGGGCTAATGTATCAAATGCGTGGACGCTGCGCGGAGCGCTCCGTAGCCCGACATAGGCCCATAACAGGTTAGGTATGGGGTGCTCCGTACCTGGGGGGGGGGGGGGGGGGGGGGAAAAAG